ACACTTACATGGCCAATAGCTTCACCGATCATGACGAGATTTGCGGGAGTCAGGATGCCTCTTTTTGCCAAGGCTCGTGATCCAGTGCTAATACCTACTCGAACTCTTGGCTGATGGATAACTGGGCGATTATCGGGCCGTGTCCGGGCCGTTGAGCTCGATGCGATGGCCGCTGATTGGGAGTCTCGCATCGCCCTTTCCAGGGTCATCTCTTCGATGCTACCCTCTGTGGGCCCCGTTACCGGCTCGTTAACAGGCCGACACGCAGGTGGAAGTTCATCTTCAGTGTCGGTATTGGATCTCGACGATGCGTCGGACTCTTCTAGAGGCTCATTAACCGCCAAGTACTGGCCCAGTTGTAGGCATTTTCGAAAGTAGGTTTTGTTGTTGCCCTGAAGGAGATTGTGCATGGGATCGAAGACAGTATTCTGGAATTTGTCGAAATAAGGAAGGAACATACAGGCCGTTAAGTGCCCTGTAGCGTCGGCGTAAGGGGCGTGTTCGAGGGCGGTTTTCATCATACTGTTGGTGAACTTTGCGGGCCGATATAGGGGTGGTTTATGTCCTCTTCCACGTCTAGGAGCCAAAGCCCAAGCTTCACGTTCGTACTCGTTGCGCTCCACCAAGAGGTCCTGCTCTCTATTGTGCTCATGACGGGCCTGTAACACAGCGGTTATCCCCGCGTCGGCCTTCCTCAACACACCCAGATTGTGCTCGTGCGAGTTCCGAAATGGAAAGACTAGAAAAGTAGGTGTTCGATTGAGGGCCATTTTACGGCCTTGTAACTGGCTACACTTACCATGGGTATCTGCCTGTTGCTGGTGTGTCGCTTCACATCGAGTACAGATATCCTTGAGCGATGTTTGCGAGCCAGCCCCTATTGCGGCAATTGCCGCTGGTCTATCAGCGCAGATAGCAGCCAGTACCAGGCGGCATAGACGGCCGTTAGGAAAATCTGGAGTCTTGATGGACACCGGTTCCTCCCAAGCTTGACGCAATTCTAGCATGGTAGGTATCAAGAATTTCCAGAGATTGACATGACGGGGCTCTCTCGGGCCTGTACAGGGGTAGTAAAAGGGCAGTTAAGCAGCTGAAGTGAGACCGACTTCTTCGAACCAGGAATCAACGCACCGGGAGTCAGGCCACAGCACATGATCAGGTTCTGAACCCCCCTCAAACCCTGTGGTAAGTTGACCGCTTGGAGGGAGATATGACCCACAGAGTAGCCAGTCGTAGACATCGAAGATCGACAATTGACCCAATCGACGTAAAGGTTCATGTAAATAACTGGCGGTTCACCGTCTTTTGGGGGGTCACTTATGAGACGGTTACCGTCTGGGCCCAAGATCTGATCTAGCGCTGAACCGCTCCACTGGTCCCGGTAGATCTTCTGGCCAGGGTGTTGTGAAGCATCCCAACGGGCCGCTAACTGCCGTCTTTCTTGCCAGTTGAACATCAGTTCCTCGATTCCTGGATGCGCAAGGACACGCTCGAGCTCAGATTTGAGGGGAATTCGAGCGAAGTCACGCCACCAGGTTTTCGCTTGCGATCGGTCCATCAGGTGCCCACATTCTGGGCAGATATCTGGCAGATTTCGGGGGAGCTTTGGAGAGTGGATTGATGATAGAGAGACTGGGGAGTTGATGTGGTACAATACGGCTTGACAGTCCATGTTCGGGCAGACAGGGTGGGTGATAGAGGGCACATTTGCGCCCATTAGAGATCGGACCGTCCTAAGAGTTTTGGCTGGATTTTCACTCAGAGGGGATGGGTTGACACCTCCGGCCGCTAAGTGGGTCGTAAGTACCAAGATAACGAGCGTATTGAGGGTGTATTCCACTGCTCGCCGCACAACCCCAGAGGCTGCTAGTAACAAGGTGTGGGCGTAGATCAACTTCTCCATGAAGGTTGTAGTAGGTCGATCGGCCTCGCAACTGGCCTCTAGGGGTGCAGTTGCACCGCTGATCCATGGCCTATCAATCGCTGGAGGAACGTCCCTCGGCCATAACGGGCGGAAGTCGTGAAGCTCAGATGCATAGCTGGAACAAGGTATGTCCATCGGTCCCCTATCTGCCCGACTCTCCGGCCAATACGGGGGAGATGCAAGTGATGGAGCTGGAGATGGCTGCCTGTTAACCGGAGTGTTTGGTGGGTCGCAATCGGGGGTTAGAGGATTCATAGGGTTTTCCGGGTAGTCGACCTCGTAGTTGGCATCTGCATTCACAAGGTGACCTGACGGCAATGAGGGAGGGGGAAGATTGGGTTGTAACGGCGAGATAACGGGGGTGGTGTGGGCCGGCTGTAAGGGCGAGTCTGGCGGCCCCCCAGAGCCAATGGAAAGGCTCCCCCGGACGAGGTTGTTATGGACCTCTAAACTGGCCGCTAAGCGGCGGATATGTGTCACATATGTTTTGCCGGAGATGCGACGTCCTGAAGGCCCACAACCTTGGCATCGGCAAATACCAACCGTCGATTTGGGCTAGTAATGGGGATGTTAAATGATGGTTAATAGCCTGGTGAATGCACTTAAACTGACCACCCGTTTCGCAAGCTGGTCAGGAGTGCAACCAGCAGGAGGATAATCGGTAAGAAAGTCGGATTCCATAATCGCAAGATAATCGATGATAAACACAGTAGTTAAAGAGGGGTTACAACATGGATTTGGGGGACGTGGCCGTTGAAGGACTTGTTGACAATGACGCGTCGAAGAGTTTGGACTTAGAGAAAAAAAAAACGATTTGAGGGTGTCAAAGGACTTAGCGAAAAAAAAGGGGACTAAATAGGGCCCATAAAAGGCAGTTAGGTCAAAATCGTAACGGACCTCCTGTAACTGGCCTCTAACCGGCGCGCGTGTTTTGTAACCGGCCCCCCTTGCCCCGCTGTGCTGGTGACTGGTGGAGCAGGTTACACCCGCGCCCGCCGAACCGAACCTTCCCGCCGCCGACAACGCCCCATCGCGGAATCTTTTCTCCTCGCACTCTGTCACCGACCCGAACGAATGGTAGGCCATGGGTTATCAGAGACCAGATATCAGAATTTGAGGTCACACTGGAAAAAAACGAGCGGGTAGCTACATGCTACATGCTTGTCCCCGGGGTCCAAAGGGAGAAAGGGCAGAGTGAGAACCAGATTAGCCAGATCAGCCAGAGCTGTCCGCACGACCACGACGTGAGAGAACGCTCCCCTCTTCCTCCGACGATCAGCTTCCGCTCCTTCCCCGCGCCCTTTCCCGCCGTCGCGCACACGCTAAAACGATCGTCGTCCCCTCAAACACGGGGTCTTGTACGTTTGAAGATCGCGCGCGCCTGAGGATGGGATGGGGAAGATGGCATGATGGGCTGCCCAGATGTGTTTCATATTGTTGTGAATTGCCGATCAATTGCAGGAACGCAAGCCGGATTGATTTCCATAACAACAATAGGATACTCGTGTCGGAATTCATAGTCTTGTCGAGTCACATGTACAGAACCCACCTCGAGTCTAACTGATACATGCTTCCTTGCTCGTAGCGCTTTCAGTACACCAATTCGGCCGATCCTCGCCTCCCCCCCCCCCTCCCCTCCTTCTTCGCTGGAATGATACAGCTTGGCAGCTCGTCCCTAAATTCGATGTCAAGGAAGCGGAGTCTTATTTGAAGAACAGAGCGGATAAAAGGTTATGATCGTCCTGCTTGTTGATCAAGATTGAATTACCAGCGTTGCCTCTCAGAAGATATGTGTTCTACTGATACGTCTGATCATCGTTTTATTTTGGCCTGGATATTGCCGAACTATAAGAGAAGGTAACGCCTCTTCACTCTCCAGAGGAAACAAGCGAGATTGGCATTGATCGATTATGGGGTTAAACGTTCATCGTATATAGACTGATCCATACTGTCCGTACGTAAATCTAATGCGAAGTCTATCTTTAAGTATATGACGCCTCTCGAAACACGATTTCCCCCTTTCGACGTACCTTTCGATATGCCGACCGGAACCTCGGCATTGACCCACAACGTCATTCGAGGAGAGCGCAACGAATCCATGAAGCCGGGAACAGTGTTGAGGAGATGTGATTCAATTATCAAGCCGTCCTCGGCCCAGACATGCCAGACTTCCTGTTAGACAGGAATTGTTCGACTGGAAGGGTTCATCGAGACAATTTCGCCTAGTCATCTGCAGCAGAGCATCGGTGGCTCTTGAAATGGTCAACAGAGTATCGGGCGGTTCGTCAGTGAGCATATGATGAGGCACTGGCCAACAAAAAAAGCGCCTGACCCACACCCTGCTAAACCGCAAGGGATTATGGAGGGTTCATGATGTGACGACGAGAGGACCCGGCCAAAAGGTAGCATATCAAGACCAGGAATGGAACCCTTCTCTTCCTTCCCAACCCTCATCCCTATCGGTTTAGTTACAGCTTCATACTTGGCGAAATCCACCAGCTATCGGTCGCTCCCTCGGCCGAAAACAAGCTGGTCAGCGGTGTGCGCGATCTAAGATCTAGCTGGCGAATGCTTCATCTTGCCGACGGTGTACTCATATTCGCAATTCCGGCGGAGAAAGAAACTATCCTTAGCTTGATGAATTCCATATTTGGGCCGTGTTTGCTTACGAAGAGTAGTCAAGGGCACCCAGGAATTGTCTGCGCCTACCGGGGCGCGAGTCGAATATTTCTGATTGTTGTAGCTGAGCGTCCTGCCTTTTTGTAGCTGCGAAGAGCAGATATGACCATGGACAGCGCGGCTGAACAGCTCCCGGTCTCGTCTCCTCTTCTTCTGACGGACCGACCGTTTGATCCATTCTCATCATGCCTTGTAGGTCCATCCTAATATCAACAAGAGAGGTCAATAGTAGTAATGATCGACCCTTAAGGGTTTGGCTTGGCGATGCCGGCATACGTAACGCGTCATCGGGTTCGTTGCCGCCCCGGCGATCGCTCATGCCAACTGTGACAAGGTGCAAGGAGGTCATTGATCATTGCCCCTCCCCTCCATAACTTACGTCGTCGTCGAATCAACCCATAAGAGATCCAAGATACCTCATAGCCACACACAAATGTCCATCCTCATACCGCTTCTACTACCTAGCGTCGTGAATGCTACCGCCAATGTCGGTAGGTCCCATCCTCGACCGAACCACACTGAGGACCCCCCAGCTTATACGCATTCCCCTGTCCCGTAGCCTTGGGCATCACGAATGCGGTCCAGGGTACCAGCACTAATGTCTCTTTCAAGATCGGGAATCGGGTCTTTACGACAAGTCCTCCGTTCCCGTTCGAGAAATTACCTCCCGAACTACGGATGGAGATCATCGAGATGGCACTGGAGATGAGCAAAGAGTCGGTCATGTCCGACGACACACCCTGGATCGCGCAGCACAGCATCCTGACGTCTGTTTCTGTTTTGTCTGGATGTCCAGACTGATCCTTCCGCCCATGGACTTTGTACCGGCTTTCCAGCCTCTGGGACCTACCCTCCAAGATGCTGCCGATCTGCACCGGAACAACCCTCTCAACCCGGAGAACCCTCACTACCGATCGATCGTGGGAGAGACTCGGTCCGCGAACGGTTACCCTTTGAGCAGTTGGAAGTGGATGAAGCTGGGTACCGAGTGGAGAGATTATCTGAGGAGGAAGCTGTGGACCAAGTGTTCCATCACCTCGACGTATTCGTGAGTTCCACAACGGGCTAGATCCTCGAACGCTCTTAATCGCTAATGAATGGCGATATACCTCGCTCGTCCCCAGATACCGGCAATTCGACAAGATCCTCGAACGTCCCGACTTTGATATATTTTCGTTCGTACGCGAGTTGGAACTACATCAAGGTTTCGGGGATCCGACCTCTCTTTGTGAGTTACATGTACTCTGAGCATGAAGCATGAATATCCGGCTAATCGTCCTCGAACCCCTCATTCACAGACGCCCTGATCCGACACCCACAATTGACACATCTCGAATCTCTATCGATCTTGCCTCTCTATCCGTACTCTCCCTCCCCGTTCGAGAACGTCCTACCGCCCTTCGACTTTGGCCTCCAATTGATCCCCGTCCCGAGCGAGACTCGACCGCGGCTCAAACACTTGACGCTCGGTCTACCGCTCGAACTCACCACCAATGCGGCTCAACGTCAACACCTCGGACAACTCAAACCGGAAAAGTTTAGCATGACCGTGCTGCGTCCCTCGAACGCGCTATTCGGCGAGCTCGCTACCGCCCTGTCCGAGGTTACAGACACGTTGAGCATCCGATACTTGAGCGTCTCTGCCCACCGGGAGCTATCCGACCCGGCCTCCTTCGTATGCTCGACGCTGGACGCTTTCAAGCACGTCCACTTGCATCTCCCAGCCAGAGCCAACTCGGCCTTCCGCCACCCTTACATCGGTCGGATGGACGAACGGATCACGTTTGCCGATCGGATTATCGATCTGATCCTCGCCGATAAGGAGCGACAAGAACGGTACACCGTCTGGATAGAAGACTATCGAGGAGGTTTCAACTTGGATCTCAGTCGACGTGAAGAGATACTCTATCAGCCCGCGGAGAAGGACAAGATCTTGTTTGATATCGGGTTGCATGACCTGGATGAAAATCCACCGGCCGAGAGCGGGCCGTCTACCATACAGAACTCTACGGTGACGGTGGTCGGCGGGCCGGAGACGACCGTTAAGAAACCGACGGCCAAGGGGAAAGACAGCGAGAAGTCGTGGGAGCGGGAGACGAACCTCAAGCTCCTCGGTGGGCTCATCTCGTTGCGTCTCGAGAGCAAGAAAAGATGAGAGCGTCAGGGTCGCTCGATCATACTACTACTGTATCCATGCTGTCGTTACTATTTGTTTCTCTACCTTGTACTTCTTTTGTATCGATCCGGGTCATGGTCATTTGTACGGATTTGCAATTATACCTAAGTGGAAAGATACTGTATAGCCCTCTCCCCGACCCTACGCTTCCACAACGTCGAGCAAAGTAGCTGATGAACCGGTCAATCAAGCTCAGATGACGCGCTGCGCCTGTAATTCTGGCTCCCGTTACGAATAGCTTCTTGCATCTACATCACGAGGGCGCTTGATCCTCGATACTCTACTTGATGAGCAAATCCTGAGATCCGGAAGTTCAAACCACCAAACCAGTATCAGTAACAACAGGCCTCGAAGCCAAATAATTCTGCCGCTCAGTTGAACAAGTGAAGCATCGGAATGAGGTCGTCTGTGATGCGAGCGGCCGTTTACCGATCTGTACACTGGCAGATCCAACCCAAAGCATTTCTCTATGTCTTGCGCAAATTTGATGCTACAGAGGCAGGAAGATTGAAGAGGCGCATGCGTTGTCTATCAGGGGTCAGCTGGAAGATCAAATCATTGGATCTGAAGCAACGTATGGCCCATATGCACTGAACGAATTTACCACTCTATTGTGTTTGGGGGACTGCTGCTCTTTTTCGCTCTTTGCAACCGTCCAGAGGAACCTGAGAGCTCGATAGGAACGAACAAGCAGCCCGTCCGACCTGAATTCTGTTAAGGTCTGTATATACTCATGGAAAGATCTAGCATAGCCTACAAGATGATAAAGGAAGTCGCAGATGTCAGGCCAGCGCATGAAACGCGAAACGAGAGCGCAAATTGAAGACGTCAGGTGTGCCGTCTCGGCGTTTTTCTCGGTCTCCTATTGATAATTCCGCCGGGTTTCATAGTTCGGTGTTTCGGCTCGCTTGAGTTTCCGACTGCTAAAAGATACTGCCATATGTAAATGTACGGTTCCTAGCTTTTCTATCACCCATGCCATGTAACATCACGTACCCGCAATACATCCTGAGCTCACGTTCTCGAATACTTCACCGCTTCAAAATGTTCTGCGTGTCTGCATTTCGCTATGAAACCTGTCACACGACGTTCACCTTCCGATCTCGTTTCGACACCTGTTCTACCAGCCATGCAATCAGCTATCCTAGACTGAGAAGGTAAAAGTTCATCTGTGCAGGCTGTCCAACAGAGGCATCAAATCGGGGTCTCATTTGGAATCATTCTGGCTGTGAGGGTATACCTGAAGGCTCAAGTTGTGAGAAGTTGGAAGACAAAGATTGTTAGCCACCTGTACTGTACTAGTAGATGAGAGCATGTCCTAATGATGTGTCTCCCGGGCGGAACATACCATTTCATTGCAGTCGAGATCATGAGTGAACCACATACACTACCAGCACATGCCGCAATGTTGGGGCTGGCTGGACATGATCACCCGGGAATCATTTCTTTGTCTCGTTGTGCCTATTTTGCTTTACGAATGGATGAAGGAACCGGTTGGATTTCTTCCACGGCTAGCGCTACTTTGTGATAGGTCCTACTTACTGGAGAAATGAATGTTTAGCTTGGCGCCTTATCAAACTACAACAATCAGCCGCCATGTAGTGTGACAATTGGTTCACATAGTATGGAACTGGTCGGAATAGCAATTCAGCAATGGCGTGATCGTGTCTGTCTTCCTAAGTCGAGATTCTGAATGATCACGGGTTTCATGGCTAAGACAAACTTTACATCATGTTTAGACTCGCGTATCCTCATATCATAGGGGTGATCCCATGTTGCTTCACTCATGTCAATATCGGCAATTGGCGAATTTCATGGCTCACCGGCTGCGATGTTTTCATACGGTTCATACCGGAGAATTCAGCTTCTTGGAATTTTAAAGGCATCACCCTATCGAGAAATACAGGCTCATACAGTGACGTCGGTATCGAAGCAATCTAGGCGATTATTTCAACCCATTTCGAGCCCTTTTAGGATAAGGCCCCATCTGGTACATACAATATGGGTCAGACTAGACACAGCGCTGCAGTGGATATATTCTCAATCTGACATGATAAGTACATCCGAAACATAGCACTAGCTCGCAGCATACAAGCCGACGTACAGCCGAAAGGGGGGACAGCATCAGGAAGCGGATCAGATCGTCTCGACCACGCCTTACCGTTCTAATCCGTATTTCACACCAGCAGACAACCCCCCCGCTGAACAAGCAAGATCTTCTTTTTCCTTTTGCACCAACTCTTCGATGCGCTCTGGATAGCCCTCCAAAACCAATCGTTGGTAGGACTGCCCTAACCGGACAGCCACTGCAAGCTCTTGGAGAAGAACCACCTTTGAGGGCGAATCAGAGACCTCCTGTCTGTAGTCCAATATCAGGATACACAAAAGCGTGATGACACCAAGGCAGAAGACGGCCTTTATCTCGATCCCTTTCCGTGCGAAACTTTCCTCAAATCTTGCAAACGACTTTTTTTGGAAAATCAATGGAAGGAGCGGTTTGACACGTTCAAAGGCGTCGAGAATGTTCTCGACCGCATGGTCTGGAGCAGGGGTCCGACAAGCCCGTTGTATACGCATAATGGAACGAGCGACGTCTTTCGGGGCTGCCCTCGCAGTTTTGCGCGCTTCGTCTTCCGCAGCCTTCTGCGTTTCAAGCCATCTACTATGACATTCGGCTGCTCGAAAAGCGTGTGAGATCTGAATATCGTCACTTCGAAGTGGGGCGCCAGGTGTTGCCGCAGGGGCTTTGTCCTCGGGAAGGTGCACATCTTTGGGGTCTTGCGCAGAAAGGTCGTTGTTGGGCTGTTGAGCGACAGTCATCATGGGGTTTGGATAAAGGATCGAGCGGGGATCATGATTGGGCGGGGGGGATGACCGAAGAGATGGTTTCCGGTCGGTCAATTGTCCGCCAGCGACTTTATTTGTCGGGTTCTGATCACGTATATATCTACTCTGATTCAGGTGGATGTAGTGTAATACCGTATCGCTCACCCCTGGAGCACATCATAGGGATCGCTGATCAAAGGAGGTGCGTTTCAAGTTGGCACACACAGCCCGCACAGCCTATGGCCGGTTCGTTATCGCCAATGAGCTGATCCTAGCACGTCCGAGTGCATTGAGCGCAGCGGTCGGATACCTATGACTTGATTTTGGGAGATTGCGATCCAGACGACCGAATGTAATTACGTACGATTGCGTTATATTATCGTGATGTCCTTTGCGAAAGCACTGTCTTTAGGAAGAAATTTCGGCTCCCATAAGAAAGCGGTGCCGCTCGAGGCTTTCAGAAACGCCTGTACCTAGGTTGGTACCAGAGGAATATCTCTTGGAGCCAATGATACTTGTTCGTGCATTATTACATATTCAAGCTGAATGACTGAACGGCTCAACATCGCTGCGCGAAAGCCGGAGTACTAAGTATACCTCGTATGCCCTCTGATTGTCAAGAAAGGGTTCAAAAACCTATCGCAGAACTCGAGATCCGTTTATTTCACTCTCGCCGCCGGTTTCTTAAATGCGCCCCATTGATACCGGTGAGAAACGCACGCCTAGCTAAGGCGGTCTAGCAACATCACAAATATAGCGTTCTGTACATAAAGATGTCATCGTAGATAATGATTCAACCTTCAGCTCCTTCCGTCATGAGAACTTAACGCGAGGGCGGCATGAACCTGAAACACGGATGATCGCATATCATCGTAGGTCTTCTTACACGGTTTCACGGGTCGATCGCCGCTGCGGTGCCGCCCGTTAAACCCGCGTCGCCCGAAACCCGAAATCTTAGACCCGGGGTCGATTGTGCTTGCGGCTTTACAGAGTTTACCCTACGTAGTCAATCAATATTTTCGATGGAACGGAGGAATATAAAGCTTTAGGATTGGCATGACCCTCAACTATACGATATGTAACTCGGAACAAGTGCCGTACCTAGCAATTTCCTCTTTTACCACGATTGGACACGATGTCACGGCCGGAAGAACCAAGATCCGACACCGTTTTGGCGGTCAGCGAGGACATCCAAATGACCCCATTGGGCTCGACCCATGATCTCGTTACGAAAGACGACTACAAGATCGATGCAGACGTCGGCGATGAGACCGTCAATGACAATGAGAACCGAGCACAAGCTCTGCCACCGGTTGATGGGGGAAAGGCCGCATGGTTCTTCTTGGCGAGCTGTTATCTGCTCGAGGTAGGTGTATCGAATCCTCGTATCATCCCGAAATTTTGACTGATCAAAATGCCTCGATGCATGTAATCTGCTGAACAGCTCATGTGCTTCGGTCCCGCCTTCTCCTGGTCGGTGTTTCAAGACTACCTGCAACGATCAGAACACAGCCCGCTGCGGCACGAATCGACGGTTACCATCTCAGCGATCGGTACGCTCCTCTTTTCGATGCTCTACTTTGCGCCTGCGATCGCTCGACCGTTCTTCTGGCTTCACCCCGATTATGCCCGACTGGCGATGAGGGTTTGCTTGGGCGTGGCCATCGTCGCGCTGATTGGAGCCAGCTTTGCGACGAACGCTGGGACACTCGTAGCGGTCGTTGGTTTCATCGTCGGTCTGGCATGTGGAATCATGACGAGTAAGTCACGCAGCACTCGAGTCCTTCAATTGGGCGATATGCAGTTATTGATACTATTTTCCCATTGCTCCGATAGCGCCATACCTCCTGTGGCTGCCTCAGTGGTTCGTCAGGCGTCGAGGTTTCGCTATGGGAGTAGCATTCAGCGGAGCCGGTCTCGGAGGTCTCCTCTTCCCATTCATCTTCAGTGCATCGCTCGAGAATCTCGGATTGGCCTGGACGCTGCGGATCTGGGCGCTATGTCTACTCGTTGGAGCTGGGCCTGCTTTGATTGGAATTCGACCTCGACTTCCTATCACTGCTAGGGTCGCCAACAAGTTCAAACATCGACGGGCGGACTATGTCAAGGTCATGAAAAAGCAGTTTGGTTATCTTCTCAGTACCTTGTGGCTCTTCAACGTGGGTCGCTATCGTCGATCTGCTCGTCAAAGATGTAGATGCTGATGATGTCCGATATTCAGGCTCTTCTGACGTTGACGGCTAGTGCCGGGTACTTTGCCATTTCGTTCTATCTGGGAACGTACTGCAGTAGTCTGGGGCTGAGCAGTGCTGGTGAGTTGTTCGAGCTTCACGTCAGCCCGCAAGCCCGCCTGATCACCCATATTTGGTCTATGCGAAGCTTCCACTGGGGCTGTCTCTGCCTTCAATGCTGCAAGTCTTCTCGGAGAGATCACGATGTGAGTTGTAGGGTATGTGTTCTCATTTCAGAGACCCGCAATTCATGCTTGGATTGAACGAAACAGCGGCTACCTCTGCGACCGTTTTTCATACACCAAAATCATGCTCGGGATCGGTATTACCGGGACCTTGGCTTCGCTGCTACTCTTCGGTCTAGCCAAGAACCTTGCCATGGTTCTGCTCTTCACGTTGATCTTTGGCTGGGCCGCTGGATCGTTCTGTGCTACTTGGCCAGCTTCCGCCACCGACATCGCTCGCCTGCGTAACATGCAGAGCGCCGACGTCATGATCTCTTACACCATCATGCGAGGTATCGCTGCCATCGTAGGACCGCTGGTGGCAGCCAAGCTGTACCGACCGGATCTTAAGGCCGATGCGGCCGTCTTTGGAAGCTTTGGATTCCGTTCGTTGACGATCTTTGTAGGGATAATGATGAGCTTGGTTGCGGGCTTAGCGGTATTAGCCGAGTTCTCCCGGCGGATGAGCTTCAAGGGTGTCGACGTAAAGCTGTTGGGGGAACGTCTGTAATCTAGATCCATACTCACGATAGAATTCGATCAAGACGTCGTTGCAATGTACTGCCGAGAGTCGCGGTACTGCTGCTTATGCTTCGGGGTCGATAGGGATATAGGGACGAGATTATGACCTCGACCTCACGCGCGGCTGACGCGACTGACTTGGTCGGCAAGGATCGGCCATTGCACCTAGCTAGCTAGGCTAGGCTAGATTTGGGCAGAGGTGTGTGTGACTGTGAGATGTTGGAAACCCCTGAAACCTGTAGAGGCTATCAATCTAGAGGACCATCCCACGTCATAGCTCCTCAAACCCCTAGATATACCGGACGGTAGGAGGCGAGAACCTGCATGTCTGCACGATAGGGACAGTCGCGACCCGGGAGGATCAGGGTCGATACATCATCCTGCCCGAGCATCGAGATGGGTCCAAAGCCTTTCGACATTCCGCAGGTGTCTTTCCGGATTGTTCCGTTCGATGAGGACACCGTGTGGGAACGTCGCTATAAGAAACAAGCCAACTTGAACCGGACACAGTTGGAAGGCTATGGGTACAACTCGAGAAGTACAAAACCATGGAGTCTACCGAAGCACTACATGCGGTACATCGGTGAGTAACATCTATAGAGATCCAGGGTGCGCTTCGTCAGACTCATACATCTCTGCCGACCCTATCATTGTAGAGCCGATCGAATCCGAATTGGCCAATCAGGTTGAGTATGACATGGACGAGCAAGGTGAGCGTTGCAATCACGAAAAGGTCTGCCTGCAACGCTGACGCTTGAACCGCTCTTCCGGATAGACCGTGAATGGGTCGACCTCGTTAATACCGAGAGACAAAGCCAGCAGCTGGATCGGCTGTCTTATGAGCTGTTCGAGGTGATAATGGACAAGCTGGAGAAGGAATGGTTCGACCTGGTCAGTTCAAGGTGATGTACCATCAGGTAGTTTACGCCAACCTGACTGACATAAGTAATATCCCCACTACAGGTCAAGAAGATTCCCGCCCCTGAAGCTCTGCCGATCGAGGACTCTAAATGTTCCATCTGTGATGACGGTGAAGGGGAGAATTCAAATGCCATCGTTTTTTGTGATGGTTGCAATCTGGCGGTACATCAGGGTAAGTAAGCAGAGCTATGCCAGTCAGACGAGGAAGCTGCAGCTCATGTCGTCTGGGTCATGTTAGACTGTTACGGCGTACCTTATATCCCTGAAGGGCAATGGCTCTGTAGGAAATGTACGGTTGAGCCAGAGAACCCAGTAGTGCGTCTGAATTGCGTTATACTCCGTCCTCTTTAGTGGCTGAGGCGACGCTTCCTTATTCAGGACTGCATTTTCTGTCCAGCAGAAGCTGGTGCGTTCAAGCAGACGACCAACAGCAAATGGGCACATTTACTGTGTGCCCTTTGGGTCCCGGAAGTCTCCGTCAGCAATCCGGTCTATATGGAACCTATCGAAGGAGCAGAAACGATTCCCAAGAGCCGATGGAAGCTGGTGAGCACTGAACAGCATATTGATCAGCGCTTGAAGTTAAATATCAGTGAATTTACGCAGATGTGCAGTATCTGCCGTGTGAAGGGAGGAGCCTGTATTCAGTGCGATAACAAGAACTGCTTTACGGCCTTTCACGTCACATGCGCACGGGCTCGCGGCAATCTGGGAAGCATGAAAGCTCTCCTACAAGACGGGGTGCTGAAAGCCTATTGCGACAGACACATGCCGGTCAGTTCCGTCTCCTATCTGTCCGATTGCAGCGGTCATATCCTGATTCCCACTTCGCACAGGCCGATCAAATGGAGATAGTCCAGGCTGCTCGAGCAGAGCAAGCCAACATTGCTAGTCAACTGGATGAAAACCGAAACGGTCCGCCGGAATCAGTCAAAGTCTCGAACCTACCCCTAGAGGCGTCCAGAGGCGCAAAGATCCCAGAGTTGGTCAAGACCGCCCGGGCCCATGCTAAGAAGTACACGCAAGGCCCGCCTCTGGTTCCAGCCATTCTCGTAGACAGCATCCACGGATACATTCAGAAAGCACGTCTGAAAAGGATGAGGGAGTGTATCGAGAAGATCTGCCGGTATTGGAGCTTGAAGAGAGAAGCCAGGCGAGGGGCTCCCCTCTTGAAGAGGTTATACCTAGAGGTACGTATCACATCCATACCAGTCGACGAGATATTGACGGAGATCTCTCCCCATGCCAGCCCTGGACGGCGTCGAGCGCTTCCCGAGAGCAGACCGATGCGGAGAAGGCTAAGAAGCTCGAGGTGAGTAGGACTGAACCGGATCTGAGGGTGTGTATTCTGACAAGTCCCCCGTGTAGTATATGCGTCTTGTGCGGAACGATCTGGAACGAGTCCGTACCCTAGTGGAACTTTGTCAGAAACGCGAGAAGGAGAAGCTACTCCAAGCTAGAGCACTCCAAGAGTTTATCGATGAAGTCTTGTTCCCGCATGACAGCAAGCTTCGGTTTGCCTTCGAAAAGATTAGCAGGCAAGTCGGGTCACATATTGAGATGGAGTGTGCCGATTTCTGATCTTTCTATTGAATGGCCACATTAGCCTCGATCGCCAGCAGATCTTTGCACATCCCGTGTCTACAAAGGATGTCCCAGACTATCTGGATATAATCAAGCATCCTATGAGCTGGGATCAGATCGACGACAGGTTGGATACCCATGCGTATGGTGATCTCTCCGATTTCCAAGTAAGCCTCTCGAGAAACCGAGTCGTGCAAAGAAGTTAATCAAGTGGGAGATCTGCTACGCACTGCTTCAGCGGGATATATACTTGGTCCTCGACAACGCGATGCTCTACAATCCCAGCGATCATCCGTTCCATAGACTCGCCAGCAAGATAAAGAAGGCCGCAGTCGGTATGTTTGCCGACTTGGCAAATCAACTCGCAACAGTCACTGCGGGCTCGTCCGACCAGCAGACGAACGATTCGCGATCATTGGAACCCAGTCCTCAATCTCTACAGCCGCTGCTATTTCGTGATTCGGGGAGTCAACGTGACTTGCTGGCTCAGCTATTCGCTTATGAATTCCGTCCACTTCCGCCACCTTCACCGCTGCCGCCACTACCCAAACTCAAACGCATCATAACGCCGGCTGAACGTCTGGCTCAGGCAGAACGACGAAAAGCTGAGGCGGAAGCTCTTCGCGCGGCGGGATCGTCGAGACATACTCGATCAGCTGGCCCATCAGCTTCTCAGAACACCATCCACGAGGAGATGTTACCTAAAGAACTTCGGACTGGCTACATAAGATCCAAGCCCACATCGAGACGACCGACGGTTAAGGCGTCTTCGGACAGTCAGAACGCGGCATCGATTGAAGGCGCCGGCAGGACGTCAGAGTCGGCTGATGACACCACGGTCATACCTCTGAGAAGACCCGAGACGGGCGTCTTGGGAAAGATCGTTTATTCGCCTATGACAGATCAAGAGAGACGTGCCAAGGAGAAGCAGATGAGTCTGGTCGTCGATCAAGTAGACATCAAGGAGACCTTTTCCAGGTTCAATGTCGGATACGTTCTACCTGAAGGTAGTAAACGGGGCGGTCGCTTACCCCTTCCGCCGCTACCCATCGCGGGACCGAGCAGGCCTCGGCACAGTAAGTCAGGCATTTCTGAGCATAATAGGACAAGAACACTGATGTCTGCCTGTCTTTCATGCATATCAGAGGCGCCCAAATCGTCATTTCCGAGGAAACGGAGTCCAACACCTCCAGCCGATGCGAGTAGCAGTGACATTTCAGATGCTCCAGAAGAGGACACAACAGTTGCAGTCGTCAGACAGCGTGTGACGATAGGAACCCCGGCTCGAGGTGTTACCAAGAAGGATCAAACCATCGCGATTCCAGAGAGCGCTCGCGGAGTTACAGGACCGCCCTCTTCACCTCTCTCGAATTTGAACGATACGGAAAGCTCGCTGACTGCAATAAGCGCCCCTGCATCCGAAGGAGAAGGTCCGGTTGCAATTGAAGACGACTATGCTATACCTCGTATGACGAGACGCGCTGCGGCTCAGATAGCCCTGGCCGACGACGAAGACCAATCGAAAGCCGTTTCTCGCCAACGCTCTCGACGCCCGAGTACGAAACGCCGTTTAATCGAATCTTCGATTCAAACAATCGTACCTGGATCCTCAGACGGTTTGCAAATGGCGCTTGATGACCCCGAAAGACAGCCCAAGCCTATAGCGCCCTTCACACGAGCGCGCAGGACAATCCCAGAGGATAGTCCAAAGAGACAAGCACCAGGTCCCCCGAAGCCAAAGGTCAATCCGACACTAGCTGATTCGGATACGGCTTCGGACGTTGTCATGGAGGCGGACGACGAAGCCTATGCGCTTGATGAGAAGACGTGCAAGGAGCCCGTCGTTGCTCAGCGTCTGCAGGCATTCCACGGCGCTAATTCTGCCGGGAAGACGAATAAAGGCTGGCTGGACCCTTATCCAGTCGGAACGATCGGTAAGCTGGGTGGTTGCGATAGTAACGAGCCAGCAGACTGATATCCTGCGGGCACCGTTTTCTCATGATAGTATGGGCCAAGGGTGAGTCCAGCTCATGTTCAGGTAACATCCTCTGCTGACCATACATTGATCTCACAGTCGGGAGCTTTCCTTTCTGTCCGGCTAGAGTATTTGATGTATGGGGCGAATACTACAAGGTGCCAGAAGCCGTTTGGGCGATCCGTCCCATCGACAACGAAGGACCAACATGGCTAGTCCGGTTTTACGACCAGGGGCAGACCTTCGGCTGGTGTCAGGCCGATTGCTTGGATCGATTCAACGAGGATGCAGGTAGGTTGTACCGTCTGTCCAGGCACAGTAAGCTTCCACTAATCTACCTCTTACATAGCGATCGATGAGAGATATTTAGACGTGAGTTCTATGCACTATATCAATCAGCGCGCTTCATTAGTCTAACTTTCTCGACTCAACACCAGGGTCGTAATAAATCAGGACGAAAGGCGGCAAAGTGGGTACAGCTTCACGGAAAAGTGGTTCGAGCGGCATTCAAGTAAGCATAAAAACTTGGACCCCTGGGGCTCAGGAGTCCCACTGATGGTCGGTTTCTGTATTCTCGCTTGAACAGGAAAGCTCGAGCAGATATGGCACTCTCAGATGAGGAATGATAATCATTTCGGTTGTACTTAGAACGACGACCTAGCGAGACCGGTCGCTAATGACCGGCGCGACCATACGCGTCCATTCCTCATCCCATGTCGACCACTCGCTTGTCGCTGAAGGATCTATATGATCATCAACTTCGTGCCGGTTATATGTGTGCGCTCCCGGCAGGTCTGGGGTATGATCTCCTGGGAAGAACGCTCGCAGCTTGTCAAGTTTCTTTGCCACGGGGAAGCCAACTAACACAGACTGTTTCAAGAACGGATATTAGGTCATTGGTTTCTCGAGCTTCCGAACAGGCTTGCGGCTCACAATCAGCTGCTCCGCCAGATCTTGAGCGGTATCGAACACCATCCCATTCTGATTGTGCTTTACCAATTCGCCGACGCTGTGACCGAAAGATCAAGAACGTCCAGTATCGCCGTCGCGAAAAGATTGTTCGAGCACGTACCAGCGAAATCCGCGTGCGAGAACCGGCACCCCGCATCCAAACATGTCGACGACTTTCATGGGCAAATCCAGCCCACTGCTACTCTGATGCAGGCTGATGCCCAGATCGGCACATCCCAAGAACCGGGGATAATCCTCGATCTCTAGCCAAACCGTACGAACGACCACGCGGGACCACGTCTCCTTTTCGATTCTTTCCGCATAGAGCTTCTTGAACGTCGACAAGAGGGGTCCTTTGCCGGAAACGAGGACGACAAGTCTTGGTAAGCCAGAAGCGGTCGATTTGGCTTGACGTTCATACAACGATAGTCCGTCCAGGAGTACGGCGAAATCCTCGTCAGGCGTCCAACTGGTGGAGGAGACGATCAGTGCCGGTCGTTCTGGGTCAAGAGCTATCGTCTCTTGTGATGTCTCGACCATCCGGGTGAAGATTTGGGTTCGAGTGCTCAAGCCGGTCTTGGGCAGGAATGAGCAGGGAAACGGTGGATCAAGGTCAGGTATGACACGTCCGAACAGCTTGAGAAGGTTAATAAGGAGAAACCGAGTCAATCAACTTGCCAAACATCTGAGCGAGAGCTGGTGCGAAGCGAAAGTAAAATGACTGACCTCGTGCGCGGTCATGGGCCCGCATCTACGGAAATTGGCCGGCGGTCGATCATGCAAGACGATTTTCTTCCCGCTACGAACACCATCGTTTGTCTCGGCTGAGCTGCGCAGGTAGAGAGTCTAAGTACGACCAGACACTGACCTGAGCTGCCATTCTTTGGCAAGGTGGACCTTCATCGCTTCCGTCACGAACAAATGGGCGAAAGCTACCTTGCCGAAAGTTCGTTCGAACCTGGCACGGTAACGGACGTAACATGAGCGAACGGATGGCAGAGAGAAACCCTAAGAAAAGGTAAGAGGAGCTCACCATGTCGCGATGGCTACAAGCGGACTTGAGGAACCCAACTTGAGAGCAAGGATACTATGGCCCGTGTTGTGCCAGTCGATGATGAGCCGGGAACCCCGTAGATGCGCAGCGATCTGTGCCAAGAGCAATGTAGGTATAGAGGGTGGATTCTGTAACGAAGCCAGAACGATGTCGGTCCCTCGCTTGTCCCGTCTTAGAAGCCGAAACGAATGTCGCGGCACCGGACGAACCTGAACCATGACTACTTCTGCTCTGATTTTCAATAGGAGTGCGAGGACGCTGATACTCTGCCATGCGATCTTTATGGGTGCAGCCAGCACAAAGGGCAACTTGCGTACCAAAAAGGGCGGGTCGGGGAGGTATGCGAGATGAACGTGAGGTAATGTCATGAGAGATGCCAGTGGTGTTGAGCCTGCAGAGCCGGCGATCTTGATTATCAGCAGAGATGACGGAACAGCTGTGAAATAGGCCAACCCGAGCAGAGCTCACCTCGGTACCCGATCAAGCTCGTCTCCCATCCCAACTTGGCGAGACTCTCCGTATGGTACATCATCCGGGGACTCCTTCCGACATCCCCGAGAACGAGTACCACAGCTGTCTTCCGCTTTGCCGATGCGAAGAGCGATCGTGGGTTCGTCCAGGCCAGGTAGAGGTAGGAGCTGACGCACAGGAAAGGTATCACTGCGATGAACAGCAACAGCAAGAGCCCGGTGAGCATCGTTGCCGAGGTAGAATCTCCCGTGAACACAGCGATATGCCGTGTGCGTATCCTTCTTCCTTAAATTGACTGGTTGCTGGTTGCTGCATGTCGTCAATTGATATATAAATGGTGACTGACATGATCAGTGATCAGTGCTCTGGTAATTCTGGTAACGGTTACCTCCGGCCGCGATCAAAAAGGTAAACAAACGACGGGCGGATGCAGAAAGAGTGAATGAACCTCGGCCAGGCGAGCGAGCGAGGCAATAATATATGAAAGTACTTGCAGATCAGACCGGACCAACGATTGATCCAATTGTCTACTACTTACCAATTACTCGCTACTCGTACTTGCGTCTCCATACTGATCGTGATACTCGCTACTGTGGTACAATCACAAGCCCCTTACGATTCTCATTCAGCTCCGGCTATAGACGAGTTAGACAGGTGAGCTATCCTCTCTTCACCTTCAACGTCGTTATTGTCACCTATAACATTATTGTCGCAACAGACTTACAACGTAAGATTCCAACTGCCGCAGCCGTGCATGAACGCCTATCATCTCGTCATCTAGAATTCTGAATGCAGAGTTAGCAAGCCTAAGATCTTGCTCGCCATCCTCGAGGTGGCCAAACGGCTTTCAGGGTTTATCGGATCATCGAGGTCTCTCAAAGGGACCTTGACTTGTCAAGTGATCCTGACAAGCCGGGCTGGTTTTCTTAACAGGAGGACCTCGTTTATCTTCTGTCGCTTTGAAAGGCGCTCAAGCCTCGATGCCTATCTGCTGAGGGACTTGGGAAGTGACACATATCCTAGTCAGTGAGACTCGCGCCTAGTCCTTCCTGGTGAGTAACCTTTCGCTATTGCTCTGTCATTACTGAGGCTGATCTTCTATTGATGTATGCAAGCTCCCGATCTCTCAAACGAACACGCAAATCAGACAAATATGCCACCTACCGACAGGAGGATCAAGAGACTGCCGGCTGCTATAACCTTCCGCTGGCAAGAGGTTCATGAAGACGATATGGCGCGAGATATCGGGAAGCGGCGGCGAATCTCGAAGGCACAGAAAGCCTGGGACGGCTTGATTGATCACCGATCGCTGTTGACTCAACGTTATTCGCAAGACATTGGATCCAAACGGGTTCTTTCCGACTCATCCTCGGATGAGGAATCCGGTGAGGGATCGAATGAGGGATCGAATGAGGGATCGGATGAGGGATCGGATAAGGGATCGGATGAGGGATCGGATGAAGGATCGGATGAGGAATTAAGCGAGGCATCTACCAAAGGTCCTACTCCTGGTAATGAGGTTACTCCTGGTCTTACGGTTACTCCTCGCCGGGCTGCCAACCACCCAGGCAATCGCGAGCAGGCCCCTATCACGCCTATGCACGCCTCAAGCTTTAGTCAGGTCGAACTAGGATCGAATACACGCGTATCTGCGCATACGATGCGTCTGTTGGCGATGCTGAAAGAGAGGTTCGATTCGAGGTTCTTGATGATGGATTTGGGTACACCCGGTCACCAAGACATCTTGGAGCGAGCGGAAGCATGGTGCCGAGCCAAAGGCCAAAAGATCCGCTCAGAGATCGCAAAGCTCGTGGAGAAGGGCAAGCTCGCCAAAGGGATCAAGGCAAGACAGGAGCTGGAAAAAGAACAAGTCCGCCTGGTCATCGAATATTTTGACGGCATTGGCGAAGCGCTGATGGGGAAGGTGTATTTGAGCCCCTTCAAAGATACTGGTTCGGGCCCAATCAAAGACGGTGACAGATCTAAACCGGACCTGGCCGTTCTATTGAAATTTCTCGAGGAGAAAGACAAAGCAGAGATCGGAGATTGCCTCGCATTCTGGGAATTTAAAATCTCGCAAGCATTGGAAATGAACCGCGACGAAGTCGTTGTACCCTTGATGCGATTCACCGTGAGTCTACACACGCACACACGTTCATTCGTGTACTCTCTGGCTAACCAAATCTGATTTCGACAGCAAAATCTCTCCCAAGCTCACAAGATGATTGGGCATATGATCGCCTTCAGCTGCTGTGGTAACCTTATACGGATGTTCCACATAGATGCTTTCAGCTTCAGTACCACGAAACCTGCCGATCTGAACAATCCAGACCATATTCCAGACATCGTCAAAATGGTCTCGCTATGCCTCGGCCCTGTCGAGAACATCATGTCAACTTGGCAGCCCAACAAGGAGGATCTCGCTCACATGCATCCCCAAATGGCCGATTGGACAGGGGTCGAGTTGAAGGTTTTGCCTGGCAGCAGACGTGACCTCTGTGGTCGTCGTACGATGGTCTGGTCTGTGAATTTGCGCCTCATCGATTTCCTGGTCAAGGCGTCCTGGCTACCCAAAGATATGTTGGAGCACGAGTATGACGTGCTTCAGCATTTGGCGAAGGCTGGGCGTCTGGCAAAGGCTAAGCAGCTGGCAAAGGCTAAGCAGCTGGCAAAGGCTAAGCAGCTGGCGAAGGCTCAGCAGCTGGCGGAGGCTCAGCAGATGGATCCAGCGGAGGCCTCCGACACAGCCGCAAATGACGAGGCGATACAAGCTTGCAGGTTCGATCTCCTCGAAAAGATTACCGACTGGGAAGGAATCTTTGACAGACTTCCAGCGCCCGTTGGTCTCAAGAAAGGTCGCGACCTGGTCAAATCGTCGGGCGGTTTCTCGGGTATCACCAAAGAGGTTCCTGCTTACCCGGGCGGCAATCAGCTGGAATGTCTAGAACTGGGTGTTCTGGTGATGCAGGGGCCCGTAGGAGATGCGACCTCGCGCCTTTCGCTCGTCCAAACTATCGATGTCTGCACCGATTACAATCTCAGTTTGCAGGTGTCCTCCTGCTTTGCCACACATTTCCGCGATATCAATACTGGCAATCTGCGATACCAATTGGTGGAAGGACGTACACGAGGCGTGTTGATCGATTTTGGCGGTGCGACGGTCGCCGGGAAACACCGCAAGCAGTCTGCAAGTGTAGACGAGATGATTGCGTTTTGCAAGGACGACGCCCTCTCTGCCAATCTATACTTTGTCAGTACCGTTGCGCTGGCGAATAAACAGATAGCCGAAGAATACGAGGTCGCTCGTGCGCAATTAGCGACAGCCAAAGAAACATCTGGAGACGGAAATTCGATGAACCTCGTCACTGCCCAGCGGAAATTTGACAAGGCACAAAACATCTTCGATCAGATCGTTCGCCATCGTTACATCGATGATATGGAATCCATGATCTACTACATGATCTACAATGTACGTCGCGTACTGTCCGTCTCTCGTCGCTCAACATGATCTGACTTCTGATGTGTCCTGTAGGGACTGGTCGACATCGGCGAGAAAATCAAAGCCGAGCAGCTCGCGGATCCGAAAGAGAAAGCTACCGCATGGAACAAAAAGTTCGAGGAGGTATGCGTCTAGGCGACGCTTTTGCGAATTGCATTGTCTACACAGGTATTGATCCTATTCCCTAAATCAGGTCTTCAAGAATCTGAAAGAACTCCCTAGAATTTGGAAAAAGATGATCACCGATCTGATCACGGCCGTACAAGGTTGCCGGCTCGGCTTAGAAGAGCTCAAGCGCCTCAACCCGCAGCAACCCGACCCCGACCCAGTGGAATTTACGGACGCGGAGTTCGACTGTTTCGTGAGGTGCCATCAAATCAAAGTCAAGGCCAAAGAAGATCTTCTGAAGCGAGAAGTAAAAAAAGCCGCCAAGGTCGAGCGAGACGCCCAAGGGGTTTCGAGGCAGACGAAGAAGGTCAAGCGTTCCACGGCCTGCTGATGGACATCTCGGTCAATCATCGGAAGCATTTTCGCTCGACGGTGCCGTGTCATCAGGCGATCGTGCATTTTGTTACTGTTTTTAACGATCATGTTTCTCTTTCTGCTTTTGTAATGTTGTAACCACAGCGGGGCAAGGGGGGCCGGTAAAAGGCAGTTATGTGCGCGTGTAACTGCCCAATCCTAACTGCCTCTTAGCGTACCCCAAGCAGGCCCTCAATTAACGGGCGCGTCACAGCTCGCTAGCGCCCGACGCGCTTTTACGTCTCTTGACGCGACGCGCTTATCGCGTTCTAGCACCTACACCCTCGCGTCTCGAGAAGCATGTAATAAACTTACTACTAACTACTACTACGATAGGGACTTTTCACCCAGACACATCTAGACATCTCTCCACGCTTTGACGACCCCCTAACGACTCTCTTACGACTCACCAACGGCCCGGAAAGACGCCAGTTAACGCACCACCCCTAGAACCGTCAAAACCCGTCATCGAGAAGCCAAGAAGCTCAACTGGTAAAAACACGGTCCGAACGGACAATGTCCGGTTCGGGGGAGCAGTCGGAGCGGGGTTCTGTAAGTACTCCTTATCTCCCCATGAACTGCCCCGTTAACTCACTGATGTCAGGGATGGGCACACAAGGACCGGGAGGGGAACAGCGTCGAAGCCTACGCTCCCCGTAAGTTTTACCAGTCTTGTATCCGGCCTCTATCAGGGTGATCGATAGCTAGTTAGCTGATTGTTATCTATTTGCTCTCGTCAGTCAAAAAGAACAAGGGGAAGCAGAGGGAGCAGGCTGTTGGTAAGCTTCTCAACCGCGTCAAGTGCTTCTCAACTGTCAATTAACTGACCGGTATCCCCCGTGTTTGTGGGGAGTGCTTATGTAGACCTGGTGGCCGACGGTATTGATCCTACTCTCGACGACGATGACTTGAGCGATTTGTCGAGCGATGATGAAGATGGTGAGCCAGCCACGCTTATGTCACTTCAACCTGCCTCTAACCGAGCTATAACTGACGAGTTGTGGCGCTCCTTGTTCCGACTTAGAGGTCGCACGCCAACGCCCGGCCGCCCAAACAAGTCGGAGTCCCGAGCTCGAAACTCTCGAGCAGGTAAGTCCTTACTTTCACCACCACAAAGGCCTACTTACCTGACCGTTAACTGCCCGATATAGATTGCTGCTAGAGAGCTTGCCGAGACGAAGGCAGCGGAGGACAGGGAAGCTTTGCGAGCGATTCAAAGAGAGGTGAGTATCGACTATGAGTGTTGCTATGCGTCTCCTAACCCTCCCTTAACTATCTGGTTATGTATTCTTTCAGAACCTCAAACGCAAGGCGACCTTTACCGACCTTCGTGCTGCGACCTACAAAGTCGTACGTAGTCAGCGCCATAACTCCGTATAAACGTGTCACTAAGTAGAGACTTACTGGGCTGTTTCGCGACGTTTGCTAGAACCGAACCGAGACCGTAAGTTAAACCCCCTCTAATCTGGACACTTACACGACAGTTAATCGCCATTTATTCCCTCACAGGACCTTGGGCCTATGAGGGAACCCGGACGTCTAGTCACCAATCATCAAGTGAAAGACGCAGTCAAGGTGCTACCCAGCCGGTTAGCCGCCCGTTATCACGCTGTTCTCGAGAAGCGAAAGGCCTTGCCTCCCGTCGGCCAGAATCCGACGATCAAGAGCCTTGTTCCGGTGATCCATACGCAAACGGCTTTACTGGACGAAATCGTGGCTCTGACAGGGGAGATAGCGAGCAGTTATCAGTGGGTTAGGGCGATGCATATGGTCCAGGATCATCTACGAGCCCAGCTCACAGTCGAGGACGAAAAGCTCGACGAAAGGATCAAGGCTCTCGAAGCCGACGCTGGCGGCTATCCAGCACACCCAGCACCCGCGGCTGCTCCCGCTCCTGCCCAACCGGCCCAAAACACCCCGGTAACCGGCATCACTATGGCCGATTTGAAGACCGCTATCAAGAACGATGAAGGTCTTCGAAAGGTTCTCCGTGGTGTCCTTGTCGGTATGCCCCCGAGCGATGTTCCTCAGGCCTCCGTAGCGGGCCCATCGGGGACCTCTAACCAGGCCGCTACAAGCGCGACATCGCCCACCGGGAAGAGGTCGAGACCCCCGCGAGCGACACACCGAGACGTGCGTTGCAATCACACATTGAGACTGTCACTTAACTGATGTTTAACTGCCCCCTTCCTCCCCCGTCATCAGGCCGGTGTCCATTACGCCGTCAAGAAGCTTATCGGCATGCAGTGTCACTGGGGCAGGCACCTCCGTGACAACCACGACGACGAAGGATATCTGGTCGAGAACGACTGGCCACTCCCCATGGAAGACGGCAGTTTGAAGGCCGATATCGAACTCGCCAACGGTGATGTCGAGGTTTCGGCGTGGCGTCCGGATTGGAAGGCGGTCAAGGTTGGGTCGGCGAAGTAAGTTCCTGTTATCGGCCTTTCAAGTACCTAATAACTATCCAGTAACTGACCGGTTATACGGCATTTAGATGGGCTCCATTCATCGAAGAATGTCTCGCCACCGTCAAGGATGGATGGAGGCCATTGAAGATGGGCGCAATCGACGACGACGACGCGATACGGGCCGCTATCTGCCAGTATTGTGCCACACGAGTGGGCAAACAACCGGCGATTGCGGAGAACGGAGGCAAGCCGTTCGCTGTGTGGCAGCGCCGACGATTTGGGATGGTAGGTCTTTTTTCAGGGCAAAAACAGCGTGGTTATCGAGCAGTTATATGGCAGTTGACTGACTTACCCTTGGTCTGGGTACTTACAGCTTGCCGATCGACGACTGGAGCACTTTGCAAACAGTCCGGCGAACAAGACCGTCAAATCGTCGATTTACACCCTGTTAACCGGGGTGTTATTTGTCCCCTCGCTGCACTGTGCCGACCCTCCCGATACTCGTCGATACCCGGTCCTTCCCCAAACTGGCCCAGATGAGCCCGATATCGAGACCGATGGATGGAAGGTATGGAGGCGTTACTGCTTCGACGGTAACAAGGAGGCTGCCAACAAGTGCGACGAGCTCTGCTACCCGTACTGGTTGTCTGACGAGGTGAGTGCTACGTGATGTCGTAACTCCCTAATCACTGTCAACTAACCCCGCTGTTTGATGTCCGTTTATGGCGACTTAGTATATCGGAGTCGGGGCCTTCCTCGATGCTATCCACTTGGAGAAGTATCGATCCCAAAACTCGTCGAAGCCCCGTTGGGTGGGACCTAGACGGTATTGGCCGGTAAAGAAGCCGGTTACCGACGACTTAAGGGCCAGTTTGAAGGACGACACGACGAAGCCCGACCCCGACGGCAAGGGCTGGATCATCTACCGGTCGATGGTCAACGACGAAGCGGCCCAAGATTGGGAGGCTAACGACCCACTTTTGTGGGCGTTAGTTTACCCCGATCCTCCTATCCCCGTCGAGCACCAAGGGCGCCCGTCGATTGAGACCTTGTCTCAAGCGCAGCACCGCGGTGTGTGGGAGTTATCGAGGACGTTAGTGGCCTGTCAAAAGCCCGACTTGACCGACGAGGAACTCCTCGACCTCGCCAAGACCTACGCCGCCATCGATCAGACCGAGCTCATCGCTGCCGGTGCCGCCAACATCGAGGAGGATCTCGAGGACGAGGAGATCGAGGACTAAACGGGGCCATAACTGGCTAGATTCAAGACGGTTACTAGACCGTCAACGTCAACATGTCTCTCGGGGGACTTTCTACGGCTTTGGACTTACGAAAAAAAGAAGAAAAAAAAGGAAAAAAACGAGGTATATGTATATTAGCAGGTGGGTTATGAGTCGGACATCCGACAGTTACGATAGGCCGAGGTTGCAATTCCGGTCGACGACTTTTTACGAGCAGGGAAACGAGATCGAGTTAATGTCTTTAGATGTCGTATATCTGGGCGGTTACGAGGGTGTTATAGGCCCTCCTTTTTTACTATACCATATAATGTCGGTCCCTGCCTACACACGAGTACATGCTTGGACGGCCCAGATAAGGTGATTTGGGGGATTATTGCGGCCTCCTAACTCCCATGTAGCTGGCCTGACTTCGAGCAGTGTCACGGGCTTCAGCGTGCTCATGACGAAAGGTTCGAGAGGAATTACTTCAGATGGCGCCTTGAAGGTTCTAGCTTCGTAGAGTCGAACATCCACGGCTGGGCTGGTGGCTTGAAAACGGTCGATTAACTGCCTCGTTACATGCTAGTAATAGGTCGCACTCACTGCTGGTAATAAGCCGGAAGCACAGACGGTACACGATGGTCACCAAGAGGTACAGCTCGACGACCCATGCAGACCAGTTTCGTGCTTGTATCGCCCTCGTAACTGACCAGTTGTACGTCATACACAGCTGTCAAAAGCCAGAGACCTCCCCCTGGAGTGGTGTTTGCGTTATGAGTCGTAAACGCCTTCCGAAAACAGAACAATGTGTCCTTGTAAGCGGCCAAGTTAGCGGTCCGATATGAGCCAATTGCACTCGGCCATGATTTGAAAGTCTTGTTTTGGTTGGCTATGCCCCTGTATCTAACTGCCACAGTTCGGAGCGTTATCTGGCGAGGGGAAGGGGGATTAGGGAGCTGTTCTCCTTCAAGATAGTAGTCATGAGAGGGGTCCATCTCGCTAAGCCTTGTCCTGATAGCCAACAGGCTGTGCTTAGGTGCTTCGACGAGTTCCCCATTGAACGGTGTTAACCGCTCGCTATCGGGTGCTGAACGGGCCAGTTGCAGACAGGTTTCAAGCTCCTTGATATCCCTGTTCATCTCGTCGAGTAATCTATTGGCAGCAGCGCCCGAAGACTGATCACTCTCCATAAAAGCCTGGTACTTATCAGCCAGTTGCTGGACAGTTATCCGTTCTGCGTCGGTCGTGGCATCACACAGAAGCTGCGCCTGCAGGAGTGACGACATGGCGGCCTTGTAACGTCCCTGTAACAGGGTGGTTTCGACCTGCTTGCCGTTGGTATTGATGGCCTTGAGAAGTTTGCCCAGGCGTTCGGCTGCAAAGACCCATAGCGAGTAGCTAGGGCCATGTAGCAATATATCGTGCACTAAGTGGCTCAATTGATGCCAGTTACGGGTCCGTTGTATGCCCGGGTGCAGCTTGAAAACCAGATCCTGCCAGCGACGGATAACCTCGGCCAGATATTCCACCTCTGACTGGCTTATAACAGGCCTTAATGCGAGTATATTCACCTCCGATAGCAAGAGAGAACACTCGAGCTCGTCATCAGAGAGTAGAGGGTTGTGCTGAAGGCTGGTACTGCCTAACCGTTCGTTGTGGCGCCAAATAACAGGCCAGATAAGAGGCACATAAACCTCCGTAAAGGTCCTCCATTGAGCCGACGTCTTGGTGCCCCCCTTCACATCAAGGAAATCCGTTCCGATGCGATGATAGATCCCGCTTGGTAATAACACCTGGAGTGATTGACTTCGGTCAGTTAACTGTGGGCAAACAGCCAGCATCTGCAACACTTACATGGCCAATAGCTTCACCGATCATGACGAGATTTGCGGGAGTCAGGATGCCTCTTTTTGCCAAGGCTCGTGATCCAGTGCTAATACCTACTCGAACTCTTGGCTGATGGATAACTGGGCGATTATCGGGCCGTGTCCGGGCCGTTGAGCTCGATGCGATGGCCGCTGATTGGGAGTCTCGCATCGCCCTTTCCAGGGTCATCTCTTCGATGCTACCCTCTGTGGGCCCCGTTACCGGCTCGTTAACAGGCCGACACGCAGGTGGAAGTTCATCTTCAGTGTCGGTATTGGATCTCGACGATGCGTCGGACTCTTCTAGAGGCTCATTAACCGCCAAGTACTGGCCCAGTTGTAGGCATTTTCGAAAGTAGGTTTTGTTGTTGCCCTGAAGGAGATTGTGCATGGGATCGAAGACAGTATTCTGGAATTTGTCGAAATAAGGAAGGAACATACAGGCCGTTAAGTGCCCTGTAGCGTCGGCGTAAGGGGCGTGTTCGAGGGCGGTTTTCATCATACTGTTGGTGAACTTTGCGGGCCGATATAGGGGTGGTTTATGTCCTCTTCCACGTCTAGGAGCCAAAGCCCAAGCTTCACGTTCGTACTCGTTGCGCTCCACCAAGAGGTCCTGCTCTCTATTGTGCTCATGACGGGCCTGTAACACAGCGGTTATCCCCGCGTCGGCCTTCCTCAACACACCCAGATTGTGCTCGTGCGAGTTCCGAAATGGAAAGACTAGAAAAGTAGGTGTTCGATTGAGGGCCATTTTACGGCCTTGTAACTGGCTACACTTACCATGGGTATCTGCCTGTTGCTGGTGTGTCGCTTCACATCGAGTACAGATATCCTTGAGCGATGTTTGCGAGCCAGCCCCTATTGCGGCAATTGCCGCTGGTCTATCAGCGCAGATAGCAGCCAGTACCAGGCGGCATAGACGGCCGTTAGGAAAATCTGGAGTCTTGATGGACACCGGTTCCTCCCAAGCTTGACGCAATTCTAGCATGGTAGGTATCAAGAATTTCCAGAGATTGACATGACGGGGCTCTCTCGGGCCTGTACAGGGGTAGTAAAAGGGCAGTTAAGCAGCTGAAGTGAGACCGACTTCTTCGAACCAGGAATCAACGCACCGGGAGTCAGGCCACAGCACATGATCAGGTTCTGAACCCCCCTCAAACCCTGTGGTAAGTTGACCGCTTGGAGGGAGATATGACCCACAGAGTAGCCAGTCGTAGACATCGAAGATCGACAATTGACCCAATCGACGTAAAGGTTCATGTAAATAACTGGCGGTTCACCGTCTTTTGGGGGGTCACTTATGAGACGGTTACCGTCTGGGCCCAAGATCTGATCTAGCGCTGAACCGCTCCACTGGTCCCGGTAGATCTTCTGGCCAGGGTGTTGTGAAGCATCCCAACGGGCCGCTAACTGCCGTCTTTCTTGCCAGTTGAACATCAGTTCCTCGATTCCTGGATGCGCAAGGACACGCTCGAGCTCAGATTTGAGGGGAATTCGAGCGAAGTCACGCCACCAGGTTTTCGCTTGCGATCGGTCCATCAGGTGCCCACATTCTGGGCAGATATCTGGCAGATTTCGGGGGAGCTTTGGAGAGTGGATTGATGATAGAGAGACTGGGGAGTTGATGTGGTACAATACGGCTTGACAGTCCATGTTCGGGCAGACAGGGTGGGTGATAGAGGGCACATTTGCGCCCATTAGAGATCGGACCGTCCTAAGAGTTTTGGCTGGATTTTCACTCAGAGGGGATGGGTTGACACCTCCGGCCGCTAAGTGGGTCGTAAGTACCAAGATAACGAGCGTATTGAGGGTGTATTCCACTGCTCGCCGCACAACCCCAGAGGCTGCTAGTAACAAGGTGTGGGCGTAGATCAACTTCTCCATGAAGGTTGTAGTAGGTCGATCGGCCTCGCAACTGGCCTCTAGGGGTGCAGTTGCACCGCTGATCCATGGCCTATCAATCGCTGGAGGAACGTCCCTCGGCCATAACGGGCGGAAGTCGTGAAGCTCAGATGCATAGCTGGAACAAGGTATGTCCATCGGTCCCCTATCTGCCCGACTCTCCGGCCGATACGGGGGAGATGCAAGTGATGGAGCTGGAGATGGCTGCCTGTTAACCGGAGTGTTTGGTGGGTCGCAATCGGGGGTTAGAGGATTCATAGGGTTTTCCGGGTAGTCGACCTCGTAGTTGGCATCTGCATTCACAAGGTGACCTGACGGCAATGAGGGAGGGGGAAGATTGGGTTGTAACGGCGAGATAACGGGGGTGGTGTGGGCCGGCTGTAAGGGCGAGTCTGGCGGCCCCCCAGAGCCAATGGAAAGGCTCCCCCGGACGAGGTTGTTATGGACCTCTAAACTGGCCGCTAAGCGGCGGATATGTGTCACATATGTTTTGCCGGAGATGCGACGTCCTGAAGGCCCACAACCTTGGCATCGGCAAATACCAACCGTCGATTTGGGCTAGTAATGGGGATGTTAAATGATGGTTAATAGCCTGGTGAATGCACTTAAACTGACCACCCGTTTCGCAAGCTGGTCAGGAGTGCAACCAGCAGGAGGATAATCGGTAAGAAAGTCGGATTCCATAATCGCAAGATAATCGATGATAAACACAGTAGTTAAAGAGGGGTTACAACATGGATTTGGGGGACGTGGCCGTTGAAGGACTTGTTGACAATGACGCGTCGAAGAGTTTGGACTTAGAGAAAAAAAAAACGATTTGAGGGTGTCAAAGGACTTAGCGAAAAAAAAGGGGACTAAATAGGGCCCATAAAAGGCAGTTAGGTCAAAATCGTAACGGACCTCCTGTAACTGGCCTCTAACCGGCGCGCGTGTTTTGTAACCGGCCCCCCTTGCCCCGCTGTGAACGAAACACGCTGCAAAAACACAGACAGTTTTGCATCTTTGTTACCTTATACTATCCATACCACACCCGTCGTTAACACTGACGCTCTCAGATTACGACTCATTATGTCTCCGACCGATTCTCAACCAAAGGAATCCTCGATCAAACCCGCGGCTACAGCACGACCGGTACCGACCAGGCAGTCGTCCCCTAGCATCATTACCAGATTCGTCAATGGCCTTCAGGACGTACAAGTTCTCGGTTGGGTATTCCTAGAAACGCTCTTATCGGTAAATTGACCGCTCGTCCGATCTCGTATAGCGTATAGCCAATTATTGATGATATTCTGATATGATAGCCCGTCTTGGACCCTTCTTCGTGGACCAGACCGCCGACCGATACTCCAGCTGCGTCTTGGCCAGCCTTCCGGATGGGAGGCAACCGTGTCGGAGGGGGAAACGGGGGTGGAGCCCGTTCCGGTGGTGGTGGCGGCGGCTTCAACACTGGTTCGAACAATCCGAGGGGCGGTGCCGGCAATGGGACGGGAAGGCGACTCGGTGGGATGGGGACTATGGGCGGTTTAGCTGGAAGTGGCGGAAGTGAGTGAGGGACAAGGTTCTGGTAGAGCAGGACAGGTCGTTCTGACGGTTGACGAGGTAAATGGCCAAATGGCTCATTTGACTTGCAGCCGTCGATGGATGTCGAGGCACTTGCGGCTAGATCCGATTGCCGTTTGAAAGGGACTTGGGACTTGTCTGATCGTGTGTTTTGTCTCGTCAATTTGTATTGCTTATATCTTATATCTTGTATCTTGTAGACGCTATACCTTGCGCCCTGGATTTGTCACTGACTGAGCACTTCTGCCTGACCATCGAGAGCTTGCTACCGATGTACGGTATCGTTGTAGGGGTCGGGCTGTGCTGTCGTCGCTCGAAGAGCGCATAGTACATCTCCAGCGCTCTCTCCCCAGATACAAGATACATCGATTGATATAATCAACTCGCTCTCTCGGGTGGATAGCTGCAAATCCGACTTTATCAGAATAGCTTGATGCTGACATCTACCAAGCAAAAGCGACAAATCACATCTACCCTAATCATCCCTAACCTGCCATCAGCGACTGGTTCGGCTGATCCATCGCGACGGGGACCGAGCGGCGTGTTCGGCATATTCTCTAGATAGCATCATCCTGAACCGCAGGCATGGCTTTCCTCAAACGGCCTTTCCAGATCCGCAAGCTTCATAAGGGGAAAACGAGCCCCGAGGATGAGCAGGACTCTACTCAACAAACCTCAGAGAGCACGTCGGAATTGCCCGATCAGACACAGCAGGTTAGCGTTACGTCTCGAAACGATCTGGGGTGGTCCGAGGTTGACAATTGCTGGATCTCAAGTCCTTCAAGGTTGAAAGGTCTGGTCAGATCCAACGAAACATACCCAGTGAAAATCCGAAGGCTCGCCAGATCCCCGCGGCTGGCACGATCATACAGCGGATTGATCATGACGAAGACCATCATTCAGGCGATAGCAGCGTCAAAGTAGATCCGTTCAGCCATGCTGGAGCTTCACAGCACCCCTTGACTGGAATCGACACCCAAGAGCAAGAGGTGCGTAAATTTATCGTCCATTGCGGCTCAGCCTACGGCCCGCTCATGGCTATATACGGAATGTGCTGCAGCAGCCTTATATCCCCCAGGCATCAGGCTCGACATTGACTAACACCAGACAGCCCTCGTTCCGGTTCGATGCATTCCAGGATAACGACTCGATGTACCGAGGGGGATCACGGATCAGCGTGGCAGATACGCTCAACTCGTATGGCGAATGGCCAGAGGAGGAATCGTACCACATCAGGTCACGCCGAGAAAGCTCGGCTCCTAGCAGGGATCCAGATCGCCCTGATGATGCAACGTTACGGGAAGGCGTTCTGCAAGCATTACAAGAGGCGGCGATAGGTCCCTCTACGGTAACACCTAAAGCATATCCCAGAATCGTACAGGGGACCATCGATGCATATCCCGGCGGTGCGATCAACGGGCTAGATCCGGACCAGAAGAGCATGGCAGGAGAGGTCTTTGCTGGTAGGATTGTTCACAGCAGGCCCGCGCCACCTCCTCCAATACAAGAGATGCCTGAACCGTACGAGGAACGTACGGGGCGCCGGCAAACCGGACCGTTTGCTGGTCAAACGAAATCACCGACAGATCGAGACGGTCGAGCGGTCACATTCGAAGCTGGGGCGAAACAGCCTGGATACGTACCTCCGCTGTCCGATCATCTTTCGCCAAACCAAGCACACCTTGGGTCAACATCCGCTGCCAGTCAGCCTTCAGCCGAGGATTACCTGCAAATGGGTATCGACAAGCATGAAAAGAGTCAAGGTGACGAAGAACTCTCCGAATCTGCCCATTATTTCCGCAAAGCTGCAGAAGGTGGATCTGCGGCTGGCTGCGTTTTCTATGGATTGGCACTTCGGCACGGATGGGGAGTCCAACGGGATGAAAAGCAGGCCTTTGGATGGCTTGAGATGGGATGCGCTACGGTTATGCAAAAACCTTCCACCGACATCGTTGACTTGGACCGTAGACAGAGCTTGATGCCGATGGGAACGCAGAACAAACTTAGCGTGAGTTCTCGTTCGGTGACTACGAGGATGGTCCAGCACGACTGAGCCTGCATGAGAATCTCTAGGCGGAAGTGATCATGGCAATCTATGAGGTTGGCAACTGCTTCGAGCACGCTTGGGGCGTTCCTGGTACCAAACGAAATCAGCCAAACCATCAAATGGCTGCAATGTATTATCGTCTGGGTGCAGAGCAGGGAGACCGAGATAATCAAGAGCGTAAGCATTTCTCGCGATGGTATTTCTGCGGCTTTGGATCGTCCCTAAAGAATATATCTAAAATAGACCTAGCGAACCTCCTCAGCCAAGGGAAATATGGGCTGAAGAAGGACATGTGAGATTGAACGGTCGAGCCGCCTCGTAGCAGAACACCGAACTAAAATCGAAGGCTACGTCAGGTGGGAAGCTGCGTTTTGGTACCGCGCAGCTATTGACAATGGGCTCTCCCCGATTGGCCTGTCTTGGGTGTACAAGGTAAGGTTGCTTGCGAACCAAATTCGGGCGGGATGGCCCTGATAAGCTGGCTTTTCTACTAGGACAAATACGTAGAGCCGAAAAAGAGCGGAAAGGAGGCGAATCCAGGTAACAAGGACAAGGGCGAGCGAAAAATCTGGAGGAAACGAGGCGGCGAGGCCAAGGTCGAATCGTGATCTCGGTACATGGACTGCTGGCAGTCGCAAAGCAACTTGATTCAGCCAGCATTCTACAAGCGAACTCGATTTGAATGGAGTCACATGCAGGTGCAAACCACGGCGATCACAGAGTCCACATGGGCCACCGATGACATCTCGGATGACACGGGCGACTTGTATACAAGGCTTGCTCTCATACCTAGCAGGACTAGGCTCTAGGACGATCATCCTCAATCGCTGTCTTCGTCGTCCTCGTCTTCGTCATCCTCATCATCGCTCTCTTGCGCTTCGGCCAACGCCTTGACGAATCGGCCTCCGCTGGTCCATAGCTTCTTCCAAAGCTCTTGCTCATCATCATTCGCCTCAGTCTTGCCCTTTCCTCGAGATTCTTCGGATTTGTACCAGGATACGATATCTTCATAGTCGACGATATCGGCGTCATAGAGGGCGTTAAGATAGACGGGGAAGAAGTGCGCTTGTTCCGGGTGCTCCGTTGAAAAGTGCTGGATTGTTTTGTTTCACAAGTCAATCATTGATCTCAATTCCCAGGTATGATACTATTCTTACCTGCACTTCAAGCACCGTGTCTACAGGTTTGACTCCGATACCTTGTACGAGAGGACCCCAGCGCGTCCACACTTTTGTAGCCGACTCTTTCGCCGCCTTGGCGCCGCTGTCGACGTCGACCAGCTCCATCAAGAAACTGATTACCTCTTCTTTGCCTCCACCCGGGCCGCTAACACTGACATTGGATGACAACATCAGGGTAGTGAGCTCCAGAAGAGCGTCTTGGGCTTTATGACCCTCGTCGACAGCACGCTCCAGTGACAAGCGGACTTCGACGTGAAAGTCTCCTGACGCTGTCGGGTTGAGCGACATTGACGGGATCGATTGCCCACCCATGGATGAGGCCATTGAAACCGGAGATCCGGCCGACGAAGCGTGTTCCAAGGTAGATGCGGTCGACCCCACGCTGATCGCGCGGGAGAGAGATTGTCCTATATCCAATGCGGCGAGTCAGTGGGATTAGATGATAGGAGACAGCTAGGGAAAACGGCCCACCAAGCTGTAATAGCCGCTTGTTCTCGGGGTGCTCGTATGGATCCTCAAAGTCGTCCTCATCGTCACTCTGGTACTCGTCCTCTTCCGCCGGCCAGATAAAGCCCTCGCTACCAGGCCTATCCAAACTTTGCGATGGTGGCACGTCTGAGGGTCGGAGAAAGTGTCAATCGGATCCATCAGACGGGCGACGGGATCAGGGAGATCGGCGACTCACCGGCCGAGTACTCGTCATCCTCATCCTCATCATCCGTAGCTCCGAACGCCGTCACAGCGACTCTAGCGAATTCCGGAATGACCTCCCCGCTACCGAGCTTGACTCCCGCTCCGATCAAGGCACCGTTCCCGATGATAACGTTATCCCCGATCTCGACGTTCTGCGCGACGATGCACCCTCGAAGTATACAGTCCCGACCGACCGAGACGTTGTCGAAGAGGTACGAATCCGAGACGGTCGTCCGCGATCCGATGTGAGATTCTCGGCCGATCGTCGAAGTCCGGAAGGTGGTATTCGAGGACAAGTGGGTGTTGGGCCCGATCAGCGCTGGACCGATGATCTGTGTGGTCCTGGAGTGATGGCGACGTGTTTAGCTGCCCTGACTTCTGCCTTTGATGATCTCGCCTGACGCAGAAACCTCACCTTGCCAATCTGACACCTTCACGTGCGACATAGACGGTCCCCCTTCTCAGCTCGTAGTCGTCTTGCCCGAGGATTTTCGAATCGGGCACGAGCGGGAACGCCCACCGTCTCAAGACATCGCGCCTGTCTCCGCCCAGGATCGAGTCAGAGTCTGAATGCGTCCATACACGACTCACGGAGCGGCCGGAGAAAAACTCACGAAATGTCTCCAAACGTCCTCGTATCCCTGACGCGATCGATATACTTGCCCTTGCCCATCCCGCGACTGACCCCGCTCTGTTTGATCTGTTCCTCCGTCTCGGGTCGCTGTGACGCTTGAAGCGTGCCGACCGTCTTGATCCCGATCTTCTTGCCCAAGAGCTCGGATCCCAGCACGCCGACGACTAGATGTCTTCTCAGATCGTTCCAGTCAAAGTTTTCGGTAAAGAGGGCGGGCACGTCGGCCTCACAGACGTCCACTCCGAGGTCTCGATAACCGGCGGAAGAAGAGGTCTTGTTCGAAGGACCGGACCAGACTTCTAGGGTGAGGGAGGTCGAGGAGGGATTGTCGAGAATGAGAGACGAGGGGATGTGGAAGCGGGATCGAGCAGGCATGAGTGGATTTTGGGTGTAGTGGAGTAGATGGTTTTTGATCGGGTCGACGAGGAACAAGGGAGACTCTGGATGACGTCTGAGAGCCATCCCACGAAGAGCAGAGCGCAAGCGAGAAATATCGTCAGCTTCCTGACGTCTAAAATAACTGACCTGATCAACAGCTCAAAATGTCTGACTTACCGACCACCGACGCCCACGCCGACGGTCATGATCACATTCTTGTCCTCTTCTCTCAGCTTTTTATGATCCCTCACGAGCCTGCTCAGATCGACGTTGGAGACGACGGGCGAATGGAGCAAGAGGAAAGGCATCTTGGGGTTCAGTATCTGCATGGCATCCAGTTGGCGAAGAGCGTCCCCGATGGATTGGGCCGAGGTGGATGAGATGCACTGGATGTTGAGCGTCTTGGAATAGGAGGAGGTGCTGCATTCGCAGTCGTTCAGGAAAAGCGTCAGTCCCGGTGAGACAGTAGAATCAGAGAACGTCCGGAGCACTCACGTAACCCATTCTTTGATGTCCTCGGCGTGGACACCGCAAAAGACGATGACATCCTTGACGTTGCTCAAGCTCAGACTTTCCAACGTCCACGCCAACAACGGCACTCCGAGCAAGGGTAACAGACAACGAGGTCGATCCACGCAGAGCACCTGAAACCGCTTGTTGAATGAGTCGGCTAAGATAACGGCTTGGAGAGGTTCTTCCTCGGCTCCTTCTTGCAGGTTGGCAGCGTTTATGGCCGCCGAGCCGCCTTGTCCTCTTTTAGGAGGCATCGTCTATAGGTTTGGGTCTAGTTCCGCTTTTCAACTGAAAGATCTTGCCGTGGGTCAGGGTGATCCGTCGGTGGGATGTCTGACCAAACACTATCTCTAGACAGGTTTACAAGTTGCTGGCAAGTTGACTGGAACTATACGCAGAGCAGCTGAAGGATCGACCTTTGTGCGACTCGGTCGGCCGAGGATAAGTTGGACGTCTGAATGGACTTGCGACCTTCTTGGGCGGAGGGCGCGTGCGGAAGCAAATTTGTCGACCTCGAGCACTTCCCAACCTACAATGCGATCAGATCAATAATGCGACGATGATGATGATGATCCCCACCTCCATCGACGACGTCGTTCGTCAGATGCAATCACATCGGTGGCGCCGAGGCTGACCAGTATCTCTGTAGTGATAGTACCATCGAGCCGGAAATTTCGCGATGAAACCCGCCTGTCCTAGCTTGGACAACGCCCGAAATCACTCGGGGTAGATCGATTACTCAACATCTGAGAACTGAGAAGCTCGTTTCAATCGCGATCAAATCCAGATAATCGCCACATCCAGCTCCCCGTACACATTATCCTGCTTATCTAATATCAGGCCTCGCTGGATGACAGCATAGATCACTTTGATCTGCCGGTACCATGCGGCACCGCCGTACGCAACAGACGAGCATCCTCGACTATGTAGGCTCGAACCCGTCCAAAGCCTCGACGTCCACTCAGACGAACAGGGAGGGGCCGATCAACTTTACCGCCACCTACCGAGGTTCTACTCAGAGTCGCGCCGATGAAGGGGATGAAGCTGGGGACGAAGTGGATTCCGAAGAAGAGGGAGAGGGAAGGTTGGATAGGTTTCGCTTGGACCATCGGAAGACGCGGTTGAATACGGAGGAATTGGAAGAGCCGACCTATGAAGGCGAGGCTTCGCGGACGAGGGAACGGAGGAGGCAGGGGAAGAAGAAGGTGCTCGTTGATGTGGAATCGGAGGAGGATTTTGAGGACGATCAGCCACGGAAACGAGGACCGCAACGTCGCCAGGACACGGCTGATCTACCGCCGCAGAGTAGTAGTCAAGCGAGGGAAGCTATCGGTGCCATTACCATCGACGTACCATCCTCTTCCTCTTCTCGCTCCGAATCGCCTCACAAGTCTACGGTCTCGCCCGCCGTCAGACGTCGAAGGAGATCGGGCGTCGTGCTCTCGGGTACGAGCAGTTCTCAACATGCTAGCAACCAAGAGCAGGAGCAAGATGACGATGATGATCCGCTCCGAACGCCCACATCTACACAAGAGAAACCTCACCGAGTTCCGAATTCGCATTCGGCGAGTAAGCGTAAACGACGTCTCGTCTTGGATGATAATTCAGACACTGAAGACTTGGGCCGACCTGGTCCTGGTCCATCGACGTCGACAAACAATATGACCCGTTCGGCCACTAAACGCAAGACCCGGAGCGGTGGACCTGTAACTCCGACTCCTCCTTCCCCCCTCGGTTCTGATGCCGAGAGAGTGCACGCACGGACGCGGAAAAAGGCTAGACAGGTGGATTATTACGAATCGGATGATCCGATGGATCTGTTGAGCGGCCAGAAGGGTTTGGGAAAGGGTAAAGGAAAGATGAGGGAGGATCTCGATGATGCGGTCTTCGAAGCCGAGACGTCTTTGAGCCCATCTCAATCTCAGTCGGTCGGCCGAAAGACGAATACGGCTCTCAGAAGTGGGGTGGGGAACGCCCGTCAAACGAGGTCGACGAAACAAGTCTCTGCGAACATGGAGGATGTCGCGACACATCCGCCAGTTGGTAGACCGAAGACGAAGCTCAAGATCTTTTCTAGCGAGTCTGAATCTGAATCTGAATCTGACGCGGAACCCGAACCTGCTGTGAAATTGCGGGGGTGGAGCAGTACGCCCTCTGGAAATCCAGGTTCGGACGGAAGTGACGTGCCGCAAAAGCAGCGGAAGATCAAAGGCAAGGACCTTCGACGAAAGAGGGCCCGGGTACAAGATCCCGATGACAGCGAGGAGGATGAGATCGATCCGAAAGAGTTGTTGGAAGAGATCGCTATGGATGAGCCTGGTGAGTCCATATTGGCGTGTGAGCGGAGTCCGTCTCCAATGCTAATCGGTGTCTTTTGGTCATGACGCCCCGGTTCGTGCAGTGGTCGTGAAGAGCAGGATGAGGGATCGAACGAAGAAGTCAGCGTTCGAACGCAATCTCGCGAGGTTGAAACGTGATCATCCGTGATCTACACGGATCGGGCAAAGAGTCAAGTTCCGCTGACGCACGATTCTTGTACGCATCCGCAGGCAAGCAACAGGCGAAACGTCTCGGGCAGCCGTATAACGAAGAATCGACGACGGACGAGTCCGAGGAGGAAGAAGATGCCTCGAACGGATCTGTCGACGAGTACGGCGATGCTGGGCAGATTGTTATTGATGGTTCGGATGAAGGGGAGAACGTCAAGGCCATCGGTCTGGACGAGGAAGAAGACTTTATCGATGACGATTCCGAGATAGACGAGGTATACGATGATCGGCTATTACCTGGTAGGTCCTCATATCGCATCGTGTCGCCACAACCGCGATGTGCTCAATCATCGCTTCCCACACATCTGAGCAGCCCAGTTCCGGATGTCTTCTCATCAAGACCTGGAACACCATTTCAAAGTCATCTCCCAATACTTTATCCACCTCGTCGTCACTGGCCCGAACTTTACCGAGGAATCAGAATCCAGCTATTTCAAGACCGCACTCGAAGCTTTCCGGCGTCGTTTCCAGGGGATGAAAGACTCGTTGATCACCTCGAGCGTATGGAAACCGGAGTTCAAGAAGAGTCTGGAGGTCTGGCCCGAGTTTATCATCGGGCATTTGGACGAGGCGGTCATGGGATGTGATGCGTGTCATCTGTCGGGAAGGATGAGCAAATATGAGGGGAGGTTGGAAGGGAGGGCTTATGACCCGGAGACGTTCGAGGTACATCAGCTATCAGAGTCCGTTTGAAACAATTGTGGTCAGGACGCTAACGAGAGGACTGTCTGTGAATCGCTAGGACATCGACTCGGATGATGAGGATGATAGTAGTGATAGCGGACTTGAGGACCAGGCGGAACCACCTTCCAAAGGTCCGTTCAGGTTGGGGAAATATTGTCAAGAAAGAGCTCGGGTGTTCCACGAGTTTACCCACTGGGGTGAGCCGGCATGATCGCCTCTTTCCGATTGTCTCGAAGAGGGAGCTGACCCGCTCCATCGATCCTGGTCGGACAGAGCACGAGCTGTATTTCGCGTACCGACTGCCTTACCGTTCGCTCTTACGTCAATCGAACGCCGAACTAGACGACGAGCAGGAACTGGCCAGTGATGAGGAGGTCAAAGAGGTGAAGAAATTCGTCCCTGTCGCCGGATTCACGAGTGACACAATCCGGGACGGGGACGAGGTGTTGGAGTATTTCGAGAGGAAGGGGTATATCAAGCGGGTGAGTGCAGGACATTGCGGGTCAAGGAGGGTTGCCGCGGATTGAACCCTGATGGTGTTTCGGACTTCGGAATTAGGAATGGCAACGAATGAGTCGGTTGATGGAGGACGCCCGAAACCTCGAAGTCCGGCGATGAAAGCAAGCGTAAATCGGCGATGGGTGACGTGACTACGAGACAGGATTTGAGACTAGAAGGTGACGTTGTAGCGAGTATGAGCGTGTAAAATAGCAAGCAGACCTGCATAATTCACAGTTCAGGCGAACAAACAGTGTCTACCCGTGTTTGATTACACAAATGATGAAATACGTCATCAAGCTAAGGCCAGAAGCAAAACCATCTATCGGCGTGATGGACCTCCACGAAAGGCAAACAGAACTCTACAAAATTCGAACAGTCGTAATGACACAGCCGTCTAAAAAAACACGAAAAAAAAGCATAGAACAAGCAACCCTGACCGATCGACGCGTATCCTCCACTAAAACGGTCCCGGTCCAGACTGCTCCCATCGGTCTCTCCGTCTCCGTGATCTACGCCTCTGCAAGCTCTCCCCCTGCGCATCCTCGTCGTCGTGGTCGTCGTGGCGACGTCGTTCTCGTCGTACAAAGGCAAGATATCGGCCGAATCGACCTGGGCGCGCGTCCGTCTCATTGGGTAGTGTTGCGGATGTCGCTGGTGGTATTGATGCGGCGGTCGTTTCTGCATTCGGCTGATTGGCCGCGGCAGCAAAGTCTGAAGATGTGACAAGGTATTGTCAGACTGATATGTCGCCTCACGCAACTCGTAAGAAACGATTTCAACAAACCTTTTCGACATAGTGGACAACTTGACGAGACTTCAAGCAACCTTTTTACAGATCAGAAGCAGTAAGCTCCTCGCAGCGGGTATGCTGAAACCATCCCAAGTTACGCTTACCAAGGGTCGATGCATTCCTTATGGAACGAATGCGCCAGCTGACAGGGCAACACCCTGACCTCGTCCCCCTCCTCAAACTCCAACAGACAGATCGGGCACACTTCCTCTTCCTCCCCGTCGTCCCTCTCCTCTTCCCTTTCCTCGATGACGGCAGCCGGAGTTCCCAATCCCACGCCTGAGGACTCTTGCGTTTTCCTCACAGGAGTGATCGTCCGGCTCGACGCTGCAGCAGGAGATGCGATCGCCCCCTCGGCCTTGGCCGCGGCGAACCGTTTATCCTGCATATGATTCTGAATCCAAGACCGTCTCTGTTCGGCAAAGGCCTTGGCGGCAGCGGCGATCTCTGGATCTTTATTGTTTCCCGCTACAATGACCCCGCTCCGGACTGGCGATTCTTTGTTGATATAGTTGTTGTTGCTGTTGCTGTTATTGCTAGAGGTATTGTCGGCACTCGCATGGCTAGCGGATCCTATCAAGGTGGCAGTCGAGACGGGTCTCGAAGTACTATCCCTCGTTCCCCTTCCGCTACTCCGCTTTTCTACCATCTCGATGGCCTTGCTGTCTTCCTCCATCCCAGGACTTTCCGGATCCCGGTGCTTCAAGTGCTGTAAAGTCGAACCCGCATAAGACGACTCGGCGTAATCGCCATCCATGTCCTGATCGTGGCTCGTATCGCCCTGTTCGTTGGCATTGGCAAAAGAAGGATAGGCCGTCTTTTCCCTGACGGCGCGGCGAGGTCGATTGAATTTGATGACCGGAAAGGTATCCAGGATAGCTTGACCGATCCCGGCTGCCGTGCTAGCTGGTGGCGGTCGATCTCCCAGATCGGCGTTCGGTCCGTATCTTTCGGGATGTCTTAACGCTCGGACGGCCTGGTGCAGCAGCAAGATGATACTTCAAGTTAGATCCGATTGCAAACGATATATTGAAACGACTCACTCCTGTGAGAATGACCGACAAAATGAGCACACCAATGATTCCCGCGGCACAATACAAGATGATCATCGGTACCGAACGGTTTCTAGGTGTACCGCTCTGTGCCGCCACAGGACTCGATGTTGCGGTTGGATACGCCGTCGCTTGACCCTGCGAGCCTCTCGCTACGAGCGTGGCGATTAGGTAAGTCTTGGTCGGTACAGTATTGCCCTCCAGAGAGGCGTTCACAACTTCGTACCTATGGGTGGTCATGAGTACGGATAAGATGACGTTCAACTTGCGAGTGATGCAAAGGCCTAGCAATGCCCTACTCACGACTGATTCAATAGGCTTTCGTTGTAATGCCAGAATTGCGGTTGTGTCGCGTTGAACTGCGCCTCGATCAAGCTAAAAGCACGACCGCAATCATGCGTACCTGTCAATCTCATGGATATACGACGCAGAGCATGCTTACACTCACGTGGCGGAAGCCCTCGATTTGGTCGCAAACACGTTCAACGGTTTCTCAAAATCGTCCAAGTATTCTTGATTGATCAGACAACTCTGCGCGACCGTCGTGTACAACAGCTGTTCCCGAACCCAGATTATCAGCTCATGATGCATTACGGTGGAGTTGTACACGCGGCTGGAGGACTTACCGCAGCTACAGCTCCCCGGTCTCGAGCGAGGGTGAAGATGTCCCAATAATCGCTCGCATGCGTCCAGTTTCGACATTCGATCATGGCGATCCAGGGTGTCAAAGTGGTGATGTTGTCTCCGGCTTCTTCCTCTGTAAAGTGTAGGAGAGCGCCCTGTAAAGAATGCACACATCATATGGTCAGTTGTCAGATCCGAGCGGCAAGGGGAAGATGAGATAGACAAGATGGTGAGGGCTCACCTTGTCCGCCCCGGGTGTAGGCTCGTCCGCTTCCAGCTGGTACGACCTGCGATCACGCCAGATAAAGACGATGAGCTCCCCGGCCGACTCCCCGATACATCGCCTCACAGAGACAGAGGCAATGCTTCAGCTCCTAACCGACTCACACCCCGGCCGAATAGACCCCCGGGCTCCCAGCATCCGGATTCCACTTTAGATTCAACCTCGAATCGTCCGTCAAGTTCAACCCCGCCGTATCGTCCACAGGCACCGCCGGGACATAAGCCTGGACTCCGAGGATGTTTGGCGTGTAAATAGAGGGAGATGAGAGGATAGCAAGGCTGGATATGATCGCATTGTTTTGGCGGCGGGATGTGATCCGGGCTGAACAGAGCTGGAGAGTGACGAGGAGGATGAAAAGCCAGGTCCGAATAGTTGATGTAAGGAATCGAGAGGCAGACATGATCGGCCAGTAGTTGGAGATACTGTGCGTCTCCTTTCTCCAGGGATGATGCCAAGCCAACCGGGCTAGATGTTCGAAACCTCTCCACTATCTCGTAGATCGGTCGATCAGGCAAAAATCAATTCGACGATCTAGTCCTCCTGCCAGGTGTTTCCGCCTTCGTCCAGTCTCTCGATCGGAGGTTTCCAAGTGCAGGTGCTTTTCAATCCATAACACTCTGCTGAAGATCGAGCTTCCTAAGACTGGTCTTCCGAGGATCAATGGCCCTAGACCAGATTAGACGGGGTGACAAACAAGGGCGCGATTTGTTTCCTTTGTGTGCCAGAGGTCGAGCAAGATCTCCCGATCAGATGGATCGTTTCAGCGAGTGAACCGCCTATGCGCACGGGCTGATGATGTCACTTGATGGCTATCTTGGTGTTGCTGTACTGTCAGTCCTGGACAACAGTGACGGGGCAGTTTGAGTGAGAGACCACTGTGACCTTGTTGACGAAAGAAAGACCGACCGACCGCCGCCGCCCGCTAGGCATAAGTCGTGCGTTAGTGCGACTCTCGGAAGCAAAATATCAACACAAACACTCGGAAGCAATCCAAGAGGGTAGCAAGTAGCACAGCAATAACCCCGTTTATAAACATCAGTCCAGATGATACAAGCCAAACATCCCTAAACAAAATCTGAAACTCTAAAGTATGGTCAAACAGTCCCACGCTCTCAACTCGCGCCTTCTCAAGCCTCGACGAATGCTCGGAAAAAGGTGAACCCTCCTTGACTCCCCGCCTCGAACTCGACCTCCACTCCTGCGGCGACAAAGACCACATCCCCCCTCTCCACCTTTTCTTCTCCGACCTTGCCGCTTCCCTCGGTGACGATGACGATGCTCGGCCCCTCGATCGGCCTGTGTGTCTCCGTTTCCCCACTCTTCTCCAGAGCAGTCCGGAGCACGCTAAACTCCTCGATGGGCGGGTCGTGCAGTTCCGTCTTGGGAGCGAAAGAGCTGGTGGTCAAGAGTTGGGCGTCGGCGGGAGCCGAGACGTAGGTCAGCATCGAGATCAGGGTGTCGACATCCCGGAGTTTCGGAGTCAGGCCTGCTCGGACGACGTTGTCTACAGGGTCGAGAGTAGGTCAGCAGCTGTTGTATATAGGTCTTTCGCTTCTGCGTGTTTGACTGGCGACTCACCAGAAGTAGCCATGCACTCGATGATATCTATTCCACAGATCGCGACCAAAGATCAGCCTGAATCCTGACCCGCAACACCCTCCTTCACCACCCCGCTGCCTCCCCATTGAGCCACCTCAACCCGTCAGTCCACTCACCTCCACTGATATAAGCATGAGGCTCGTCCGCCTTCAAGAACACGCTCTTTCCGACCTCCAACTCGACGACGTTCAGGATGAAACAACACAACACGCCGACGTCGTCCGGGAACTGCGAATTGAGCTCCTTGACCAATTCGACGAGGTCCTGTTCCGCTTGCGTCGCATATTTGGTTGAGGGGTCGGTGTATCGTGCAAGGAGGCTCTTCAGGGCATCCTTGACGGACGATTCAGAGGCTTTCATGAGCACCTCGAAGACCCCCTTGAGCGCTTCTTTTTGACCGGGTTTCATCTCTTCCACCGATCCGCCCTTGACGCTCTCCTTGGCCATCTTGACCAACGCCTCGTCGACATCTGAGGAAGCGGGAGACAGTTCCACATTCACCGACTTGGCCAAAGCGGTCAGGGGGGCTTCGCCGATGAGACTTCGCATCTCGGGGATTGTAGAGAGGAGGAGGAGCAATTGAGGGAGAGGGAGGAAGCCGCAGAATCCGCGGAAGGGGGTCAAGGCGATGGCCATCTCGGGCTGAATGACAAAGAGAGGAGAAGAAGGAGATTAGCAAGGTCGTATAAAGAGTAGTGGAACGCTTGGAAGTGGGTCTGGGCGGGCTTACCTTGTGGTTGGGGTCTAGAGCGGGAAAGTTTGTTGCACATGTCCAGTATCAGCTATTGCGGTTCTAAATCATGTCTACTAACCGATCCTTGACCTCCAGGCAGACCAAAAAACTGACCCTTGTAGATCTCTGGCCGTTCCCTGTGCAACCTCTCCGCCAGAGTCTTATCCGGGTGTGCCTGGATGCTCAACGCCTTGCCGATACTCAACACCTTGAACAAGAAGGGCAGGTGACCCTCGGCAGCGTTGGGATATTTGGAGATGATGGATTTTGATAGGTATTTCTCTGGATCCGAGGCGAGGACCTCGGAGAGCGGGCGGGAGGAAGAGGTTTGGTGAGATGGGAGGGTTACGTGGGTGCCCATCCAGAGCTAAGAGCGGGTAAGGGGAGGTGCAAGCGAGTCAGCTCGAGTCCTTGGGAACAAGTAGCACACCAGTATCTAAGACTCAACAGAGCGATGAACACTCACCTCGGCATAAGGCTTCTTGTCGTCCGTAGTGAAACCCTCGATACATCGTTCTCCGAACTGGGCTGCCAAGCTGGTCGACCCGATCTTACCCCAGTCGTAAGACTGGACGCCAGGGGTGATCTTGAAGATGGGCTGGAAGGAAGACATGTCTAGAGTGGTTGTACTGGATCTACTTGACTAGCCAAAGTAGGTGAATGCAGATAGTTGAGTAGGTTGCGACTTTTTTCGACTTGAAGGACACAAAGTACAACAGGATCCCCTCGATAGGTTGTCTCCGGGAGGGGGTGGTGATCAGAGTCCAAGCTCAAAACGAGTTTGATTCCGGATTCACTCCTCGCCATCTGCTTCCTGCTTCCTTCCTGCGCGTTCTGCCCGGCTCGCGTGGCACCGGTCACGCGTAGGGGAAGGAACCGAGAGTTAGCTTCCGAGACATCTCATCGTAGCTTCCGTCGCCGCATCCGGGGGCACGTTTCAGGTTTCAGTCGTTTAGATCGCTCCTCTCGAACTGCTATCGATTGTCTAGACCGCTAGATCTCTTTGTTCCAAATCGCTTCTTCAACCTCCTTGAGATCCCTTTGAATCTTCAAGGGCAGAAAACTGTGGAGAAACCGGCACGGCCGTCATACCCCACCGACGATGGGTGAGCCGTGTAACAGGCGCGTAGTCACAAAGACGACAAATCTTGGGCACGCCTACGATGGTACACTCTGTCGAGTACGAAGTCGCTCATGCTCCAGATCAAAATCGGTACCAACTTCTTCCGCAAGGGAACACGCGAAAAGTTGATGGAAACGATCTGTACAGCCTGGACAGACATCGACTTTCAGCCTCGGACTTTCCCAGCATGTCGTCGACTGGAGGACTACAAAGAAGTGCAGCCAGGAACACTCTTGTTCACCTCAGGCCCACAGCTGTCTGGCCGTACGCAAAGCTTCGCGAATAGCGAAATGGCATCGACGGCCGCAGGATCGTTGGACGATATCCTCACAGCTTTGTCGACCCGGTTCTCTCTCGAAGAAATGAGCAAAAAGATCGAGACACTGCTCTCGCAGCAAGACAGAAGCCAGGAGCCGCACGCTACCAGCGAGTGGGACCTGGTGTAGATCTCTTGAACGTCTAGATCCTGTCACCCGTACTCTAGAATGAACCATGAGCTCTGCGCGATTAGATGCCCGTCTGAAATAGGGAAGTCTAAGGAATTGAGATGATTGTGTATCGATGAGGAATTGCTGAATGCATATCGCTGGAACGTCTTGATCCTTCCTCCCTTCGATGTACCTCGTAACATAAATATGCTGGAGGTTTCTGTTTCGATCGAGGCGATAGTATTGGGCATGAGAATGAGGCCCTCTCCGGCACATTGAAAGAGCCAATTGTATTTCACAATTGAAGGGGCACAGATGATGCCCTCAATTTACGCTATGATACAGTAACATCCCAACCTCACCAATCCTCGCCCCATCTTCGAGCCATTTTACGCGCGAACTCGAACTGCTACGCATTCTTGTTTGTGGCCATATAAGACAACTCCGCTTGACCAGGTAATCGATGGCAGCAACAAGGTATAACTTTGATCTCCGTTGCGTACGCCATAGTACTGCTACTTGAGCGACGAAACTTCAGATGATTCCGAACTTGTTCAGGTCAGCTCTATGTATCGAATCGAGCATTGATTCCGTGTTAGGGAAAAGAAGGAGGGGGGGGAGAAGGAGACCGATTCAGGACAGGCCGCTCCCTTGGGTCACAGTCTGCAAGCGTACCTGCACCTTTGCTACTCATCGAGATCTCGAGGAAGTATGAGGTGATACAACAGCAGTTTCTGGCCTAGATGACGGCTAATTGCTAACCATTTTATTATTGCTCGATCTCCGTCGCTATTCGAAATCGCGTGATGGCATCCTTTGTTCTGCTCCTGGAAGGTTCTCGGTCGCACATAGCCCCTTCTCCCAGACTATACATATATAATGTTATAATACCAGGGCGAAGTCAGGCCCTAAGTGATGGGGCGTTGAGCGAGAGTCTATCCATCTCAACTCAATCAACGTAACAGACACGATAAGAAGCGCAGGCATCCGACGTCCGACGAATTTGTGGTCAAACGTGGCACAGACCGATATCTGGTATGGGAAAGACTCAACATCTACGGCGGCGTGAGCTCTCGGTCCCTAGGCCACGGTCTTCCATCCCAGAATGATTTGTTAAGACGTGGAGCAGATCGCGTCACCAATTGCCCGGTTTACTGGCCGTGCTGGAGAATCTCCCTAACTGGCAACGAGAGATACGGAACCTGCTTGAGGTCCAGGACAACTTCCAGGCGAACGTCTGTAGAACGAACGAACCGTGGTACAAAGACAAATTTGCCGTGACCGATAATTTCTGTATGCGATGGCGCCGGCTGAAGGGTACGCAATCGCTCCTGCTCTTAATCGAACTTCGGACAGTCTTCGCTTTGAAGGATTCAATGGGAGTGGCCGCCGAAACGGTGTGCAGAATCTGGAGCAACATAGATTTTGGCCCCTGGATGCTGGAGAAAGAGCCTCCCCTCGAATCTTACCTAGAAGTCCCCGAAGGCGAAATCTTGTTTACGCCAGGCTCTCAGCTGCCTGACCCTACTCATACGGGAAGCTTTGCGTACAGTGACAACGTCAACACGCAGAGTTTGATGGATGCAATCACGTCTGTGACTGACAGATTTCGTATTTCGATGGCCGAATTGAGCGGGTTGACGCGAACCCTCGCGTTGAGTGCACCCCCTTCCGACACAGGACGATAACAGTCATTTGTACATGAGATCTATGTACGACTAGACTCTTATACTGGTATAGATCGATGACCAAGCCCCTCAAGAGAATGATACAGTCTGAGGTATAATGCGAGCAGGTACCGATAGACTAGCCGATAGAGAGTCAGTACAGCACAGATGGATGTTGTTTTGATTACCCTTTCTTTCTCGATCGTCGTTAGATAACGAAACGAGTATGCTAGAGACTTCATGTCCCCGCCGAGACAGCCAGGTGGGTGAAGAATCAGATTACGATCGATATTTGACCAATTCGGCGTTCACAACTCCCGGAAATCACGCTACGATACAGTAACAACCCGATCGCATAACCCCCCGGTCATTCTACAGTCCGTCATGCGCTTCATCCCAGATTCAGGCAATTACGCAACCTCCACCTTTCTCCTTGCGTGGACTGCCCATCGGTTCGGCTGTCCGTACCTGAGCAGGTTTCGTTCTCGAAAGGGCTACTCTCGCTGTTTCCTCGATCGCCTGTCGGATCCCACGATTCATCTTGGCCGAGCATTCTGAAACGAAAAGAATGCACGCGTCAGGTTTGGCGATCTGCATTAGAGCCTGAGCTTGCTCAGGCGCGAGACTTACCTAGGTATCGATGCGCTCGTATCCGTTTAGCCACTTCCAGACCGTCTTCGTACGACAGAATTCCTCGTTGACCCCTCTCTATCAATTTCCGGTTTGCCACCTCGTCTTCTCGCAAGTCGCATTTCAGCGCTAGGCATCGATTATACAAGCACGAGTACCAATCTCCCGAGATCAGCTCTCAACTATGCGCACCGGACTATCCCAGCCCTAGATCGCATGTGGACTAACCGACCAAGACGATCATTACGTCAGGACAATAGTGATCCACCTCGCCAATCCATTTCGCCTCTACGTTTTCCAGCGATTCGGGCCGTTCGACCGAGAAGCATATCATTATCACGTGGGTGTCTGCGTAGGATAGTGAACGGAGCCTGTCAAACCTGTTCCGTGTGGATATAGAGTCAGTTGAGGTGAAGTCAGTCGCAGTTAGCCGTACGACCCGGACGGGCTGTGTGATGAACAGGCGGGCTCACTCTTCTTGCCCTGCTGTATCCCATAAACTCAGCTCCACCGCCTGGCCATCCACCGTCAGAGTCTCCACAAAGTTCTCGAACACTGAAAAGAGAGATGAGTCAAGCTCAAGGGTTAGCTCGATGTTCTGATCTCGCCTGGATCGCATGACGGTGCGGTCTTGGTGATCGGCTCACCTGTTGGTTCGTAATCCGTCGGGAAGTAACCTGTAGGTAACCACATGAGTAATTAGTTTTGTTAACAGCAGCAGCGAACTATCGGCAGATCGCCGCTGGAGACAAACCTTGCGTAAACACCGTCAACATTGACGTCTGATACGCATAGTACGTTATAGGCCAGTTTGATGAGCCAACGGAATCATCCTCTATAGAGGTCCTGAAGAAGGACACACCTTGCCACAAGCCCCATCTCCAAGTACGACCAACTTCCGATTCACCTGAACCCACCAAGATCCATCACAAACTTGTCAGCCACGACCTTGCACTCGATCATTCCAACATTGCCCATGGCACCGCTGCCTGACCTACCGGCTTCTTCGTCCTCCCTGCGGACCCGCTCATCATCCCGCCTCCATTCGCAGGTCCATGAGGATATCCACCATCCGAGATCCTGTTGCTCTTGTTCGTCGGGTCATATGGACTTGAAGAGGTCTTGGAGGAGGAGGAAGGTATACAGAGCGGCATGTTTGGTTTGTTGTTGATTGGTGATGGCCGTAGTGGCTGTCGTGTTCGGTATGAAGCTGAAATTGTGACCTCGCGGGAAAAGTTATTGTGACAGATGACTATAAAACTAGATCTGATCCGCTTTGTGATTCCTAGATTCAAAGTAGATCAAGTTCCAGGGGGTCGAAGTTCACGGTAACCTTGGACATTCAGTGATCGTCCTCCTAGGTTCAGCGTTTGTTTACAAATGGCGCGAAAGTCAAATAAACATCCGAAAGTTCCCGGACCAGCACATATCCCACAGACCGTTCATACACGGAATCAAGCAATGCGAAAGTCGTACCAAGGTAGAAATGACATAGTGGACATGTGCACGACAAAAACAAACAATCGCTATATAAAATACATCCCCCTAGCTCCCCTCAGCAAAGTAACGAGGTGCGAAGAAAAAAGTAACGCCGGTAAAGGCGACCCCTTCCTTGCGATCCATCGTTCATCACTTGGGTATAAGCGTGCGAAGCCTTTCGAGATGTCAGGTGTTGGACATGATCGATATAGTGTGATCGTCGATGGTGGTCGTGAGCTGTCGTAGTCATCCTCCTCATCGTCATCTACGCGATTGCTCTAGTAGATTCGGTGGGGCTTGCCCATGGTGGACTTCAAGTGCAAAGACTTGACGTTTTGCCAAGCCTTCTTCAACAAGGAGACCAAGAAGTTGACGGCCAACATGGTGTTGGCGACAACCTGGTCCTCGTCCATGTCGACGTGACCGATGGCACATCCGAGACAAAGGACCTTCTTCAACTGGAACTTGATGGTGGACCTGATCTCGATGAGCTTCTTGGTGAGGTCGTCAGAGTGGGAGACGGGGGTGGGGAACTTTCCAGCTATAGACGTATCGGAAAGACAGCGGTCAGTTGAGCCATTCCTTTGATTCATCTTGAACGTGGGACCTCGACTCACCCTTGGAGAGACCGGGTCCGAGCAAACGAGGGATCTGCTTGATCAAAGCCTCGGAAGCCAAGAAAGCGTCGTACTTCTTGGCGAGCTTCTTGACGAGCTTCTTGTTCTTGTTGAGCCTACAGACGAGAAAGTTGGGTTATAGCGGTAAATGGAATGTCCAGCAGTTGAACCGGCTCTCGTACATCAATCTGGACTCACTTCTTCAAGTCCTCAACGGTCATGTACTCGAGCTCGATCTGCTTGGCCTGGTCGACGTGGGCAGCGTCGGCCAAGATGCAGACGGACATCCTAGGCCTAGGGACGTTCGGGAGCTTGATGGTACCCGACTATAGCACGCCAACAGGTCGTACCCAATTCAGCCCTTGAACTTTCGTAACGCATGATTGCCGACCAAGACTCACGAAACGCTTGTCCCTCTGGGGGTCGTAGTTCTTCAAACCGATCTGGAGCTCGATGGTCTCGACGAAGTTCCTCTTCTTTCCGACGGTGGTGCCATCGTCGTTCTTCTGAGCCTGTCCCTCGAGGGAAGACTGCATAAGCAGGGTCTTGACGGTGGTTCGCACGCTTGAAGCCGAGAGCTTGGACATGGTTGGCGGGTTGTTTTTGTGGTGGTGACCGACGGTGAAGAGAAAGAGGCAAAGGACAGGCGTGGGTCGATGTCGATATCGATTGAATATCGTCAATGTCAATGCGAGGTCGTCCGAGGGAGCAGCCGCCGCGCGCGCAACTTGGAATTTTCCGAGCGATTCTGATCGACCAAGTAGAAGCGCGTCGCGCTTCTTCTGCCTCTCGCTTTCTCACGCGTCAAGGCAGATCGTAGTCAGGATGATGAAACGCCAGTCGCCACTTACTTACTCTGGGAGAGGACGATTGCGGTGGTAAAGCTCGACCATAGCATTTCTGACTTCACGCTGTTGATATCAGTCAACCTTGGCATATGCGGGAAACACGAGCAAGGCGTTTGTGCTGACGGGTATGATGGATATATAGGCTACAGTTTCCCAACCTCTATCTTATACAATGCTGACAAAGGAACCCCATCTAAGCCTCCCGTAGCCCCTGGAGATCATCCTTTTCCAGTCGTTCGCCCCAGTTGAGGCGCTTCTCGAAGACCAGCGCCACGTAGCTTAGGGCGAGCAGGACGGGCACTTCGACCAACGGGCCGATAGTCGCTGCTAGCGCTTGGTCCGAGTCGATCCCGTAGACGGCGATGCAAACGGCGATGGCGAGTTCGAAGCTGTAGCATAGACGAGATGGAAGTTTGATGATCAGTCTTATCGTTAACAAATAGAATCCGTCTCCAGAGCGACTACTTACTTGTTAGATCCCGCCGTGAATGATTGCACAACGGCCATCTTGTATCCATACTTTTTCGAACCTTCTTTCCGGGAAGTCAAGTAGTAGACCAAGAAAAATGTCCCTGCCCACATGATGATGAAGTAGAGGCACATAGGCACAAAGACCCGGAAGACCGAGCCGATGTTGTCCAGAATCCGGTTGGCCTGTTGGGCGAAGATGAGGATGATGCTATAGGTTCGTACGAGAGGTTGAAGGGTCATCGTTAGTGCCGCAAGACAAACGCAAGGCGAGAAGTTCAGCATAGTTGTTAACAGGGATACTCACGTGTAGAGCAACCCCAGCAAAGCCAGAGGTCCAAAGTAGGGCAAGAACTTGGTCTCGAACCTGTGCTTCCCCATCGCCCATATCCCCAAGAACCTAGTAACCACCCCGGCAGCAAGCGGTATGCCCAAATAGATGCAGACTGCTATCGCCGTATGCGAATAATCCAGCTCCAGATCCTCTTCTCCGGAGATGACGTTGACGAACAACAAGGACATGGGCGAGTAGAGGACAATCTGGAGGAGAGAATTGATGATGACCAGGACGGCGCAGTAATCGACGTCACCGTTGGCGAGCTGGTTCCAAATCATGACCATGGCGATGCAGCGCGCGAGGCCGACCATGATCACGCCTGTTCTGTAGGTGGGGAGGTCGGGTAGCGTGGCCCAGGCGATGCCGAGCATGACCTGCGAGGCGTAGCGTATCATAAACGCTTAGCTAAATCTCGGGGATTGGAACTCGGAAGGTGGACTCACGAAGGGACCGATAATCCAGTTCAAGATGAGGGACAGGATGACCTGTCTCCAGATATGTATCGTCCGGAACAAGGCCGGTAATCGCTCGTATTGTACTGTTCGGATCACATGCATGGAACACGTCATAAGCAACACTCCTCTCAAGGCCATGTCATCTTATAGGTGTTTGCTTACCTTTAGTCAAGATCGGCCACATCATCACGAGCAGTCCGACGACGATGGCTATATCACCCAAAGAGAAGCGGTTTGATAAGCCCCTAGCTGAGCGATAAGCCAGCGAGAGATGGGGTACTTGCGGACAGAGACACCTTCCAACGTCGCACTCGTCAACACGCTTTCTACGTTGTCCGCGAATTTGCCTGCAGACAATTTCCACGAGGCGTTAGTTATAAGTTGGATCAAGTCTATGCGGTATATAGGACTGACCGATAACCACGCCCAATATCATGGCCAACAGGACCAGCGGGGCCAAGAACCTATCCAGCCATCCGAGACCCTTGAGAAGTTGACCTGACAACCGCGAGTATAGACTCAGTCTTCTTGAAATACAACCTCTCGTCGATCAGAAGAGCTGGAACCCACTCTCTGGCCTGACAGGCATCGAAGCGTTCTCAGGCGTGGTAGTCGTCGCCTCGTCGCCCCCTGATGTATGTTGCAAGTCGAGGGATCGTTCTTCCTCCTTGGTCATGGTCGATGTCTGAGCCGATTTCTCGGGAAGGCTCGAATGAGCGTCGAGGTCGAGAGGTTGGCGGCACGACATGTTTACGAGGTAGAGCTGATGTCGTCCGAACGTCTGGTACAAGGTGTATAAATGGATGTCCCGAGGTTATCCACGCTTGAAGGAGGTTCCCGATCTCCAGCTCTTGTCGAGCTTATATACCCCAATCTCGATCTAGGACCTTCCCCGGGTCGAGACGACTAGATCAATCGATCAGCTCGATCAGAGCAACGGAGTCCCGAGATGCGAGATGGGAGATGAGCTTTGGACCGAAATTCTTTGGTTTCCGTCGTCGACATGGGCAATCGCCGATCAAAAACGTGCATCTCGAAGATTCCGTGTGTGTGTGTGTGTGTCCTTGTGGATATCGCCCATGCGACACGGAATCTGTCTCCTTGGCGGTTACGTGATGTCTGTTAGAAGGCGTTTCATTTCGGATGTAGTGGGGTGACATTACTTCCGAACACCGCTATACCTCTGGGTATATATCGCGAGCGATAACTCGCAACCTCCCCACCTGCTCGCAACTTTCAACCTCGAACTCTCGAAAGGTCACGCATGCGAACATTCATCAAACACGTCATGTCAACTTCCGGATCTACTGCACCCTGGTATGCTAGTCTACCCGCCCCTCGGGGTACACCACTACAGATGGCCGTGTCCGAGCTCAAGGCGTTGAAGGATGATCCCGCCCGACGAGCCGGGGTGGATTATCTGGTCGTCGACGTACGGAGAGCCGATATGGACGTGAGTTCCGGCACTTGTTAGATAAGGAAGGGACGGAGTCAGGCATTGTATCGCACTGGAAATGAGACTTATGCCGAGGCCGACACTGTCATACAGGAGCCGGATGGCAAGATGATCATCCCGGGCGCAATCAACCTCCCCGCTCAGACGTTTCACCAGACGCTCCCTACTCTCCTTCCGGTCCTTTCTCGGTCTGTTCATCCCCTCGTTGAGCTGCATGGAATTGGAACCTGATTGCCGTCAAGATACTGGCTTCCTACTCTGCGTTGCAGAATCCCTCGAGTTATATTCCACTGTTCTTCTTCTAACGGCCGAGGACCTCGGTGTGCGGGTTGGTATCAAGACGCGCTCGACGACCACGAGAACGACAGATCGACGACCACGGGGGATATTTCCAAATCATACGTCTTGACGGGAGGGATCAAGGCTTGGAAGAGCGCTTATCCGGATGACGTGCAGCCGCTGTAGCTGGGGGAGGTGAGAGTGGAGAAGGGGTCTTAATCCTGTGAGGAGAAGCTATACAGCGTCATCTGTCAGAAACCCAGAAGAAGACCGTTTGAATGGGCAAATGCACCACAATATACAATAATATCATTACAACATCACGTCCATACATCTTCGCAAACATCGAACATATCCTTCATCGCCGGCCTCCATCGCCTGATCCCCTACTCCAGGCACTATGCGGCCTCAAACAAAAACCCCAAGCACATTACCAAGCCCTACCGCAAACGCCGCACATGTCATGACGACCCGACAATTGTGCAAGAATACCCATCGGTCCAACAAACGGTTGATTTTGACTTCGGTACCGGAATTTGGAGTGGATGACCCCTTTTCGGAGGACTTGGATTCGGTGCGTTCGCGGTGGGCGATGAGGATGTCGTTGACGGGCTTGATGAATAGCAACTGGGAGCCGAGCCGAGCGGCGTAAGCGAGGTTCGAACGGTAGGGTCTTCAAGATCAGATCAGAGGTAGAGACTGCACAAGGACAGCCGGGAGTGAAGCTTACTGTGAAAGGTATAATGCCCAAATGCAGCACTCCCGCCCCGATCGCCGCCTGTTGAGACAACTCTCCTACGAGGGGGAACTTGTATGCCCCGACGAGATAGGAAACAGCAGCTCCGATAGCTGTCAGAGGGATAGAAGCTTTCCCAGCTTCGTAACCCTTGTTCCAGATGGCGAGTCTTTGGGCGATGGGGCCGGAAGAGGGGGGTTGGAAGAGCTTGTTGATTATCGCTGGGTACGACAAGGTTAGGCCTATACAGCGACGTATAGACGAGCGAGGATGGAGAAGAGAAGATCACTTTATAGCCAAGTTGGAAAATGCAAGGCAAGCTTACCTGCAGCTAGACCTGAGCAGAAGAGGCCGGTCCCGGCGACGAGAGCAGGTCCGGAGAGGTTCATTTCGTTTCGTGACTACGTGCGAACGTTTCCGGGATGCATTCGACTTCAGTCGGGGGATCCTCGGTTAACAATAGAGGGTCAGATGACTACTGAAGATTAAGGGGTTGTCTTTCCAAACGCTGCCTTGTGCGATAACTGACACGGTATAAATGCTCTTGAGCCTTTGCAACCTTTCGTCGTCCTCTCGCTCGTCCGAAGCCGGACCGCGGCGGAAGTTACATCGGACATCGCCGAGACAGGGTCACGGACATTCTACCTATTTATTCATGTCCGTATCGACCGGGTAATCGATCGATCGGTTAATGTGGACAGGCTACAGCTATGCAAGCATGACGCTCGTGCACATCGCTATTCAGGGTCCAGGGACGACAAGCATCGAACCTTTCAACAGCGACATCGGCCACGCGTTGCGCACTGTAGTAGATACTCGTAACCACGAATCAAGATGCCTGTGGAAAACGTGACCGGATCATGCTATTGCAAGGCCATCGCCTATTCCATCTCCGACGTCGAGTCTCTTCCCCTTGACGGGATTATTTGTCATTGTCGAGCAAGTCTTCGTCTTGATTCCCATGATCGGTTTCAGAGATCCTGACCTCAGAAATACAAATTGCTGTGAATTGTCTCCAGACGTGCCAGAAGATCGCAACGATGGGCTCGTATAATGTCACTCTCAATCGCGAACAACTCAAGATCACCAAGGGCGAGCTTGCTGTCAGTCTTCGCCTTCATGTTGAATTTGATCTCTCTGGGCTGATGCCAGGCCATGGCAATCTTTGATGGATTCCCCACCACTGCGTCGATCATGGATACAGAGTTACGAAGACAACTCTGCCGACTCGGGGAAGACCATCACCCGCATGTTCTGCAAGACATGCGGATCGGGGATCTACTCTCGACCAGACTCAATCCCGGACAAGTTGTTTCTCAAGGCCGGCACTCTGGACGATATGAGTCAAGTGAGACCCAATGCCGAGATTGTAAGTCGCTACTTGCAGTGGATCAAGTGGCCGATTGGCGGGTTCTCACACCGTTGGATGTTTGGGGTTCCAGTACGTCGAACGCGCGATCAAAGGGATGCCTGGGTCAGTCTCTAGTCGAGAACTCTCATCGCCGGTTTGTCCCGCCTCTATCGCTATGCTGACAGCATGGATGCATCTTCTGATTCCGCAGGTCTAGCGAGGAGATCAAGTGTACTTTGTTCGAAGGTATGATGAAGAACAAGTTGTAATTTGTGAGCTCAGCGCAGAGCGAGATGTGAGAGCTGAGAGGTCCGAGCCGTGCCGGGTATCGCGAAGCCAGAGGTTGTAAACAAGATACAAGATGCAAGATGAAGATCAGAGTCTCCGACTCTTAAAGATCGAGAACGGCCTTCAAATGCCAGGAAGCAGGTCTTGCAAGCACGCGTGATATCAAATCCGGATATACGTTTCAGCTTCTATCTCTACAATACGCCAACAATAATAACTGCTACTATCCATCATCTTTGTTTTATCGACTCATGTAGCCTCCGGCCTTGAGTTGCGACTTAGGGATAGGAGGAATGGCCGTCATCAGGATCCCGATGGCCATACTGCAAACACCGATGATCCAGCAGCCTTTATGGTAGTTGGTGAAACGGAACTACGAGCGGGACAAGATGATTTCATCAGCATCAGGGAAACGACCGAGGATTGACGGGGGCTTGGATACTCACTGCTACCGAGAACATGACACCCCCAAAGTTTCCGGTTGACCCGACAGCACTATCAAATATCGAACCTTTATCAGTACCGTGCGGCAAGGGCGAAAATCCGGCAAGCAGACTCGACATACCCGCTCATGATTCCGTTGTACTGGGGGTTGACGTGGGGTACCAATGAATAAGCGGCACCGTTGGCAGCGTCCATGAAGATGGCCATGGCTTGGATACCTCCGACGAGCGCGACCGCGTTAGTTGGGTTGACGAGACCGATCCAGGTCAACATGACACCTTGAGCGGTGACCAACTGTGGGGCGAGCGTTCGTGCGATGTCGTCAGCAAAAGATTTAGGACAGATGAAAGGGGCAATCGGTTACTCACGAATCCATACCACAACTGCTTAGACTTGGTTCCCCACCTGGGCGAGACGGCGCCGTAGATCCGGTCCGACAGGAAACCTCCAAGCGGACGACAGACCACGTTGAACGCTCCGAAGGCGGCGGCGACCTGACCCGCCTTGGTCTGGCCCCATCCGGGGAACTTTTGTTGGTACCAAGAGCTGAGGATGGCTGCGAGAGCGAGCTCCCCTCCGAATGAACAGGCGTAGGGCGCGGCCAGCATGAGCGTTTGAATGCAGCAGAGGGCTTTGATGGAATCCTTCAAGCTGGGCTTGGGTAGGGCTTCCATCACCAGTACGGGCTCTCGAGGGGATTGAGCCTCATCGTCTTCAAGAGCGGCTACAGTGACCGTAGGTTCTTTGGATCGCTTGTCATCCTTGCCGTCGTTAGATGGTTCGGAGTCCACTCGATCCACACCAGATGAAGAGGGGGAGGGAGAGGTCATCTCGACAACGGTCGAAGTGGCGTTGAACCGATCCTCCCATTTGCCGGTAGGAGTGTCGTCGCACAAGAAGTAGGATCCAGCGGCGCAAGCCAGAAGCATGATCGTAGGGACAACGAACGAGACTCGCCAAGCCACGTGAGAGGTTCGGCCCATCCCTCGGATACTGTCGTAAACCGCGGGCATCATAAAGTAGGCAACGGCGCTACCACCGTTTCCCCATCCACCAGCGAACCCGTTCGCTGCAAGGCGAGAGAAGCAGATCAGGCCGAGCGTCTAGAATTTCGCTGGCAAATTCGGGAGACTTACCGGTACCGACGACATTCTTGTCGTAGAACATGGTGCACCAGTTCAACGTGGGCACAAATGAGGCACCCGCAATCCCGACAAAGAAACGGATGAGCATGAGGCCAGCATAGTTGGTGATTGTTCCGGCCAAAGCGCATGGAATGGCGGCGGCTATAAGCACTCCGGTCACTGCGCAAAACATCATTGTCAGCTCGGGAGCTGGGACGTTCATTCTACCTTGGACCGTGAACTTACTGGTTTTTCTCGGTCCGAAACGATCACAGCACGGTCCAACAACGGCTCTCATGACCATCCCAGCTACCAAGGCGATGATGTTGCTGTTAAGCCACTGCTCGTTGGTGATCTTGAGATCCGCGCGGATGGATTTCGACAAGGGAGAGAAGGAGTACCACGCCGAGAAAGAGCAGCCTGTACGCGAGAGATTGATAACAACATCAGGATGGGTCAGGCTATGGATACCGGCTTTGCTACTCACAGAACGACGCCCAGGCGAAGAAGAACACTCGACCATGCCTATCAAATGGGTTGATGATGGGCAGCTTCTGAGCCTTGCCGTTTAAAGGGTTGATGGGAGGTGCCCGTAAGCAGAATAGGTTCTTCATCTTTGGGTTACCTGCCGCTGTTCGTCGATTTGGTTGAGCGTTTTTACCAGTCCTGAACCGAGTCTGCTGACGTTCCCCCACTTGGAGAGAGGAGGTGGATACATCCCTCTCATATATCTCATATATATGATTCTCCCAATCATATCTTGGATATTCCCCTATCAAGAACGAAGCAGAAATCACTGTCGTCTCTTCCGCTCCGTGACCCTGGAACCCTGGATGGACCGATAGGGGATGGGAAGCCGGGAGCTATTCGGTCAGAGATCAAGATCATTTGGAACGTTAATGTTCCGTTCAGACCCAGCGGAGGGAATTCTACTCTTGGCGCCATCGCCTCCTTCTTATGACCTTCCTCAGAGTGCTCGAGAGCGTTATCTGGGGCTTCCATGGGATCAGGCGGGGACTGGGATGGAGAGATATGGGTGACGAGGCCGAGGCTTATCGGTTTCGCATCGAGTTTCGAGAGATAACACGCGCGCGCGCGCCCCGCTCAGGGCGAGTTTAGCGCGGGAGCAGGTCAGAGATTGTCGATAAGCAATCCGATGATGGCTGATAACCTCGGGCCTCTTGAGACTGCTCTCGTATGGCGTATGGTGTCCGATGGATACAGATGTAATTGAAATGAATTAAATCAGAAGCCCTGACGTGTGGACAGAGATAGACAGCATGGCTTAGGAATCGCGTTGGAGCCTCCGCTTGCAGGAATGCGTTGGTCGCGAAGAACAAAATACTGCGGAACGTTCCAGATCTCCCGGGTACCAGGGTCGATGCCCATCAATTGCTGATCGAGTCCCCAGGCACACACCGTTGCCTCGAAACTCGATGTCCGGTATCGTGAGATTCGTTAATGGATCCGGGGTCAGGTCGTTCCAGTACAGGCACCGAGACGCGAGACGTGCCCCTTTATAACCATTCAAACATGTCGGCTTGATCAGATAAAGGTATTCGATATTGTCTCCGGGGCTGTGCTTACTTTTGGCACGTAGCACCAGACTTAATTCCCAAGTCTGAAGCTGTTGGATGAGTCCAGGTCATCCTGTTCCGCTCTCACAAAGTCACTCGCTGCGGACCTGTGAGCGAAATGTCACAAAATGCTGACTTTTGGGAGAAGCTCAGTGAAATACACATCAGACCACATGCGCAACATCAAAACCCCGTCGACAACCACCGGTCGTCGGTCGCACCGGGTATTTGGTCTTCTTTGACTCGGATAGGTCCACAGCTCGTACCGGGGGAATGGAACACTCCTTGGATCCCCTCACAATCTCAGGCAATTGGTGAACCTCGGTCAGGCGTTCAGTGTATACCTCCGTCCCGCCAGGAGCGTCGATCAGCGTCTGCGAGCATGAATAATGACTATCTGCGACCGAGATAGTAAGGAGACGCGGGCCGCCGGGTCAATTCAACTGACTCTACAATAAGTCGAAGAACTCAACCTAGAACCATGAGTTTCACTCCTTCTCTATCGATGAGCTACTGATTCGTACCATTGACCTCATTTTATGTCACTTCATGCTCAAATTTCTGATAGCCAGTACAAATATATGCTATGTGACACCAGCTTACGCGCCTCCCGCTCTCACACTCTACCTACGGCCCCAGCCCTGACCTCCCCACAAAGCGTCTTCAAAATCTCTCCCGCTTTTACGAAATCCTCCCGTTCGAGGTAAATCTGCCCGCTGAGCCTGACCCACATCGATCCTTGGTATTCCATAGTGGCCATGAACGTATCGTACCGCTCGACCATGGTCCGGCCCAACCAATCTACGATCTGAGCGGACGAAACCTCGGCCTTGTTCGGCTCGACCGAGGCTTTAACGTCCAGGACCAATTTGCCCTCTGACGTGAGTGCGAGAGGGAGAAGCACGTTGGCCATGGGAGAATCTTGGGAGGGGACGTCCATCATCCGAGTGCCTAGCGTCGACGCTACGATCTCAGAACCTTCCCAGACCAACTCTCGACAGTACCTCCTGATCTTATCTTCACCTCCGCAGACTTCTTTCCGGAACCTCACCGCTTCGGGCACACAATATATGGCCGAATTGTCCAAGGTCCCGTAGTATGCAAAGTTGCTGATATACGCCGAGTCTCCCAACCCTGAGTCTGGGCGCGGCACGATGGTGGGTTTGATAGATGTGTCTTTCGGGACGAGGCCGAACGAAGTGGGGAGGGTTGATCGGATTAGGTGTTGATTGCGGACGGGAACGTAGAACATGGCGACGCTTTTAGGCACGTAGAGCCATCTGTAGGGATAGGTAGTAGTGATGAGCTGCAAGGCCGCAGGACCAAACGATATAGCGATATAACCTGGTAGGCTTGGACTCACTTGTGACAGTTCGAAACGAAGAAATCCGGATCGACCTCTCCCAGCTTCAACTCGATCGCTCCAATCCCATGAGCCCCATCCACACAACTGAGTACACCTTCTTCTTTGCAGATCCCGACGAGCTTCTCCCAGGGCCACCTCACCCCGGGCATGGACGATATCGAATCGAATACCGCCAGCTTGACCCGTCTCTTTCCCCCGGACTCGGAGGAGACGTCCTGGATCTTCTTTCTAAACCCGGAGAGGAGGTCAGATTCCGTCATCGGTTGATTGAAGACGTAATGCACCGTCTCTGCCGGGGTCGTCTCGCAAATATACTGCACGGTCTTGTTGGCCGCGCCATAGATGGTCTCGCAAGTAAGGATAACATCCCCCTCTTCCCATTCCAGGTTCCTGAGGACTATGTTTGTTCCGGTACTAGCGTTTTGAACGAAGGTAACCGTTTCCAGTGGTGCTTGGACCAGATCGGCGATGGCTTGACGGGCTCGGAGGAGAGGGGCGGTAGAGTTGAAACGGACAAAGTTGTCGGGTTGAGATTCTTGAGCAAGTTGGTAGTCGAGAAAGACTTTGCGGACGGATTTGGGGTAGGTGCCGTAGGATCCTACGTATGGTAATCTCTACTCGGTCAGAAACGATCCATTAGGAGTTTCGAAGATGTGAATATGAACTTGCCGTGATTCAGGTTAGTCCACTTCTCGTCAAAGAGAAACTCGTCTCGCATCGTATGACCGAACGACTTTGTTTGCTTCGTTTCGGTCGTCATGTCGAGAAGTTCGGGGCGACGCGAAGGTGCTCGATACTTGGAGAGGGTTCAGATTCTGGTCCAGGGGCGAGCCTCAAGTATGCTATCTCGAGATGAGTGTTATATGATCTTTCTCTCTCGAGGTTCAGGGGAATTGCTTGAAATGAGGTCGAGTCATATGGTCGGACATGACCGACAGAGAGGAATCCTCTCGCAACTTCTCGAGAACCCGAGCAATTCACCGATCACCGAAACAATCGGTATCTCGTTCAACAACCACAATGAGTGACAAGGTCATCTCGTTCGAAACCAGTGAAGATATGGGCATGGCGTTCAATGGATACTTGGCTTCTGTGACACTGGATACAGAGCTCCTCTCTGTAGATCTTCAAGTCGACGCGCCTACTGCACCTTCTTCCCCTTGACATCCCTCGACCCCACCCACCCGAGCTCTTCCGCCAACCTCGTCCGAGTCCCCAAGAGTAACGAGATGATCCCCTTGAATACGGTCACTTGAGGGGCGAATTGACCGACGAGGGCTTGGTAGGACTTGTATGCTGGGTACTATATATTATCGATAACAACCGTCATCCGTCAGAGATGGTTCCTTCACTTGTAAGGCAGAGAGAGCGCGAATGGGAAACGGCGGCGACTTACCTTCGGCGCAGTGATACTCTCGGTGAACCACGTCGAAGCGATAAACAAGCAAGAATACTACCGTCCAGACCAGCCCATGCAGGTTCAGCTACCGAACCTCCTGAGGTCGAGATTCGAAATCCCGGCTCCGACTTACGGCAATTGCAGGTATAATCGGACTAGGCAAGACCATGCCCCTCTTCTCCCCGACCGTCAAGCCCGCTCCAACAGAGCCAAAGCTGGCGCTGAGCAGAGGGAACAGCCCTTGTAACGCCCAAAACGTCATCTCACAGGCGAAATTCGGGTGTCGGCTCCATGCCCAGAGTCCTTTGGTGATGAACCCCCTCTGGGCGTCTTTCGGGGTCCAGGTGATATCGAACGGGCCTTGTTTGTAGGTGGTCACGTTTCGAGGGATGTTGACATTGATGTCGTCCTGAGATTGGGACTTCTTGACATGTTGTTTATACGTCTGGAAGTGATATTGTTGGTTGTCGGCCATGAACTGGGTGTAGATCGTCAGAAGCGTCAGGACGGTCAAGATGACGTCGGTAGCGCCTAGTCCGTAGGGCAAACCGAGAGCTGAGCTGGATTGAGTGGGACGAGGAGTGAGGAGGACGTTCTGGTAAGGGAGGGACATGGCTGCTAGGAGGAGCGACTGGGCGATAGCTATGGTATGAACAGGATGAGAGCAGGATCGTTAGTTCCGGGACCGCTCAGTATGAACCGGACTGGGCTGACCGATGAAACCGAGGTGGAACAACTGGAACAACCAGGTGGGCAACTGGTCTCTCCAGATCTGCCAGCGATAGTCCTCGTCGAAGCTGCCGGAATCAGACAAAGACATAGGAACGGAGGTTCAGCTTTCAGGCTCGTCGAGATCGATTTCGCCTGACAGAGCAGAGAACGCATATCGAGCTTACAAGTTGTATAGCCCTCTTCGCGCTGTATGGGCGGTCAGACGGACGCCCCATACGACCTGCGCATCATCATCACATACGACACAGACGAACAAGGATCGTGATTAGCTCAGGCATATCGTATCGATCCGGGAACCTTACCATCAAGCTCCACATGAGACATAGCCTAGGGAGATTGTGTAGGAACGCCTCGCCATTATTATTGAACAGGGGATAGAGGACAAAGTGCAGGGAGTAGGCGATCGGTAGAAAAGTCCATTGACGATCTAGATTTCACGAAATTTCGAGCCAAGAAGGATGACGTCAGACCCGGCGACCCAAGTAGGCTGTACAAAGTCACTCACCGATCTGGCTGACGTTCCCTGTGACTAGCCCGAGTACATAGGTCAACGTCAAACTCGTCCAGAAAAGGGGCATGATGGTATGAATGCTGTCCGGGGCGTTCTGGTAGTACTCGAAGAACGACCAGGGATTGCGGGCATGGTGGATATGCTGCTGGAGGTAGGCGGGGAAGGATCGAAAGGCGGCCGGTATATAGCTGACGAGGTCGAGTTTGTCCATCTTTGAATGGTGGTGATAGGGTAGGGTGTGGTCCACTCCGAATGTATGGTATGGATGTCGGTACGTCAGGTCAGAGTGATCGAGTGATGTGATCATAATGGTGTGAGAGTGTTTTTGCTGCCAAAAGGTCACGTACGGATCGGCGATGTCGATCGATCGGAAGCAGAAGTCGGAACTCGGAAGTAGATTTCCTGGGAAGCATATTATCAAAAAGGGGTAGCTTAGCTCGCAACTTCCAGTTCGTTCGTCATTCTTCTGCTGCTCGTGTTCCTGTGACCACCCATCAGCTCGAACGGATTCACGTTCGCGGTAGTACACCTCTAGTAGATCTTGCGATCCGAGCAAACTTTCGTTCAAGATGCCGGAGACCTCGAACCATAGCTCGACTTCGCCTCCGAGCGATACGCAGAAGATCATCGCCCGAGGCCATACCGCTATAGAAATAGGTCAATACCTATTACCAAGCAGTCAACCTGTCATCAACACTCTCTCGGGGAAACGAGCGGATCTAGCAAACCAACTCGAGGAAGCTGGAAGACATTTAGAAGCGAGCGAGGACGCCGAGCTCAAGGTTCGGTGGGACTGGAGGCAGCGAGCTGAAGTGGAGGAGGGAGAGGGGGAGATGGTGGACTTGATGAAGGAGAGCGGGATGAGGGGTTTGGATGTCATTGAAGCCGTGTGGGACTGGCTGAGTCTGCAAGACAACGAGAAATCGTCGATCGATCCTAAAGTATGTGAGTAGCTGAATGTATCGGGATGTTCACCTTGCATGCCTGCTGACCGAGCTGGATAAACGGGGGCTCAGTCCTACTCGATTTGACAGAGAGGAGGCACCTACAACGCCTCGTCTCCCTGATCCCCAGTCGATTGATTCTGCCACATATAAATGACCTACTTCGAGCCTCGACCCAAGCCGCATCCTCTATCAACTCTCCTGTCATCTCGTCAATACGGACCATAACCACCCGTCTTCTCCGTCTGATCACCATCCCCTCGGAAGCTCAGAACCAAGATGACAGCCAAAACCAATCTCCATACCGGAGGTCGGACCTCTACATGTTCCTCTCCTCCCCGACCATCATCCCCTTCATCCTGCTCCCACCTCTCATGATAGGCTGGTCACAAGCGTTCCCGCCGGACGTGTTTGCAGAGATAAGGAAGGGCTTTTTGATATACGTCGACAAGGGGCTCGCACCATCTGAAGCTCTGGCTACTTTAGGAGGATTACAGACCATCTTGACGAGCGGTAACAGATCGACGTCATCGTCATCATCAGGTGGTGGTACCGGTGCTGGTGCTGGGGCAGGGGCCAAGATTGTCCCACTAGAAGAAGACCCGATCGTCTACCCGGAATACGCTCGACGGACCGTAAAGGCGTTGATGGGAAGACAGATGGTCCGGCCCGGTGGTGTCGCGGGGTTGCTCGGGAACGTTTTTGGGTTTGGAGAGAGGAAGGATGGCATGTCGGGAGATGATGGTGAGCCCTTTAGAGCGTAGCCTCAAGTATCGCGGGGATGCTGATCTGGCGGGGGGAAAGCAGTGTTAGAGTTACATAAACTGGATTATGTGACAAAACTGTTAGGGATCCCTGTACACGGGATGGACGCTAAGGTATGATACTCCTGCAGATTCTGATTAACTAAGGTCTTGGAATTGCTTACTGATGTTCGGCTTGATTTCGGTCTCAGGCTTATTACGACAACATATTCGAACAACTGCGTCTGATCATCGTCCCGTCTGACCCGGTGAGGGAGCGGAATACGCCTAAACATCACGTCCAGGCGTCGGCATACGTCTTGACCAAGCTCGCGGTGACTTTGCCGTTGATCAAGCGGGAATTGCGAAAGACCCTGCATGAACCTCTGTTTCCGCGATTTGCGGAACTGCCGTATGCGGCCTCCTCGTCTCCATCATCATCGTTGGTGCAAGGATCGGTAGTAGTAACATCGGCAACGCGCATCAATTCCTTGGTTTCCTTGCTTCTCCCGTTACTCACGCTCAATCCGCCACCTCCACCCTTTCTCAATCTCATCATCACACCTATCATCCGCCCGATCTTTCTGCTTTGGCAACATCTGAAGAAGGACAGGACGGCGGATCCGTTGACGAGAAAGGAGATCGAGGACGTGGTCGGTGCTTGGGTGAGGTTGATGGACGTCGAGCTGGTAGAGAATGGGCTCTGGGAGGTGTTACAAGGTGGGAGAGGATGGAAGGGGCTCGGGTTTGGAGGCAGGATGGACGACGAAGAGAAGGTGTTGTTTTGGGGCAGGAATTTTGGTCCTGGTGAGAGCAGAGAGGAGGAGGATATTGGCGCTGCGGTACTTTACGGAAGGTGAGTCGGCGTTGTTTCTGAATCTTGATATCCATCGAAACTGAACAGTAGGACATTGATTGCTAGACCACCACAATCAACGACGGACGACCTCAAGTTTAGTAGCGACCCTGAAGACTTCAACCTGACTACCAAGCTGAACGACCTGCACGTCTCGGATGGTGCGACCGTTCCAGACGCGGGACAAGATTACGATATCTTGCCGGATCTGTCGAGCTTGCAGATGTACCCCGACCCGGAACTGTTGGTTGCTATCATCGTCAGATCCGGGAGAGCCGACCTGTCGAGCAGGTTTCTTATTAGGTGTTTGCAAGCGTATCAGGTCATGTCCGGAGACAACGATGCAAATCCAGAGTGAGCACGGACGCCCTCGAGTGAAAGTACTCAAGCGAGACAGGCTAATGTACTTTGCTACCAGACGGACTCTGATCTTGCTGCAGGTCATCATGCGACTCAGTGACAAAGCGTCCGCCAATTTGGGAAAGGAAGTCCGACACGTGTTGCTATTCATCGAACATGCTCTACGGCCATCTTCGACTGCGGATGAGATCGACTTAGCAGATTCAGATGACGGGGCTGATAGTGACGATGAAGATGCCGATGATGCTGCGGAACCGGCCGCGGCAAACGATGTCGTCAAGGAGGATATCCCCAATCTCGGTCTTGTCGAGACGGCGCTCAACTTACTGGTTGCCACGCTACACGGTCAGTTCCATTGGCGCTTCGAGCTGTAGCTCTAATCGCTGAAGAGGTTCCGGTATACAGGTGACGAAACCATCACATCGGAAAGCCAACCCATCCTGAAACCGATCGAAAAGCACGTGGAAGCCTTGTTGAGACATCGATTGGCCGATATCCGGCAAGCCGCGCGGGCTGCTTCCCTGCTTCTCGCCGTTCGAAAAGCTACTCCGGGATTGGCATCGAACGCTTCAGCTACAGACACTGCTCAACGCTACCAAGAATCCTTACGGTTGCTTCAGGATCCGATCTTGGCCGTGCGAGCACACGGCCTGATAATTTTACAAAGCATCGTACGCGCTCCAGACTTTGACCGGGCCTTGACGCCGGCGATCATGGACATCTTTCTTTCGGCGATCCGGGACGATGATTCATTCATGTACCTCAACGCCGTCAAAGGTCTTTCGAGCTTGGTAGACGGGCTCGGACGGGAAGTCATGGCTAGTATCACGTCGGCCTATGTCGAGGGCTTTGAGCGTATCACGGAATTCAAGCCGGACGAATTGGACAGGCGGTTACGCCTAGGAGAAGCTCTACAGCAATCTATTCGGCGTGCCGGTACCGCCCTCTCAGCGTACGGTGAGTGACAATGTTCCTGTAGCCGCTTTTGGCTGCCTTGTTGAAGACGTTATTTTCATTTTTCAGTGGAACCGATCGTACCTCGGTTGTTGCGGGTCTTTCCCAATGCGAGCCTGCCCACCGTGATACGCAGCTCATCCCTCTCCATCCTGGCAACATGCGCCGACACCGAATGGCGAGCGTTATTACCATGGTCAAACGACCTGATCGGGTCGTGCTTGGATCTTTTACGGCTGGAAAGCGTCTCGCAACGGCGGAACCAATCAAATAGCATAGAACCTGACAACAACCGCGAAAGCGAAGATAATGACCAGAACGGAGAAGAAGACGACGACACACAACGACCCAATGACGAACCTACACGAAATAACGACAGTAAACATCCAGCCTTACGACGAGCTGCGGTCGTCTTTCTCGGCTTGATGTTCGACTCCGTCGCCAAGGCGGCAGCGCAGGACTCGGACAACGACATTCATTCGCTACAACCGGAAATTAGGATGAGCATTCGACCAGCAACCAGCCAAAATCTTCCCGCCCCGGTCGATACGCACCTCGTCCAGTCGGCCAGGACGGTCCTCAACTACATCAAACACACCGACGTTGATAGTCTGACGTCTCATCAGGCTGGCGAAGTGCTGCAGATACTGCGACACATCCCAGCGAGCACATGAGAGTGATCGGAGGAAACCTCTTTGGATAAGGGACTGATGAGGGCTACCCTGGGCCGTAACACCAACTTCAGAGGGTTCACCTGTAGTGCATTTGTATATTAGACGTGATCACTCGTCTCGAGAAGTGCATAGCTTTGTCCCGTAGATGACGAAAAGCACCGCACGGCTGCTTCCGGCCGGAAGCAAATCGAACGTTTGTATATAAACGACCACTACTTATTGTAATCTGACCATCTGATCAAGATACACTCACCGACTCTCGATTTCGCCACCTCCTCAGATCAATCCAGTACACAAGCATGTCCTCGGAATCCGCTGGGCTTGCCCAACAGGAGGCACCTGCGAGCCATCTTACCTCGAACAACATGGCGCACGTCGAAGACGATGTCGCCGGCAATGATCAGGTCGAGGTGGTCTCGACGTCGCCTGAGCCGTCCGCGGCCCCACAAGGTCTCCCTGCGATCCATCCTGTCTTTCAAACGATTGCCGCTACTACGGATGATATCGTTGAGATAGACCGAGCCGATCAGAATAAAGGTCAACTGCACACCGGTGGCTACACCTATTTCGTCGACAAGACTCTTCCTCCTGGTAGATACAAGATCGTACAACACACTCACAAGGGTGTGATCTACTCCAGGGAAATCCATCTTCCTCTTCGATACATAGGTGGAGATGCAGACACCCGCCCTTACTGGCATATCAGCGAGGAAGAGCACAAAGCCCGCTCCACCCAGATCAACGCGGTGCCTGTTGCGGAAGGAAACGCTGTGGCAGACGTCTTACAAGACCAATCCACTTCATTGAAAGGAAAGCGCACGGATCAGGCAGCTTCGAACACAGAAGCGAAGCACCCAGATCAGACCACGTCGAGAGCGGTTACCCTTTCTGCCTCATCTCGCGAGGCTCGCTTCGCGAGCTACCTCAGCTCGCTCGAACTGCAAGTCATGGAGAACTGCAGCCACGACGTCTGTTCCACCGACGAGAATCAACTCCGCCTATACTTCGAACAGGTGATCGACGAGCTCATCGATGTTCCAGGCGAGGGGAAGAAGATCTTGCGATTCGGGTCGGAAATTAACTTCGAGATGACCGCGGTTCGCCGCACAAGACTGGCGATGCACGTGCCGGATGACTATGGGCAATTCTTATCTGGGAAAGGAAGGTCAGCCGACCAAGGGCCCCGCGTCCAAAGCAGAGCAGGAAGCATCAAGTCGTCTCAACGTCCTTCGATTGCTGGAGATGTCAAAGCTTCGGGCGTGGCGACAGGCCCTCAGAAGAAGGGCACGTCCGTCTCGCCTGGTCCGTCTTCCAATAGCAACCACTGCATTTCCGATTTTGTTCTCTTCTACAACATACGCGTTCTCCGAAAGAAAGACACGGTACAGATAGGTCCCCGCATCGCTCTGTCTGCCGAGGTCAAGCCCATATCAAAATCGCCTAGTGAAACCAGGAAAAATCATCACCAAGCTCTGTCGCAATTGCGAAAATCGTACAGCTTGGATGGGTGCACTCATCAACTTCTGTTTCAGGGAAGTGGGAATTTCGTGTGAGTTGCGCTTCGTTGATCAGTTTGACGACCTGTCCGGAGGGTTGATGTCTTGCAAAAACAGCCTCTTCGTCATGTCAGGCTTCAACGAAATCACGGCATTCTTTCCGGACGCCGACGACCTCCCACAGGCTCCGATCTCCTACGACGAGTACATTCGAATCGCCCCCTTTCTCGATATCTGCTGTCTCCGCGATGAGTCGGACAGAAAACACCTGTTCGACTTCATAAACCAGATCGGAGAGAAGGTCTTATGGTCCTTGCAGACTCAAAGTGTACCGAAGGACACGTTTCCTAGCGTCAAGCCTAACCCGTACGTCGGAACGGCTGCAATCACTATTTCCAACGTTACTCTGGAGAAGGTTTTCAATGTCGATGTAGCAGATGACGGGGATTCAGGCCAGGATCTCAATCCAGCTACTGACGGCCAGCGGGGTAAGAAAAGGAAATTGGACGAGGACGGGCCTGGTGGTTCCTCGAGTAAAAAACAGAAAGAAGACCAGAGCAACGGAGGGCAAAGGGATCAGGAGCAGAGCAAGGACGCAGATGCGAATCCAGGCGATGCCGACATGGGTGGTGAACCACCCAACACCCAGCGGCACGAAGCTGGTATGCCTGATGTGAGACAGTACATCCCCGTGTACAATGGCTCCCCACATACCCTTCTGGAAAAGAAATTCGAGTATTCCAGCGTTGGACATCCTGGAGATGATGCACCCGCTTGCTACAGCGAGATTGAAGACGAAATCCCACCCAATGAATCCGTGATCGGATGGGTCAGCGAAACCCTTCCACCGTTTGACGACCCACAAAACCCCGGACTTGCCACCGGTCGGAAAGGGGAATGGTGCACGTCGGCCGGCGAATCCGAAAATTCCACGCTTAGCAAAGAGGCTTCGATTGGGCAGCACAAACGAAGGGGCACGCTGCGACAGAAAAGGCAATGGCGGGGACGCAGCAAACTTCTTCGTCCAGGTAAAGCCAGCAAAAGGGCTTCGCGGTTGGAGATGGATCGCGCTGTGGCGACTTCCGAGCGTCAGGGTCGACCCGTTGACATCGGTCCGGGCCATTGCGCCAAAAGCCAGCCCGAGCTGCTCTCGGATACCGATCGCTGGGTACACAGCGAGGGTCCGGCTGCGTTGAACGAAGTTCGCATCGACCCAGGAAGAAACAATCCCACCGAGTCTGGGCCGCGTGCCGATGACGCTCAGCCCGCTCGAGCTGAACCGAGATGTTAAACAATCACTAGTCGCATCGACGAGAAGGCTCCGAAACCGCCGCTACTGGATCCACAATCGAGAAGAGACTGGTCAAATTCACGAAAACAAGAAGAACAAATTTTCCCCACATACGCTCATATATACGACTGGTACCATACAACGACGCACACACGACACCAGCAACAAGAACTTCTTTCACGACATCCAAGTTATTTACGCCGTCCGATTAGATTCATTACGTCTTTCCCCTATGTTCTTCTTTGACTCAAAAGAGCAGCCAGTTTACGATGTCATCCGTCTTCTTTGATCTTATCGTCTGACTATGCGTGCGACCAGCCCAAAGATTCTCTCACTTTTTTTTTTGCTTTGCTATCGCAATTTGATCTCGGCAGTCTGGTACAAGGGAGTGATGCACTCCACGTCCTCTTACACTCTGTGAGCAAGCAGCATCCTCCGGATTGATACAGCCAATTGGAAACTGGCACCTTCCTCGCATCTTTCCCCGCCATTCGACCGTCCCGCTATTCATAGATGATGTCATGACGTCGCCCTCCGTCCGCAGTATTCGAGCAGAAGCAAGGAATCACGTCCTCCGGACGCCCACCGCCGGTCTCCCCACCCCTTGTCCCTTGACCTTGCCCTTGGTCCAAAACAACCTGGCTAGCATGATGGACGTAAAGAAGGACAGTGAGAACCTATGTCCAGACCAGAGACGACATGAAGCGATATAACAGGTAAGCGGGCCAAATCCGAGATTCATAGAAGGTGATTAGGCGATACATGGCGAGAGATGAAGGTGATGAGGGTTTGAACGGGGAGGATGTGTGCAGACGAACTCACCAAGTCCCGGCGTACATCGCGTGTTGGTTCCGCAATTCCACAGCCAACGGTCGACCGACGGGAATTCCCTGTTGAATCAACTGGGAAGCCGGAGTTTCTCCCTCTACAGTCGATCATCGAGCATGCAGGAAAAAATGCCACACGTTCAGCTGATTGAAAAGGCGAAATACTATGATTTTGACCTGGCCACCTCATACGTACCGTAAATCTCGTCGACCAAGACCCCCTGGACCTTGTTCACCCCCTTGCCCTCTACCCACTCTTTCATCGCTTCCAGATCGATGTAAAACCACTCGTTGTTCTCCTTGTTGTTGTCTGGTGTGAAAGCCGGTTTAGCCCCAGCCTTGATCTCCGAAGGCGGACGCAAGAGGGTTTGGATGTAAAGGCTCTTGGTCTCGTTGGAGATGGTGGGTACCGTCTCTGAAGAGGTTTGGACCGAGGGGGAGAAGAGGGGGACGAGGGACGGGTTGAGACGGTATTCCTGTGCGCGGGCGGTAGAGATGAAGCCCCTGTTGACGAGGATCGGGGTCATGGATCCGTCATCCACTGAACCGTCTGTGGACCTTGCGTCGAGTCTGTTTGATTCGGATAGGAGCGCTGCGGCTTCTTCTGCCTCGTCATCTTTTCTCCAAAAGCTAAATGACGACTCCTTCTTCTTCTTGTTCTTCAAGGTAGGAGCGGACCCCGAGGTATTGCTATCGACCGGGGTACGGATGAAGGGCTGGATGAGATGGTATCCGCCTGCACCTTCGTACACTCGAGGTCCGACGAGCATGATCGGTTGTGCAAAGTGGCCGTGTAGGATGACTCTTCGGAACGCATAATCCGACAAGGCTTCAGGACTGTCGAGGACGAGGACGAGGACAGTGATCAGATTCTCGAGGAATTTTGAGTGATTCGAGATTCTTGCGGTCCGGGACTCACTTGATCTCGTTGGGCAAGACCATCGGATCCTTGCTCAAATTCCTGTCGACATCGGCGATCAAGCCCAACTTCCACTTGAGTCGCTGAACCTGCCAGACCCCCAGGTAAGCCGTCAAGATCGGAACACAGCACAGGACCGCTGTCGTAGGCGTCAAACGGAAGCCCGATCTTGACCCTGAGCTGGAACCAGACGAGGACGAGCCGGATGATGATGAGGGAAAGGTCGACATGGTCCGGGATCGAGGTGCGAACGAGCGGGTAGCCGGTCGGACAGGTGCGGCCGTGGCGGTGAGACGATCGAACGTCTGTCGCCATGGCGATGTACGGGAACGGAGTGATGCCATGGTTTAGTTATCGTCGAGAGGCAATCTCAGACCTCGAATGTCTATGCTACTTGATTCGATCGTATCCAGCAAGAGATGATGATGGTTGAGGCTCGAGAGGTCTATCGATCGGAGGAGGGATCGACCAAAGTCAAGTCGAGTCCAATGATTTTGCCGAGGGCCGGTCACGCGGGTCGAGAGCGAGTGACTTAGGACAGGAGGGAGTCGCAAAAGTTGAGGATGCGAGTAGATCATCATGGTGTTATGCGTGACAACAATTGCTCGACTCTATAGATTCTACATCGACAAGGCAAGGCATCAAGTGCAAAGAATTCGACGACATGCCGAGCCCGCCTGCGACCCTCTATCCGACGGCGGTGACGGCCCTCCCATCCCGACCCTACATCCTGTCCCTGACCCCTCACCTCACCTCGACCTCTTCCCACCTCTTGCTCTCCCATCCTTCCCCAGAGATCACCATCGTCGACGCTCAGACCTTTCAACTCGTCGACAAGCTCAAGGGAGGTCATTCCAAGGACATCAGCTGTGTGATCACGAGCACGAGCGCGAGCACGGACGAGATCGTGCAAGGCGGGTTTGCCAACGAGGGAAATATCTGGAGTGCGGGGGTAGATGCTAATGTCGTCAGGTGGGACGAGAGATCCAGACGACCAGGTCAGACCATCAAAGGTGAGTAACCGAGTGGCTTGTATACCCGCTTGAGTGAAAGGAGCAGTCGCTCATCTGGATCTCTTCCCGTCGCAGCGAACATCCGAGGTCGAGGACTTCCCTTGCTCTCCCTAGCAGTCAACGAACCGTCCAACCTCCTTGTGACGGGAACGGAACTCGTCTCCTCCGAATCTCATCTGATATTCTACGACACCAGATCTCCCTCCAATCCGCTGTACACGCATAGCACGACCCATAGCGACGACATCACCTCGCTCACCTTTCTCCCACCTTCTTCCTCGTACGCCCCCGCCTTGCCAGCGACGTCGAGCTCTGAGAACCCTACGCCCGGGTTGCTGTTGTTGAGCGGGAGCACGGACGGATTGGTCGCGTTGACGAACCCTAAAGAGGCTGACGAGGAGGAAGCGTTTTACGGGGCCGAAGGATTGGACGGGTCGGTCGCCAAGGCTGGGTGGTACAGGGCCGCTGTGGACGAGCCGGACAAGAAGAAGAAGAGGAAGAATGGAGGAAAGAGGCAAGGGTTGAAAGTCTGGGGGAGGAGCGATATGGATAGTGTGGGGACTTGGGAGATGGGCAGAGGGGAGACGGGCGATATCGAGGTGAGTATCAGGGACTTTATCAGGAACGCATCCTTTGGCCTCGAAAGCTCATCCTCTCACTACCCTAATACTACATAGCTCCAAAACTCCAACCTCCATCCGACCCAGACATTTAAACACCTCACACTCTCACAAACGCCTCAATCCTCCAGCCGGTCGCACATCGTCTCCCAAGACCTCGAGACGGCCGAGGAAGAACAAGAACGTAAACGTTCTGGCAAAGTCAGGGTCGATTATCTGATCGACGTCATGAGCACCCTGGGTGTGAACGCCGGGTCTGGGGAAGCTATCGCCGCCGTGGGGAGCAACGAGTGAGTCGTTTCAGGTCCCGTCCGGAATACCTCTCTTGTGCTGTAAAGTTGGCGGAAAGCTGATGCGAGAGCGATCCATATCGCTGTTTGCCTATTGTAGAGGAGACATCGTCCTCATGCATCATCGAGCCGCAAAAGAAGGTCTAGGTGACTATCAACCGTCGTTGTTCCTCCGTACGCCCCCGGAAGGCAAGGGAGAGGGCCATCGGGACGTCGTCAGGTGCATGTGGCACGATGTCAGGGTAAGCCACAGATTTTATCACCGTGCGACAGGTCACAGAGATTGATTCAATTCCTCTAATCACCCAGTCTCAAGTGCTCTACACTGGCTCAGAGGACGGTATCCTCGCCGGCTGGTCGCTCCCGCCTCTGTCCGAGATCCGGACGGGTGACCGGGGGCATGATGAGGATCCAGGCGATGGGAGGGAAGATGCCGATTCGGACGACGAGATGGACGTCGACCAAGATGAAGAGGACGAAGAGGAGAGCGACGAGGAGGTCGTATTCGGTCGAAGAAGAAGCGGGAAGAGGGAGGCGAGCGATGTACTAGGCGCGTCTGATGGGAAAAGAAGGAGGGCCGCGTTCTGATCTGTTGTCCCAATGTCAAGGGTTTACCTCAACATATGGTAATGACAATGCGCTGCAACAAACTTTGTTGACCGGCTTACTGCAGTTTGTGACTACGACTTCAAAGACACCATATCGCTTCGGATCATCTAGCTGGGCAGACGCACAAAATTGACTGGGGCGTCTTGTGATTCTTCCATTCAGTTTAGCATGTCCCGTTCGCGCTCGACGAAGAGGACATGGGTAGACTATGGACCTGTGGAGGGCATGACTTTTCGCGGTATGTCAGACTATCGTGCCGCCTGTTTTTGCGGACGCGGTACAAGATCACATGATCTGGTATCGCAATGATGGTCGCCCTGCTCCCGTGATCGCGAGCGAGAACCTCCAGGTGATCCGCTCCTTTCATGCGGATGGCTTACATTCTTGATTCTCAGCAATTGTGTTACATGTATATATATATGGGCGTACTTGCGTCGACGCTAGAGAGGCTGCTTTATCGCCCAGGACTGAACGGCGACAGTCAAACAAACATCAGTCATGCATCATACTAGACGGGACGCCTCGCGGCATCGGCAACGCCGCAATGTCTCACGGTATCGTGAACCCCGTCACAAGCGGAGCACGATGTTCAGGCTGAGGAACAACGGAGATGTTCTGGTTCTGTACTCTACATCTATAGATGATCCACAGACTGGGAGAGCGGTCTACCCCATTCGATACTACATGATCCGACACGAATGGGTCCTCCGTTACGAACGGTTCCTCAGGACCGAAAGCCGTCCCGATAGACGAAGAGCCGGTAGACGAAAGGTGACCCGAAATGCCTGGCCGTCTTTTGATGATGTTGCAGGACTGCAATCTGCACGGGGTCTGGAAGCAATCGACTGCATCTTGGAAAGCCAACTGTTCAAATCTGAGAGGTTCCAAGCGGTTTGGAAAGAAGATGCATTGAATGAGGACCTTGGTCAGATGGTGGACGGGCCAGGCAGTTACCGCTTCCGGGCCAGGTTTTGGTCAGAGAATGGACCTCGGGAAGAATGGTGGGAGGGAGACAAGCAAGAGCAGATGTGGATGCAGAAGAACCTCAGCATGATTGATCAAACGGAGAGTACTCGTGACTGCACGGCGACTTGTTTGGGCTCGGTTTCCAACTTGCCTCTGGACATTTCCACAGGATTTCCTCATGACAGCTGCGTCACCTCAATTGGCGTAAGTCGCAGTGCTAGAACTTATTTAAGCGATGGTTCGAAACTAATATGGTATAATCAGACCTCAAACTCCACGTCCGTATCTGTTGTCAGACCAAGTTATCATCTCATCCATTACCATGATGGGTGCAAGCAGGTTCATAATCGAGAGCTGGAGAAGGAGATGCGGCAAGCTTCGCTGGCCAGCTCTTCAAGGTGAGTTAGACAGGCTCTGAGTTCTGGTTCACGAGCTGATCATTCCTTCTATACCCTTTTATCCGAAATCTCACTGACACCCAACAAAGCCCGTATACGACTGCCTTTCCGGGCTCCGCGTACTCTTGCTGAGAAGTCGTTAGATTCGCGCGTGCTATCCCACGGCTTCCTCCCCTGCCAGAGGTCATCATTGTGATTTCTTGTACATGGTCATGACTTCATGACTGAATCGTTCTTCCATTCTGTACAAGTTCTTGATCTGTTGCTGCATCGGTGCCCGGGTTCGTTTCGTGTGACGTCCCGCCCTCCTTCTTTTGCTGCGGAATCATTTTTTCGGGTGTTTCATCTTATTTTTTCATCCGAAAAAATAATCCGCGAACAAAGGAGAAGATCGGGTCTAAGGACTCACAAACAGACGAGATTCGATGACGATGTTGATGATGATGATACGCAACAGTTGCACAGTTGTCGACATCATCGACGATAACGATTTCATCCAAGTCTGGGGACATACATCATAGCTGACCGGCCTAAACATGTGGATGCGGCCCATCTTCCTTGTTATCGTCGCCTGTTTTCTGGCCTGGCACCCCGTCCGAGGCTTACCTCAGGTCGAAGAACCCCAGTATCTCACCCGATTGAAAGCCAAGCTGTTCGATGAGAGGCTGATCACCCTAGGTTCTGGTGAGTCTCGACCTGTACACACCCGTCCCTGCTGAACCCAAGCACGGCTCGGCTGACCAGGTTGAATTGTCTCGACCACCCAGCCATCGAGAGAATCGAATCGACAGAAGAAGGGCAAGCCTTCCTCTCCTCCTTCTACTCGGACGAAGAGTACACGATCTTTGCTCCGACCGATCAGGCGTTCAAAGGGTACGGCCTGGACTCTTCGAATATCCGGAAGGAGAACGCTTATTGGCTACAAGATGTCCTCAAGTATCATGTGAGTCGACGTCGCAGCGGAAGAAAAGGGCTCAGGCTAATCAGAGGGGGTGGGATGGACTGAACTGTGTGATAGATCACTACCGGGAAGACTCGCCTTTCCGAACTTCCCCCACCTCGATCTCATACGATCCTCCACACTCTGTATCACAACTACACCTCCGCCGCACCCGATGCGAGACTGGACCAGACGTACGGTTTCTTACCAGGCGGGGACACTCGGGTGCTCGTCCTCGAGAAAGATGTCGGGGATGCGGGAAATGCGTTGATCAGGGGCGACACTTGGAACGTGACTACGGTTGACAGGGGGGTCGATTGGGAAAATCTGTTGATCCAGAAGGTGGACCGGGTGAGTCCAGCTCGATGTCGTCTCCTTTCTGGCGTTCTAGTCCACCCTCGTATACCCGACGCCCAGCTTACCCACCACAATTCTCTTGACATAATATCACGTCCCGTCGCCATAGATCATCCCCTTCCCATCCCCATTCCTAACAACCCTCTCCGAGCCTCTCATCTCCACAACGCCCGTCGGCCTAACAGTCTCTCGATCTCTCATCAACCTCCTGGATGCGCAAAATGTTTTCAATGACGCCTCGGGGATCACGGCGTTCTTGCCCGTGGATGAGGATGTTGCTGGGATCTTGGGGGCGTTGGTAGGGAAAGATAGAGGGTTACAGGGGAATATGCTGTTCAACCACGTCAGTTCTGGCCCTCTCGATGTTCAACTTTTGCTATAGAGCTCCGTTCAAGCTGACATCATATTATGTCCCACATCCGTATGCTATCTAGATTATTAATGGCTCGATCCAATACTCCACCGACCTCCTCCCCAGTAAATCACTCATCACCGCCCGGGGGGAGACCATCAACTTTTTCCAGAACGACACCGGCACGTACGTGTCTAGCGATAACAACGTCACTGCGAACGTCCTCCGTACGGATGTGATTACTAGTAATGGTAAGCCTGCTCCGAGCTCTATTTCTCTTGCGGATCACCTGCGAGAGCTAACGGTATTGCACCGATATCGCTTGTTTTGGGTACCTTTGGGTTGTTCAGGGGTGATCCATGTGATTGATAAGTTCATGGCCAACCCGGATTACAACGGTCAAGCCGCCGCTTCTGCGTGAGTCCAGGTCGGATTCCTCTCACATTACCGTGTAGTGTTCAATTTGACCGATTTGCTCCGTCTTCCGTATGGCTGGATATGTGATCAGCTACTCGTCGGCTGTTCAATCGGCCTCGGCTGCTGCAGCGACGGTGACAGTGCCTGCTGAAGCGACCGCCACGGCCAGGCAAAGGAACAGGGCCTCGTCCTCTCGTGCCCAGCTTGACCTAATCATCTTGAGCACGACCGGCTTGATGATCTTGGCTGGTGTTACCATTTTGGTCTGATGATAGCCTACAATTGACAGCGACAAGACGAGAGAACTGCCTACAGTACTGCTGTGTAACGAAACACGATGACCAGGATACCATAATTACCGCCAGGGAGACCAAAACGACATGAGCACTCGACATGTACATATATAATCGTGATTCATCACGAAAGGCAACGAAACGCGACACTTGCAAAGCAGAAAGAGACTAAGAAACCCCTGGAGCCGGTCATTAACACTCGAAACAGACGGAATGGGAAGAAGAAACCGAGACATATAGATTCCGTGATATATTCTGGCGACCGATAGTTTGCGCCGCCATACTCGTTAAACGTCAAGAGCCTGTTGGTCCGATACGTAATATTGTGATGTGACTTTGTGTTTCTTTCACTCCTTGTCGGCTCCAGGCTCGGCATCATCGCCGTCCTTGTCCTTGCTGTCCTTGTCATCCGTCCCGAGCTCCTCCAGGTATCCCTCCGGATGGGGGATCTTGTAGTGAGTTCTCACGTTTGCAAATACCTGCCGCGAAATCGTAATAAATCAGCAAAGATAGCACGAGGGCAGCAATGGCGACAGTATACATACCTTGAGCAACTTGCGTCGAGCACCAAGAGCGGCAACGCCCATGTCCTGAAGCTTGGCATCGTTCATCGACACGATATCCTGCCACTTTTCACCTTGGAAGTTGGGAGTGTATTTCTGCATGTGGGACGAGATTCTTGATCAGCAAGCCTTCTCTGTTGTCTTCCCGTTGCTGGCACGCAAACCACTCACATGCAACCTCAACACCCTCAACCAATAAGCAACGTCCTTGAGAACCCTCTCATCGACGTCATTCTCTCCAGCGACACCCGCTCCAGCTCCCGCCCCACCTCCAGCGCCCGGCTTTTCCCCTTGACGTAACATTGGACTCTTCCTCGGTCGCTCGGTCTGACTTCTCGATCGGCTACCCGAGTTCCACATACCTTGAGACCCGGCGAACCCGGTCGAATTGAGCATGGGGTTGGGAGAGATGTTGGCCATACCCATCCCGATACCCATACCCATGCCCATTCCGAGACCGGCCAAGTTTCCGGCGTCCAGCCCGATCCCTCCCATACCACCGGCGAGGCCAAGCCCAGCGAGTCCCTGCAGACCAGAATTGCCACCGAATTCGCCTTGCTGGGCCATCGGCGATCTCCAAGCACCGCCCGACTGGAAGCCCGCACCAGGTCGAGGTGATTCGAGGCGAGTCTGATGTTGCTGCTGAGGAATGGGCTCGCCATCATCGTTATACACGACGGCGTTCTGAGGGCGTCTCTTGAACTTGGCAGCATCGTCGAGGACGATGTTCCCGGCTTGTTGGCCGAGTCCGTTGATCCCAAGGTTTCCGAGCGCAGCCGCGAGGTCGGCCTGGCTCATGTTGGCGGCATTGTTATCGGCAAACATGGGCATCATGGGCGTGTTCATCATGCTCGCCCAGCTACCCTGCAACATAGGACTGAACTGGTCGTCAAACTTGGGCGATCTCAAACCAGTGTTCGGCAGTCCGAGTCCGACGATCCCGTTGTTCCCAGTGTTACTGTTGTTCGGTCGAGGACTCCTCGAACCCGGAGGTACGTTGGCTAGTCCGGCAAAGTCGGTACTCTTCGGCCTCGAATCGTTCCCAGCACCCAACATGCCTGCTCCCATGGCTGGGCTTCTGCTCGCATTGCTGTCCATTCCCGGACTACTGCCCCTCTCGATAACATCGTTCAACTGTCCACCCAAGAACCTCCCAGCCTCGGACACTTGCAGCGTTCCCGGCGCCGAGATCCTGTTCTGTTTCATCCTGTTCCTCTGGGCGGCCAATTGAGCCGAGGGCGATCCAAACGTTTCCTGCGAGACGGCCGCATCGGGAGCGAGGAACTGGTTCACCGAGGGCGAGCTTGGGAAACCTCCACTGCCCAGACCGGGCGAACGCATACCGCCGAGGTTGGGGGTAGCGCCTAATCGAGATCCGTCCTGTTGGCTCTGCATGCTACTGCCCATAGCGGGAGACAAGAGCGCGCTGACGGGATCCGACTGCGACATCTGGGAAAGGACCTTTTGGAAGAACCTGACCTGTGCCGTCGTGGATTGCTGCAGCAATGAGTAGAGAGCCGCCGTACGTTCGTTCTCGGACAAGACTCGGAACCCTAGAAAACAGCACAACCACACAAAATCAGCACAGACCTTCAACATGAGCCTTCCAACTCAATTGTCAAGGAATTCAGACTCACAACTCTCGATGGCCTGTAATTCGTCCGTAAAGTTCTGATCCATACTGGCAGACGCCAAAGCGTCCAATTGAGCCTCGTAAGCCTGCAAGTCGGTAAACCAAGTCTCGATCGCCTCGTCTATTCGACCAGACCGCAAGGACAAACGAGTCAGCGCAAGACCCTTTCCACGATACGATATTTCGACGAGGGCAAGTGATCCGCCTCGAACCGGGACTCACTCTCCGGGCTGGCTTCCTTGCCCCTCTGACCCTTGTTCCCACCGCCAAGGTATTCCGAAGCAGGCCTGACCCCCGCCCCAGGCCGAGCACCGGGAGCCGCACCTAGTCCCAATCCTCCCAACCCCTGATTAGTCGAGGAACCTTGTAACAACCCGTTCGCCGCTCCTGAGTAGACGGGGAACTGGTTGGATCCCGGTCCGGCTGAACCGGGTAGTCGAGGGGAGACGGCTCGGGCGGTGGCTAGTCGGTCGCCTACGTTGCCGTTACCCTGTTGCTGTTGAGGCTGGGGTTGGTGCAGTTGTTGACCGTTCCCTGAACCACCTCCCATACCGGCAGCGAGGCTGACATGCCGGTTAGCCGTGTTGACGTTCGAGTTCGTGTTCGAAGACCGTTCGTTCGAGTACGATGCCGCTCCGCTCCCGTTCGAATTATTGTTGGTGTTGTTGCCTCCATCACTCCTCAGACTCTGACCCGAAGTGACTCCCGGCTGACTAGTCCCAAACATCCCCATTCCAATACCTCCCGTCGAGAACCTCGCCGTGGAAGTGGTGCCTACCGTGTTAGGCTGTTGTTGAGGTAATCCGAGTGATTGGTTCACTTTCGAACTGGAAAGGATCTGCGAGGTAGGTCTACCGTTGGGAACGTAGTCTTGATTCTGGTTCTGGTTGGATGGGGGTTGAGGGGAAGGAGTCCGGGTGGATTGGTAAGAGGTGGGATTTGCTTGCGACATTGATGATGAGGATGTTGCTTGTGTGGACGTGATTCGATCGAGAGGAAGAAAAGGGAAATGGGAAAGCTGGATCCAAGTCGAAGTCGAGTAGAATGACAACGATGACCAGGTGTTGATGGATGACGATGCTCTGCCTGGTTACGATGCGGTGTCGTGTCGTAGTGATTGGAAGGCCCGGCTACTTGATCGAGAGCAAGAAGGCAAAGACGATCAGAGTCCGAGGCTTGTCGAAAAGCTCTTGATTACCTGAAGGTATTCATATTGAACGCTTCAGTATGCAAGGCAGGTCGGTGGTCGACGAGCACCCTGCTCCACGTAGCTTACCCCTTGAGGTGAGATGAGAGTCGATCGCCGCGATCAAAGGGAGGAAGCCGTGACGACACCCACCGCTGAGGAACTCTCTCGGTGGTGTACTCTCGTGCTTGATCGATCTCGTTGCGTTCGAGTCGATCCAGGTCGATTCAGAAATATGTGCTGACCAGAGATGCGACGATGACGGCGACGGCGATGATGATGATGACATGGATACATGGACGTATGGACATTAGAATGATGGAATATGCCCTCCCTTTCTCCCTTTTGTTGATCGCCCAGGTCGATCGGAAGCAAAACACGTTCTACATCACGAGTACATCGTCGATCCTCTCTCTCTCACGACGATCTCGCAACCTCCAACCAAGCCTCGACAGCCTCCAACCGTCCTATACACTCTTCCCTGCCCAGTACAGCCATGACGCTCGGTATAGCTGGTCCTTTCTATCGATCGTAGACCGTCGCCATCAAGTCGACGCGGTGTATGAACATCCCAAGGAACAATCAGCATTCGATTTCAACCTGTGATGAAACGCGAGTCCAATCGAAGGCAAGCGGCGCGAGACTCACCTTTCTCCCCGTCAACGCATGTCGGAGCACCTTGACAACCCCACTCCGCTTCATCCCCGTCTCTTGCGTCACACTCTCGATCACCCCGTCCATCCACTCTTCCGTCTCCGTGTCGACGTCTTTCTCCGAAGAGGTCGATGACGACGACGAAGCCAACTTCTTCCTGACCAACCCGACTATCTCGGTATACCGCACCTCTCCCGATCCCGACCATTCTTTCCACATCCCCAGCGTCTCTGGGTTGGACAGGTTGGGGCGGAGGAAGAAGAACACGGACAGAGAGGGAATATCGGAGAGGACCGTCGCTCGGGGCTGTGATTTCAATTACCAGGGCAACGAACAAGGTCAGGTTCAACTCGCTCGACTCAATTCCGTCCGATCGATATCCGAGCCAGGCAGGGCTTACCAGCTCGATATCCAGCACTTTGCCTACAAATTCGTCATCCTCGATTCGAGCACTATCCAGACACGACGACGTCCATCCACCTTTTAGCATCCCAAATCCCTGGTCTTGCATAGCACACCACACCACGCTGATCCACTCGACTCACCATCCCTGAAAGACGTCCTTGCCCTTCAACATTCCCTTGACCCTTCTGACCAACCCCTCCCTTCCTTTCCCCTCCTTGACTTCACCTCCCTCGTGCATCATCCCCACCCTCTTCAGGTGCATCTTGTTCAGCCAATCCAACTTACCCAGAAACACGCTCCCTCTCGTCCTCCCCACCCGCTCTAGAGAGAAACTCTCTACGAGCATGTCCAACGTGTATAGCTCGGAGAAGGAGTTGTAATCTTTCCTGAGGTCTAGGGAGGTCATGTCCAGTCCCGAGGTCAAAGACGAAGAAGAAGAGGAAGAGTCATGAGAGGCGGCGGAAGAGAGTGAGGCGGGATCGATGGGGAAGAAAGGTCGTTGGGTCGCTGAGGTTGTTGGGTGGTGGTGGTCCCACCCGATGAGCGATAAAAAGTTGATCAACGCCGAAGGTTCGTAACCTTTTTGCTGTGCGGGCCAAAGGCGGAAGAAGGAAAAGAGATGGTTAGCAAGCTGTGACTTTGGCGAACGACTTTGCTTGTTCATAGGGAGAGCTCTTACTTCGTAGGCCTCCACGCTGACATCGCCTGTCCGTTTGCTGAGCTTGGTACCATCCGGGTTGACGAGCAAGGGAAGATGCGCGAAATGCGGCGCATTCCAGCCGAGCGCTCGATAGATCTGGTAGTGTTTCGGGGTCGAGGGCAACCATTCCTGAGCGAATGCAAGACGTCGAATACGATATTAGCCCAGAAAAACCAGGCTGTATGCAGAATAGAGCTTTCGACCTACCTCTCCACGAAAGACATGTGTGATCCCCATTGTCGTATCATCGATCACGTTGGCGAAATGATACGTCGGGTACCCATCCCCCTTCATCAAGATGAAATCATCCAGATCCTTGTCCCGGTTGGAAAAGCTACCGGGACCTCTGAAACCTTTGGCTTGGGTCATCAAGCCAGAGGAATTCCTCGGTGCAAGGAGAGCCGAGGTTGGTGATTGAGGGCGGGACCAGGTCTTCGAGGAGGAGGAGGACGAGGAGGATGTAGCGGGTGAGGACGTTGACGGGTAAGGCCCAAAGATCATGTCAGGGGGCAAATCGGCATCGTCTCCAGGATCCTACCATGGACTTCTGAAATCAGCTCTAATAAGAACGTTATGCCACAAACCAGGGCTCGGCCCACCTTGAATCTGACCACGAACTTGTGTCCAGCACGTTTCCGTCGAGCGACATCCTCTTCCGTCAAATGCCTGCATCTTCCGTCATAACTCGCCGTCGCCTTTTTGGCTTGTTGGGCCTTTCGGATCTCGGAGAGCTCGTCTGGCGAGCAGAAGCAATGGTATGCCTTGTCGTTCTGTGGGAAAGTTTGAGAAGAAACGGAGCTTGAGACTGACGATCGGTATCTCGAAAGCTGTAAGGTTTCACATACGTCTAGGAGGGTGCTCAGATGTTGGTTGTATAGGTCTCTTCTTTCTGACTATAGACAAATATGACTATCTTCTTTAGCTCTCGGCAGGCGCATCGGGCAAGCATAGAGCAAGTAGTCACCTGAATATATGGCCCCACATCTCCACCTCGACCCGGACCTTTAGACACGGGAATACGCATCAGGCAGAAATCTATACTGGGTGAACAACCAGAGCTTACCTTCGTCATAATCTAGACCAGCCCAATCTAAAGTCCGCTGCATTGAGGATATCGCATCATCCACTAATCTAGTCTGAATATATCATATCAAATAAACTCAACAAGAACCGCAGATGGATAGCACAAGATGATACTCACCCGATCTGTATCCTCGATCCTCAAGATCCACTTTCCTTTCCACTTTCGAGCAAACAAGTGGTTGAACAGCGCAGTCCGCAAACCTCCGAGATGAAGATACCCCGTAGGTGAAGGTGCGAATCGAAGACGGGCCTGGCCCTCCGGTGGATGGAAGGCCTCGTCAGCAGCGTTCTGCAGCGCTACTGGTGTCTTGCCCGAATCGCCAGTAGGTGGGTGATAACATCGTTTGAGGGCTACAGACCGTCGCACAGAGCTTGTGCCGGATCGAACAACTATGGGTGACCAGGATCCCATAACTCGGTCTTGTAGCGAAGAAGTGCCTAGCTTTCGAGGGCTCGGCGACGCTATGGCGACATGCAACACACTGGTATGCTGGCAGCGGAGAGCAGTAAACTGTACCTCCAGCCTCCAGGCTGCCCATTCTCTGAAATATGACGAACTCTCGATCGATCCGGAAGCAAATTCGTCGCCGTCGGAGACAGAAGTGGGTCGAACATCATCATCGAACACAGCGCACAGCAGAACAAGATGATATATGAGAAACCCGTAAAGAAGAAGAGGAACCGGTACAACAGAACGAAGATGAATACCTTTCGTCCCATAGGCGAAAAGTCGAAAGCTTGTATATGTATTCAGTCGCAAAAGAGGTGTCCTTCGATGTCTCCATCCTTGTCAATTTGTCAATTCTCGCTCAGGGTGATTGCTTCTATTTAGACTCCACTTCCATCGGTGTGGCTTGCGATTCCTCGACCGCCTTGGTTTTGGGACTCGTCGATCCCGGGACCGGGGTCGATTCGGATGGGGCGTCGACCTTGGCTGATGCAGCGGGAGCTTCGGCCGGAACTGGCTTTTCTGCTGGTTCAGTCGCAGGTGCCTCGTCAGAGCTTCCTTCCTTCGATCCGGGCTCGGCGACTGCAGGCGGTCCTTGCACAGCGATGGTATTACCGCTGACTGCTTCAGTGATGACGTCCGGCTCTGGCGACTTGGGACTGGGCGCTTTGACCACCTCGTCTTTCTCCTGGACGGGGACAGTGTCTTTCGATTTGTCCACTACAGGCTCTGTCGGTGCCGCAGGGAGTTCCAAAGCGGGGGCAGCTGGGGAGATGGGTTTCGAATTCGGGGCAACAGGCGCAAGCGATGCTGGCTTCTCCCTCTCAGGGCTGTTGAGCCTAGCCTTCTTCGCATCGGAATCGACCGCATCCTCCGTGCTAGAGATCGCTCGCTTGTGGCCTTGGGGCGCATCAGACCTCTTGGTGGCAGGGGTGGCTTCCGTTCGTGCTTCCGAGACGGCTCGAGCGATGGGAATATACGAAGTCCCGTTCGCCTCTTTTGTTCCCTTGTAGCCAGCCAGGCCCATCAACGCGTCCGCGGCGCTATCGTCATAGTCTGTAGAGGAATGTCGTGGATCAGTACGTGATCAAAACTCGCTGACATGCCATCAGAAATAGACAAGTCGCTCACCCTCATCGATAAATCTGCCGGATGGTTTCGGAGCAGGAGTGGCCTTGACGGCCGGGGTGATAGCGGACGGCACAGCTGCCGGAGAGGCTGGTCGGGATCGAGCAGGTTGTGATCGCATGTCCACATCAACGCCGTGCCGCGACGGAACGGGAGAGTTGAGCGTCTCGACAGCCGTCTTCTTCGCAAAGGCCGAGCCTCGAGGACTCTGCTTGTCCGGCGTGACCGCTTTGCCTCTGCGCTTCTTCTTTGTAGATTCGGACATGGCGACCGAGTGAACCGACGCTGGACTTTGCATGCTCTGTGCCTCCGCTCGGGACACGACCGAATCAGGCGCTGCGGGTTCCGGGCTATATCGAGATCGTCTGTTGGGGTCGTCCCGGATCCGAGCATCTTGTTCCCGCCAAGCGCGTTCAGCACGTTGTTTGTCTTCAGTAGCGTATCGACCCGGACTATTAGGACGGCTTGGGAGATCTCGCTCTTCGTGTCGACGGGGATCGTCGGGATGAGGCATTTGTGATATCGAGCCACGCTTACCGAGACCGTTGAGGGGGCCTGCGTGTCGTTGTTCACTACTCCCAGAGACCCGCCTATCGGTAAACTCTTGCATGGGGGTACGTCGATCGCTAGGATCGTGCCTCGATTCCCATGGCGGCACTGGATAGCTGCGCATGACGCTGGGCGAGCCTCGGATAGCGTTTGGTGCTGGCGAACCTCGAACTGAGGCTGACGAACCAGCCGGTCCTGGGGCTTTATTACCCTTGTTGCTACGGCCATCGCGGAAATCGCGATCGTTCCCGGCCTCATTCTGGGAGTAAGAATCCCAACCATTAGATTCTCCAGGTCGGGATTCAGTCCGACCGTGCAGAGGCGGCGGTGACATGCGTCCTCCTCGATGTCGATCCTGAACCTGACTTTGCGCTCTGGATAGCGGTCCCTCGTTATTGGGCGTCCGATCCATGGTCATGGGGGCCAGAGGTGTGCCTCGAGCGGCCGCGTTTCGTCCCTCGTCCAGCTGAAGCGGGGGAGGGGGACCACCACCTCGGAACGCACTCTGCTGGAGAGACGCCATCTGGGGAGGGGGAGGAGCGGCCAGATCTCGTCCGCTCAAGATAGGCTGCCCGTCAGGTCCTGCACCGACGCTAGGACCCTCGTAAGGAGGCTGTCCACCAGGTCCACCTTGAGCTGGGAAGGGTCTAGCACCAACAGACGAAGCGTAGGCGGTAGGATGAACATCCTGAGGAGGCGGAGGAGGCGGCAAAGACTGTCCATCCCGTTGAGCGTTCCGGAGCAACGCAAGTCGTGATTTGACGGTAGCGTTGTTGGGATCGAGGTCGGCAGCTCGGGCATAGGCGTCGATGGCGTCGTTGACCTGATTGTTGCAAGACTCGTACAGACTCCCGAGATCGAACCAGACTTCGCTGATGTAGGGGTTGAGCCGGATAGCACGAGAGTAGGCATCCAGGGCGTCTCGGTACTGGTTGATCTGGTAGTAGAGCACTCCGATAGAGCACCAAAAGGTGGGGTTCCTTCCATCCCTGTAGACCGCCTGTTGATATGCCTCGTATGCCTTGTTGAACTTTTGACCTCCCATGAAAGCTCGACCGAGCAGGTACCAGCTCTGAGGGTCCGCAGGATCTAAGTAGACATCGGTGATGAGCTACAGGCATCTAAACGTCTGGACAAACCGAAACTGCTTACCAGCTTCGAGACTCTTGGTAAGGTAATTGATCGCGAGCTCTTGATTGGCAAAGCTCGCCCCGCCCTGATGATACAACCATCCCAACTGCTGCAAGACCTTGGCATGGTTCGGGCTATCCTTGAGAACTCGCTCATAAGCGTCCTTGGCGGCTCCATACTGTACGAGAACAGGTGCAAGGTGAGCCGATGTATGGTAAGATTGCAGATTGACTTGACCGAGAACTGACGTCTTTCTGCTGTTCGTAAACGTGACCAATCTGGAACCAGATGTCGACCTCCGTAAGAGGTCGAGGAGGATGGCCCAAGATGTATCGGAAACAATCCAGACTGGCGGGATACTTGTGTTGCTGCTTGTAGATGATTCCCAGCCTGAAGTAGATTTCGTTGGCTTTCTCGAATTCTAGAGGTGCATTGCATAAATCAGACAGGTCCTCCTTCACCCAGACGATGTAGGTGGGATACTGACCTGGCTCCATACGAAGGACACTCGAGAATGCTTCCTCGGCGTGTTCGAGCGAACCATATCGATCATACAGGATCCCGATCCCGTACCATAATTTCGAGTCCTACCGCCGAAATCGAAGTGTCAGCTGACGCGAGCGTTTCATCAATCGAGCTGGGCTTCGCAGCTCACCTTGGGATTGGGCAGACGGTACAGTGCTTGTTGGTACGCTGTGTAAGCCTTTTGCAGGTCATCCGTCATCAAATAACAGTGACCTGGTTGACCCAATATTATGAACACAATCAGCTTTCGACATATCGTCTTACGCAGGCCTCGACAAGAAAATGGACAGGGGACCCACCCAAAGATCCCCAAACCTCCCCGTTCTCTGGAGAGATATTCAGCGTCCTCTGATAGTAGTCGATCGCCTTTGAGAATTCTTCTTTGCTCCTCGCGATGCCTGCTACTTGAGTCAGCGCGCTGACGCTCATCGGGTTGTGTCGCAAGGCGTTTTCGTAGGCGACCAGAGCTCGGGTCGTATCCGAAAGTTGTTCCGATACAGCACCTGAAGTCATGACAAAAGGTGATTACATTAGACGAGGGATTCTAAGCCATAGCTCAAGTTCGACGCAGCTTACCGATCAATAACCAGGTCTGCTCATTGGCTTGTGCAAGGGCTTGAAGAGGTCCCTCGGTACCCTTGACGATGGCCGTATGCACTTGAGCAGCCGTCAATCCTGCAGGTCCGCCGGGAGGACCTGGCATCGCTTGCGGGTTGGGACCAAGGGAGGACGTCCTCGGGTTTGGAACCTGGTGGTGATGATGATGAGGCGGAGGAGGTCCGGGAGCAGGATGAATCCTAGATTCACGCCGGTCCATGGCAGAAGAAGGCCCTGATGGTTGAGGCGGCGGAGGAAGATGCGACGACGGGTGGCCGTGGTTGATGTCGAGCGGGTGTCGGGTGGTAGGTCCTGGAGGATATTGGCCGTTCGGAACCTGGTGATAGGGAGGTGGACCGTGTCCGTTGATATGTTGTTGCTGCTGGCTGCGAGCAACGTGATCCCTCTCTCGAGCGCGATCTCTGTCACGTTCCCTCGTCCTCTCTCCGCGCTCTCGTTCCCGTTCCCTCTCGATCTGTCGGTCCCGATCCCTCTCTCTATCCATATCGCGTTCGCGCTCCCGCTCCCTCTCCCGCGCATGTAACGCCTTGTCACGTTCCCTAGCAACATCTCGATCTCGAGCATAAGCTTCCGACCTGTAATACGCATCTCTTTCTCGTTCCTCTGCCGAGGGTCCACTTGCAGGACCCCCATTCCCCGCTGCGGCTCCTCTCATCATGGGTGATCTACCGGTAGGAGGTCGACTCTGTGCCTTGGCGTTGATGCTCGCCGGAGATTGGTGGTGAGGATGATACGATCCGTGGGGGTGAGGTTGACCGTGCGAGAGGGAAGGTGGATGAACAGAGGGTGGTGGTGGTAGTGGGTTTGCAGACGATAAAGGACCCGTTCCGACGATACTGTGATGTCGACCGCTCATATCGGGGTCGAACGAGGTCGGATTTCGATCTCACAAGAAGTCGAGAGCGAAGGTACCTTTCTCTTCTCCGTGTGTCTCCTTTGTCGTCCCAGATATGACGTGCTGTGGTATGCAGGTGCTGTGACGATGTCGATGTCGAGCGGTGGTTCGATGTCGAGCGAGGTCAGACTTATCAAGGAGAAAGGAGGTCGAGAGAAGATGGCAAGCTTGGTGGTCTACGTGCTACGTGTGCCCCCGAGTGCTATATGATCGCAGGCGAGTTTTCGGTCCGTCCCGTCCTTGTCGTCGTCCTTGTCGGTTTTGATGAATGCGATGATGAAGCAAACGGAACCAGGTGGATGGGAAGGTGGATCCCCCCGAAAAATTAGCCCGCTTGATGATCAGCTGGTCGCCGTCGTCGCCCGTGTTGTTGTTCGTCTGATCGCTGCTCGGGTATGATTTGATGGATCACACGGAGATGCGAGCAAGAGCAGCGCAGAGATGATGACGTTTCTTGATGAAAGCCGAGTCCCCCGGGGTCCTTTGACCTTTGTTTGATCGATCAGATCAAGGAGATCAGTGATCAGTGATCAGACCCTCGCTTGCCCTGCCTCGTGGTGCGCTCCGGCCAGAAGAACGGAAACGACCGGTTAGAGCCAAGTGGATCCTCGATCGACGCTTGGGCTGGAAAAAGAAGGTTGCCGCTGCGTGTCGGCGGGTTGATCAAGGGGGTTCGACAAAAGAATCCGACGATCGAACGTTTCAGGTCTCGTTGTCGTCACGGGATCCCGTCGAAGTCTGTGTGTTGTCCACGAGGAGGACGATCGAGGCGATGTAGAAAGAACAAGAAGCGAGAGAGGGGAGGTCGGTCCACCGTTCTCTCTGGCAGAACCGTTTCGTCTATCCTTTGATCTTGTTGTCGGAATGTCCAGCCGAATTGTGTCTACACGATGACCACGTACATGTAGATCATAGAATTGTATAGAAGGAGATGCAAGGTAGACCCCGTTTCAGCGGATCGGATTCGGTGCAGATCGTTGATGATCACGTCCGCAGGGACAGATTGATCGCTGAATGGCTTTTGAGCTCTATCTCTTGACTGCGACTGACCTCGTACCTATTCCACTGGAACAGAATATCCAAGACGGCCCAAAACACTCGTGCAACCTGAAGATCGCGTTGTTGGGGATAAGGATCGAGTCAGAGTCCGGTCCAAGAGGTCGTCGTGTACAGCGAAGGGGAGTTCGTCAGAGATCCAAAAGCAGAGAGGAAGTGGTCTTGTCCTCGTATTCGTTGATCGGTTCCGAGTGTCGGTAGCTAACAACGACGACTCTGCATCCGTCTAGTGCGTAGCAACAGAATGACAACGTGATAATACGGTCCGTATATCGAAAGGCTATCACGAGACTACACAAATCGAAACAGTAGGGAAGAGGCTGGGGGTTGGTCAGGATCGTGACGAGGACGTGCACGACTCATTCTCGCGGAGCCGCATCGTACGAAAAAGAGCCCCCCCTTGCTTCCAGCCCTTTCCTACCGACCGTCCCCCTCTGCGTTCGGTCGAAACGGCGCCTCGCCGTGGTACCCAATCTCTTTCCGTACATCAAACATTCCGAACCGAACCCAGTCGCTTACTGGCGCGTGGGTGGGGGGAGCAAACGCCAGCGAGACGTACGGCGGCAGGGAGAGGGGAGAAGGAAAGCGCCACGCATCATCGCATCGTCGCTCACTTTTGGGACCTGGCGCTACTCTGGCGAAATGCGAAGACGGGCGTGGTCACGTTACGGAAGGTAATTCATCTGGCTTGCCGAGGCCGATCACCTCTTGAGCAGGGTAACACCGAGTTCAGCGCGGCAGTGCGATCGACTACCAGATGTCAACAAGTCACAACAAACGGTCGTGCAGCTTGCGGGGTGCCCAACGTATTGAGGTATTGAACAGGTGTATACCCGAAGAATGCGGACGCCGCCGACGGTTGCCGGCCGGCCAAACCGTCGACGTACGTATCGCACTGCACGGGCATGGAATGCGGGGAAGATCGCAAAAGGCGCAGATCGATACGACGAGAGCAGGGGGGCCGTGAAGATCTTGGGGCCGTCCCAGAAGACCTACTCGATCGGGATCAAACTACCCTCAAGACCCACCAACTCGCAACGACTCACCGGTCTCCTCGAGATCTCATGTCAAATCCCCGCGCACGCCTCCGCCGTGCAAGCGAAAGACCTCGGCCTGCGACGACACACACAAGGTTTGGAGTTGGCATCGCGGGAAAGGTCCCGATCGAGCCAGACAGAAAAGAAACACCCGAAAAAGCGGTGCCTTGACATCCCACGAGCCAAAGAAGGAACTCGAAATGATATTCTGAGCCCGTCGTCGTTGCCCTGCCGACCCATTCGGTCGGATGGTTCCCGTCGATCCATTTCATTCGCTGGGAACACGAAGAGTCACCCGACAGAAGCGCGACAGACCTGACGTGGCGCTTTCTTTGACCACGTTGAGAGTCTGTCTTGAGGGTCACCGAGGCTTCTATGGAGTTGATGACGAAACGTCCCGCTTTTTGGGTGACAGGACCTCGCGCCGGGATGTGGGTTACACGACTGCGAAAGGCAGTGCCGTTTCGCTCTGTCTGGGAGATGGAGTCAAGTATGCCTCTAACTGCACCACTTTCGGAAAGCGATCGTATACTGTTGCGCAGGTCACTGGCCGATAGGTTCGCCCGGGATTAAAAGGGCAACGTCGATCACACCAAGGCGCGAGAGATTCACATGTTTTCGATATGAAAGATAAAATTACGAAATCTTTTTAGTCGTTCAGAGACGAGCATCTACGACGTCGAACAGCTCAAGAGCTAGCGACCTTGACGACGATCTTGCCAAGGTGATCTCCGGACTGCGCATAATCGTACGCCTCCTTCAATTGATCGAATTCAAAGACCTTGTCGATGATCGGATGGAATTTCGTCTGCTCAAAAGCGGTGTGCATTTGCCTCATTTGCTCTCGGTTGCCTGAGATTTGCATGGTTTAGCAGAGGGTGGCGGATGAGACTCAACTCGGCTTCACTTACAGCAGTAGGTTCCCTTGACGATCGCTCCACTGAAAAGCAGTTCTTTCGCGACATCTGGAAACGGATGACCCATCACGTTAGAACGGATCCGCACTTGAAGTGAGCTCAGGTAGACGTTCACCCTCCGTAGGTCCTTCCTCTCCATGCTGATCGCTCAAGTAGCCTACGAGCGCAATCAATCCAGACTTCTTGACGCTCCTGATCGAAGCCGGCAAAGTCCTGATCCCTCCGATCTCGACCAAAAAGTCGGCTCGCTCCCCGCCATTGAGACGGACGACCTCCTTGTCGGTCTCTTTGTGCTTCTTACGGTTGAGCGTGAGGAATCGGTCCGGGGAAGTGATCAGCGCGCCCAGGTGCTTGCGGACCTCTTCGACCTTGTCGTCCGAAGACGAGGTCATAATAACACGGGCTCCGGCGCCCAAAGCGATCTATTTTGTAGACCGAAATTCAGCTTGTACACTCGCGCGGAATGCGAGGCCTCGAAGTCTGCCAGACTGACCGCAGCGGTGAAGACCGCGACACCGCCAGTGCCCATGCAGACGACGGTATCTCCGGACTGGATGGTTTTAGCTGACCCATACAACGAGTTCCAAGCGGTTCCGCAGGCGATAGGCAGGGTGGCGCCTTCTTCGTAAGACATATGCGACGGCATGGGGAGGATATCTTCTTGGTTGACGAGCATGAACTCTGTTGCGTTGAGGTCGATAGGGGATGTGTATCCTCAGCATGGTTGGCGGACTGATGCGCGGCAAACTTGTCACTCACCAGAGGCGGTACCCACGGCGGAGAAACCGATGGCATTGCCGATTTGCTTGGGAGACGTATGTTCGGCCTGCACGAAACCAGACGCCCAGCGTTAACCCAGTGATCTAGAAAAGAGTATCTTATCTTCGACTTGCATGGTAGAAGCCGGGGTAAGGAATGGGAATAACCCGGTCTCCAATCTTGAAGTCAGATACCTCGGAGCCGACCTCGACGACCTCTCCAGCCGCATCTATGGAGCGCGCGATAGCCGCAAGTGGGATTAGTGTCGACTGTCCTTGAGACAAGATGAGCTGGTCGTCAACGATTTACCTGAAGTAACGACTGCGCCACCTTCGGGGACAGGGAGGGCGTAGATGCCATTGGTAAATTGGTGATCCCTAGCATTCAGACTGAGGGCGTGGATCTTGACGATGACATCGGTAGAGCGCTTGATGACGGGCTTGTCGACGTTCTCCAAAGTCAGACAATCGTTGCCTTTGCCTTCGTAGAGCTTGTATTGTCGCATGGTGATCGGAAAGATGATGTTCTAGGTTCGGTAAGGTTGCTTGTTTATTCAACGTCTTCTTGCCTCTTTCAAAAGCAGAGGCATCGTTCGAGTGGAGCCCTTATATAGACGCCCTTCAGCCAGTTCTTGGCTGGATTGCTGATTGATCTGAACTGACCCGCACTTCGACGTCACTCGAACAAGGCGCTGAATTCCCGAAGCTACCGAGATTTCCCGTTGCAGACCCGAAGGCAGGAGCATACGTAACCCCGCTCAGCGTGCGCCCGGGCTCTGAAATCTGCTTCCGGTCACCGGTGTCGGGCGGGCGGGCGGGGGACCTTTCAATTCGTCACGCAACTTGCTTCATCAGTTGGTAGAGTAGTTGAAAGATTTACAGAATTACAGAGTCGATCTCCCGAGTTGTTTCCTGGCATTCGCTGTCATCTGGATCATCAGTTTGTCCAGCTTCGAAGTTTTGGAAAAGTTCTCGCTTCGACATGACTTACCGCTCGGACGGTACTCCGATGACAGGGATGGACCGGCCGGCGCCAAGTGGACGTCATAACAAGGCGTGCGATCAGTGTAGTCACCGCAAGATCAAGGTGAGTGTTTTTTATCGTGGACGATTGATCACCAAGATGGTTCTCCTCAGAACGCCCTCTCATGATCTCCCATGAATCGTAGTGCAAAAGTCAACCAGGAGACTCGGCATGCTTACCGTGTCTGCGGAGCGATATCCCCTGTACGCGGCAAAAGGTAGGCAGTCTCAGGCTTCTGTGATTTTCGATGTAGTAGACTCAAATTTTCGAAACTGTTTCTCAGACGAGGAAAAGAAGGCATATCCACATCCCAAACTTTGAGAGCGCTCAGTCCAGTCGTTCCCCAGAGCCTTCTTCTCTTCAGAAGCATGCGGGGGCATCCTCTTCGACAGCTTCGAGTCATGAGTTTCGGGATACCTCTGCACCTCCCGATAGGGGAAGTACCGAGGTATCAGGAGAGCCTAGTGGCCCATACCCGCACTTCTCGATGAGACCACCGGACTTTACCCCATATAGCTACAAGCACTTCGACCCTACTGCGCCGCCTCAAGCGTCGAGTTCGAGCTCTGGCCAACGTGATCATCAGAACGATCTCGGCAACGACGAACAAAGGTTTCCTAGCAATGGAGGCAGGTCGGAGGACACCTTGACGGGAATGGACTGGTTGCAAACCACATCGTTATTTAACGACCCAGACCTGATGTCGGCTCTGATCGATCTTGGCGTGAGTGGCAGAGTTCAAAATGGTTACGGCAGACGAGCAGTGTGTCACTGACTCGTACAAGGCTAGGCTTTCGCTACCGAGCCTAATGTCAACGGGGGCTTAGCGCATCCTTCCGTTCCACCAAGATATGCTTCAGATGAACCGATATCACTTGCATCATCTGATCCGACACCTCCTCAGATCCGTCAGTTGCCTTTCGGTGACAGATCGTCGCTCGAAGGGATGTTACACTGACCGAAGGAATCGCTTATCGAAACATAGATACCGGGTCCTCAGACATTCTTTTCCAAAGAGACTTTCTGCCGTCCTACGGCAACATCGCCGGCCGCTTAGAGCGGTACTTCTCGACAGTACACAGGATCATGCCTTCAGTCTGTCAACCGGATATCGAGAGCGCTTTCAAGAACCGACTTTACGAGACTTCGGAGAAATTTCGACTTCTTATCCTCTCCGTCCTCAGCGTGGCCGAAGGGATGGAGTCCCCCGAAAATGAGACCCAGTCGGGACGATCTTCCTCTCCCACAGCTCTACAGCTGCTCACCCGGATCAACGGAGTGCCCGACGACCTGTCCACGTTGGGCTTCGAGCACGTCTTCGCCAACATCGCCGCTTTCGTCTCGTATGACCTGCGAGGAGACGGGGCGAAGGCGTGGTTCTACCTACAACAAGCCATCACGCTTGCACAATTGAATGGCATGGACCAGATCGAGTCCTATAAGCCATCGGAAGACCATTACCGGGCTACCCTTCGTATGAAAGTGTATTATCATCTGTAAGTGGATCGGATTTTGGCTTTCTCTTCAAGGATTTGAGACAATTTCTGAACCTTTTGTGCGCAGATATCTCACGGAGAGGTCATATCTACTGCATGGATACAATAGCGCTCGACCAGGCCGCTTGCTCCGGTTGCCAAATAACATCTGGAAAGACACTCGGGCCGTTCTCAATGAATTACCATACGTGGCCTCAACCGGAATGCCTATTGAGCAACTCCGCCTGTACCAGATCGTAGACTCTCGAGTCATTCAATGCTGGCGGGGCGCTTGTAGGGGGACCGCCGGAACTCGTTGCTCAGCCTGGAAGGTAGACGAAGCCGCCGAGATCCTGGACAGTCTGACCCTAGAATTCCGGATCGCTGCCGAAGGCGGTCACCGGAATCTGGACAGACCATCGAATATGCAAGCTGTCACCTTGGCAATACACGCCGCGTGGCTCCGGCAGTAAGGCGTTTTTTTCTTGGCTGACCGCTGATCGGGGAAGCTGATTTTCCCCATCCGCCGTTTAGTGGGTTCTGGCGAATGTTCAATGCGCACGGTTTGACTGCGCCTGATGGAAACTCGAGCTTGACCATGGTAGCTCTCTGCCGGTATACACTGATCTTGAGCCAATACTGTCACGGATTGGAGTCGCACAATCTGGACCCGACTATGGATTGGGCGTTGAAAATCGTCGATATCGTGGATATCGCTGCGCAGTCACTCGCAGCAGCGAGACAAGATCACCACTCAGCTCAACAAGGGTTTGACCGGTCACACGAAGATAACAGGCAGGTCCTGATAGCGGCGATTTACGCGTTGATTTCATTCTTCACCCTTGTGAGCCCCGCTTACGATATGCCACAGTTTGTCGAGCTCTAATGAGTTGGGAAATTCACAGCACGCTGGCCATGACAGCAAATACGTCTCTTCGATAACCAAATCTTTGTCCGTCATCGCTTGAGATGCGGCATATTGCATACGAGGATCAGCCTGCGCGAATATCCTCTGAACCTGATTTCATGGGCTGACCGGCTTGAACATTTCAAAGGCCGGCCGATCTACACCCAATGGATATCGAAGTAAGTCAGCTCGACTCATTGTCATCACCATCCCACATCTATCTTGATCGTTTCTTAGCGCCCCGCTCGCACCGCCGGGTTCATGGCATACAAAATCACTGACTTTGTTTTCTCGTGTCGTTGCTATCAGCGCTAGGAATATGTTAGATACTGCCGTGACGTCAAGCGTCCTGCTAATCTCACCTCCGGCCTCAATCGGGCCAGCCTTCTGTGAAGGAATCCATATATGGTAGCGAAGTAAACGAACAGATTTCAGTTGTCCCTCTGCATCTCTGTATTGTCTTCACGTGCTGTCTCGGCACCGCAGGATGAGAATATTAGGCAGCGTTCGACGGAAATCGAGACCAAACACCGTGATCGATACTGAGGAACAGCTGTTCGATGCTGTGAAACAGCGTGACATCGAAGCGCTAGAGCGCGCGCTGCGAGGGCGACCGTGAGCGGCGACCGGACCTCATGGCCAGCAAAGGTATCCGTATCCGTATCCGTATCAATGTAGACCATGACATGTTGGCGTTGCTGTCCGTACCATTGAGGAGTCCGCCATCTACTCTTCACAACTTTGATGTCACCCTCTACAGTTGATTTATGTATGTCCCCGGCAAGGGCGAAGGCGACCGAAACGGCATGATAGACACCTTGACGATGGGCATTACCAGTCCAATTATGGAGAGCCTTGACGCGGTAATTGGCTACCTAAAGAGAGATTGTGTCGTGGCGGCTGAAGTGGGGATGGATGATGTCCTCGATGGAAGACATGTTTGTGCTTCTGCGCTTGGAGTGTCTGGAGGTTTGAGGATGTCGACAATTGTGACGATTCGAAAGATGTAAACAATACATGATGTTGGCCTCTCCGCATAGATTGCAGCAGCTTATCCTGCGATCGATTGTGAAGCGACCATCACTTGACGCTCCCAGGGCAGGAGCAACTTTCGGCCGGCGTGACATCGGTCGGGCAAATCGACAAAGGGAAGCGTCTCCTTGGAGATTTATCGTGCCATTCGCTTGTAGCTTACGGGCAAATATCTACTTTGCCAATACTACTTTGTCAAGTCCGAAGAAAATGCGATGTTCATGATGCGCGGCTTCAGCTCGCACACAGTTTCATTGACTGGAAAGTACTACGACCTGTCCTACGGGCTCAACATGTCGTTGCCCAGGGTATATGATGACGGGGATGGTACAATGAACGACTTCGGTCCTGTCTGTGGGTTTGTCTATGTTTGCGCGTCCGAGTCCCGGTGATGGCAGAGGTGAATCGTCGACTCGCACCGGCACAGAGGAAGAATGGCGATGATGCCGCGTCCATCTTTTCCGCATGAGGAAGTGAACCTGGATGAGCCAGTTGACTCCACCTTGATGACCTTCCGGTCCAGCCTTTAGAGCAGTCGACGGTGTGACATCGAGGGGAATGTCTAATCGGAAGTTGAGTCGATTGAGGTGGGAAACAAAGCCATTGCTATCGTTGGCTACCGTTCTTCGCAAATTGGGTTGAACGACGTCCCCGTGCATCGGAGAAGGAGGCAGTAGAGATTCTGGGATGACTTCTTCTGTGATAAGTGTCGCAGCAACCTACGTAGAGACCTGCCACTTTAGCACATAATGTCCATTTGATTTGGGCCATCCGAGACTGACCTTGAGAACCTGCAATCGCCAACCGTCTTCATTGACCTTGACAACGCCGGTGATAGGTTCCCCAGCTCGATATGCCGATCGAGCGAGATCAATTTCTGCGACCGGCTCTCCATGCTTGTGTATGTCGAAATGTGCCGGTTTTGAAGACCTAATGTGTCTTGTTATAGAGTCGTCCGCGGAAAGCCTTTCCTCATCGGACGCCTTCTCGACATCGGTCTCATCCGGTGGAATAGGCAGGTTCGCGTTTACGTCAGTCAATCTTTGTGCATATTGTTGAAGGCGAACAAGGTCTTGCTGTCGATCCCTTGACTGGCCTGGGATGGCCGCATGAGACTTCTCGTTAGGCTCCGTAACGATTCCCTGATCTCTCTTGTGCACAATGGGGTCCAAGATATCGTAGATACCAGGCCGGCCGGTATCTACAGACGAAGTGCTCAAAAGAGATGAGATTCGATACTCGTCCTGCTCGATCGAAAAGATATCGCTCACCGTTCACGGAAGGAAACACTCTGATGGGCACTGTGACCTCGTGAATCTTCTGTTTCGCCGAGGCCCCATACCCGGAAGAGGCGATATTGAGGGACAAGGATAGCTCGTAGGCGAACCGTAATGCTTTTCCGCGAAAAGTCGGGGCTAGTGTTTCAGGCAATTCCAACTTATACGTGACTGGGCATAGCTAAGGCGTTTTAGCGAGCGCAACAGGGGGATCCCAGAACCTGGTCAGAATCTACTCACAGGATCGACTCTCCAGGGGTCCTAACCTGATCTCGACCCCAAGCAGACTCTTCATACTCTCCAACACGGGCAATTCTCGGCTGTTCCAGACCTTTCTCCGCTCTTCTTCTAAGCTGCCCCCAGACCCGCTCCCTATGAGCCCTTTTGCCAGTCCCCAGAGACTGCCCGTCAAGGTGGGATCGCCTTGTCCAGCAAGGGTCCCCGTCCCGAACGACAGGTTCCACCGGGAACTGCTCCGCGATAACGCAGGACTCGTCGGGGAAGTAGCGCTTTGACCGGCGGAGGGGGAGAAGGAGGGTAATGAGCCCGAACCGACGGGTTGATGTAGCATGAGGGATTTCAGGGGAAGCAAAGGGTCTGGGGGGATGTAGGCTGAAGAGGGTGTGAAACGACCGACGAGTCGGGTCTGAGCCCATAAGACTGTGAGTGAACCGTCGTCCAGGGTTGCGGTCTGAAGACGTAATGCCGATGCCGACCGGGAGAAGGAAGAAGATTGTCGGTGCGTCCGAGGAATGTTTGCATCGAAAGATAACCGTGAAAGGCCAAAAGTGGCAGCGCTCGTCGCAGAGACTTCTGATGACGACGAGCCGTTTCTTTGCATCTCTGGCTTTTCTATGCCATCGCCGTTACCATCTCCTGCCGAAACCCCATTGATCTCTTGTCGGCCCGTCTCGGACTCGTCTATGCGTTCAAGACCAGGGGTACGAGCGATAGGGCTCGAAGCTCCTGGAGATGTCGGCGAGGTTATTCCATCGCCAAACGCGGATCGAGCGGGCGAGGGAGGTAGTGTGGCTATGGAGATCTGTCTGGCATGCGGGTGTGATCGCGGGATCGCACTGCCTGCAGGTACTGTTTCGTGCAAATTGCTACATCAGTGTTGGACTCGTATCGAGGCTTTCGAGGTTTTACTCACAAGAAGGAATTGAGCCATTGGTCTGGTCATTCAGGTTGGTGAAATCCATACTCTGACTCCTTCCGCCGAGTTGCGACTTCTTCTTAGGTGTGACAGGTAATGACGTGACAGGTCCTGACTTCGCAGGCAGATCGACCTCTTGGTCATCACCATGGTCCTGTTTCCCTATCATCCCTAGACGTCGAGGTCCTAATTCCACAGCCGACGACCGACGTGGCTCGTAACCTGCCCCATCCTTTTGGGCAAACACATCGATGCTCGCCCTAGCTCGGTCAACGGCCATCCTCGACCCCGAACTCGTCCCGCCCTGACGTGCATTCTTCGTTCGCACATTTTCTATAGTGATGATCGCCTCGAACAGTTCTCCCGAGAAGAAGAAGGATCTCGTGGGCTTGACCGTGATCTGGACAAGAGGTTCGTCCTTGTCGTGCGAGGTGTTGGCCGTGGTCGAGAGTGAGCGTCGCATGTCCTTGGCTCGGCCTCGCCGGTCATGGCACGGAGATGCGAGGTGTTACCGGGCTGAAGGAGGTTGCAGTCGTCTGTCCGTCAATATCTTGTGGAACTCTGAGATGTAGTATACGATCAAGATGATGGTAAGAGTCGAGGTCGAGGTGATTGAGCAGGATGACGACCTCTTCCCGAGCTTTCGGCCGTGTCCGCGTGGCCGCGGGGTCGAAATAACAACCACCGTACCTACCTATCTATCCATCTTACTACCTGCCCACCTGTCAACTATTGCCCATACTCTGATACCGTGCAACTACGAAGATGTACAGATCCTTGTTGAGAAGAGCTCGACCAGCTGCATCCTCTCCGTCGCAGGTCAGGGGGATCTCGAGACTAGCAACCGCCAGGAAAGAATGGGTAAGAACCGTCTCGGAATCTCGGCGTTCGTCTTTGACGTCGTGGAACGAGCTAAACCTGCATCTTTCTTCTGGATAGGGTAACAAGCTCGTCGTCTCGGAAGAGGTCGAACATGCGCTCGAATCTGGCAGTAAAGGAACAATCGCCCTGGAGACGGCTATCGTGACACATGGCGAGTAACAGCACTGCTCGAGGTATGTCAACTCCGATGTCCACGGATAAGCTGAGATCCGCGAGCTACTTCAGGTATGCCCTACCCCGCCAACCTGGATACGGCCTTGTCCCTGGAAAAGATCATCAGAGAGACCTCTTCCAACAACGTCGTACCCGCAACCATAGCGCTCCTGCAAGGCCGCGTTCATATTGGCTTGACACGTGGAGAAATGGAACGACTGGCCGACCCGGAGGTCTCGAAAAAGAGCATCAAGGTCTCTAGGCGGGATTTGGCTTTCGGAGTGTCTAATAGGTTGGATGGAGGGACTACGGTCGCGGGGACGATGTTGCTTTCTCATCAGGTTGGGATCGAGACCTTCGTCACTGGGGGTATAGGAGGTGTACACCGGGGGGCCCAGAGCAGTGAGCTTCCATATCGACGTTGCAGGACTGGAAAGAGGCAGCTGATAGACGACGATATATGTTGTCTTGTAGGTATGGACATCTCTGCGGACCTCCAAGAATTGTCGAAGACCCCCATGGGTGTCGTCTGCGCAGGAGCCAAATCCATCCTAGATCTCGGCCTCACCCTCGAAGTGCTCGTAAGCTTCAACGTCAAGTGACTTGCTCCTCGCGCTGACAGGTCGCTGAAAATCATGTGATCGCTTCGATTGATAGGAAACGCTCGGTGTGAGTCTGCAAGACCTACGGGGCAGAACTGCCGCTGGTTGCTAAAACACTATTATCGTGTTGATCGCCGTGTTTGATGGGATTGGACAGGTCAACGTCTCCACTATTGGGGAGAGTAACGATTTCCCAGCGTTTTACACTCGGGTTTCTGGGTTCAAGGCGAGTCGTGCTGGATCATGTGCGATGCTGTGAGAGGATTTTGAGCTGATTTACTGAGTCTGGCGGATAAAACGCAGAGTCCTTACTTCGTCAGGACCCCTGAAGAGGCTGCCCGGCTGTTGCGTAAGTTCCCAGTCGTCTCATGTCATATTGTAGCGTTCCGTTTCACTGATGATGCAAAATCCGATCCTACCCACAGACACCTCGCTGCACGTCCTCCCACCCTCCTTGCGTGCCGCTCAGTTGTTTGCCACTCCCATTCCGGCCGAATACGAAGCTCAGGGCGCCAAGATTCAAAAGGCCGTGGAACAGGCTGTCAGGGAGAGCGTTGAACAAGGGGTAGATAAGAAGGGCAAGGAGGTCACGCCTTGGTTGTTGAAACGAGTTGGAGAGCTCACTCAAGGGAAAGCTTTGGAGAGCAGTGAGTCTGCCCTGTCGGCCTTGAGTTTCTTTTCTGGTTGCTGATGGTGAGGCTGTATTGAGCAGATATCGCGTTGATCGAGAACAATGCCAGGGTTGGAGCCAAGTTGGCGCAAGAGCTGCTGCGCTTGAAGTCGAGCGGAATCGCTGGCTCATCATCATCAACAGTCAGCCCTGCCTGATTCTCTGTCCATTGTACTAGAAAGTGACGAACAATTGACAAATCATCGATTCCACCCGTATATAGTTCGTCGCACCCGTCATCCCAAGTTTGAAGAGAACAGAAACGATAAAGCCACCCAAGCGGACAGACGTGGAATCGCTGCCTCGACCCAAAGTCCTGGTCTTTGGCTCGGCAGCCATAGATGTAACCGCTCAAGCTAGGCCGTCAACGGGATCGATTCTTCACACGACCGTCCCGGGCGCAGTCCAATTCACGCCAGGCGGAGTCGGAAGGAATATAGCGGAGTGTGCCAGTCGGCTTTCGGATCCGAACGAGGTGTTGTTGATCTCTGCCATCGGAACACGGCCGCAATCACATTCGGAGGCACCGCCTACTGCGGATACCTTTGGAACGATCCTCGAAAGCGAGATGGGGATTTCAGGAATGCGGACCGATGGGCTGATACGCCGACTGGACGCGAGCGCGAACACGGCGGTCTGCAACTTGATCCTTAGCCATGATGGCGGTCTCATCGCAGGGATCGCAGATATGGACATCGCCGAATCGATAACGGTCGAAGAAGTGAGCGATCTGCGGGTATGCAAGCGGTTCTGGAGTGAGCTGATGGAGATTGAGTGGTAGGTTACCGAGGCAATTGAACGCTATCAGCCAGAGATCGTAGGGTTTGATGCGAACATTCGGGAAGAAGTCTTGAGCGCTCTTTTGGTGACGTGTCAGCGAAAGGGAATTCAGAGTGAGCGGAATCGGCAACTCTGGTTCTGAAGGCATCTTATGTCTTCTTGCTTTGTTATTAGCCATGTTTGATCCAACGTCTTTGCCAAAGATGGAAAGGATGATTTCGGCGTTGCGTACGAACCTCCCGGCACCGCCATCAGAATCTCGTCTGCTCAGTCATTTCTCACCAAATCTGCTGGAAGTCAAGGAATTGTACGGAAAACTCCAGCAGCTGGGACTCTTTGAGACGGAAGAATGGTTCGCCTATATCGCTGAACTGCGCTTGAGTGCCAACTGGCGTAACGGTATCGAGCGACTGTCGAACATCAAGGAACACGATCTTGGATGGCTCGTGAACGCCGGTGTTGCTCAGATGATGGTCAGCCTTCTGCCCTGGGTAGAAAACCTCTGGGTCAAATGTGGACAGGACGGATTGATACATCTTGGGATTGTCGACGCCGCTCGGGAAGCATCGCGCGGACAAGCCGGAGTCCGTCGGGTCGAGCACGACTCGCCGAACGATTTCAAGGATTTCGCCATCGGCCAGATGGAGAAGCCGGTCTTGAGACTGTCGCACTTTCCGCCCATCAAACTGGACCGGATGGTATCGAGCACCGGAGCCGGTGATTCTCTTGTGGGTGGTTTGATCGCAGGCCTCGGTCGTAGTTTACCGATAGACCAGGTAGCGCGACAAGGTATGGACGCCGCGCGCGCTTCGTTGCTAAGCGATCAGGCTGTAGGGGATGTCAAGCGATTGGAGTGACGTGCTGCATTATCCTGAACGCATGGCGCAAACTATAAGCATGACATACCACTTGAGATGGATCATCCCCAACAAGAGATTTATAACCGCAAATTTCTCGATTTCGCAACGGGTTTTGGCTTGTTGCGCAACTTCACGCCACGGTACATCCCGAAGACTCGTCTTGGGGATATGGGCGGCTTGTCACACGGCTGACCCATAGGGACGAGCATCGCATCGTAAGCAAGTTCCGTCAAAAGAGCTTATTCTCACTGCGAGCCGGTGGCTTCCAGATTGCGTAGCGCCGACTTCAGATTCTATGTATTGATGGAAGTCTCAGGATGGTAGGAGCTGTACAGAATCTGTCATGTGTCTCAGACCGTCTCCGGCTTCCCTGCTCGTATGCTCTGCGCTGCCGGTTTGTGCTTTTGAAATGTATAGGCATGGTGATCACGACCGCCGCATCGAGCCGAGTAGTCATTTTCCTCGTCTCATGATCAGCGACAGGCATGTCTTAGTCCTTGCTCACCTAAAGCCTCAGCTTGTTTGACTGGCGACCATATACGGCCTTTCGCAAGATCCGACGTCCAGACCGATTGCCTCGATCTTCGTCAGCACTACTACTGATTGGGCGAAGGAATCTCGCACGTGATATCTCTGAACCGAAAGGGATTCAGTGACTAAAAGAGCTCTGGACTTAGCTCTGCGGTTGTAGCTGGGATGGCTAAGAGAAGCATACAAAGGAAGTCTTTCCATGGGTGTATCGAGAGAGCTATGCGCATCTGTTAGCCAGTAGATCAAGGTATTCCGTTGTTCAAGCACCTACATGAAGATATATACATATGAAAGTACAGGACTTGAGTTTGCCTCGGCGGCATGTCATATTCATCAATACTCTCGTTCAACGGATTCTTAGGATGTCCTCATGCTTGGAGCTAGACCCATTTCTAACCGATACGTTTCCGGTGCAAGGCGATAATGAGAACCATGATATGTCGCATGAGGACCTGTTCGATTGGGATTTATATTCGAACGACCGATCAAACATGATTGTTGGCTCGATCGATCATCAAGGTGCATTGATCTCAAGGGAGGCGACGCCTGGTAATGGACAACAGACTTACCAAGAGTCAATGATATCTGGAACTGATGACGCCTGGATGTTGGAGGAAACTTGCAGCGATGCCAACACTGATCACCCTGTTTCTTATCGATTCGCAGAGAGCATGCCCCTGGCCTCTCCCTCGATGGAATACTGTCAGCAGTCATCGGTTTTTGATCAATACCAGGATACTACTTATGGGTTTGACTCAAGGTATTCATATCCTCCTGGCCGCACTACATCATCCAATCTCGCCGAAGCAGCATATACAAACAGTATTTCCAGCAATGCCAGGATGTCCGTAACTCTATCATCAATCGAACACAAACAGCATGGAGATATTTCACCCACTGCGAAACCTGTCAAACGCTCTCGTTTACCCATCTCAGACGTCACTCAATCGAAGCGTCGTGGCAACGGACCTGGTCGGACTCATTCAACCGCAACTCGAGCAAAGATTGCAGCCGCTCAATCCGATCTATTTCATGTGAAGCGGCTTCACGAGCAGGACTTCACATTTGCTGGTAAATCAGTGTCTTCTGTTGAAGTTCGGACTTTTCAAGCAGTCCAAGACATTACTGGGTATGGCCGGAGGGCTGTACGATCTGCCATTCAGGACAGGAATGGAGTCGTTGGGGGCAAATGGGTAATTACTTGTCTAGGTAGAGTGTCTGCTAAAGATGGTGCAACCCAGAACTTGCTTGGAGGATATGACATTGCCCAGGCCGAGTCAAGTCAGCCCAGATCTGATCACAACCGATCTTCGCGGATCTATGGTTGCATACCCATTCCCAGCTCGCGGATACAGGGATCTGGCTGTTATGACAAGGATTGGTATCAAGTATCTGACATGTCATACGTGCATGCAACCACACATACGGTATCATTCGAGAACAGTTTTGGAACCCCTCATCTTCAAGATTTTACAATTGGTTTCGAGAGATCAATCACAACAGACACGGTTGCCAACAGAGATGAACCTGTAGTCCCTCCAAAGAGCCGCAAACCCCTACACTGTTCAGAAGCTACTAGGGCCAAAATGCGAGTAGCAGCAGCAAATCGAGCCCCCATGTCAGAAGCTACTAGGGCGAAGATGCGGGAAGCAGCACTGAATCGACCTCCCCGAGCTCCCACTTCGGAAGCTACCAGGGCCAAGCTACGCGTAGCAGCATCAAAGCGAGCTCCCGCTTCAGAAGCTAGTAGGTCCAAGATGCGGAAAGCAGCTTTGAATCGAGCCCCCGTTCCGAAAGCTACCAGGGCCAAGCTGCGCTGAACCGAGCTGCCGCGTCAAAAGCAAGTTGAGCAGAATTCTCAGACTGCTCTGAACATGCCAAACCACTGATATAAGGACGATTGGTGAACTCGCCAGAATACGGACTCGCGGTTTGTAGCTCAACATAGCGGTTGTTCAGAACAATGTTAAAAGAGCTTGTTAGACCAGGTCGGAAGGTTTTCGAATTGGGTAAAGCTGATGCTTTCGCTTGAATTGCATACAGAATTCTATTGCTTGGCTCCCGATCATATTGTAAAAATAATGCTCAATTGTGTTATGTAATTTATTCGCTGCAGTTCCGTCTGAACCCCAGAATACGCCACAAAGACATTTAACAAGAACCATGCTACGAGCTATAAGCTATAAGCTGATTCGACCATGAAGAGTAATTTGCGGTGGTTTGATGCAATCTGCTGATCAAAGAGCAGTCGTCATCAAATTTCTCCTCACGCAAGCCATCCTACAGAGATCTGACAGGAAGCCCGATAGGTACCAAGGTAATCCGGTGACGGTAGCAGAGTCGACGGCGGTGACCCTGAAGCTTGCACTTGCCCCATCAAGAACCTCATCTGGTAACCAAAACAGCCGAATGCACTGAAATCTGACAGTATTATCAGATCCGCTACATACTACTTCTGAGGTTGACGCGTCATCTCGACAGAGTTGGCATCCCGTGTTCACATACACGCCTCGTCGGAGAGGTCGGCGTCTACGTGACGCTCCTAACCCCTAAGTAACGCAGGGACGATGCGCGCTGTCTTTTCCCGATGAAGAACTCGTTATCCAGTCACTAAGAAACCAGGCCAGTCCGGGTCCCTCGACAATTTCAGAGCTGCGCTCATCCTGTCTTGACGTCTCGCTTCGCCAACTCTCGGTTCCGAGAATATGATCGTCGCTTCGACGCCACCTGAATGCTTCCGTAACCTCGGCTCGCGACCAGTATCAGCTGATCATCCATCGAGCTTGGCATCACCGAAAGGACGATTCCGTTCGTTCTTACGGGATTGGTTTAGTTGATATATACCCTTCGTCTTTCCATCGGTACTATCTGTACCGAAGTCTTGAATATCTTTCGCGGCGGTCTGCGTCGAATGCACATGCCTTGTTGAATGAACCTCCTATTCGGAAATCCGCTATCCCAGGAAACATGTCGACCCAAGCAGTACGCGACCCCAGTGAGTTCTGAGCATACAGCAGCTCGTATAGACGATGAGATATCAACTTACCTTCGACGCAGCCCATGGAAGATGGCTACTCCCATCACAACCTCTCGAAGAATCACTCGACCGAGATCCTGAGACCATTGTGACCCGACGTCGAGTTCTCGTTGACGCGAAAGCCCCGTTCCCGCGTGACAAGGCTGTGGCAAGCGAGGATGTTATGCTCGTGGCCAGTGAGCTGGCTAAGCCTGCTACGGACTCTTGGATATACTACAAGACCTGGGAATACAAAGCGGGAAAATTGAGCGGCTTATCGGTGCCGAAGAATGTGGATATATTGCTGGTTCATGGTGAGTCTCGCAGTGCGATTGGGCTCAGGTTGGTAGAACAGCTTACGCTCTTGTCATATTTATCTTTCAGGCTATCGAGAGTATACGTAGGTCGTCAATTCGTTCCAACATTAGCCTGGTGGGAAGCAGAACCTCATCGCGGAAAACACGTGCACCATATATTCGCGCTTAGGGGTCAATGCGCGTATATGGCACGGTACCTTCTGGAAGCTGGTTTCAGAGTCGTACTCCTTGATCTTCCCGGCGTAAGCATACCTTACCTACTGCATAAAAGCGAGAAGATCGAGGTTGAATCGATGTGTCGTCGCTTTTACGCAGCATGGCCGATCTACCGGGTAATTTCGGCTGACGATTAACCTGAAATGCAAGTGAAGCGCATTGACGCTGATATTGTACCCATCCACACGGCACTGAAACAGTCTACACGGTCATATCGAGCATCCTTCGCTTTTGACCTCGTCCATCAAAGTCGTGTTACAGGACCACCATGATCATACAACCAACGCGAAAACACCTAGCAGGAAGATGTTCGTCTGCGGATCTTGTATAGGCGGGACCGCCGCGCTTGGCTTCACGTTGGATTATCCGGGGTACTTGGAAGGAGACGGAATTGGTGGGACCAAGGTGGAAGGTGTTTATGCCTTTTGTCCGTTAAGTCAGTTGGGTCTGGCGTATTGAGAGGAGATGGATTTCGGCTTGTCTTATCCTCCCCGAGAACGATACCAGTCGATTCGTTCTATGGCCCCTCGAAGCTACAGATCCCGTTTGTCAAGTTGGCGGGTCGTTACGCCAGTGAAAAGCCTATGTACTCCTTGACTAAAGGTAAGTACATATTGAGGTAAAAGTTTGAAGATGAAGCCATCACTGACATCTCACGCTTACGACATTTCGAATATTCAGGCTTGCATTATTGGGACGATAGTTACGAGGAATTATGGAGCCGAGATTGTGAGCATCTTGCCTACAATATGTCCGCAAATGAATGATATGGCGCTTAAGCAGATAAGTTGTACAGCGCTCATGTACAACGGCAAGATGAGAGCGGGTACCGCGGCGTCCTTGGTCAAGGCGTACAAGCAATTACAGAAAAGGATCAAGGAAGTCAAAGCCCGTAAGCCGAGTCCACGGGAGGTCTTTTGGGCGAACCTCTGACGGACGCTGATATAGTAACGTAACATGGCTACTGTAGCTCTTTGCGTGGTACACGGCCAGAAGGATTCCTTGACCGATTGGTCGGCTTCAACCCGTTGGGCTCAGAACGTCTCTAGCCAGGATAAGAGCAGCAAGCTCTATTCGAATACTCATCATGTGATGATCGTAGTAGGTTTTCTCACCGGATTATATCTTCAGCTCTCATTGTAGAAAGCTGAAACGTTGCCGAACATGAATGATGCTGTCGGACAGACTTTCGAGAACAACATGGGGTCTGAGGAGAGATACATGAACGATGTGATTATGGTGGATTGGATCCGATGGCTGGACGACCGTTGTTGAGGTCTACGCTCGGACCGCGTGATAATGTGACTCGAGGTATACGATATCAAAGCGCTGCTAGAAATGCTAGCGGCCTGATGCAAAAACATCTGGGTCATACTCCAAATATTGCACCAAGTTCCATTCCGGCGTTTCAGAGTTGATACTCGAGCGGACATGATTATGTTTTGTACAGAGAATTTGCTTCCGCGAACCTCCCCTCCCCCGTCGACCTCCACCTTGAATTTCAGGCCGACGGTGGTCACCGAAACTGATCGAAGCTTATGAGATCATGCCATCCTCCCCTGATATCTCATAGGATCATAGCTCACATAACATATAGACCACAAGCCAGGTTCAAAGTTCGAGATAACTACGAAAGATGGCGGCTCATAAACGAAAGCAACCCGCCCCGGCGTCCAAGCTGCCTATGCCAAACTTCAACTCGGACTCGGAGGATGACGAGTTTGATCAGGATCGTCGAGCGAGGCCGTCAGGTAGCAAAGGGAAAGCGAGAGCTGTGCCCGTACGGTCTCAATATGACGATGATGATGACGAAGAAGAAGGAGAGGAGGACGAGGAGGGGGATGAAGCGTATGGAGCTGGGTTAGCGGGAGATGAGGAGGGGGAAGAACAGGGAGCCGGGGTGGCAGTTTGGGAGGAAGACGAGATGGAGGGTATGGAAGAAGAATATACGGATGTTGAGAGCGGCGAGGATGAAATGGACGAGGAAGACGATGACCTGTCGGATGAAGGTCGTAGACCGCCGAGCAAACAAGCAGGAAGCTCAAAGGCTCAGATGGCGAGTACAGCTCGATAGTATATCCTTTACAAGGACGCTGGGCTAATCGACCTTGCCATTCCGCTAACAGGCCCAACTGCAAAAAGGTAAGCAGCTCCTCTTGTATCCGACAGCCCTACGAGCGAGGTCTAAGCCGAATCCTCTTTACGCAGACCTTGAACAAGTCCCTCTCTCACTCCTCCGAAGAGCACAATCAAAGCTCCAAAAGAAGAACACCAACAATGACGACTCCGATGCCGATTCAGATGCATCCGGTGAGACGACCGCTTCGATGTCCGGGCTATCCGATTCTGCCAAAGCGAAACGTCTCAACGATATCAAAAGACGCCTGGCGGCCATGCAGCGTGTCAAGGGTAAAGCTCTCAACGTCACCGTCTCTGATGCAGAGGAGAGCGGATCAGATGACGGGCAAGATTCTAGGCGGGATAACGGTTGGGCGATCAGGCGGGAGAGGAGGGAAGAGAGGGAGGAAGAGAAGGACAGGGTGAAGAGGCGGGAAGAGGAGAAGGAGAGGTTGAAGAGGCTGGACAAGCATGCGCCGATGGTCATGAGCGCAAAGAGGATGGTGACGAGGAAGAGGAACGCGATCGAGCCGGAAAAAATTGTGAGTTGGGTGGACCCGGGTCTGTCCCGAGAAAATTGCGAAGCTCGAAGCTCAGGGAACCCTTCGCATTATGGCGTTGCAGGAACGAAGAGATCCTCGATTCAGCTCGATGTCGGCTGGGAACACTGATACGAACCTCACAGCTACCTCCTACTCATTCGTCCCTAAACTGATCGAAGAGGAATACCAGAACCTACGATCCGCACTCCAACTCGCTGTCAAGAGGGAACGGACGTCACCGCGACACGAGAGAGAGGACAGGGTCGCCGAGCGGGAACAACTCGAGAGGGAAGTGAATCGGGCGAGGACGAGGTTGGATGTCGCCAGAAAGGCCGAGCGGGAGAGGGAGGTTATGAAGAAGGTCAAGCAGGAACAGAAGGAGCGTGCCAAGGATGGGAAGGGAACTTTCCATCTCAAGCGAGGTGAGTCGCACGGCTCTACTTTCGAGGTATAAACTTGCAGGGTTTGCTGATCCTACGCGATTGCACTTTCACTTGTGATCTTGATGTCCACAGGGGAGAAGAAGGACCTCCTCCTCAAAGCTCGATTCGAGGCCTTGCAAGCCGAGGGAGGCAAACGGGCGATCAAAAAGGCGATCGAGAAGAAGCAAAAGAAGGTCGCTGGAAAGGAGAAGAAGAGTCGTCCGTTTGCCAAGGGAGCGTTTGGCGGCGGTGGTGGTGGAGGAGGAGATGCGGGAGGGGGTGCGGATGGAGGTCCGAGGAAACGGCGAAAGGTCGGCTAGGATGTTGGTTTGTCTCAACATGCATGCATGCGGAGCATTATCCGCACAGCACAATCGATCAAATCAAGTACATTCATTGATCGACTTTGAAGTGGTGCCGCTTCCTGTTCCTGCCAATTCCCGTCGAATGTCGAGGGAATATCGGTATCAGTTCCCCGTAGCCCAGATCTTGGATTTCGCCCAAACTTCGGCGTTGGGTCGAGGCTGGTCTCGGACGAGAAGGGTCCGAAGATCGGACCATGCATACCGACTTCATCTCTGCGGGTCTGCTGAGGAGGAATTGTTTCGCTTTTCTGACGTTGATACATGACTACTACTGGTTTGACCTCTTGAGCATTCTGGCTTGTCTGCCGTCATCTTTTCGATTTGGACTGACAGACAGACAAAGTCGTCATGAGGATCACCGCCTTTGTCCGCTGTAATCAACGCCGTGCGTACGCGACCTCGGTAGCCGGTTCGCTAGGGAAAGCTGTCGATCAACTCGTCAACGCGGTCAATAATCCCAAGAAGGGTCCCCGAGCAGAGGGGACCATCGCTTCGGTCTTTGCCTCTTTGTCGGGCGAGGAGGCTGTCGCTCTTCCAGCTCGGTTTGCTGATCTGAAACGGTAGGTCTCGGTCAAACAAGCAGCTTGTCGTGAAGCGCTCAGCGAGTCAATGCTCTGCTTGTTGGTAGAGAGATCGCGGGATCGGAGAGCGCCAAGGAAGCTCTGACTGCTTCTTGGAAAGACCTCATAAAAGACCTGGATCACACGACTCGAGAGATCGCCAGGCAGGGATCCGACGTGAGCACCGGTCCATACCGTTCATCGCTGTCAGAAGTTCACGAGACCCCGCATTTGTGGCCTGGCAGATCGTCCCAGATGTGACATATGCGGAAATCAAAGATGGACTTTCTACAGCTAACATAGACGAGGTCAAAAAAAGAGGATGCTTGGTAGTCAGGAACGTCGTACCGGAGTCCCAGGCATGTTTCGCTCGGTCTCGCGAGACTTGTCCCTTTTATGCTGAAACTGCCTTGTCGTGCAGGCCTTGGAATGGCTTGAGAGCATCAAATCGTACATCCAGAAGAACCCTCAGGTGAAAGGATTCCCCGAAGACGACAAGGCAGTGTACGAGCTATAGTACGTCACAAAGCTGTGGTACGAAAGCGGTCTTTCAGGCGTATGTCTTACTTCCGTCTCTCTCACAGCTGGAGCAAAGCTCAGCTCGAAGCTCGCTCACACCCCGCTCAACTAGACGTCCAGCGCTTCCTCTTATCGCTATGGAACAAGAAGTCCGCAGACTCCGGCACGGTCTCCTTCAACCAACCTCTCAGCTATGCGGATCGATTGAGGATCCGTCGGCCGGGTGATAGCCGATTTGCACTCGGTCCGCATTGCGATGGAGGGAGCGTGGAACGGTGGGAAGATCCTCTTTATAGGCAATCGTACAAGGCTATTCTGGAGGGTCGATGGAGGGAGCACGATCCTTGGGATATCGGTAAGATATATTACTTCTGATACGGAAATGTAGAGGGGGCTGACATTGCCCTGTGTGGTGATTGAAAAGCTTCGCGGACCGAGGCGAATACGAATCTCTATGATGGACCCGGTGCCTGTAAGCATCTCCCAGAAGCATGTGCACATCATAGCCTTCTGCTCACTGCAGTCCTTGATTCCTCTATAGGTGGCGTGTTCCGAGCACTACAAGGCTGGACCTCGCTCTCTCATACTGGTCCGAATGAAGGTACATTGAAGGTATTCCCAGCCATCAAAGAAAGCTCGGCGTATATGATGTTGAGGCCCTTCTTCCGGTAAGCTTGGGCAGGCGCTAGACCCATGTATGCTGCCTGTTGTTGATATCGTTCTCCGTTCTTCAGTTCAATCAAACCGAAGATCGCTGTCTCTCGAAAGGATTATCTCGCAGCGGACAACTGGGCCCTTGATGTTGAGACAACCGACTTCCCTGGCTCGCCGCTCGGTCGCTCTCAAGAATTCTCTGACGAGACCCACCCTCACCTCGAGCTCGACAAGACCATGGTCTCGATGAAGAAGGTCGTCCCCGGGGATTGCGTCTTCTGGTACGCAGACGGGATCCATTCGGTCGAAGCCTCGAATCAGGGCAAGAACGCGGCGTCGGTCTTGTATATCCCTTCGGTCCCGTTGACCGTGGCGAACGCGAAATACATCAGGGATCAGCGGGAACAGTACCTGGCCGGCGTGCCACCTCCTGACTTTCCGGGTGGGGTCGGAGAAAGCGGCTTTATTGCGAAAGGTCAGAACGAGGATATCTTGACGCATGAAGGTCGACGAGCCATGGGACTGGCCCCATTCGACTTGGCAGCGGCGACCGACTCCGGAGAGCAAGATCTTCTGGAACAAGCGTAAGTACGCGCTTGGCCGTTTCGCCGTTCCTACGCACTGAGCATGCTTCTTCCGTCTGATCGATATTATAGCAACAAGCTACTGCAATGATCATGTGTCTCTTGAAGGTACCGCAGAATGATTGTGTATATTATGATTGGCTAAATAAATGCATAACCGGACATAGCTTGGTGGTTGTGGTATATTACGGGAGGTGCTACTTTTTGGGACGATATGTCGAGGTATGGAGGTTGATAGAGCAATGCGTAGTATGCTTTCCTAAGGTCTGCCAGTGAAGAGATGCGCGTGAACGACCCGGTATCGGTGTCAGCCAAAGCAAGGTCGGCATCCATAATACGGTCCATGAACGCCCGGTCCCGCCTTGCGCGTGAAATCTTACTTCCCGTCCGAGTCTCCGTTCGTTTGGGGCGCGACGATGAAACAATCCTGCTCAGCCCCAACTGTGTTGGGGTTCCATCAAGAGGTCAGCTTCTAGGCATGATGAGCGACTCTATGTAAGCAGTGTTGACTGACCTCCTGGGGTTTCCTGTGTAACAGTATATTCCTCGCCATCAATTTCGATGAGCCGGCCTTCTATGGGAGTCGGCGACTGGGTACGAGAGACGATGTGAACGGTCTGCAGATGCGAGATCAAGTCAGGATGTGGCTGTTCTGGGGATGTGATCTCTCCGGTGCTTACGTTTTTGTGACGCTCAATGATACCGCCTAGTGATAATGGAAGGTGATGATCAGTACGAGTCTTGCTTCCGGGTCATCGGAACAGCCTGAACAACTCACGCATAACAGCAGCGGTACCCTGCCTCTTCGCGGCCTTCTTGGACTGGTTATCCTGGTATCGATCGGTTTCATCGATGATCTCCTCTCCGATAATCCTGTGGGAAGACGTCTCGGTCAGAATGTACTTTTCGAACCAAGCGGGAGGAAGCCTAGAACTCACTCTTCAACCAGATCCTCCACTGTACAAGCGGATTTAGGGAGTAAAGCAGTATCGGGGTCAGTGAGGCATCATCCTAGCAAATCCTGGTTTCCCGGACATACAGCTGACAATTCCGAGCGCTCCTCGAGCGGCACCGGGGTTCTCGGTGATCAAAAGTAAATGCGCTCGACCAGTCTGGAAGTAGTCCAAAGCCTAAGAAGCGTGACGCGAGGATCTCTTCAGTATTTGTCGTTCCGATGATCAGTCAAGAGAGACAGAGCTAGCTTACCTGGAAACCTGCGAATCACGCAGCAAAGAGAAAGAAGTCGGATCAGCTTTCTGCTGGCGCGGGGATTCCAAAGCGGAGAATGCGAACGTACAGTTGATATCGGGCCTAGCTTCCGGGAGGGATAAAAGTTGAAATTCGCCGACCTTTTGGCACTGCTCGGGATTGTAACTGATCAACTGTGTCACCGCAAACGCGAAAAGATCCACCGATGTTAGCGACCGATTCGTAATGAAATCGGGGGGGCAAGAGGGGTCTTACCTTCTTGACAAGAAGCATACCGACAAAGTTATCCTTCTGACCGGGCTGGTGAACAGGGATTCGGCTAAATCCGCTCAACAAGATGTGGTCCAACAGGTTGTGGTCCAGTACTCGGTCCGTAGCGAGGGTCATGACGTCCTATTTGCACGCGAACAATGATGGCACGGAACTTGGTTCAGTAGACCGATCACAGCGTCATAGACATAAGGTCAGAGCGGCTCGACTCACCTTGATGGGCGTCATGATCTGGGAAGCCTTCTTCTCGTTCAACGACAAGACCCCGTTCAGAATGGTAATCTCGTCATCCCTCAAAGGTTCGGTACCTTCCCGGTGGAACTGCAAGAAGGTCTTTAATTCGGCCTTTCGGAAGCTGCGGAGCGCAAAAATAAGGAGACGACATTGACATGGATCGCATCCGGGTCAGATACCGGAAATGTCGGGTAAGGAGTACTTGGAATGAACACTCACGTGTGGCCCTCGTCAGCTCCCAAAGCCCAATCGAGCAGCTTGGCGATTGGCCAAGCCACCGGGGCTATCGAGTCAGAATTAGATGTTAGCACCAGTAACTCAATGGAAACAGACAACATGAAACAAGGAGATACAGATCAGGCGTAGGATGTGTCTCGGATTCGGACTCACCCATGAGGTACATCAAGGCGAGCACGAAAGGAGCACAGGCTCCACCGATCTGAAGACCATACCGCACGCAGATACTCTATTATGTACGCAGATCGAGGGCGTAAGGAAAGCGTCAGTCACGCTTTCTAGATTAGTTTTCGGTTGTGGTCTCGTCTCACCTGAGGGATGATTTCTCCGAAGATGACGATCATGGTCTGCAAAGAAAGAAAGGCCCATCAGCACCGCAACCACCCAGATGTATGCTTGAGCGAGAAATATCTCAACTCACGGTGGAGACGAGAACGGCGGCGATACCTCCTCCGAGGACGCTGTCCAGGAAGATCGGGAGCGATTCGTTCACGATCTGCACATTCTCACATCGCACGTTTGCGCCGACGAGCCAGATCAAATTATTACCATCAAAATCGAATCCAACTGATGAGCATGCCAAACAGATGATCGAGAAGCCAACGGCTGGTTGTACTCACGACGTTGCCCAACAACAAGACGACCAGGACCCAATGTCTCCCACGTTGGAGCAGCTTGAGGACTTTCGAGGCGTGCTTCTTTTCGGACGGGTCCGAGGATGATTGGGCGAGGACTCGGAGATGCATGTCGTCTGATCCCATTAGAGCCAGAGTGAGACTAGTATACAGAGATGTAACAGTGAATTTGGTGTATAGTCCAGGTTAGGCGCTGAGCGACAGAGGCCTTTGCGATCGACGGAGTCGATCGGGCAGACAGATGAGCACCTTGGTGCTGTGCTCGACTCACCCTGCAAAGACTCCTCCGAGCAAGACGAGCGCAGCCGAGACCCCCAACTTTAACCAAAACGTAGCGGAGTCGGGGGGATCCTCAGGCTCGATGACGCCTCCCTTATGATCCTTGGTCGTCGTGGTATGGATGACCTGGTTGAGGATGACCGGGGATGCGGAGACGAGTTTCGAGAGCGACATGAGGAGGGGGAGTTTGGAGCCCGTCGGGGCTAGCTTGAGAGGGGAACGCATCGCGGATCGACGATAGGTCTAGCTCTAGAGATATAAAATGACAGAGGACGACCAGCTACGGATTGGCTGGGAGATTATAGCTGTACCAAGCTACGATGGGGTGTAGGGTATATATATATAACACGAGGATCACGATGGACCTCCGCACGTCGCTCTCGCAGCGATGACGCGCACACAGACGAGTTAAGTTAGCGGGGCCAATCTGTCCTGGTGAGGGGGTCCGTGTGGATTTGAAGGGACGACGTCGAACAATCACCAGGACAACTTCACCTTGCACCTATCTACCAGGCCTTGTACGACTCTAACTCACATCCGTCAGTGTCTCGTATTCACCAGCATATCTGAGTTGTATATCGATCGCCTCGTCACGTCGCGATCGGCCTAGGAATCGACGTCTGTGAGCGGCAGAAATAAAGCCCGAACCCGAAATTTGAAGCACGTTCGCTTCGACAGATATCAACCTCGCAACTCTGCAAAACACTCATCTCGACAGACCACCATCACCATCACAATCCACAGGAGTTGATGATCATGAACCCGAGCTCGTTACGATACCTTCGAGGCCGAGTGAGGAGTACCGCACCGGTATTCACGGAGCGGACCCGATGCTTGTCCTCCCGACCGAGCAAATTGAACACGGCACCCGCATCGTCTACTGCACCAGCACCTTCGTCTTCACCTGCTGGTCGGAGGACGGAACCCGATTCAGGGGGTAATCTCGTCGGCCCGTAAGTACATCTTCGTTGAGCATGTGATTCGCTGCCAATAATCTTACAACCCGGTGCTTTGCAGGTCGGACCCGATCTCTAACCTCCGTCCGGTCATCTACCGCTCCAAGAACCCCTCCTCCTCCTCTTCAGCCTCTTCATCTCGTCCGTCAGCCTCGAGCCCAGCAACAGGTCGATCGGGAACCGACTATACCCCTTACTCGATCTCGGAGTTCTCGTCGGTGTCGTCTTCAGGGAGGGACAGGTCGGGTTCGGACAGGAGGTTGGGGGAGGATCTGGCAGAGAGGTTGAGGAAGGAGGCTGTTGATCGGAAGAATCACGAATTTTGGGTCAGTTTAGATTCTATGGAGGAGAGCCTTTCTCTCTCAGGACCACGAGGCTGATTGCCTTTTTTTCCCTTCTGTTCTGCTCTGGCCGTCTTTCCTTTTTTTTTCTTTTTTTCTATCGACGCATCGCACCTACACTCGAAAATACAGGCAAAGACCAACCTCCTCTTCGAAGCTCACCAAGCCCACCGTCTCTCCCTCCTCGGCCCCGCTCCTTCCCCCACCACCTCTTCCCCCGACGAGATCGCCCGGTACGCAGCGGACAAGGAAAAGGTCCTCGCCGAGTTTTACCGCGATTGGATACATGCCAACAAGGACAGGCAGGCGAGGTGGGTGTGGGAGTGGTGGGCGGATGTAAGGGAGGATGTGGGGAGTGGGTTGAGGAAGGGGTTGAAGAGGTTGTTTGGATAAATGGGGAGGAGCAGGGAAGGGACGGCTGAGGGCCGCGGTGATTTTGCCTTTATTGCCGCATGAATATATAACACGCAGGATGCGAGATTGGCAGATCGCGTATGTCGAGATCTGAATGTCATTATGCAGCGCTTCAAATGCGGACATTTACAATTCTTGGGGATTTTCTCGTTGTGGACCACTCGAAAAGGTTCCCTTTCACTAGCCTAACATCGGCAGTTTAGGGAGGCTTTTACCATGCCCAGACGGCTTCCGTCTACCATCGCTTCGCCAGCTTGCACGACTTCTGAGTATCTCGTTTGTCGTACCTCGTAGTCACGCGGATGGATCATATGGCGCCCAGGTCGCATGGACACATATCCGGACGTATCTAGAGTCCTTCTTACCGCTTTGAATACAAGAGGACAAGCCGAGCATTGCGACACAAACAATCATCGAAGACAAGATCAAGCAATGACACATAGCCCCACAGTAGCAGCAGCAGTAGGCGCCGTCTATCCGTCAAGGATGGCTGGCTTCCACCGATCGTTCTCGAGCCGTTTCGCATAATAATGTCAATATTTCTATTGTCCTCCGCTAGCCTCTAGGGTGCCCTTGAAGGCCGATGTGACGGGGATTGAGGTGCGGCGATAATTTGGGTCCAGTCGACGCGATTAAGTCGAGTGAGGCGGGCTAGTCAAGGTGGTGAAGGAGGATTGCAAACATCAGGGCTGGATTCTGCAACACCAGTTGTCTGTTGACATCAGCGACCAGAAACAACAGCACATCACCAATGAATGTTCCTGCTACTTTCGTAAGCATAGGTGATGGTTGATACTATCGCGATCTCGGTAGGAGGGGTAGACGGAAGGCCTGGATTGTCGTACGGGTGGGTCTGCAAAGAAGCAAGAAAGAGGTGCTGCTCTGAGTTCATCTCCCGGAATCCATCGTTTCCGCTCTTCGCACACTGAAGCATCTTATTGACAGCCTAGGTTCTGGAGGGCTTGTTCTGACAGTCGTCCTCGAATATGATCTCAATCTATGGGACTTTCGCATACCAGTGCTGAGAGCCGTGGATCCCCTCTGGTCAAGTATCCCCAACAACTCGTCGGAACCAACCTCGAAGCCTCGCTCGCTAAAAATCTAACACCGATTCAACGAGCGTAAGCGTACAATCCTATATGACCGCACAAGGATCTCGCACAAGGATCTTGATATACTGAACCTGGATCGTTCTTTAGCCGGGACGTATTCGATAGGCTGTCTACCTATGGTGATATTGGTCATATCAAATTCAAGAAGATTCCCAAACTTGATCGTATTGACAAACCTTCAATTCGGTCCATCGCACCATCACTACGTTTGCGCTTTCTCGGTGGCAAACCTGCATACGCAGCGTAAGTCGCCTCGACCGACGATCGACTGTAAGGATATGAGTATACGTCTGTCAAACAATATATCCGTAGCCCGTTCAACTACTCGGATTGCGCCTCTTTTTCAGCAGATATTGCCGTTTTGCCTACGAACTCTGTATCTCCAGGTACTCCCATTTTCCATCCCCTTTCGTCTGTGATCTTCTTCCTCTATTACAGCCTACATATCGTTCATCAGCCTCATCACTTCTCATCCCGTCAACCATCGGTCACCGACCGAGAGGCAGGTCTCGGATATCAGCTCAAGATAACGCAGCTTGGATAGATAATCCTGGGTTCCCTGCCGGATAGGATGTTGTTAGCGATGTACTGGGGCGTTTTGTAAGGCGTCCTCGGTCTTGCGCCCGCATGAAACGCAGAGCGCGTGCCCTGACTCTTATCTTGGTCTGCGGTGTCGGTGGACCTAGGGCACACATTTCAAGTTGCGCCTGTGATTTAACCGACCAAACTCGATTCGGAAGTACCAATCTGACTCGACTCTTCCAGAATAGACTATTTCCAGCAACTGCGGTGGTGATTAGAGTTTCCCCTTATACAGCAGATTCCTTAAAGCCTGACAGCGGATATTGCGTTCGACAAGCGAGACTGAGAACATTCGATTGTTCGACCCGAGTTTCCAAACAATATTGGTAATATGGCACGGCATTAGATCATATGCAAGAGGTAGGATAGTGCTGACAGCATGGATATGCTGTCTCTGGATACTTTTCATCCCTCTGCGCCGGATTTCATGACGTTCCGCCGGCACCTTAAACATGATCGGCTGCGAGCAAACTTTCTCCCCAGGAGATGGGTCTGTCATCATGTCGGGACCACTAGCTGTGCCAGGTGTTCCGGTGATTCGATTTTGATGACCTACGTCTTCCCTTCGTCCTCACGCCAAGTCTGAGATATCAGCGCGGCAACATTCGACCTGAAACGCTTGTCGCTCCTCTGTACCTAGTCGAGGACGGCTCACAGCGTTTCAGCCTTCGGCAAGGTCTCACGTTTGAAAAAGATGAGGCAGGCGATCTCCTCGACGTCAATGCGCCACGAGCAGCAGGCAGCATGCAGCAAGCAGCAAATCAACCATGATCCGTCGTCTCGATCTGATCAGAGAGATCGACGGATGATTTGCGCCTCGCCGTCATCGCCTCGTCATGAGGTCGCGTTCAAGAATGCAGGCATCGACAAACAAAACAAACGCGACCCTGGTCACGCGCTTCCCGATTCCCCGATGCCCATTTAGCGATCGAAGCAGTCCCCGTGAGAAAGCGAAAGGAGGCGTCGATGGTGCTGCTGACACCACTTTACCTCGAGGACGCGTACAGACGCGTCGCGTCTCTTCGTGTTGGCTGTTTGCAGCGTGATGCAGCAGGACTCGCTTGATAATAAAGTCGATACATCCCCCCTCGCTCACATACTCGTATTCCCCTACACTTGATCACACCCCAACTCCACACAAAGACACACGCACTTCCCCGTCTTACTCGCTACCAGCCCAACCTCTCTCTTGCTGGTCAAAGTACTCCCACCTGCTGAACCCCTCGCCGTTGATCATCAGCGCGACAGTCTCGATCATTCGATCCCTCCTACCTGATCTCAACCTAAGCACTACTCTATAATCTATCGTCATGTGGGTCTGGAAACGAGGAGGAACCAAGGAGCGTGTAGCGTAAGTACAAAAGCAGTCGACTGCGGGCTCGAGACCACTCGTTCCCCCCTTGGTCTGTTTACTTTCCGGTCGCGTGCTTATTCATCTTTTCTTACCCTCGTCCATTTTCGTACTCCTTGTTTCTCTACCTGATTTTATCGTGAGAACAGGTTCGACAAGATCACCGCCCGTATCAATAAGCTGTCTTACGGTCTGGATAGCAATTTCGTCGAGCCCATCGAGTAAGCCCCGCATTGCGCGTTCAGCCTTCCAATCGACTAGCCCACCCAATGGACCTAACATTCTTCCCTCGTACTCGCAGGATCACCAAGAAGGTAGCGGCCGGTGTTCACCAAGGAGTGACCACCGTCGAATTAGACAACCTCGCTGCGGAGACCGCTGCTTACCTGACGACCAAGCACCCGGACTATGCTATTCTCGCTGCGAGGATCGCTATTTCCAACTTGCACAAGGAGACCAAGAAGACGTTTAGTACCGTTGTGCACGACCTGTACACCTGGGGTGAGGCATTGTCTTGAGATCTATTCTTAGAGAAGGTCGGAATCGCTGATGGGAAGTCTGCGTGTGTATACGAGTGTAGTCAACCCCAAGAATGGACGTGCGGCACCGATGATCTCGCAAGAGACTTACGAGGCTATCATGGAGAACAAGGACCTGCTCGATAGCGCCATCATCTACGACCGTGATTTCCAGTACAACTATGTGAGTCGGCCTTCATTACTCGGAACGACGATTGGCTATGGTGATCTAACGAAAACATGTCCTTATTACTTGATTCGCGAAATAGTTCGGTTTCAAGACGCTCGAGCGATCTTACCTCCTCCGTATCGATGGCAAGATTGCTGAACGACCTCAGCACATGATCATGCGTGTCGCTGTTGGGATCTGGGGAAAGAACGTCGACAAGGTCATCGAGACTTACAACCTGATGAGCGAGAGGTACTTTACCCATGCTTCTCCCACTGTAAGCATACGTGTCGAGAATGGTTCAAGAAGGGCGTCCTGTTGAACTAGATTTTCAATATCCACAGCTCTTCAACGCTGGTACCCCTCACCCGCAACTCTCGTCCTGCTTCTTGGTCGCCATGAAGGACGACTCTATCGACGGGATCTACGACACCCTCAAGACGTGTGCCATGATCTCCAAGACGGCCGGTGGGATCGGTCTCAACATTCACAACATTCGAGCCAAGGGTTCTTACATCGCCGGAACCAACGGGTACTCGAACGGTATCGTGCCCATGTTGAGGGCTTACGACGCTACTGCCCGTTACGTCGACCAGGGTGGTAACAAGCGACCTGGTGCCTTTGCGTGAGTCAAGGTTTCGGGTCGGGACTGGTGATGTCACGAAATGACAGGAGACTGACCTAACCATGAAACTTTTGCAGCATTTATCTTGAACCTTGGCACGCCGACGTCTTTGACTTCATCGACCTCCGAAAGAACCACGGTAAAGAGGAAGTTCGAGCGCGAGACCTCTTTTACGCCCTCTGGATCCCCGATCTTTTCATGCGACGTGTAGAGGCCGATGGCGACTGGACCTTGATGTGCCCCAACGAGTGCCCCGGTCTGGCCGACGTCCACGGTAAAAAGTTTGACGACTTGTACCAGAAGTACGAGAGTCAGGGCAAAGGGAAGAAGACGATCAAGGCGCAAAAGCTTTGGTACGCCATCTTGGACGCTCAGACCGAGACGGGGGGACCCTTCATGTTGTACAAGGATGCCGCCAATGGTGAGTGTCGAGTTGGCGTTACGGCTGGCAGTGAGCGAGCGGCGAGACTGATTGGCCGACCTCCTTTGACAGCCAAATCGAACCAGCAAAATTTGGGAACGATCAAGTCGTCCAACTTGTGTACCGAAATCATCGAGTACTCGGCCCCCGACGAGGTCGCCGTCTGCAACTTGGCCTCGCTCGCCTTGCCCGCGTTCATCAACAACGGACAGTACGACTTCAAGAAGCTGCACGCCGTCACCAAGGTCGTCACCAAGAACTTGAACAGGGTCATTGATGTCAACTACTACCCCGTCATCGAGGCCAAGAACTCGAACATGCGTCACCGACCCATCGGTCTCGGTGTCCAGGGTCTCGCCGACACGTTCATGGCCTTGCGAATGGCTTTCGACGGTCCTGCTGCTCGTCAGCTCAACTTACAGATCTTCGAGACCATCTACCACGCCGCGCTCGAGTCGTCTTGCGAGATGGCCCAGGAGGACGGTCACTACTCGTCTTACCCCGGTTCTCCCGCTTCCGAGGGTAGGTTGCAGTACGACCTCTGGGGAATCACCCCTAGCAACCTCTGGGACTGGTCTTCGCTCAAGGCGGATATTGCCCAGCACGGTCTCCGAAACTCGCTCCTGGTCGCGCCCATGCCAACCGCGTCGACGTCGCAGATCTTGGGTTGGAACGAGTGTTTCGAGCCGTACACGAGCAACATTTACACTCGAAGGGTCTTGGCTGGAGAGTTCCAGGTCGTTTGTCCCTGGTTGTTGAGGGATCTCGTCAACATGGGATTGTGGGACGATGACATGAAGAACAGGATGTGAGTCGCGGTGCCGCAGTGTAATTTGTCCCTCGCGAGTCTGGGTTGCTGATCGTCTCCTTGTTCGACTTCTTTCTGCAGCATCGCCCACGGCGGTTCCGTCCAAAACATCCCCGGCATCCCGGCCGAACTCAAGGCGATCTACAAGACCGTCTGGGAAATCAGTCAGAAGGCCGTTATCGACCTCGCCGCCGACCGAGGTGCCTTTATCGACCAGTCTCAGTCGCTCAACATCCACTTGACCAACCCTTCGATGGGTCAGTTGACCTCGATGCACTTTTACGGATGGAAGAAGGGTCTCAAGACGGGAATGTACTACTTGCGAACTCGACCGGCCGTCAACGCCATTCAGTTTACTTTGGATCACAGTCTTGTCAAGGGTGAGTCTCGATGGCGGGAATTAACTCTTTTGAGCGATTCTGATCAGGCATCTCGCCCTCTTACAGAGGCCGAAGCCAGCAAGCGAGCAGCAAGAGCTTCCAAGCCTGCCGTCATGGCACCGGCACCGGTCGCACCTCCCCCTCTCGCCTCGGTCCAGCCTTCGACGCCTCGAGCCGCAGGAACATCGGCATCCGCCATCAACCCTGCGTTTGCCAAGCTCGCGCTCAACGAGGCACCTGTCGCTTCCCCTACCCCGTCGCATTTGGGCAAGATGTCGCCGCCTGCTAGCCTTAGCCCGTCATCGCCTTCGCCTGCTTCGGACGGAGAGGACCTGAGTTATGAGGAGGCCAAACGACGAGCAGAGGAGAGGGCCGAGGCGGCTCTTCAGTGCAGTATCGACAACAAGGAGGCTTGTCTCATGGTGAGCGCACTGTCTAACCGATTCGACGATTCACGTTACTGAAGCTGACCTCGATCTTCTCGTTTCACTCACAGTGCTCCGGATGAGCTAGCCTTGTGGAGGTCATGCATCGTGTTCTTTCTTGCCATCGCTTCTTTCCGTCCTGTAGAACACATCTTGTATTCATCTAGTTAGATATCTCTCGCACCCTTAGTATCGTGTACTAGCTTCCCGCACGGATGATTATATATTGACAGATATCTCCGACTCGGTTTGGAACGTGCCTAACACCTAGTGGCTCAACGCTCATCTTGGCTTGTATCTGAGCGTATAACCGTCTGCAAGCAACGATACTCTGAGCCTGATACCGACTTATCATCAGCTATAGCCCAAAGATATGATACCAATGTCGTATGGCGCTATGGCCTGAGGACCTGTAATCGTGTCAAACATGCAACCATGCAGCCAGGATTGGAGCGGACCCCGCGCAGGCTCGGACGATCACACGGTACGATGAAACGGGGTCCTCGCGTCCTCGTCGCTTCCGCCTCGCTTCGCGTTTTGGCACGATCGATGTATGAGTACCCCTCTTTTTCATCCGCGTTTGGTCGTCGGACCTTCCATCAACCCCTGGGTTTACGGACGAGTTCGGGGTATGCTCAGGTCCATATCTTAGAGCCAAAGGTAATAGACTACTGTAGGCAACGGGAGATGAGAGACGGGGCCGCTACGAGGTGGGTAATTTGTCTGGCTACAGCGCAGCTCGCACAGATATGGGACGTTGAGGCTGTGTTTGTTTGTTTTTGTTTGTTTTGGCTCGCGCGTGCGTGCTAGATTGCGATGAGCACGAGATGTGAAAGCCCTGGGTTCGATATTCGATTGCAACTGGCTAGGACAGCTGGCAGATACAAACATGGCCTTAAAGCTGCGGGCGACGGTTCAAAGGGGGTGTTGCCAGGGCAAGGAAGTCGTCAAAATGGGTCTTAGTTTCAACTGCGTGTCGAATCTGCAACTGCCGCAAAGTTTCCAACGTCCCTGCACCGCCTTCGTTGTTGTTGCCGGCTGAGCCCGAAAAAACTCCTCTCAAGATCACAAGTGCTTCCGAATCGCGTTTTGGCGCCGAAACTCGTTGCAACCCCCCTTCGTTCCCTTCGTTTCCCTGCGACATCGACGGATCTTCCCCTTCGTCGTCATCTTTGACAACACAGGTTTGGGCTCGTGTGAGGTCTTGCTGGAATCGACCTTGATCAAATCTTCCCAACATCGTGATAGCTTGCTCTTCCCTGGGCGGTTACCTTTTCATCCCAGCCAACCTGCAACTCCCATCCATCGCGCGATCAAGAGACAAGAAGTCCCGCCGGTCCGTGACATCATTTTTCTGCCCGAGACCCTTTGATAGGTGATTCAGAAAAAGACCTACGACGACCACGACAACCACGACTCCGGCCGCCATATTCATCATAGCATTCTGGTAAAATACACGAGTCTACCCTCATAACCTCCGTCTGGGTCGGATTTTGAGCTCGAAGCAACCATGGCTAGCAACAGCAACCCCAACAACCAACCTCCTCCTAACGCCTACCGTAACCACGCCCCTCCCAACCTCGACCTCAACTTGAACCTGGGTCAACCGCTCAGTGCTGAAGAAGCTTACGTCCGGACGCCTCCTCGAGCGGCTTATCAGTACCGAGCTGAAGAGGATCAGGACCTTACTCCGGTTCATCCGAGTTTCCAGAGGGACGGGGATTTCATCTCTAGTGGACCTGCACCTGAACGAGGTCGAGAGTGAGCACAAGGCCTGCCTGCCGTGCTATGGCAATCCTTTGCCTGCTTCATGTAGCTGACCCGATCGCTTGTGTCGGCTGGACGTATGATTCGGATAGACCCTCGATCGACGAGACTCATCGTAACTTTGCTTACCGAGCTCAACCGTCTATGACCTCGCTCAACCAATCCACGTCCACTACCAACCGAGGGGACGACCGTGACCGTGATCAATTCAACCCGACGCCATCTCAGACGAACTTGCATCGGGTCTATACCAACGAATCTCATCATTCCCGAGAACCGTTGACCACCCCGCACATGGATTCTCAAGCCGCCTTTCAACCCTCAGCTGTGTCATCGCAATCGCAACAGGCGCCGACGATCCGTCCGATCAAAGAAGCGGATTACGGGAACCCGAACCACGCTTCGCCGCAGCTCCGACAGGGGGGAGGGTTCGCTTATCCTCCTGGGCAGTATCAGTCGATCCCGTTGAACGATCATACTACGGGAGAGAAGTCGGGGAAGAGGGGGATCGCTTGGGGCGGTGGGGAGCGGTACAGCAGGAACGGGACCAAGGAGGGTAAGTGGAGTCGGACAGGGATTATGACCGTGGGGCTGGTGTTTGAAAAGTCGCTCATTCATTCCACGTTTTGGTGATTTGATAGAGCTTGATCTCTCTAACAACGAAAACAACCAAAACTCGGTCTCCTCTCGAGGATCCCGCCCTCAATCCCGTTCTCGTCCCTCATCAGTGTTCCGAGGTGCGTTCGGTCACATGGGCGGTACGGGAGGTACGGGAACCTCTACCCCTCGTAGCGAGTGGGAAGGGTTCGAGTTCAACCCGGCTACTGCGAAAAAGGAAGAGTTGAGGTACGCCGAGGGAGATGTGGGGAGGAGCAAGTTTGCAAAGGGGTACTTTTACTTGTTGAACAAGTCGATCGTGACGAGGTGGTTCCTTTACATCGTGCCTGTCCTGGTGGTGAGTTCCTTTTGAGATTTGGGATAGCAGACATAAGGCTTTTGGGGTTGCTCGCGGCTAATGAGGTCCGGTTCTGCGATTTGGCCTCGGGGATTAGCTCTTATGGGTTCCCGGTATCGTCTGGCTCGCAGGCGTTCGTAGCGCCAAGATCTGGTCCGTAAACCTCGTGAGTATCCTCACACGTCGTGATCCGCCTCCGCATGCCGCTGACATGATTCACCGCTGTATTCTCCAGCTCTGGTGGTCCATCTGGCTCACCGTCGTTTGGGGCGGATGGTGGGCGGCCGTCGCCGCCGGAATGTTGGTCCCCAAAGTCTTGCAGGCTACTCTGGTCGCCATTGTTCCTAGCATGAGGCAGTGGATCCAGATCTTTAGCAGTCTGGTCAGGAACGTCGCCTTGATCCTCTGGACCATGGCGATGTGGATCTCGTTTACCCCTTTGGTGTGAGTGTGCGAGCCAGAATGTGTTTGTGGTAATGAAAATCGTAGCTAATAGACCTTTCTCGAACCCCTCCATGTAGCATCAATCATTACACCGGCGACCAGGCGGCCAGCTCGAGGTCCACCTTGACTTTGGTGGCCAACCTGCTCTTTGGTCTTTTCCTCTGCTCGCTAGTCATCGGCGCTGAAAAGCTCGTCGTTCAATTGATTGCCTACCGGTTCCACCAAGATTCGTACGAAGATAGAATCAGGGACCAGAAACTGCAGATCAGGAGTCTGGTCACGCTTTATATCAACAGTACCGATATCCCAGGTAGGAGAGATACTTTGACAGAGGCGGACATGAACAAGAAGTCAAGGGATCCGAAGAAACACATCCGGAAGGCTTTGAAGGGGATCAAGAACGTCGCTCAGAATACGACCACGTGAGGCGCATCGCTTGACCCTTCTATCGTTTATGGAGTCTGACCTGCAGGAGCATCCTTATAGTGCCCTTGGGAATGTCGCCACCGAGATCTCGGGACAGTCCGTCCTGCAGACCAACTCGCCTTACAACAAGGTCACCGCCGCCCTCGCCTCTGCGAACAAGTCGAAAGCCCTCGCCCGACGTCTGTTCTACTCCTTCCATAGGGAGGGAAGTGATGTCGTTTTACTTCGTGATATCGCCCGGTTCTTCCCCAACGAAGAGGCTGCCGAGGTCGCCTTTGCCGTGTTTGATCGGGACGAGAATGGTGACGCTACGCGGGATGAATTCGACATGGCCGTCATCCAGATCCACCGCGAAAAGCTCGCGCTGGAGGCTTCGATGCGGGATCTTGATGGGGCTGTCCGGCGTCTTGACGATGTGAGTCTCGAGCAGTTGTCGGTCTTTCTGGCATGTGACTGACGCCCCTGTTCCGACGTTTTTGCATAGATCTTCATGGTCATCGTCCTGGTCATTGTTATCCTGATCATGGCAGCCATGGTTACGACCAAGTTGACCACCTTGGTCACCTCGGCCGGTACCTTTGTGCTTGGTAAGTGACCCATTCCGTGGCATCTGTAAAGCCGCCATGAGCTCACGTCCGCGCCACTATCAGGTTTGTCTTGGTTGATCGGTACTACCATGCAGGAAATTATTGGAGCCTGGTCAGTTGACATGCTAGTATTCTATATCCCGGTACAACATATTCACTCTCATAAAACAACCGTAGCATTTTCCTCTTTGTCAAGCATCCCTTCGATGTCGGTGATCGTGTCGACTTCGAGTGAGCCAACGCCATTTGATGGACTTGATCGGCATTCGCTGATCCCGATTCACTTCTGCAGTGGTAACTCGTACGTCGTCGCATCGATGCAGTTGATGAGCACCACCTTCCGCCGGGTCGATGGAAGTGTAAGTAGAAACCGTACTTTCCGCCCAGATCCGGTCCAGCTAAACACGATACGTCGCGCGCAGTACACCTACATCGGAAACGACATTCTAAGAGCTAAGCTTATCCAGAACATCCGACGATCTGGTCCTATCTCTGAAAGCTTTACGTGAGTTGCAGTTCGGTCAACGAGCCTATTCTACCATGACCTATGCTGACGAGTTGGGGACACAGTTTCGAGGTCGACTTCGCAACCGACTTCAAGTCTTTGGTCGAGCTGCGTGACAAGATGTTGATCTTTTTGCAAGAAAACCGACGAGACTACATGCCGGTCTTTGATGGTATATACATGGTGATGATCACCTGCTCGATTGGCCGCTGATCATCACCCTTTCATACTATAGTTGTTGTCGACTCTTTCCCCGAGCAAGGCAAGCTCGTTCTGAAGGCCGATATCAAATACAAAACCAACTGGCAGGAAGGTGCACTCAAGGTGCAGAGGCGAAACAAGTGGATCTGCGCTCTAAAGAATGCGTGAGTCATAGCAAGACCAGCGCCGAGTCTATTAGGGATAGGCCTAACCATGTACCGCCTCTGACAGCCTTGCCGACTGCCGAGTTTACGGGCCTGCTGGCGCTGGTAACCCTACCCCTCCTCCGGCAGACCCCGTCGCGTACACCTTGGTACCTTACGAGCCTCCTGCGCCGGGTAGCTCCGAAGCTCGCAGCCTGGAATCGCCCCCTCCTGACTTTTTGGCCGCCACCGCTGGCGCCGAGCACGGAGCTGCTCTGCTGGATCAACGCGAAGTCGTCAACGACGCTAGCGGGGACATCTTTGACGATCAGGTCGAGGTGAGTCGTCACGTGTACACACATCTGAGGGATGTTTGAGTTAAATTGACTTCATCACTATTTTCTAGTTCAACGATACCAACTCGGGTTTCGCCACATCAGCTGCTAACACGCCAGGAGCCGCCGCTGCACTGAGGCACCGTCGTGTTCCCGGCGAATCGATCGAGATGGCCGCCACTTCGACTCGACCCAGGGTCTAAGCTGTCGGGATCATGTCACGCTCGACTCGTCACGAAAACAGGCCTTCCTTTCCGATCGCATTGCACTCGAACGCCCTCCAGGATCGTCTCACGAAATCGCTACCCACGCCCAGTCTTTATTATCAATTGCTCGGAACCCACGAAAAACCCGACCGTTCCCGCGCTTCTCACAGCAAAGGCGGATCGCCATGATAGATCTTGTTCTCGTTTGTTACTTGCTAGATGACACAATGCATATGAACGACATTCTTCTCGATTGCACGTTCTAGGTCCCGTCGCCGGTAAAGACAGGCTCATCAGCTCGTCTCGAGCAGCCTCTGAACAGCCCAGGCTATGGGGACGTGCACTGCAATCCGGTTGCTGACCTGCGGAGGCTTTTCGCCACGAAAAGGTGAGTAAGCGCTTTACCATGGCTGATTAGACGTCCGACATCGAGATCGGACTTGTTCTTGATAAACTGATCCAGTGTTCAGTAGTAATCTGGTAATTCTGGTAACTAGATGACTTTGAGATATAGTATCGGACATAATATACATTATTATGGATCAATTCGCCATGGAACTCGCGTCGAAACTGAAGATCTCGTCGTCGAGAAACTCGGCGACGAGTGGAGTCTCCGATGCGGCCAGAGAAGAGGCGATAGCTAGCATCTCGTCTGCTTGGGAGAACATGCCTGGGTCAGATATGACCGTATCGAACCGAGCTGGCCCGCGTCTTGCTGACGACGAGGACAATCGAACCAGGACCGGGACAAACGGATCCCCCTCCTCACCTCCTATCAGCTTTGCCACGACGGAAGAAGAAGAGCCTAGATCGAGAGGAGTGCCCACCCTGGACGAATTGCTCTCGGTTCCGGAGTTCAAGGGGTTCTTCGGACATCGGACACCATGTCCAGGTCGAGAATACGGTCAACATGTGGATGCGCGCAAACGTTAAGTCTATTCAGATGCAGACCAAGATCTCCGAGGGGAACTAGCAAGCAGCAATACTCATAAGCAAGGGATGAGGCATGTCAGGACGTATTTTACCGAGACGCCAGATAAGAAGAAAGTTTGTGCGAATGGACCTGTATCGCGACATTCCATGTGCTTCGCACGACATACTGGCTTAATGCTATTCCGACCGGATCTACCTTCAGTCTTCGATTGACCCATTCCTTGCCCTCGCCTTTCTCCTTCTTAACTTGAACGATCTCAAGTCCAGGACAACAACCACGACCAGCTCCGATGCAGGAAAAGCCCTGCCCCATACAAGGTAAATGAGTCAAATGAACTTCCTCATCATATTAATAACGAGTATGCCATCCGGCTCAACACTGATGGTCCAGAAGTTCTATTCACCACCCCTCGCCAGAGAGAATTGGGCTGAGGGTCCATCAACCTACCTGCATGCAGTCCAAGAGGTGTTGTTGCATTCTCTCATCTACATGGAGGAAAAGATGGCTAGGACGGGAGAGCTCCTTTGCGTACCAGGAGCTGCGGATCCATCAGTGAAAGTCGAACTACAACGGCAGACCTATGGAATAACAACCTGATGCCTCCTAATCTCTAACGCTGCTTCTGCTACACTCCCCAAATAGTCTGATAGCCGCTCTGGTAATTGAGTTTGGCTGACCCGCTAGATGGAGTGAACCTAGGATCAGGGAGATTGCAGGGTACGGTCATATGGGGGATGGGCACTTGCACAACGATGTTTCCCTGCGTCGCACATTTATTTGTCAACAACTTCAGGCCAAGTGCTATTCTGATAAGGACTGATCAAGGCAACCACCGCAGTGCGAAACATGCGGTTAAAGGGCTGGCGGGTTGCAAGGTGCAGGTCGATGAACTGAAGATCGTGTCGAAACACGTTTCTGTGAGTCATATCAGACGAGTGGAGGATGGTCTATTGGAGTTCTCTTCTTCTTCCGCCTGGCTAGAACATCACTTCCAAAACTAGCAAGCCTAAGATGATATCGGCCATCGAATTCGCCCCAAATAAGTTCCCGACTCACTTCGATTGGCACATCGATCTGGATGATTTCGGAGACATCAATAACATTGTCCTAGGACTACCAGATCTGACAGAGCTGTCATGCAGGCCAAGATGTCGGCGTTGCAATTCATAATGGTGATTGCAGTCGAGTACACTAGCTACTACAACTACATTGGAAGCCGAGCATCTGTCTGCTACCGATCGAACACAGTCTCTGCTCCTCTTTTTGAGTATCGGAAAGCTCCGCCTCTGCGCCCAAAAGTTCTCCGCCGTACGGTTCGAAGGGATGTGTTGCCATCTACCGAAAATGCAATCAGTTCAAGACCCACTATAGCCCTATACGCATCATAGTAACTCACATGCATAATGTCCCCGAGCAACTTTCGTCGGGCGAGACCGCTACCATGCTCTAGCTTCTTGATGGTCTCTTCCAGAAGCCACTGACGGAGCACGAACCGGGGGTTTACGCCTCGCATCTCGGCAGACCGACTTTCTTCCCACTTGTCGCCGGCACTTTCCCACAGAGCTCGGTCCTGTTCGATCGCCGCTGCATACTGCTTGAACCACGGTTTGAGCGCGTCTTTACCCTCTGAGCGCTTGTTGGGCTTGGCAGTCTCGACCATTCGATCGAGCACGGCTTCGAGATCCGCCGATCGTTCCTCCTTGAGCATGCTAGGCTGAAACGCACAGAGCGCCCTCAGCGCCGAGTGGAAATCGAGCTCGATGTTGGCCAAGATCTGCAAGAACGGGTCGATGACGGTCGACGAGTTGTCTCGGTCCGACTTATCCGCAAGACCGAAACGCTAAATAGGTGAAGCGCAAGCCCATGATCAGCTCGACTTCGCAATTTTGTTCTTTGCTCTTCAAGATCACTCACTTTGGCATACAACCGCTTGTATTCGGTTCTGAACGCTTGCATCGCAGCCTTTTCGACCTCTTCTCCATAGGCCATTCCAGTGGCCCGCCACTGGTCTAGCGTCTCTTCATCAGCATCCTGCGCCCATCCTTCTACGATCGCCTTGCCGGTCTCCTCTTCCGCGCCAATGACTTCGGCCAAGGACGAGACGAGTTGGTTGATCGCGAAGAGGATCATACTGGGTTGTTTCTGTCGATTTGGGCATGATACCGTCAGCAACCTGACTATGATGATTTTTCGAGACCACCTTAGCTCACTCTGTAGTCGTATCGACCTTCATGGTCGCTGTGATCTGATGAGGAGCGATGTCAGTAAGGTGTCATCGATGAAGTCCCTCAGATCCCGACCTCGAATTACTGCAGATGTGGTATGGATCATACACGTCCATGAAGGCGTATGGACCTATCACCGGAGAGAGAAAAGAACAAATCAGTGGGTGCCGCCTCTTTATTCTATCACAGCCAGCTCGACTGACCGTAATCGATTGTCAAGCCGAGAACGCTGACGTTGTCGGTGTTGATCACCCCATGGCAAAATCCATAGACCTGCCAAGCGGCGACCATCCTAGCGTTCCTCAGTGCCGACTCCATGACCAACTTCTTCCCCCATGGTTCTCCTTCCGGCAACTTCAGATCGAGACCTCCTTCCCCCTTGACCCATTCTCCGAGTATCCTCAACCCTTCCAGATCCCGCTCTAATCCTCTAGAACCGCCACCACCGGGCATACCGAGCATGAAAAATTGCATGTTCATGGCCTCTTCGGGAGGGTTGAGGATCTCAAAGTTGCCGATTCGCACGAAGGAAGGAGCTACACGGGCGAGCAGGCTGGAGGGTTCAGGGCCGTTTTCACGGAGGACTTGGAGCTGGTCTTCCGGATGCGTGAGGAGGGCGAGTGAACGGGAGGTAGGGATTTGTAAGGCGGCCATGGCTGTTGCGCATGAAGAGGGGGAACACAGCCCAGGCGAATAGTCAGGAATGACAATAGAAAGAAATGATTGGAGGCTACTGGCTCACCTTCTGCACACAGGTATTCCCTGACCCCACTTCGAAGGACCGCCAGCCCATCCGCAGACCTAGAGAACGGTGTTCTTCCTGACCCTTTCAATTGGATCTCTTGTCTCCCACCTTCGGGGGAAGTCGTCTCCACTACCATCACAGTAACAAAACAAGGTCTTAGCGAGGGTCTTCGGATTTTGTCTTGTTGACTTACAGATCGAGATGGCCCTCCCATCCCCCAATTGTCCTGCCCACTGTCCGAATTGATGTCCAGCGTACCTCGAACTCCAAGGCCCGTACCCTTCGGATCTGAGCACTTTCCTGCCCGAGACGACGTCTAGAAGTTCTTGTCCCTTGTTGTCTAGTGCCAGCTCTTCGCCTTGTCTTTGCTCTTGTGCTTCAGATGGTGGTGACGATCGAGATTCGGATTGTCCGGTATACGCCAGAGCGTTCCCTACGTCAAGATGAGGTAGGGATTCGTCCAAACACTTGCTAGAGACGCCCAACAACTCGGGCCTCCACGCCGATCTCAATTCGCTCGTCCTCGCTCTCAAGCTGCCTTCTCCACCAACTATCCCTCCTTCCACATCTTCATAGGTATCGTACCTCTTCAGCCACTCTTCCACCCCGATCTGTTCTTCCCCAGCTTCCTTATTCGCCCTGGGTAACCGATAAGGAAACGCCAAAGGCAGCGGGGTCACCCTCGCCCAATGCCCAGCTTTCGAAAACGTCCTCGAACGTCTCTGATCGACAAAAGGTGTCGGGTCAGGGTCGTCGGCTTCGGTCAGGTCGATGGGTGACAGGTGGGCTTGCAAGGTCTTGCTCGGCAGGGGGAGGCGGGTGAAGGGGACTCGGGTGGACATGTTGCGGCGTCGGATGATGGTCGATGCGGGTCTATGCATCGAGCGATTGATACGGGCAGCGGTGTCTAGCTGCTAGCTGATATATATGCTACAATCTGTGAGATGTCGACGGAATGTGTAGAGGCGACAGAAATCTAAAGAGGCTCAGGCAGCTCAGGTCAAGGTCAGCTCGATGCTGACGAATCTCTCATTTCGGAGGTTTGATGACGACATCACCACCCGCCAAGGGCCAGGTCGGGGTGTGGCAAAAAGGGGGGTGTCATCCAATCCAATAATCAATCTACACTCCACATCACAACGAAACATGTCATCCAAGAACCACAAGACTACCATGATACCCGCCTCATCCCGCCCGCCATCAGGGTCAACCCTACTTCCAAATATTCTGGAACGGATCGTCGTCCAACGCCTTTTTCGCGCCCCCTGCGCCGGCACCAGACCCGCCGAAAGCCCCGAACCCGGTATCCAAAATCGGAGCTGCTAGAGGCGCCGCGGTCCCGCCCCAGACATCTTGCGAAGATACAAAGTGCGACGAGTTGGAGTTGGGCTGAGTGTTGTTCGGCTGAGGACGCGCTTGTTGTTGGTATTGGTTCTGCGGAGTTTGTGATGCTTGGGCAGTCTTTGTCGGAGCCTGCCAGACCTTTCGATCAGCTTGGTTCCGTCATCATCATCACCGCCACAGCCGATGACCCGAAGGTAAAACTCACCGAACCGGCCGAACTCCAAGGATCGCTCCCCAGTCCCATCCCCGCAAACCCACTCGTCATCCCCCCAACACCCCCCATCGTCGTCGAAGTAGACGTCGCTCCACTCCCATTCCCCCAACTCGCATAAGCTTGTTGCGGATTACTCTGATAAGCAGGCGGCGAGTTGAACGAGTCTTGTCCGTATACCGCAGGCCTCTGCTGCTGCTGCTGTTGTTGTTGCTGTTGATACTGTTGTTGCTGATATTGCTGCTGCTGTGGCACTTCTTGTCCAAACCCGCTCGTCTGTCTCATCATCCCCGGGACAGGCGCAGATGTAGGCGCGGGTGCCGAAGAGAACAAGGACAAGATGTCCATATTACTCGTCTTACCAATTCCTGCACCGTTTCCACTCCCGCCACCCGACGTCGAGGGAGGTCGGAAGTCGAGATCGAACAGGCTGGACGGAGGTGTGGGTTTCGCAACGGTTTGCGCTTGTGTGGGGGTGGGGGAAGTAGGGTTCGGATGGGAAGTCGAGGTAGCCGGAGCGGTAGTAGCAGTTGGTGGTGCAGGTCGTCCACCAGGAATAGCCGGTGGAGGGCCTGCCCTGCTCGCTGTCTGTCCTTGTCCCGAAGTCGAAGTCGGGGTGGGGGCGGCACCAGCGAAGTCCCCGAAATCTCCTGACAAGAGGTCCACCTCGGGTTGTTTCTTCACAGTCTGGGTCGGGGCGGGAGGTGCTGTCCCTACAGTTGCAGTGGACCGACCTGTCCTGGAAGAACCGGACATGCTGGATAACAAAGGATGCTGTGTCCTGCCCTGTTGTTGTTGCTGCTGTTGTTGTTGTGGTTGAGAAGGTCCCGACCCGTTCCTCCCCATACTACCACCCGAGATCGGCGGGTCGTACCTAGGCGGTTCACCCTGGTGCTTCCCGTCACTACTACCACCGTTCCCGCCTTCTTCGAGTACCGATGGATCTCGGGGTGGATGATCGGATAACACCCATTTACGGGATTCATACTTTGATCGGATGAACGATTCTATCTTGCTGTCAACAGGTAAACAGACGGGTCAGGTCCTGGCAAGTCGATTCGAGTTGAGGTGAGGGCGGTATATGAGCAGAACTCACTGGTCAGGAGGATGATGACCCGGCTTCAGATGCGCTTCCCAGTATAGATTCGCCCGCTTGTTGCCCCATTTCTTCATCGACTGTTTACGCAGACCGCATCACCGTACCGATTGAATGTACCAGACAGACCACTGGGTCAGCTTTTGCTTAAGATCTCTTAGGAATGTACACAACGCGGATCCATTACCATCTCGCGGTACTCACGTCCATCTGTTCCGGCTGCCAAATGTCTAGGTCGATAGACTTTACTTTACTGATATGAGTACCCATGGATCGGTGGATACCGGAACAACGGATACAGAGGTATACTCCGCTGTTTCGTCAAGTACCGAAAGAACGATGTGTTAGCCTGATGATGTGGTGGATCGATCAAAAGGCGAACAAACTGACAGGTTCCATGAAGCCCATCTCGCATCTGTCCGTTATCATCGAATACCACCCCATACCAACCCCAAGATTCACAGTACGTCTCAACTTGAGCTTGCGATTCGACCCCAATTCAAGAGACGGCGACCTACCGTTCTTTTTGCAATCCGCACAGTTCTTGTTCCCTTCCTGTCTAACGAGGTCTCGTAGAGTCCTCGCGTTCCGGTCCGTGGTTGCCTTGTCTACGATAGAGAAGGGCTGAGCTCGCGTGCGTTGTTGAGATCGGGAATTGCGGGCTCACCTTGACGGGACATGATTTCGAGACTGGACGGGGTGAACAAAGTTATGTAGAAATATGAAAGGCGGCCCAAAGTTCCAAGGATGAGTAGTGAAATATCCCCAAGCATATCGTCATATCGTCATCGAGGTCGAGCTGGCTGTTGTGTGCATGCTGTCTGGCTATCCCAGAGCTAAGACTCCGCGTCGACCGCTGGCTTAGGCCAGGAGGGTTGTTGATGTTTGGGGATACTCACTCACTTTTACCTTAACGAACTCGAGCATCGACGTCTTCTCTATACCTACAGCATCACCTCACTGGGACTCTATCTTCACCCGGTGGTGGTCGTCACTCTGGTAGTAACACAAAAACTAGAAGAAAGAAGAACGGACGGCCTCTCAAGATGGAAACCGTAACACCGAGCGATACGCCATTCCGTGAGCTCCTTACCTTGCTGGACAACGCCGACCAGCCTCACAGCATAAAGCTAAAGCACACGACCTGAACCTCGCAGAGGCACTCATGCAGTCTTTCACCTTGATCCTCGTCTCCGAGATCGGCGACAAGACCTTCCTCATCGCCGCCATCATGGCTACGAGACATCCACGGTTGACAGTCTTCTCTGGAGCGTTTGCGAGCTTGTTGGTAATGAGCGTGTTGAGCGCTGCGATGGGCAAGGTCATCTTGGGGTTGATCCCAGCAGTGAGTTCAAACATATATCGGCAGGTCTGCTTTGCCAGTACACTGACTTTGCGTTGCACCGTTTAGAGATATACCCAATTCGTCGTCAGTATACCGTCCTGCGCACAGCTTCAATCCTGCTCGTCAGCTTATCCCTCACGTCCCGTTACGCACGATAATGCAGGCCGCCTTCCTCTTCCTCGTATTCGGCATCCGAATGATCCAAGAAGGCCTGTCTATCCCTGCGGGCAACTCCCACATTCAAGAAGAAATGCGTGAAGTGGAAGACGAGCTCGAAGAAGAAGAAGGCATGATGGATTTCCACGGACGACGAGAAGCTTTAGAGATGGAAGAAGGATCTCATTCTTCCTCGTCTGCGCCAAAAAAGGGACCTACGATCCACACTCACCCTCTCTCCGGACCTCGGAGATCGAAAACTCCTTCTTCATCGCCGAAAACGTTGAAAGAGAGGATCACGGCGGCAGATTTGAAGAACCGGACGAGGAACTTTTGTTCCCTCTTCTTCTCGCCCGTTTTCGCTCAGGCTTTCATTCTCACGTTTTTGGGTGAATGGGGGGATCGGAGTCAGATTGCAACGATCGCTTTGGCTGGAGCGAACGTGAGTCCCGCGTCCGACCTCCTTCAGTCTAGTCTCTTCCCCCTTGGTGAGCTTGCCCGAATGAAGGAAGCCTGAAGCTGATATCCCAAGTGTTCTTCATCATGTTATGTTGCAAACTTATAGAGCGTGTCGATCGTCGCGTTCGGTACGATCGTAGGGCATGCAGTGTGTACCGCAGGGGCCGTCATCGGGGGTCGTCTTCTCTCTACCAGGATCAGCGTTCGACATAGTAAGCTCTTCATGCTCTTGATCTCTGAGAACTCCACCCAAATTCGCGGCCGTATCGTTCTGACTCGACTTTTGCTCCGTCTGTGCTAGTCACCTTGATCGGAGCAGCGGCGTTCTTGTTCTTCGCCGGGGTCTACTTTTACGAGGGGTGGTACGGAGATTCAGGGATCGTCGCTTGATCTAGCCCATCTCTCTTTCCCTTCCTCCCGCGATCACGACACGACGAAGGGCGAGGCTATGGTCGGCGCGAGGCAAGGTAGACAGATAGATGGGAGGGCGTGCATGTATCTCATGACCCAAAGCATTTTCAGCATTCAACATCATTTAGGCCGAGATGTTGCACACGATCTCTGAACTTGAAGGCTGGGTAGACGTAACGTAACCCATCATCATTTTGATCGTGCAGAAAGGGCGCAGAGTCTCGGCTCTAACCCGAATTGCATCTGATCACGGGGTGATTCAGCTTATCAGATTGTATATATATCTAGGTACTTAACAATCGATGTTCCTACCTGCACCTGTATACTGCACACCCTTGGACAGACATTATCAACTGAAGCCCTCTCGTATCTTCAGAACCTGATAGTCAGTAGCCAAGAAGTTATGCGTTTCTCGCTATACGGCGTCGCAGCCATCGCCACCCTTATCGCCTCTGCGTTTGCCCAAGGTGACATGACTGCCCCGGCCAACTCGACTACCTCAGCTTCCTCGATCGAGGTCAATCATCCTAAGACATTGACTACATGGACATACAACCCGATCTGGCCGGACACGACCACGAAGCAAAGGGCGTTGGCTCCGGTCGCTACATCACGTCAGGCGAGTCTCGACGTTCGGAGACGTCCGAGGCTGTGCGGGTGATGCAGCCACCATATGCTGATGATCCGTGCGTCGCCGTCATTCTTCCTTTGGGAACGTACAGCAAGCGGTGGAAATCGCACTAAGAGCTTTCCCGACGTTGCATGACGTCCCGGAGAATAAAATCGACTTCGCCATTGCCCCCAGGAAGACCATGCGGGGTGGGCCGTTGATCAGTATCCTAGACGATGCTTGGGCCGGCATGGCGACATGGACGCCGGAGACAATCATGCTCAGTGTGAAAGAGTCCCCAGGGGACAAGGCGAGGCGTGAATGTCACACTGATACAAAGTACGACCAAGGGCGTGAGCTGACCCTGGTTATGCTTCGAGCAGGTCTCAAGCACAAGAAGGAAAGCGAGTTGACTATGCCCTGGATGACCATCGGTTGCATTGTCTTGGGGATTGTCGGCATCATCCTCTTTTGTGTGTGGTCTAGCCCCGACAAGAAACCGTCGTATACCGCCGTACAGAGCTCCGACATCGAGCCAGGACTACGAACGACAACGCCAGACTATACAAGTCGATCTGACGTTCATCAAGATCGAGAGAAGTAAATCGGCCCGGCCATCGGGCGCCTCATACCACCGAACCGACTTGATCGACGCGATGACTGTACTGTCAGATTGCGAGAATGTGCAACTGGGATGATACGTTACGGCCCAACGTTAGGAGAGCTTGCGGGGGATGTGGCTAAGCCTCGATCAGTCCTGGGACGTCACATGTTGGGGATGGCAAGCCGCGATCTGATAGCAAGACATGATAATAAAGACTGCGCGACCTTGTAATTCGAGCGACTGTGCTGCGACACACGAAGCCACGTATATGTATATGCTGTATGACGACACTGTCTCCTAAGTCAAAGATGACGTTGATCTTCAGTGTCATTTGGACCGACTCTCCCCTACCCTCTCCCGGCCGGTGAGGCGATATTTGGAAGACAGAGCTTCTAGAACGCTGGTGCTTATTGCAAAGGGTTCACACTCTTGCATCTTTGCCTGCAAGCGAAGACCAAGGCCACGTCGTACCCCACCTTCCTGCATTGTATATTACTGTAGTTGGCTGAATGTTGATATTCAGCATGTCAAAGATGAGGCAGCTGAGTTTTGCAAAAACAATCACTTGATCAATCACATAAGTAACAACCTGATGCATCAGGAGGAACATAATCATCTCGCACTTGAGCACAGTTGCGAAGCTAGCAAACCGTTCTCAGAAGTTGGGTCTTTAAGAATCAGCCTCATCGGTTGGGATTCCATCCTCAAGTGCCTTCGCAGTAAAGATCGAAATCAGCTGCTACATGGTGAACAGTCTACCAGTACTCCATCGCGTGAGGAGTCGTTATCGAGCCTCAAATTGGGCGGAGCAGAAACGGAGGGCACATTGACGATGATGACGATGTCAGGGCTCGTACGAACGCTGGGTGTGTCGCGCTGTCACATCGGGCGCAAGCGAACGTATGCCGCCCGGTGCCGAGGACGGTGTGATTTTGCCGACCTGCCGTGAAGGAGATGATGTGAGGCCCCGGTCGCGAGTTTTAGCTGGATAGAAGATTGTGGTTTTTTCTAGCTGACAGCGCCCCAATTGACCAGTTATATCATTTAATCCTTGGAAATCGCCGGAATTTGCCGAGAAATAGCGTGATCGCGAGTTTTATCTAGCTAGAATGCCGTAAATAATCTGATTTAGAGTTTACTAGCAATTCCCCAGACCCCCTGCTGAGCCGCTTTTTCAGGCACGGACTGCAGAGTGCAGAATCCGATAAAATCTGCAAATAATCTGCGCGCAGATTATTTCAAAAAACAGTTTTCTATCCAGCTAAAACTCGCGACCGGGGCCTGATCATGTGACCATTCCACGCCTTTCCTTCGGCCAGAGTATATGCCCGACCATAGTCGGTCTCCAGCCCTGGCCACTCGCCCTGTGTTCGCGCGTCCGGAGCCGTGGAGCGGCACTACAGTAGCGCGCGTGGTGTTTCAGATAAATAGGCCGAGAACCACAACGTGGGGAACTACCTGCCTCGAGGCCTGATCTGTTATGGAGATGGAGCAAGTAGGTGTGCGTCAGACTGATTCGTAGCGAGTGACATGGTCAGTCTGCTCGAGTATATGTATGAGCAGACGAAACTACGTGCGAAGATTGCCGCATGCATCTACAGGTGCATACAGTATCGACCGCATCATCGTCCACGAGCACTCGAATCCATATATCCACCGTACCAACCATCAATGGGCTCATTTATCATCTTCCTAGTATCCTGTCTGGTTCTTTATACTCAAGCCGTTGTCGGACAAGGGTCTGATGACCCCGTTCCGAAGCCTATCGTCGAGTTGGTGCCCAATGTAAGTACGCAGCGTGCGAGCAACAGACATCGACCTCATGGCTCACTATCGCCAATGGTACGCGCAGAAAACTCTAATTACCGGCCAAAGTTTAACATTCCGATGGACAACGGACATAACGTCATCGTCCGATCAGAACTTTACCGTCTGGGCTTCCGCCGACTACAATCACTCAGCCGACGCCGGGAATGACACTGTACGTCCATACGTCAAGGCAAGACTCCTCGGATAAATTGACTTACCGGCGTGATCGGCTGCAGTTGCAAAATCACTGGTATTTGGCAAGCAATACTACTGAGCGGCAACACACGTGGTACTGTAACCTCAGTGCGAGTACAACGATGTAAGTCCACTGATGGAGCCTTTCTCAAGGAAAGTCAATAACCGACCATCTCCTTGCAGAACGTTCATCGTTTTCGCCGAGTCAACCCGACTAGACACCAGGGGAGACCTTACGACTCGAAAGTACTTTAAAGACCCGGAAAGTTATGTTCGATATCAGCTGGATAATGGATCGACGTCGCACAACTTCACCGTCACTGCGCCTGCTAACGAGACCGCCGGTCAAGCTGGAAGCCCTGCCAACGACGCGGATCTTTCCATCAGATCGTGAGCTACCTATGACGATGAACCTGGGGACCGAAACTGACGTGTCCACGAACCCATGACAGGGCGTATTCTCTCGGAATCCTTACCCTCGTGGCTCTTGTCGTTGCGCTTTCTATTCTTGAATTCTGAGTGACACTTCAAGTGCAATTTCAAGTGGACCAAAATATCGCACAATCTCCAGCACGAATCCTTCTTGTAATAAATAGGCCAGTCCCGCGCGAGACTTTTGTTTAAAAATAATGAAAACTGCCCTTCATCACAGACAAATTTACCAAAAGAAGAAGAGAAAGCTTGAAGCGGCACAGTTAGTCGTATAGAGATCGTTCCGGTGGAACATGCGTCGACCCAAGCCCAGATAATTTCACCTGACCTGTACCCAAGCCTGGCTGCATGCATCGCATCGAGAGGGTCCCCTACATGCGAAACCGTCAGCTTCATTTGCTCATACTTGTTTTCCGTGTTCCTCAACCGTGCGCGAAAAGCCCTGGTTCAGTGTGGGTTCATGTTGAACCGTCCCACCGCAAGATGAGCCACTGTATCAGAAACTGGTGATCGCGCAGGAGGACGATGAAGACCACGATAGTTTGATCGAGGTGAACCATTCGAATTGCCCTCATGACGGCCTGAAAGTTCAAGGTGTCGTATCTTGGCCGACCCATCTTGCCAGGCAGCTGGTACGAAGGCAATGTCGCAGGCAAGCTATCGTGTCCTCCTATAATTGCAGGTGAAAATGTCATCTCGATGGTCATCATGCCGTCCGGCGTGGTAACATTTGAAATTCCTTCTTCAGACCCATCCTCTCCGTCACCACGGTCGGCATACAATAAACCGGGTCGATATCCTGCAAGCCCGGGTAGCCAAGCATTGACAGACCTATCAAAATGCTATATGAGCTTCCCATAGGTGCTGGAATAGGCAGTAACGTGTACTCACCCGCAAGGCCGAAAATCGTATGAAAGACGTCTACCCAATCGCCTGGCCGGTCTGCTATACCTCCCCCTTCAAGGTCCTGAGGAAGAGATGCAACAGCGCTCGTTAGCTAGACCCTACTTCCCCCCCGAATCATGCGGTCGACTTGCCTGTGATTCCAGGATGAACTCGATGAGCTTTTCCTCGTTGATCCAGTGCAACTTCCCTAGTATCGATAATGCCGACAGATTCCACCACGAGTAACAAACCTGTCATGGTGCGCAGTAAAACCAAGTCATCAGCCTGGTCCTCTACCATACTTCAATGAGGCTTAAGCTGAAGAGAGCAAACTCACGTCTTCCAATTTTTCTGGCCGCCCATTCAAACCTCCGTTGGGTAGTTGTCGTTCGGAGAGCCACCATGCTAGCGTTCCGACGTCTACCAGGTCTAACCTGTCCAGTATCGCCAACGCTGCCACACAGACAAAGACTGTATCGAAGTCCCGGAATATCAGCCTTGTGTCTGCGTCGAGACATAATGCAGCCAGCCATTCTTCAACTCACTTTGACCACCATGACTCTCGCTCCCCTCATCCGACCCGAACCCTCCATCGAAATTCCTACATCGCTCGATGTGGCCGATGACCAACTGCCTCCCTTTCCCATCTAAAGCTTCGTCCAGATCTTTCAGTCGTCCGAGTAGCGATAAGGCCGATACGAGGATGTATGAGAACCGGGTATCTGTCTCGCCCCAACGGTCGCCTGCTACTCGACCGGTCTCGGGATGTACTAATGAGAGGAGGACTACAGATTGAACTCTTTATCAGCTGCGAAAGGGCTAGACAATAAGATGTCCAAGGGAGGCTTACACTTGACCAGGCGGTCGGTATTCGCGATATCCAGGCTGTCTTGAATGGCTAAGATCTGTATTGCTGATAACGTTGAGAGAAGATGTCCGTCGTGTTTTGGGTGAGCTCCGAAAGCTCCTATATTGTCCAAATCAACGCAGGGACATATCAGCAAGTCTATAAAATAGACGGACGGACGAAAGACGGTGGGACTGACCCATATCTTCGTCCCAGCACGACATGACGTATCGTACCATCTCATCCCGATCCAGAGCGTCTTGTCTGCCCATGATACACAACGCGACGAGACCCCAGTAGACTCCGTTCATACGGAGATGCTCCGTCAAGTGATAGCTCAGGTCATCTTTGTGCTTGATGCGCAACGTAGTCGGGTCAGGTTGTCATCAGGTCGGAGGGTTCGGTCTTTGTGGTCTGGCTGGGATCTTACCGTGTCGAGTTGCTGGATGTATCGGACATGCAGGTCGATGTCTAGATGTTGCTGCTCGGGCATCGTTCCAGGTTTGAAAGCCTTTTCGAAGTTCTCCTGTGGCCTGTTACTATGCACGACGAGGAGACTTGTAGCCGTCCGAGAGTAGGATGAGAGATGTACAGCATCAAGTTGTAGCGAAGTGCTACTGTGTAGCTGTCGGTCCTGCCCGCGGGATCGCCGACCTGGTTGTTAGAAGCGTTTGCATGTGAAACTACGTATCTTGTCCACAACCTCTCGCCTCATTCCAGCTTGCAGAAACCCGGCCCAAAACCGATCGCAAATGCCATGATACATCGAAAAGGAACCCTCCAGTCAAGGATTAAACGATAATAGTGGTGGTATACAACGTGAAAACGGAAAGCATACAGCTTTCCGTCAAAGGGGTGATCAAATCCCTCAATCGAAAGTGATCTTTTTGGCTTTGGGAGCGTCAGAGATGTCCTACAAAGTTATCAAGCAAGTCAGCTTTCCTGCTCATATAAAGAAGGTAGCGGAAAGCAAACCCCGACTCACCCTGTAGAAAGCACCGTACGAACCGTGCTCTAGAGGAATCGCCAAGTACAAGCATCAGCAGAACGTATCAAAGACTCGTCTTGCATCTGACTCACCCTTCTTCTTGATGGTCGAAGGGAACCTGTTCATACCCTCCGGAATCTCGGCCCCAGCATCCCTCAACACCCGCATGAATTCTCCAGCCAAAGACCTCTCGTGAGCCTCTCCGGTGAAGAACGTGATGGCCTTTCCTTCCTTTCCAGCTCGTCCGGTTCGTCCACATCGATGCACAAAGTCCTCTGAAAAGATGTGGAACAACGCAGTGTCAGCGACAAATGTTCCGCGAGGAGTGAATATACACGTCATGATGACCTGGACTCACCGGTGGTCAAGGGGAACGTCACGTTGATGACCAGCTGGACATCGGGAATGTCCAACCCACGAGCAGCCACATCGGTAGCGACGAGCACATTGACCTTGCCCTCCTTGAAAGCGTCCAACGCCTTGAACCTCGCATCCTGGCTCAAGTCGCCGTGCAGACCGGCGACCTTGTATCCGGCGTTCCTGATCGTGTACTCGAGCCTGGTAGCTTCCTTCTTGTACAGCGCAAAGACGAGAATTCGGGCGGGCAAGGGAGAGTCTTTAGGGTGGCTCTTCATGAACGTTCGGAGGTGGTGCAACAGCCTCGGGTCCTTTTCACGCGAAGTGTCCATGACCTCGACGTCTGAGTAGGCAAGCAGACATTGGGCAGAAGTAGATCAGCACGCCATACGTTTCGATTCATCGCTATAGACCAAAATGAGAGGACACGGCGGGACTCACTCTGCTGGATTCGCTTGTTGGCGCTCAACTCGTCGCTACCGACAGTGATCTTGATGGGCTCGGTCAAGAAAGTGCTCGCCAGCCTCCTGACCGATTCGGGCCAAGTCGCCGAGACTGAATCCAGAAGCGTCCCCTCGTCAGCCTTTCATCGCCAGGGGAACGCTGTGAGTGATGGAGAGGTGTACTCACACATGACGGTCTGCCTCCCGGCCTCCTTCTTGGGACAGAACCCGATGATCTTTCGGATGTCGTTCTCGAACCCTTGATCCAACATTCGATCGGCTTCGTCCAAGACGAGGTATTGTACGCTACAGGATCACGGTCGTCAATCGATCGTCGGTGCGGATCAGCAAACGAGCGCATGAATACCGGAATAAGATACACCAGCGGCTCACCCGGAGAAATCGACGTCCCCGCTATCGGCGAGATCCATCACACGCCCAGGCGTACCGACGACGATGGCCGTCTCTTTCTTCCTCAACTCCCTGATCTGCTCGTCCTTGCCTACACCTCCGTAAAGACAGACGGCTCCGATCCCGACCAACTTGCCCAGGGCCAACAACGTCGTATAGGTCTGCGTAGCCAGTTCTCGAGTGGGAGCGACGACGAGTAACCTGATCTTGCCGGCGTCACGGCCTTTACCCTTGGCGTCCACGGGGGAAGAGGTCGTGCTCAGCACGTTCAGACCGGGGAGGCCGAACGAGAGGGTCTTTCCCGATCCGGTCTCTGCGATTCCGACGACGTCTTTACCCTGGAACAGCGGAGGCCAGGAACAAGCTTGGATAGGCGTAGGGTCGGTGAAGGAGGCGAGGTAAGGTCGCAAAGCCGGGTTGATGGGCAGGGTGGAAAAGTTGAGAAGGATGTTGTAGATGTCCGGGGTGAGGGTGATGTTGTGCTTCTCCAGGTATGCTTTCGAATCGGCCGTCGAAGCGAGCGCGGCGGTGAGGTTGGCAGGGGTGACCGAGGAGGAAGAGGTTCCTTCCCCGGGGACGTCGTTGTCGTTGACGTTACTGCCACTGCTCTTCTTGCTCTTCTTTTCCTTCTTCTCCTTCTTGCTCTTCTTCTCCTTCTTCTCCCCGCTAGCAACGACAGTCTCCGGCTCGTCTACCTGCATAGCAGAAGAAGTGTTCCCAACCGCATCCGCCACGACGACCTCGACATCCCCCGCGGATTCAACTACGGGCAGAGTCTTCTGCTTCTTCTTCTTCTGCTTCTTGTCCCCGTCCGACTTGGTCAACAACGAAGGGTCCGCAGTGGATGCCCCCTCGACTTCAGCATCGGCATCGACATCAGCCTCGGCTTTACGCTTCTTGTCCTTCTTCTCCTTCTTCTTGCCAGCGTCGACAGCAGGAGCAGCAGAAGAATCGACGGCGACGTCCTTGTTCTTCTTGGATTTCTTGTCCTTTTTCGAGACCTTGGCGACGTTGACGTCGGGCACGGTGGTATCGTTTGACATGTTTGAGGGTCAAGGGTATCTGTTGAGAGAGTTGGGATTTTGTCTGGTACGAAGAAGGGGTAGCGGACGAGGTTCTACTCGATGCGAAAAAGATCTGACCTTAGGGAACCCTCCGTTCGCTGAAATCTCGCCTCTTTCCGAGTTTCAAGGTCACGTGATCGATTCACTTCTACTGCCACATCGTAAACAAAGATTTCCGAGTAACGCTGGTAGCACAACCCGCAATAGCAGCATCCGTTCATATGGCCGACATATCGCTTGATACTGAGCTTGGAGAAGGCTATCTCGTGGAAACGGCTACATGCCTGATGAGGTGCTCGGCGTCATCCCCTGGTAGCTGGTAGCTTAAGAAACGCATCGCGCCTGGCTCATCATTTGACCTCATTATCACAAGCTCGAATGACCGTTGAGGGTAGGCTGATAATAGGCCATGACATAGCAAGTAGACACTGTGTAGTCCATCTTGATTAGCTGAAAATGATGCTCAAGGTCTTTAGGATCGTATGCATCAGACGTGTTTCACAAGAAGCAGGCGGAGGCGATCGATGGTTCTCGCCCAAGTCCCTGATGGTCGACTCTGAGTCTCGGCTCTGTATCCACGCGATTGAGATTATCGGAGCGGGTAGGGTCTCAAGAAAACTAGGAAAGAGATCGGGGACGATGGCGAAACATCGCTTCATAAAGTCAAAGACCTTATAGAGTAATACAACCTACTCTACATCCACATCATACCCTCATAACTCCACTCGACTTATCGAAATAATCAATCCCCATCATGTTCGCCTCCCGATTACTCCGAGCCATCTCCCGCCCCACCTCCTCGATCCGCTCCACCCCGACCTCGAACTCGACCTCGAGCGTCCTCCTCGGTTCTCGAAGATGGAACAGCTCGGACGCCGCTAAACAGGCTGAAGAGGAGAAGATCAACAAGGCCGCTGATAAGGTCGATTCCGCCGCCGAGGAGGTGACGAAAAAGGTTGCCGAATTGGAGACGCAGGTCAAGGAGTTGAAGGTGGGTCTTGAGAGCTTCATCGTCTGGTCTCCTACCAGCTGTGGTATCCCGACAGATGAAGATGAACTGACATGTTGGAAAACCCCGTTCGTGTTTGGTTCGCGACTCGTAGTCCGCATTGACCTACGGCAAAGCCGACTTTATCAACCTCCAAAAACGGACCGACCAAGAGAAAATCACCGCACGGGAATACGCCATCCAGAAGTTCGCCCAAGACCTCCTCCCTACCGTCGACATCCTCTCCACCGCCCTGAAATACGTACCCCAACCTATCCCTTCGGAGAACACCGCCCTGACGGCGCTCTTTTCTGGCGTGCAGATGACGAGGTCGGAGCTGTTGAAGACGTTGAGCAGGCACGGGGTCGTCGAGTTTGACCCGACCGGGGAAAAGTTCGACCCGAACGTTCACGAGGCCATGTTCCAGGCGCCTATTCCGGGCAAGGAGGCGGGGACGGTGTTTGAGACGCAGAAGAGCGGGTTCATGTTGAAGGGCAGGACGTTGAGGCCGGCTCAGGTTGGGGTCGTCCAGGATACCAGCTAGACGGGTAAAAGCAGGATGGACAGCATAGATGGGATGATAGAAGGACGAAGACATGGGAAGAAGAATAGAAAGAAAAGAAGCGACGGACGTACGGCGGGATGTTCACAAGGGCAAGAATACGACATGCTTCCTACAAACCCGTCGCCGAAACAACACCCACCTCGGGAGACACAGACATACATACACACTGCTTCGACATTCTACGAAAAACAAAACAACTCAACGCATCTGTATCACTAGACTAGACCACCACCCAGCCATTAATGATTTTGGACGCATATGATGGGGATGTGACAATCCGCGAAAAGAAAAAAGGGTTAAAGGGAGTGATAAGGCTATGGAGGTCGGTCCGATTGACAAGACGCTTTGCAAGCACTCGTAGCTTTCAACATGCGTCTCCACGACAAGGAAAAGTTCAGCACTCGGCAGGAGAATGACTCTTCAGCACTACCGCCTCTTCCTCTCGCTCTCACCTAGCGGTCGCCGTGATCGGCTTGGATGTGACGTTCTGGTGTTTCCATCTCAGCAGACAGGGAAGTAAACTCGCTCAGACTCATGATTGTATGTCTGCTATTAAGAGTTGTAAAGGTTGTAGGATGCTCGTCCTCAGAGTTCACCTGAAGGATGACCCTCCGGTGGCATGCTTTTGGAGCGGCAGCGTTACGTTGACAGGCTGCCTGCAATCAGCATCACGAGATTGGTTTTTGCAGGAGTTGATCGTGCTTGCTACTCTTTACACGCTCTGCCCTTGCGAACTTTGCCGGACAACCCTTCTCGGTACCACCTGCGGACCTCGCCGATCGGCGAGTGAAATATCTGAGCAGTCTGCTCAAAAACGGCGTTCGAAGCCAAGACGAAACTCGTTAGTACTGCAGGTAGGATTCTGTTGACAGAGTCACCTGGAGCTCAGGAACCAGGTACCTCTCCGATGTGTGCCAGGACCCGCGAAAACGATCCAACACAGTTGCTTGCCGATCAGCAGAGAAGCAATAATTCCCTTCATACGATCCGTGATACAGTGGCGCCACAAACCCGGCTCTCATCTATGTCGCTCGACTTCTCCGTCCGCGCCAACCTTTTATCTCCTTCAGCAGTGCGACCAGCACGGGAACAGCGACTGGTGCGAACAACGGCGTGTAGACCGCATACTTGTGCTCGTCCGGCTACGAAACAGGAGTTAGCCAACTCCAGCAACTAGCTCGTCATCTTTGATAGCGGGACCTTCGACTTACGAAGTAGAGGAGACCCATCATTGACGGGTTGAAGAACGCCTTGTTGGCGAGTTGGGCTGCTTCCCGCGCGGTCACGAATAAGTCTCTCAGACCTGCAGCAGAAGCCGGCACGCCGACGGCCAGCTAATGCGCACAAGCAACAAGTAAGTTGTTTGGAACATTCGGAAGGGGAAGATTCGGAGTTTCACCTTTTGTAACGCATTCACAGCACCCTCAACGTCGCTCCTGACTTCCTTATTGATGACCATCTCCTTGATCCTAGCGACCAACCGCGTGATGCTGATCAATGTCCCCTTGGCATCCCGCAGGTTGGATTCGGTAATCGAGCGCATGAGATTGACCTTTTGCCACTGTGTCATCGGTAAGATCCCGCCTCCGTCTTTCTGGTCGACCGTTTTGTACCTGGGGTCGAGAGGAGGCACGCCGAGAAGTGCGTATAGCTGGGAAGCAAAGTAGGCGAACGCGAGTTCGAGTTCTGCCAGCTCTAGACGCCGTGCAGTAGGCAGTCCTTGGGTGGTGTCCGCATTCTCGACCGCTGTATCTTGATGAATGACAACACCTCCGATCTGAGGAATTAGAAAGGCCGGCGACTCGTCTGATCCGTCGAATATTCTATGCATCAGCTTCACGGCATTGATAGAAGAAGCTGAGAGTCGGTTGTGCATACCGGAAGTTTCGAGCCTGAGTGGGCTATGTTTCAACGAAGGAATGAAGAGCAAGAATCGCAATACCGGGTCATTCGAGCTTCCCGAATCTGATTTCCGCCCCCGACTACGTCAGATAATCGTGACAATACCATTGAACCAGAAGATACGACTCACCCAAAGTCCACTGCTCGTTGTTGACGAAAGTCTTCATGTGCTCCTTCGTGACCATCCACTCGTCCGTCTCTGTCTGGATCGGTGCCGACTTGAGAGGAGCATGATACACGATCTGCGATTCGATGGCGAAATCATAGAGATCCCTTAGGGGTGCGAGATACGGCTCGAGCGATCCTGAAATGGCACCGCGACCGCCAAATCAACATAATATCCTCTTTCAATAGGAGTCTAGAAGTTGCTCACTGGCAATCACAGCCTCGACGTCCCAGTCAAAGGCTCCTCCTCCGAGGGTCGAATCTTCGTTCAGAAGCGAAAAAGCCAAGTTGACCCGTCTCGAGTATTTGATCGCCCGAGCTGGTCTCGGACTTGGTCTCGCAGGTACGAGGTCAGATAATGCCGTATAGATTTGAGCAGCCAGACCATCTGCCAGACCGGTATGAATCCACAGAAACGTCGTTAGCGGGTCTCTTCTGAGCTGTGTTGTCGAATGAGATATGAAACTGACCCATTAGGACATCTGTTGGTGCGTGCTCATAGGGCACCTCGATGATCAGATCCCCACCATGCTGCCCCGCCATGGAGATGTACGGTGCCCTCCCTGTCGAAGAATCGAATCGGAGCTGTAAAGCTAGTACCGAGGAAGCTTGAACTCAAGGTCCCGGTTCATACGGACCTCGGACAGACGCACATACCATTCTCTGCCTCGATGTCCACCTGATTCTTCCAAGCGAATCGCTCGCAATCCAGCTGGTTAGCGAGACAATATCGCTCGCAAGCTCCGGCTGTCCGACTGGCAAACTCCCGCCGCTCCTGTTGGTCAGTTATGAACCTAGGTGAGGCGGAAAAAACCACCGGTATCGACTGCCTGTCTGCCTAAGAAGAAGCTGTTCATGTCAAGCAAATTCGGGGACTAGCTATGAGGTTTCAAGCTCACATGCGAAAAGTCCATCCCCTCCACCTGGCCCGTAGGTAGTGGTCTACGTTCTATCGTCGTCGTATGCCACCAGAAAGGGATCCCGACGAGCAAGATGGAGAGGTACGAGAGGATGTTCCATAGTCGAGCTCGAGGTGAAGCGTTGATGCAAGCATCTATCCGACGTTGTTTCGAGCGCTCTTGCGACGGCGTCGCTACACCAGACATGTCTTACAGGACCTCAGGACTACTTGCAGATATTCTATGGTATATGAAGTGATGCCGAATGGTATACCTGTCGACCGATCAAAGCCGGTTGGATGATGAATCGACTTCAGTCTGCTGCTCGCGGCCTCCTCGCCGGATCGCCGGCCAGCGCCGGGAACCTCGACATATTTACTTCGAAACCTCTACGACCTCATCGAAACCACAACTATCACTTTAGACATCAATTTCTCACTTTCGTCATTCCCATCCACATCTCATCATGGTTCTCGGACGACTGGCTCATTATGGATTCGACCTGTTGGCGGTCTCGACGATCGTAGCAGGAATCAAGAAGACTACCGGTTTCGCGTGCGTATTCATCAGCTCTTATTAGTTCAAGCTCCTCGCATAGACCTTTTTTCTAACAGGTTAATGTTCTGCTCCATATTAGCCCGCAGACCGCCTTGATCTCCGATGATACCGCTCGATCGGTCGCCGACTCGTACCTGGGAATCGGAGAGACGATATTCGCCAGCCTGAGCGGGATCGCTGTGAACAGCCAATACTGGGGACGGGACCCCAACCCCAAGCGATGAGCTCCCGGCAGCTTCTTGCTTGACGGCAGGGAACAAGGAAGTGAAAGGATCTAGATGAAGAATGGACCATGTTGAGGAGCATATTAGAGAAGTGGGCGGAAGCAAGGGATGCTCAAAAGCGGACGATCCAGCCAGCTTCCAGTAGCTGTTTCATCTCGTGAGTTCCCCTGAGCAGTTGTGTCGACGTGATCGTGCATTGATTCTTCGAGCGTTGATCGCATCAGGAAAATGTTATATAACGATATGACAATCATATACACCGAACAACGATTGTGCAGCCGCATGCAGAAAATACGATACATTGCGATACCCCAGATTCAACCTTCACGCTGGGCAAGCCGGCCGTGTCCTATGGTCTTCCTTCTCCTCATCAATATCGACTGTTTGATGCTGACGGCAGGACAGCCTAACGGATACTTGAGCTTCCTTTCCCGGTCCGGGAATTGTCAGCGCATCATAGCGTTCCGGTCCTCGGTCGAGATCAGAGGTCAGGTATCTGCTTTTCCGAACAGTCGACAACGACGGAGCGGGAGGTTTCCGAGCAGTCAACGACGAGACGGAAGGTTCTCATTTCCTCTTTGATGAGCTGGGGGGTCCGCACAGGGGGTGGACTGAGGGAAGATCCATTCGCCGGCTTTCAACAAAGCAACATAAGCAACTACAGTACGAACAAATTTGCCACGTAAGACTTACCAGGCTCCTTCGGGTCCGAAGCTCTCTCTTTGCCCTTTGGCTCTCCATTCTCTTTGCCGCTTGGGTCCGGAGCGTTCTCTTTGCCCTTCGGGTCCAAGTCCACATCTTTCGAGTCCTGATCTTCCCGATCCTGTATGTTCTTTCTGATTTGACGTGGGACAAACATCGTGTATGCGTGCAATAGCTCATGTAAAAGAGGACGTCGACTGGAGGAGTGTGCGCGTGGCAGATGCAAGGACGGAATGTCATGGTTTCGCTTCCTGATGCAGCGTGATAGGGAAGTCTCCTTTCGGCCTTTCGTGGCCCTGACGACAGCATGGCATGCTAAGATCCTCAGTACAGATGATTTGCCATATCTCGTCTCACAACTACATCTAGATCTTTGCCTTTACAAATTCTTCCGCTTCCTTCCCGCTCCCGAAACCTTCGTCCCTCCCCTCGATCTCTTCCTTGGCGACGCTTTCCCCCTCAACGACCGGTTCCTTCTCTTCCTCCATATCCCTCTTTTGTCTCTCCCCATCCCCGAGTCCCGAAGCTGATGTCGATTCGTCGATCACGCCCCTCTCGAACCTGATCCCTCGTTCCTTCTCCCATCCGGTCAAGCTCATCGGGTCGGCCATGCCTAGGGGGCTCGTCCCGTGTACCTTTTGGGCGGTCGGGCGGAGGGATTCGGCCGTGGCAATCAGGGCTAGACGTCGTTCGTTGAGGACGTACTTGATCCGGGCCATGCTCTTGCGGCACTGTAGATCCGGTTCGAAGGGATGACATGCAAGCATGATATCGTGTTGTCAGTACGACTATTCTTCCTTGCCAAGTCCGCCAAAGAAGGCGGAAAATGCTTTGTTTATGCGGAAACTCAGACCGGGCGACTCACTCGGAAACCTCGTTTCGTCAACAACTCTCCGTCCAATGCCAAGCCCAACCTCCTCCGCTCTTCCCTCTGAGTGGCGAGGACGTTGCGTTCCCTCAAGAGGACGTACCACAGGATATGCAGGTCTCGGAAGGATTTTTCCCGGAGTTCGGCTGTCGTCCATGATCGACCTGTAGTGAGATGGAGTGAAAGGAAAAATAGACTGGTCAGACGCAAAAAGAGAGGAGAATGAGGGAGAATGATGCACGCACCCGACTTGAGGTTGCGGTCGTTCTCCATGATAGGTTCCAAACTCCCCATCCCACTCCCAGCCTCTTCAGCGGTCTTGGGCAGATTCCTCAGTTCCTCCAGCGTCAACCCCATCCCTCCTAACGGCGTAGGAAACTTCCCTTCCTCGGTAGTCCTGAAAAACTTCCAAAGCGGGTGAGAGGAGGAGATCTTGTCCTCCTCCACGTGAGGCATGGTCGTCCGAGCAGGAGGTCGGGTCGGGATGAGTTTGCCTTTTGGCGTATGGGTGGATAATGGGGAAGGGGAATGACGGGCTGGAGGAAGGCTGTACTGCGTGGCCCGTTTGATCGGGGAAGACTTGCTCGCTCGGGGTGCGACCGAGTTGTCGGCGGCGAGGTCGGGAGACGTCGATTCGGCTTCAGGGTCGAGAAGATGAGAGTTTTCCGGGGGCATCGTGAGGGTCTGGTGGTGCGAGTGGACGTCGTGAGGGTTATGAGGAGAAGTAGAGGGAGTTGGGTGGTTGGGGATCTGTCGACCGGGAGTGTGCATCAACCGGGCCCATGCGGTTCGGGGCAGGGCCACCAGAGTGCGGGTGGTGCGGGTCGAGAATGACATGATTCTAGCGATGCTATCGAAGAAGACAGAAGGGATTGAGGGTACAACTTGTCAACTACAATCGTGAAGTTGACCCATAGGCCCACAGTTTCATCTTTCTCAACTTGCAACTAGGGTCGATGGTCGAAACGATGATGTGACGCGGACATCAGACTGTTTTGACGGGAGTGATGAAGTCGCGGACATCTCGTGCTTACTTGAATGTCCGCAAGCAACGAGGGATGACTCATGTTATGGTCGATCGACCTTGTCTGATCATTCGAACGACCTTTCGACCACACCTTGTTTGCATCACACGACCTTCGAACAACTTCAACTTGTCCCATTATCACTAATAGCATCATGAAAGCGGGTCTGAAGAGTAAGTAACTCTCTGCATCTGCTTCGCAAGCATCTTTTGGTGATTGACCTCGCCCTGACCCGTCACCGCAGCGGTCGTGGTACTAGCATTCGTGCTCGCAATAGGGTTCACCCTCGTCATCCTTTCATGCGCATTATGGAATAATTGGCTACCACTTATTGTCGGTACGTCCCACATAAGACACTTTCTTGAGCCGAGAGCAGGTAGCTAACATTCATGTTTCGTCCCGGCTCGCCTTGTCAATCTCGCAGCGTTCACCTTTGTCCTAGCACCGCTGCCCAACTCGGTCTGCGGTCGATTAGCAGGCTCGAACGATTTCACAGCGGAGTCGAATACGTGAGCCCTCCATCCCTCATCTACACCACCACCTCACCCTTCCATATCTCACGCCGCTTCTCGTCGCCATCGTCTCACTTCGCTGACAACCCCGCACCTTCCCCTGTGTCATCCCTTATCGCCTTTTATAGAGCCTACCTATCCTTCGGCCACTTCCTCACAGGAACCCTCGTCTCCTCAGGATTCGCCATCCCCTTAATCCTCCTCCATTCAAAGCTCATACAAGGGCCGGCGTGTTGGATGAGCATGGCAGGTGGGAGTCTGGTTTATGGGACGATCTTGGTCTATGCGGGGTTATTTAACGAGGGGCAGGATGAGATGGGGTTCTAGAGAATGTACGAAGGCGGCGAGGGGGTGGAAAGGTGTAGTAGATTTGTTTTTATGGGCTGTGGGATCTTATTCTATTATATACCCGATTTCGATTTTGATGATCAGGAGAGAGGGAGAAGGTGGCTAGGATCGATCGAGCTCGCCGGACAACGCATCGAAGCCGTCCTCGACGACTCTAAGCCATAATGCGATATTATCCAGCAGCTTTACGTTCAACGCTAATGCCTGATCTCGAACTCGCGAGCGCACGGTCCTGTTCTCGATGGTACCTGAGGTATTGTACGGCTCCGGTCGATCGGTCCAATCGGCTGGGACTCCATGGGGGAGATCGGGTGTGTCTCCATGGGGGAGACGAGGAAGGTCGCCTACCCTTGGAGTTTCGACTTGCAAAAAGTCAAAATCAGCTCGATCGCCGAGTATGCCGCCGATTCGAGAACCGCTTCGAGTCCGGTTGAACATTGGGATACTGCACTAGTAGTGTCATCTCCATCGAAGCCTATGCCGTCATATGATCTCCGTCTCCGTGTCGCTGCATTTGGTCAGGGAGGTGGGTGGGTATCGGATGTTACAAAGCTGGGTCTAGCCTTTACATCAGGAATATCGAACAAACAAGAATCGTAGAACCGTTCGCATAGTATCTCCAGCCTCGTCCATCATCGCATCCCAGTCGGAGCCTATATCATGTGAGAAGGTCTAGCGTGACGACCGCGACATCCGCCTGTAGTAAAGTCAGAGTCGATCAACATCTGCGTGAGGGAAACTCAAAATCGACTGAGTACTAGACTTCGAGATCGTTGTACTTACCCATCGACAGAGAGACGTCGAGGCAACACCCTTTGCTTACTCGGAAGTGTCCATATCTATACCGCCGCCGTCTCTTAGCACAGACTTTAAGACAGCTGAAAGAATGGTCAATCGTGAGGGACTTACCGAATGACGCTTCCGGCTTGTGTGCTGGTGCTATCCCCTCTCGGTGTCGGCTGACGTACGCCTGTATCTGATTGTAGGCCGCATGTAGCCTCGCTCCCTTTTCCGTGTTTATATCCGAGTCCTTCGTATCAATAAACATCCAATACAAAACAAGGTCCAGACCCTTCCGTCGTTCTTGCCTTATACGCCAACACATGTGATGGAGATGGGACCGCAGAATGTTGGAAATGTCATACGACTGGGTCTTGAAACACTCGATCAACGAGAGTGCAAAGGTTTCTAAGCCTCTACCAATCTTTTCCGCTGTGATGGCTACATCTATCCAGTCCATCCAGATTTTCAGGTCCGGCTGTACTGATCCCAGATGATCCAACAGTTGTCCGCGGTAACAGTCGCATAGTATATCGTTGAAGCCGTATTGCCACAAGGGATGAAGAGCTGGATTATCCTGCTTTCTATTGGTACCGTAGCAAAAGTCGAAGGAGATTCAATTCGCTTCAGCCTTTCAGATTGCTGAGTCGGCTGCATAAGGGAGACACTTGCAGTTGCACGGCGATCTCTGACATTCCTACACCTGCCTGTTTCTTCACATTTACGTCTCGCCTCCAGTCTTCCCACAACGCATATTGATGGGGTAACATAGGATCTCTCAGGAACGCTTCGGCTTCCAAGAGATGAGGCGAAGATTCGCTGGGAAGACTCTGCATGATTGCGTCGGTGAAAGTCGTCAACGAATTGGAGGTAGCCATCGTTACGTTGCTGCCGCGGGGCAGGAAGTTCGGAGTTGTCGTGGAAAGGTGTCCAGCTATAGGCTATAGTATGTGTCTGTTTCTGGTCGTGGCTATCGAGATATCGAGTCTTTGAGTCAGTGCGAAAGTCTGCAAGAGTTTGTGTATCGCATGTATCGATAGTGTGGATGAAATTGATTTGATCAAAACCGTTCAAGCGACCAGCAGCCAGCAGCCAGCAGAACAAAAGACTCGCTCGTCGCGTACTGTTCAACATGGAACAACTCGGAAGCAAATCAGATGCGCAACAGACAGGCGGGGGAATCTGCGCTTCCTTTGTCTTGTCCCGATTCAACATGAAAGATGTTGTACCTCTCGTGAATCAATCGTAGTGGAAATGGACAGAGAGGCATGAATCTTGCGAATTTGCTGTTGTGCATCTCAATGGAAGGTCTTTGTTTGAACGAAAAGACGCAGCACCGGCTGATTCCGCAGATACCTCGCGTTTCGGGCTTTAACTAGCTCTCGTATTTAGACAGCAGAAACTGGATATACCACTGCGGCCATTGTTGCTGTCTCAACGGATGTAATCTCAATCTGCAGACACCGAGTCAGGCGACATCGACCCAGAATCAAACAACAGCAGTCTTTGAGGATACGGTCGAACGCCCGGTTCTTGTCATCACGTGATCGGATCAGCGGAACCTCGGATGCTAATGATCGGGAGTGAAACTCCCATCCCTCGAGATCGACCTGCCCACGACCTCTCCTTCCACATTTTGGGACCATTCGAGATGAGAAAATAACGATATCGACCTCGTAAAGTGCTCGACCCCGTATCGACTCACAAATCCGGTGTTTGAGACAGACAAGGTCGAGAAGGTGCGCACAATCGCAATCGTTTGACTTCCACGTCAGACTGATCCCGCCTACTCGCTCGCGTTTCGACACAACAGGTCAACCACAGCCCATGCTTATTGAGTCTCATGCGTTGCATCGGGAGTTGATGTATCAAAGCAACACCCCACGTCCACGAAATCAGACCTAGCATATCAAAAAATGGATCGCGATCGATCGGTCTCTAGCTCGCCCGACCCGCTAGGCGGCACGCCTCGGACAAGCACGCAAAGCACGAACCCGGACCTCGCCCGATCGCCGACTCCGCAGAGCTCGATTGACGATCCCCATTTACGTCCAGTCGGGAACGGTACGAATACCGATAGCTCGGTACAATTCATCCACACCGTGGCCATACCTCCATCGGGAGATTTCAGCCAGGAAGCGGAGGAAGAGGAAGAAGATTCTCGGGAATCGCCGTCCTTTGAAGGAGTCAAGTTCAGTTCGAGCTTCGGCCCTCCTCTCAGCTCAATCGATACACCGAAAAAGATGTCAAGCAGTAAGACCGAAATTCTGGAAGACGATTCGTCGCCTGGTAGAGCCCGTCGTCTGGAAAGCGATCGCCCTCAAGCACACGATCAACCGATCAGGAAGCGACGACTAGCCCCGACTGCTGCTTCGTCTCTACACCGTCCCGGTTCATCCTCCTCAAGAAATATACAATCGAGCCAGATACCATCTACCACTCTCGCCAGCAAGACCGACCTTATTCTTTCACACCACGAGACAACATCCGTAAAGAGCCAGAGACTGCCAGGCGGGAAGGGAACGCAGCAGCCTCGAGTACAAGCTTCATCCCAGGCCATGCAGCACCGTCGCGAACCGCCTCCGAGATCTCGGTCGGCACGGGTCGAAGATCGATTAGCTACTCGGACCGTCATGCCGCCTCGAGGACTAGTTCTACCCGGAGCTACTCCTAACATTGATGCCCCTTTAGGCAAAACTCCATATACTAGTAGCAGAATTAGCAAAAACCTGGGTCCAGCGGAAGTCGGATCGTCATCCTCATCTCAACGACCCATCCAGCGGAACATCAACACAGGTGCCGCATTACCCCCTATAACTCTTTCCAACGAGTCCTCCGCACATCATGAACAAGAAGAAGAAGAAGAAGACTCCATCGAAGCTCTACGAAATACCGGGCCCATCCGTTCTTCTCGCAAAGACGATCTCCGTTCCGAGTCACGCGCTTATATCTACGGACTACCGGGAAGTTCTACATTATTCGGCTCGGATTTCAGTAAAGCCAGTTTAGCGGAAGATGGAGAGGATGCTGGAGGGTTTGATCTAGGTGAAGAGTTCGGGGTGGGTATAGGGACGGCAACAGGAGAAGAAGGGGGGAGCGAGGAGGATAAGGACGACAGCTTGGGCTGCGGTTTGACTAGGAGAAGGAGATCTGGGTCGGGAGGTGAAAATACGAGCGAATTAACGCGAGGTAAGCGATAACCCTGAACGAGATGTATGGATTATACTGACCGCAGCTGCTACCTCTCATACAAAGATGCGGAACCGTCATCGCAAGGCGTCCGCTCGTCAATATCTCGGACCCGATCGATCGTTTCGGCTGGACAGGAATTATCAGCTTTGATACCGGATGTCACAATTCTCAATAGACTCCGCGCAGGAAGACCTCGACAAGATGGCCTTCAGACTGTCTCCACATCAAGTCCTCGGTCTGTATTAGTACCCTCGACAAGCCAGGTCTTCCCAGCCGATTCGTGCAAACCGCAATCCACGCAAGCGCCGATAAGCGATCAGCACGCGTCGGAACAAGATATCGATCATCGAACCATCTCCACTCGTCGAGCTCCACGTCGAATTCCATCCGTTGTATACAAACCACGAGCCAGAAGAAACACCGCCGAGCGTGAAATACCGCTGTCGTCCTCGGAAGAGGAAGAACAAGAACTACCGAGTTTGGAAGACCTGGACTTGCCCTGCGCTTCATTATTACAGCATCGAACGAAGATTCCCGAGAAACGAAGTATACAAGTCATCGAAAGCGAAGAATCGGAAGAAGAACGCCCGAAACGTCTAGCCACAAAGAAGAGGCGTGCAGTCCAGAAGAAAAATCCGATCAAGAAGACAAGAACTAAAGTCGACGAGCGAGTAGGTCCTTCTAGTTCGACTTCTGCAGCTTGGTACAACCAAGTTCAGAAATGCTTCCAATTTTCTAGACGGAATCCGAGCGAAAAAATGTAGAAGAAAGGTTGAAACGGATCAAGGAGATTGACGACTACGAGCTCGAGGTGGAGTATGTGGTTTGATTGCGGTTGGGCGAGGGACATGAGTTTGGTAGAGTTCGCAACGTTATCACGTCTCGCCGAGCAGATGTCCATCTGAATGTCATCAACAAGACAGTCTGTGGAAGGGTCATCATTATTTTGAACCCCGTACAGTTACATTACCGCCTATCGCGGTATTCTCGGTCCCGCCCCCCGCCGCCGCCATACCCCCTTTCTCTATCTCTATCCCGGTCCCTATCTCTATCCCGATCGTCCCTACCTCCTCTATACCGATCACTCGGACTTCTCGACCTCGGCCTCCTTCGGTCTCCGTCGTATCGATCACGAACACGATCGCGCTCCGAGCCTCTTCTGTCTTCGTCCCTTCGATCTCGATGATGATCTCTTCGATCCCGACTCCGTTCCCTCTCCCGCCTGTCACCTCGAGGCGGCTCGAACACCATCCCATACCCGCCGCTTCCACTTCCACCTCCACGAGATGGAGAAGAGGAGATACCTTCGTACGGTCCTCGGCCTCCTCTCGAACTAGGTCCGGATGTCCCTCTTGTTGATCCTCGGCCGCCTCGACCGCCACCTCGACCTCGACCCCTGCCGTTGACTTGATACACTCCGTTGATCTTGGAGACGGATTGCGAGCTGCGAGGTTGCGAAGCAGGAAAGTAATATCAGCCATATGATCTCCCTTTCTTTTCCTCGTCCTCGGGCCGAAGATGAACGTACAAATCGACATAGACTCGCTTATCATCGATCAATACTCCGTTCATCTTGAAGTATGCCTATTACCACCACAAATAACATCCCAAATCACAGATTTAGCGTCCGTTTCTCTTTTCCCTCAAGGTGACGTTGGATAGGTGGAGCAAAACTTACCGCCTCGGCCTCTTCCTTCTTGTCAAACTCGATAAACGCGTATTGTAACGAATCGCCGGATTTCTTGTCCCGGATGACTTCGCACGAGAGGATCGTCCCGAACCTGGTTCTCCCGTCGAATTTCGGTCATGCAAAATCAGTATCACTAAGATTACAAAAGGTTTCCTTTCCTTCGTAAGAGCTCTTCCGACTCACCGACTGAAGATCAACTCGAGATCCTCGTCTACGGTCACCGCGTTCAAGTTGGCGACGAACAAGATGTTCTCGGGCGGTCTGACGTGGGCGAAAGGCAGGTCCCCGATCATCTCCAATGTCAACGCGCTCGCCTCGGCCTGGTTCTTCCTATCCATCTCTTCTAGCTCTTCCTGCGTCTTTCCCTGGGTCGGGTCGATAGATTCCGATTCGTCGATCCGAGGACGGAGGGAAGGGTCATCTGGGGGTCTGACAGGGGAAGGGGGTTCCGAGAGCCCATCGTCCGGGTCGGGGAAAGGGTCATCGAGGACTTCGATATGGTGGATCCGGATATCTTTGAGGGGTCGACCGTCCTTGTCGACGAAGGCGTCGTTGATCTGATCGAGAACTTCCAGACCTTCGACCACGTGGCCGAACACGGCGTGCTTCCCATCGAGGTATTCTATCCCATCTTTGAGCGTAAAGAAGAATTGACTCCCACATCCAGGAGGCTGGATCGGGGCTACGGCCATGCTCAGTGTACCCTTTTGCGTGTGTTTGAGCGAGTTGAGGATTTCGGGAGGGAAGTAACGGGGAGGAGCTGGGGTGCGTGCTCGAGTCTTTTTATGGTGGTACGATGCGAACGATTCGCCGCCCGTGCCCAACGCTGATGGGTCGCCCGTCTGTGCGATAAAGTCCTTGCTGACTAGCAAATTCGTCTCCGACTCAGCTTGTGATCATAAAGATACTCTCGCCTTCATAGCTCACCGTTGAAGAACGCGTTGAGGCCATAGTACTTGGCCTTGCACAGTTTGAGAAAGTTGGCACATGTGCGGGGACACTTGTCGACCTCGAGATCGACGACGATATCGCCCAGAGAAGTTTCTACCAGTACCGACATTGTTAATGACCGGTGCCTATCTGATAAGAAGAAGGAATGGCTGGCTGGCTGGCTTGCTATATCTTGTACTATATGGTTCGTATCAGTCGCTAGTGAGTACGGTGATCATCGACTAATGTCATTCAAGGAAAAAGGTGTCAGGTTGTCAAGTGAGCCTGACATTTTCGGGGAAAAGTCCGTGAGGTCGATGATCCTGTAACTGATAATAGGATTGACCTCTCATCAGGATCGCATCTTGTACTCGCCAGCTACCGGTCTATCAACAACATCTCGACTTCAGCTCGATTATGAACCCTTTGGCATCCACATCGATGTTACGAACGACGGCGAGCCGGTTGTCCGGCACCGCGACCTCGCGACGATGCATCTCCTCGACCTCGTACCGACAATCTCACATCGGTTCAGCACCGCTGACCATCCCTTCCTCGGTCACCCTCGAGCTCCCCGCTCACTCTCTTCCTCTCTCTTCGACTTCGGCCAACTCTCCTTTGAGGTCGATCGCCATCACAGGACCGTTGGGACGACACGACCTCCCCATCGCGCACCCCGTCGTGCTTCACCCGCCTACCCCGGAAAACCCTAATCAGCTCAGCGTGACCGTCCAGAACCCGGACCTTAAAGCCCAAGCGGCACTTTGGGGTCTAACAAGAGCTCTTCTAGGGAACGCTGTTATCGGAGTCTCAGAAGGGTACCGGGTCGTCCTCCGTCTAGTCGGTGTAGGGTACCGAGCCAACGTCGAAGAGATCCCCCCGACCCTCCGAAGACTCTTGCTTCAACCTCGTTCTCCCACCCATACCCCGCTCACGTCGGACGAAGCACCTACGGACCGTCTGAACCTGAAGCTCGGGTATGCGCATCCGATCTATGTGGATATCCCTAGGGGGATCACGGTGTCCACCCCTCAGCCGACGAGGATCGTGCTCCAGGGTACGGATAAGCAGAAGTTGGGATTGTTTGCCGCCAAGATTAGGCGGTGGAGGAAACCGGAGCCGTACCGAGGCAAGGTAGGTTATCCGTCTTGATCTCGCTCCCTCTCGTATTGCTTTTCGATCCCGTACACCCAGACTGACTGTTTTCTTCTGTATTTGTTTTCCGTTTTTTTCAGGGTATCTTCGTCGGGGACGAGACGATCAAGCTCAAGGATATCAAGAAGAAGTAAAAGTAGACGAGGGACGAGGGAGGTCGATACCTTACGATGCGCCACGAAACGAAACGAGCTCGACCCGGGTCTTGATCTCGATTCTGGCTTTGTTCTCCGCCGATGTTACCTGGAGCGTATTGGCTCCAGTTTGTATCACTACAACTACTGGCATACGATTCACAGTCATGGCGAATCATCGCATCTGCACGATTAAGAAAGGGCATGGAAGGGACTTTCAGGAATGATCGATCTTAGGAAGATTTCGGAACGTTCATAGAGGTAAATCCTCAAAGGTCTGCGGAAAGAGTGCTAATGCGCTTGCGCGAAGAGCAATCGTTGGATATGGACATCAATAATCTGCCATTTAGAAAGAGCCGTGGAGTAAGGTGATGCCCTCTCATGCATGATTGGGCATTTGCTACGCAGTCAGGCGGGTACGAGATGAAGCCCTCGATGCCTACTGATGCTCGGCCTGGTGCGGCTTTGGATTTGTTTCCATCCGAAGTGGAATGCTCGGTACAGGTTCAGTCGAGTTTACAATCGTTAAGACAGCCGGTCAACCTTTCGCACCAAGACTAGACTCGCCAGCATCCCCAAGCCAGCTAACCCGATGCCGACGTAATGAGCTCCTCGGTACCCATCGAGAAGAGATCGATTGTGGCTGATGTGCGTTTCCACCAAGCTGCCGATTCCTAGACCGATCGATATGCTGTAGTTGATCATCGTATTGACGAGAGACGCCCCGACTCCTTGCTTGTCCCGTGACATGAAGTCTGACGCAGCGAGGTTAGCTGCGGGAAAGGAGCAGTCCATCCCGAATGGAGCTATCAGGACGCCGATGAACGAGGCGGCCCAGTACGTCAAGTCGGGTGGCGTCACCGCCGCGATGACGTTCGAAGCGCCAAACGCGACCATCGATCCGAGGAGGATGTATCCGGGCTGAACTCTTGACATCAAGTAGCCGGCGAGCAGGGCGGCGATGATACCGGATAGGCAAATCGGCGAGAATTGAGCTGTCGCCTTCAAGGGCGAATCGCCACGCAGCACCAACCAGGACTGCCACAGATAATCTTGAAATCCAACCATCGGATCAGCTTCCAGCTTTGCACAACGAGGAACGGAAAGTTGTGTCGACTCACAGATCCAGATACCGAAAGAGCTCCATCCCGCGCCTACGGCCACCAATATCAAGATGATCTCTCGACTGAGATCCTTCAAAGGTACCAAAGGGTAGGTCGCTTTCTTCTCAACCCAAACTATCGACGCGCCGCCATGAGCTTCTTGCGATAACGTTCATGGAGTCAGAGCGCCACTTACAGAAAGCGCTCATGGCTAAGATCCCCAACAGTAGCATTAAGTAGACGTAGACGGTCTCCCAACCGACTACCGCTCCCTGGTTCCAGGCGAAATTGATCAAGATCAAACCAGAGACTCCGGTCAAACAACCCGGTACGTCCAGAGCTCCCTTTTCCCGACGTAAAGGGTTGTCTTCGTCGATGGTGGATGGTATCGTGATCCAGCTCAGAGCCGCGGCTATGAAACACACGATCGCATGGACCCAATAGATCCATGGCCACCAGGACAGTTGACCGATCAGAGACGAAAAGGTCGCGCCCAGCATGAATCCGAGCGGCGCCGTCAATCCAAAGAAGCTGAAAGCCATATCCTTGCGTCTGCCGGGAGGATAAAATCGTCCTAGGAGAGCCACGCCGTTGGGCAAGAGGATCGCTGGACCGATGCCTTGTAGGGCACGGAGTACATCGAAGTAGATGTGGCCGTGATTTTTCGCATACACCGTGAAGCCTGACATTTTCGAAATCAGGAGATCAGAGGTGCAAGCAAATCGATCTTCAGCTGGAACGTACCGGCTGCTAATCCACATATCCCGAACCAGAACCATCCGACCAGAACAGCTCGTCTATGACCATACAAGTCGCCGATACGACCTGCTACCAGGATGAACGTCCCGACGGTCAGGCTATACGCTGCTGGAGACCAACTCATTTGGCCTGGCTCGTGATCGATACCGAAATGCCGTCCGAGGATCAGGAGCGGAGCGAGTGACATGCCGAGTGCAGCCTGCGTGAGTAGCTGGCATAGCGAAATGACCACCACCAAGCCCAGTTCCGGTAAGAGCTTGAAGGATTCTATAGGCCAGACGATCTCTTCCTGCGCGACATCCGAGGGATCACTAAATATCCGACCCATCGCGACTTGATCGAGCTTGATTTCTTGGCATATCGCTATCGCAGCTATATGGTCATCGCTGATCGTACTGAAGCTCTGAAGAGCATATGGGAGGTTTATATCACCCTCGTACCGTGGTCATCGCCATCATCGCTATAAGCGCGGTGTTTGTAAGCCTTGCGCGGACGAACTCTCGGGAGGGTCTCGGGAGTCCTTCCGAGAGTTCGTCCGCGCGCGAATGTGCGTCGAGCCTTGGCCATTGATCCGGAGCACCTTGGAACTTGCCTCCTTGTGCAAGGGCGATGATGGCGCCGGTCGTCGACTCTTCCCTTTGCACCTTGCCAATACCAACGGTGTCGTAAGAGGGATCCAAATGATTTCCAAAGGCTGGAATCATCTCCTAGAGGCTTTGGGATGTTGAGATCGGCCCTGCGGACGATGCTTTCTGGTCCGACCTGAAAGCCAATGACCGTGATGAGTTCTGGGGTGCCATATCTACAGATTCCAGTCTCTTCAAGGCAGACAACAAGCAACTCCCCTCATCACCACGAGTCCGTGTTCGACGGCATATCACCATAGTTTAGAAGGTGATGACTTGTGTGATGACAGCAGGGTGTCAAGGCTGTTCTCCGGTATCACAAGAGCTACGGCACGATCCAGCCGGCACTCATCATCAACCAATGGAGCACCAATCGCTTGCATGTTTTCTTGCTATATATTGTTAGGGCTTGACTTGGGTTTTGAGCCAATTATACACCGGCGATTGGCGATTAGCAGCTGCTTTGCCAAGGGGTCATCTCTATCTGTTAGGTAAAGCGAGATGAGAATCCAGTGGCGTCATCTGGACCCACTGGATCTGCGAGTACTGTTTGCACAACGTGATGAGTACTCAAACATCCCGACGCGAAGTATACCCGGCATGACTCACCACTTCCCACCAATCGCGAACATCATCTTCAGGGATCCAGTCTTGGGTTGTCGCGGATATCACAGAGAGCACGATGTGAAAGATTTTGCAACGCTAAAAGTCGAGATTATTGTGGGTCCCGTCACTGGTATCATGACCGGCTGGTAATAGTGCTCACCATGCTCTGGCCGCTCTGGCCTAGGTGTTTGTACTCGCAACTGAGTCGACAAGATAGGAAGCAACGCATTAGTCTCGATATCTCGACCTTCGAACGAGGGGGGTATCTGCCCACGTCAATAGCAATTCATAAGCGGTCTTCGTGATAGTCTCTCGTTCTTTGCGCGCGTCGAGCGAGGGCTCAAGGGTTGTCTTTAGTTCGAGCTGACGCACGAGGACCGGATAAGTCAGCTTGACGACTATCAAGGATTCCAGGAGCTAAGCTCACCAGCGCCAATTCGAGGATCGCGGCGGTCACCAAGATGTTTGCTCGTTGTATAGCGAACAGGTCATGTTGAGGGGAAGACACAACGGTGGTGGAGATCCCGCTCGTACACAGGAACTCCACAGTCCGACCAAGTGCGCCTTGCTGATGTTTGACCCAATCGCTAAGCGTCGCCTTACTTAGGCCAGCACGCATCAGGAATTCTATGTTCCGATGCCTGAAGTAACATTCCGACAAGATGTTGAAGAGTCTGGAGTTGAGGACAAAGCCCGTCATGTAAGATGGCGATATATCAGGTTGAGGGAAATGACCCTGTGATGTCAAGTATTCGTCGTCGATCTCGATCGGATAGGGTGGGACTTCGTCGATACCGGACATAAGCATTGTCTCTCCTCCGATCGCCGCGGTTCTTAGAAACGTAATGACAACGACAAGCACTGGTAGTCAGTAAGCGTATGGAGACATGACTTAAACCCATATTGACCTACTTGTCCAGATTGAAGACATACCAAAAAGTTCGCCGCGATAGCTCCCTTGTAATCGCATCAGCATCATCCCCTGAATGGGGCTTGTCGATCCCGAGTGCATGAACAAGTCCCACAATCTCCGCTAGCGTGACTTGGCTCATCTCGACCTGCAAGCTCGCCTTGCAATAGTGATAATTGCTAAATACGCCATGCGGACAGACGGATGAGCGTTCCCGACTCGGACGAAACTTTGACCTACGGGCCGCGGTATATGGCGAGCAGACGAGACTCACCCAATCATGCTGACAAGCAGCGACAGAGTCGGCCGTCTCAGATATCTCGCTGCAATCGCTCGACTTGCTTTGTAGCTACTAGCGGCAAACTCCTCCAGCTCCGCGTGTGTATATGCTTCGGTCATCTCGCTCTTGGGTAGCTGACAGATCGCATATGCCACTGCACGCATGGAAGGAAGAGCGACTCTGTCGTCAGTAAAGACTTGCAGAAGTACCTACGATGCTGACGACTCGCCTAGGGAAAGCAGTAGAGCTCGAAAGACCTCGTCGTGGCGATCTTTCCGGCTCAAGACGTCTTGCGCAAAAGTTGGTTTATGAACCAGGGGCATGAGATGGTGCTGATGTTTGGTATAGAGGGCCAGGAAGAATATGACGACGGGCCATTTGAGCACCGCCTCTATCTGTGGAACGGCTTGTTGAGCGTCAGGCCAACATGCTCGACTGTGGTCTGGCGGTACGACTACTAGAGGTGTTTCCAGAGAGGTTCCGATCGGGAGATTCCCCTGGGGTCCGTCGGATGTTCGCGAAGTATGAAGCACATAATCAGATCGTTCATTGTTGATACCCGCTCGAAAATTTGATGAGTCCCGGCCGGGACGCAACGTATGATCGCAAGCCTGTGAATCGACAGAGACGACCGGTCTGTCGAAAACACGTCCATCCGATCTATTATCCATGGCACCGTCGAACGGCATGTTATCGAGGTCGCCATCCGTTTCGACTCCGGTAGTATCGAAGGTTTCTTGTGCAAGGGGACCAACGATTTGGTTAGGAGATTGCAGTACCGGACCACAATTTCCGGAACAGACGGAGAAGATTGCTGACTGGCCATGTAAGCCTCTTCTACTTGATGGCGAATGCGAAACGGCCCTTTCGCTGGAACGTCTTGAAGATAGTTGATCAGCATTATTCGAGTACAGTGTTGACGACGTATGACGAGCTGATCCGACGCTGTCAAGTTTTTTCTCGCGTCTACAGGCGGAATGGCCTCATCAGTAAAGCAGCCTGAACAAGGAATCTACCAGACGTGGCCAGTACTCACATTGTTCGAGGCCCCGGCCGTTTCGATTGATGAGTCCTCACGCAGTCCACATCTTGATCATAACAGCCTCGACATTTTCTGCCATCCTCCATGCTTGGAATGCATTTCGTCTGCGTCGATAATAGATTCAGCTGAGCTTTGAACGATCCTCCTTAAGAAGCCCGGCAGGATGAGTCCTTACCTTGCGGCTGCGACACTTGTCACAGGCCTTAGTGGTCACTATACTTGTCGACTCGGACATGACTCAGGAACTCCGGTCATCTTCGATGGCGAGGCATATAGAGAATTGGCGAAAGCCGACATGATGGGTGAATTCAGCCTGTTGCCTGTTGCTGATTGCAGTGGACGATGGGTAGGAGCGGGGTACACGGCGTCAGCCGACGAGTCACGTGACCACCACAATGTTTGACCGGGGAAGCCTATCATACTTTCTTACGAGCCGACGAGAGTTGTGCAATGACAAACCGAGCAGCAAGCCCCAAACGACCTAGATGAAGCCCTTGTTTGAATCGTTACCTGATTTAACCCACCTCGTGCGAGAAACCCATAGCGTTGAGTTTGTCGTAAGCTAGGATATAGCCTCAATTATGTTGGTCTGCAGCCTGGTCCATATCGATTTCGTTTCGCTCTTGTGGTAGTCCTGGCTGGGGTTGGCGGTGCGGACGTCAATGGGATCGTTTTCCATATGTTCGGTCAAGGTAGACACCATGCCGGCGGTATCTTTGAAAATTGAATGGGAAAGACTTGCAATCAAGATAACATTTGGTGTCTCGTATATGACATGTAAATGTGTTACAACCGGGCTGCTGAGCCGGACCTAACGATATGGGATCTGGTTACTGGATATGCCTTGTTCATTCACACGCCCTCTTCATGGACACCCTGACATGCCCACGACCGCCTCGGTTGGCCCGGGCGAACCAAGGCACGTAAACCAGTTCACTATCGACGGACTTCCACTTTCGAGCGGGCGTCGATCCGTTCACCTCCCGGTAGAGCTCATCGCTGTCGTCCACAAGCGCGCGTACGCCGGAGGTGGCGGCGATGGCGACCATCGATTGACCCTGAATGTCCAACTCGCGCGTTTCAAACTTGGCATCCTCCGTCAGACCAACCCCTTCGAAGTGAGAGTGACTGGCCTCGATCTTGTCGTTATCAAAGTCCTCGGCGATGTACACGATAGGTCCTCGGGAAACGGTGAGGGTGTCCTGGCCGGTCAAGGGGTGCGATGCAAGAACTCTGACGGGCAGGTCCATTGTCGAGGACGCTCGCGAGCTGTGGCCCGCCGAGAACGTCAAAAAGCCTTCCGGACCCGCTTGTCCAGCAGGCTTGATCTGAAGATGATAATAGAGGTCAGCCTCGTCTTCCGGCGACGATTGCAAAAAGTGCACCTACTTGGAAATTCGCCGCATAGTTGGGTTTCGGCACCGTGATCTCCCAGGTCCAACCCTCGGGCGCGTCCATCTCCCAGGACGTCTCGCCCTTCCAAGGCATTCCGGATTGCATCTTGATCGTCGCTCGGCCATTCGGCAGGTCGATCACCCTGGTGCATGACATGTAGAGGTAGACGATGACTGAGATCTTCTTGGCGGACGAATCTACGTCGGCGCGCCAGGTGTAACCTCCGAGCATACCGAGAGTTCGTGAAAGGTTGGGCGGGCAGCAGCAGACTGGAATGCGTCAAGATAAGCTTCGGGACGCCTGTGACGACCGAGTCCAAAGGCGCGAAGCTCACCCTCGAACCAATCCGCCCTCTTTGCGCTCTCATCACCCCACGTCGCCAGCCTGTTCTCGTAGCTGAACGCCTTGCCCTGAAGATCTCCACCGCCGAGTACAGCGTTGTAAAGACAAAGCTCCATCGTGTCCCTAACCTTCCCGCTCAAGTTCCGGTAGAGCAGCCTCTCGCTGGTCATCATCGCTGCGATCGAGGCGCAGGTCTCGGCGTAACAACCGCCCTCCTTGATCGAGACGGGGAGGTGGTAAGGGAACTCGGAGAATCCTTCCCACTAAACAGTCCCCAAAAAAACTCGATTAGGAACGTTTCGGAGATCATCGATGAATCTTGTTTTACTATAACTCACCCTCGGCTCTGAGCCAAATCCTCCGGTGACGTACATCTTCCGGTCGACCGCGTCCGTCCATAACCTATGAGCGTCGTCGTAGAACTTGCCACCCAAATCGGCAGCTGCTGTGATCAGGTAGAAAGCCCGGACCGAGTGACCGAGGATGGTATCCTGTTCGTGCAGGGAAGCGTGCGATTGGTTGTAGCTGTAACGAAAGGAAGACCCTCAACAGAGTCAGTTTCGTGTCTTTTACCCCACATGCCATCTGGTTCGCGGCAGACTTACGTCTCGGGACACTTCAAGTCCATCGTCGTAGGCAACGGTTCCAAACCCCTCTCCCTCCCCTCATACTCGAAGTACGACATTCCACCTTGATCCTCCCTCTTGACTCCTCGAGCCTCGAGCAAGTAAGTACCGAAATCCAAGTGCTTCTTTTCCCCCGTCAAGGCGTATAGGCGGAGGATGGCGAGCTCCAACTCTGGGTGGCCGGGGTATCCGTGTTTCTGGTCTTTGTTAGGGCCGAAGTGGTTGATAAAACAATCGACGTTCTAGTATTCACGAGGCGTACAGAGTAAAGGTAAACGAAGGTTCCGGAAAAGGATTGAGGAGAGGGTAGGGGAGGATTGAGAACTTGCCTTGATCATGACGTCCAGGAATTTGCGGGAGCCGCTGTATCGATAATGAGCCAAGGAAGCTTCCAACAAATGTCCAGCGTTGTCTGCTCGGGAGCAATCCCAAATCCAACCTGTAAGCGATACTGCCTCGTCGCCCTCCCAACTTCCGGTCCTTCAGTCGCAACTTACACATTTCGTGCATATCTCTCAAGTTCCTAAACTTGCCCGTCGGGTCAACGGCGGTAAAGTAGATGTTCAAGTACCCGTCGTCCTGTTGAGCTTTGACGATCAGGTCGATGATGTGGTCCATAGCTTGCTTGTAAGTGGCCGCCTGAGGAGTGTCTTTGGTGTCTTCGGAGGAGAGGAAATAGCAGACGGCTTCGATCCTGAAGAGTTTCAGATTTCGAGTACAGTAGTGGGTATGATCGGTTGGGTTGAAAGTGAAACGCCGTGGCGTAGAAGATCGTCAGGAACGTGTTCGAACCGACCCAAGACGACGCGGACGCGAAGAAAAACGGCGACATACCATTTGCCAACATCGCTCTCCCAGAACAAGGACGGTGGGATCCCATCCTGCCTCGTCTTTCCTCCCTCCAGACGCCTCACGTTGTATACATCCCTCCACTTGAGGTCGAACGCGTCGTAGCTTCCTTGTTTCTTGAGCTGGTCGAGCTGGGTCTGGAGGACAGTCTCGGCGTATAGGGAGCGGAGGTGGCCGAAGAAGCTGTCCTTCTCGAAAGCTGTTGGTGAGGTAAGGACGTTACGAAGAGGTCAGGGTGAGCAAGAGTGCTGGGAGGGGCAACGTGATCATGAAGCTTACTGGTGCTGTCAAAAGACGTTTGAGGGTGGTTGAGAGTCTTGGTCTCGTCAATCCAGGTCATTTTGATTCGTTCTCAGATGTATGGTGTTCTTGATACTGCACGAATACGTTGTACTCTTCCAGTGAGCTCAGTAACGGTCGGATTACTACATCCCGAGTCCCTCTGCATTTGTGTGTCTTGATTTATAGCTCGTCCCGTTGCCACGGCTGACGATCTGGGCAATGCATCCCACTTCCCACTTGCATCGTTTACTCCGTGATTCGTGTACAGGCCGTCCGATAGATGGAAACGAGTAGGACCGAACGCCGAGATCGGTTCATTTCCGGTGCGATGGATGGAAGCAGAGGCGAGGCGGTCGAGGCGAGTGCGGGGTGGAGCTTATTGAACGCGCTAGCAGATACCGGCCGTACCCTGTGCCGGCATTTTGTAACGGAAGTAAATTTCATCCGTTCACGGTTCGGTTCGGCTGATCCCGACGAGGTGATCTTGGAGACTTGGGCTTAACACAGTTGAGAGCGGGCAGCTGGCAGGTACTTGATGTAATTACAAGCAGCATCGACACCAGAAGCATCAGCCGCAACACCAACTCGATGTTTCATCTCGTACGTGCTGATTAAAAGCGTTGATGAGGCCGACCGAACCGTCGAGATCCCCAAGTTTGGAACAACATGTCTCCCAAGAATCACAATAACCACACAGCCAAACGAGCGGTCATAAGAGCTTGCGATCAATGCCATAGAAGACGAGTCAAGGTGAGACTTGGTGTACAATCCTCGTGATGACTATTTCAGCTGATCTGGTGAATTTGTCTCGCTTATACAAGTGCGATGGAAGTCCAGAGTGCGCAAGATGCCGGCGTACACGCACAGAGTGTACTTACCTGAACCCTGTCAGACCCAAAGGACCCACGCCAAGGTTAGCTCACCACCGCGCATATCATCTTTTCTTCTTCTTCGGATTCTACGAGACCATAGCTGAAACCAAGTCTTCGTGTTACTGGTGGTACATTGATAGATACAAGACGAACAAGAAACCCACGTCTCCCGGGTCACTTAAGAGGAAAGGCAAGGACAGAGAAAACGACGAAGACGAGGACGAGGATTACATCAACGAGAACGCCGATTCTGGGACACACGTCTCTGGCTGGAGTCCTTTGAACACAGAGACACCTCGAGCATCTTCGTCCACCTTACTGGGACGAAGTTTCAGAAATCTGGACGATCAGGAGATGAGCTTCCTACCGGGTCAATCTATCGGTGATACGCTTTCTGCTCGGCCCGGTGCAATGCAGCTGGGGAACGGATCAGGAACCTTGGCTATGCCCTTGAGCGAAGAGAGAGCCATGGACGCGTCTCGCCTTCAGCAGACGCCAGGAGATACCGCGACACCTGCTCATCTTGCGAGTTATTACATCTCGCAGGCCTGGTTGGACGATGCTTGGTTGTCGCAATTGCTGCCAACACAATCTCAGCCTGTGGCAGGAGCCGGGCGGGGGGAGAATCAGGCTGGTAACGGAGGAATAGGCGGTCAACCTGATAACAACAATCAATATGACGGCGCAGGAGCTGGCGGGAACATGTTTCTGGACTCGACATCGGCCGCCTTTACACTCGATCCGAGGCAGGTGACCTGTGCACCCATCGTGGATTCGAGATGGGAAGCCGGGCAGATGTTCTCTTTGCCCTCAGGATCCCCGGCAATCCACGATCAGGATGTGCAACAACCTGGCTCTTCCATGAACCCCACGCTGGGCGCCATCTCCTCGGACCCGCTGTACAACCAGAGGTCTTTCGACCCCTTGCCAGGTCCTGTGGACGTCTCCTTTCTGCGTACCGCTCGCGATCCCCAACCGACGACATTTGGACCTTCCCCGATCGTCCGACTCGCCATCGACAGCCTCATCTTGCCTCAACTCGCTCTCTTCTTTAAACGGATCCATCCGATGATCCCCGTCTTCTCCCCGGCTTATTTATACGAAAAGATCGCCATCCAGACTCATCACACCGACCCGGACTTTTGCGCCATGCTCTTAGCCCTGACGAGCCTTACCCTCATTCATCCTCTCGCACCGGAAGAAAGGGCGGGAAAGGACGGTCGGCGGGAACACGCCAAGATGTTGCTAGCTGAAGGTTGTAGGCTGAGGGACGCCTGGGATTTCGGATCAAGGAGCCACTTCACGGCGGCGATGACGAGCTATTTCATGTTCGGGGCTCTGTTCGAGCTGGGACAGGCCGAGGCGGCGAGGATGAGGTTGAGGGAGGCTTTGTCTTTGGGAGAAATCATGGGTCTGCACAAGAAGGAAGGGTATGATCTGAACGACCCGCTCGAGGCGCAGAGGAGGTTGAGACTGTTTTGGGTCTTGACCGTGACGGAAAGGTTAGTTGGCTAGAGCTTATCCATATCGTTATATGATGCCCCGAAATTGACTCCCACGTTCACCCTTTCGTCTGTAGGGCCTATGCTATACAGCGTGGCGGTAGTATCGTCTTTCCCGGTCAAATCTTTGACTCGTTACAAGTAATACACCCCGAGGTGGCTGGACTCCTACAATCGACAAGCGCGATTCCTCCGCGACGAGAAGCGCTTCAACACTTGGCTCGCATATTCACCTTCATCGACGGCGACATTGTCCTCTGCTGGAACGGTCAATGTGGGACCGACTGCAAGCGGTTGACAGCGAATAGAGCCCGACAAATTTTGTCGGGCCTGTCCGGCGATACTCATCAAGTATTCGGGCAAACGGAAGAGGAAATCACGGATACGTTGACGGAGAGCCAGAAGGTTGACCTGTTCATCACCTGGCAATGGTTGAGGAACCGAATCTGGCGCCTCGCCTATACTCACGGACTTGTCGACACCTCGAATGGCCAGCAAGATCACCTCTCAATCGCGCTTCCCTTCCAGATTTGCCAGATGGCATCCATGTGGGTGGAAACATTCTCTTGGGATGCTATGGATCAGCACGGCATAGGGTTCGTGGAAAAGATATGTGATATCACCAGCGTGTTGCCCCGGCTTCTGGTACCGGCCACCGTCGATGTTGTCCGTCGAGGCATGGGCGGAGACGTCCCGGACGTTTTGAGGATGATTCGAAGGATGTGTTTTGTTGCGCGGAATCACTGTCGTTCGAATCTCGCTACTGTAGACTCGATCCTCGCGGAACTAGCCACCGCGAGCAAGATGTTCGTAACATGAGAAGATGTCGAATGAGACCGGGAGCGCTTCGTGTGCCATTTTCGGGAACTCGGGACCGGTCGCGCCCAATCGCGTGGGACCGGCGTTCGTGGGATCAAATCGGTCAGCAGACTACGGATGCGCAACGTGCACTGCGCCACAGCACAGCGATCGACGAGAGTCGGCCCTGCTATATCATCCGATGTAGGACCAGCCGAGCTTGAGAGGCAACCGAAGCGGTCAGAGGTCAAACTATCCGTCCGATATGCCTAACAGGTGGTGGATGTGCGTCACTTCGCATACAACGTACATCGAGTTCCAGCGCACTCAACGTACATATAAGGAGCCCCACATATGGAGTTCTGTAGATCAATCGTTCCAGCAGAGGTGTAATACAGACAGCTTTGACCGCTACAGTTCGACAAGACGACCATGGAATCTACTATCATCAACGAGATCGACGGCAAGGAGCTGGAGGCCATGGGCTTCGGCAGTAGCCCTGAAGATGTCCGAAAGCTTCTGGCGGACGCTAAAGAGGCTTATGAGGAGGATCAGCGTCTAACTATTCGAGAGGCTTTGCATCGATTCACCCCAGCCGTGTTCTGGGCGATGATCTTGAGCGTCACGCTGATCATGGAGGTGAGCAGAAAGACGCAATGGCGGATGACATCTCGACTGACGGAGCTTGCCATCACTCATCGCGCGAGATAGGGATACGACGTCGTGATGGTACGTCACGTGATTGTGATTGCCTTGCGCTTGCGCTCATCGTCTTCTGCCTACCCTTGCAGATCGGATCTTTCTACGGTCAACAGCAATTCATCGAGCGCTTTGGTACCACGGAGGACGGCGTGAAACAGATCACTGCCGCTTGGCAGAGTGGGCTCTCCAACTCGTCCGTCATCGGTCAGGTCAGTAGTATATGGATACGTATGCAATGCCATGTTCAATTTGACTGAATAGCTGCTTCCTTCCAGTTGGCGGGTCTGGCCGTTGGCGGATACTGTATGGATCGATTCGGGCGCAAGCAGACCCTGTTGGTTGCCCTCGTGGTCATGACCTGCGCCATCTTCATCCCCTTCTTTGCCGTCAATCTGCCCATGCTTGCTGTGGGCGAATTCCTCTGCGGACTGCCTTGGGGTTGCTTCCAAACCCTTTCTACCACCTACGCTGTCGAAGTCGTACCCACCGTCCTTCGACCCATCTTGACGTCATTTGTCTGTCAATGCTGGGGGTGGGGTATTTTCATCTCCTCTGGAGTAGCTCGAGGCGCCTTGGAACTCCCTGGTGACCTGGCTTGGCGACTGCCCTTTGGCTTGCAATGGATCTGGCCCGTCCCTCTTTTCATCTGCTTCCTCTGGGTACCGGAATCCCCTTGGTTCTTGGTCCGACAAGGACGCATTGAACAGGCCCGTGTCAGTCTCCGACGACTTCGACGCAAGGGAGACGAACAGGAGACCGAACACGCCATCACTCGAACCTTGGCATCGCTCGTCCACACTATTGCCCTCGAAAACCGAGAGACTGCCGGAGCGTCTTACGTCGAGTGTTTCAAAGGAATCAACCGTCGTCGAACCGAGATCGTACGTTGTGGATAAGCAGAGTGACGCGTCCGAATCATGCCTAAGTTATTCCTCTTCCAGAACATGGTCGTTTGGGCCGCTCAAATTCTCTGTGGTAACGCCATCATTGGTTTCGCGGTCCTCTTGTAAGTCCACGAACGATAGTAGTCTCTCGATCCGAGGCAGAACGGCTGACTATTACTGGACGTATCAGCTTCCAACGTGCCGGCTTGAGCGAGACCAACTCGTTCAACTTGAACATGGTATGTCGTGCTGCATGTCGAGGCTACTACTACTTTTACGTTCGATACTAAACCCCTCACGACTTATAGGTTATGAACTCGATGTATATCTTCGGTAGTAAGTGTCTCCGTATTTCTTCACACACGAGAGCGCCGACCTGACCTTCCACTACGTAATTTCAGGCATCATCTGTTGGTTCTTGATGACTCGTTTCGGTCGCGCCACCCTGTACATGGGAGGTATGGCTGGCATGCTCGTCTGCCTTCTCGTCACTGGAGGGCTGGGATTCAAGGACTCCGTCGGCACTTCTTGGGCGATCGGATCGTTGTTGATCGTCCAGACTTTGATCAACATGACGACCATCGGACCCGTGAGTCGCTTAGAGCACCCCGGGATGATATCGCTGATGGCTGATCTGATCTCTCTTGTGTTGCCTCGTTCAGGTCTGCTACACCATTGTCGCAGAGACATGCTCCAGTCGTCTTCGAGCCAAAACCATCGTCATCGGTCGTATCGTCTACAACTTGACCGGTATCTTTAGCAACTCGGTCACCCCTCGAATGCTTTCTACTACCCAATGGAACTGGGGTGCCAAGTCTGCCCTCTTCTATGCCGGAACCAACATTCTCTGTTTGACTTGGTGGTCAGTCCTTGTTGTTCAGCTTTCGCTTGGCAAACGACATGCTGACTCAATTTGGTAATACAGCTGGTTCCGTTTGCCCGAGACTATGGACCGAAGCTTTGCGGACCTCGAGTCCCTCTTCCAACAAGGTATCTCGGCTCGAAAGTTCAAGCATACCAAGGTCGAACGTAGGTATCATGTCTCGCCATTTCACCGAATCATAACAGCGGTATTTATCGATTTCGCTTCTCTTCCTCAGAATTCCACCAGGTGGTGGATGCCACCGCTATGGACGAGAAGAAGCTCGAGTCGGATCACGTCGAATACGCTTAAGCGTGAGGGAATCCTCGAAACCCCACCGCTACCGAGTTGCTTGCTATGGGGATTGTCTTGTGTTGAATGTCGCATATTTTTCCGGAAATGATGGAGGAAGGTTTGGTATTGTCAATTCTCCGTGTGGAATCGTGAAATTGTAAATGATTGAATTATATGAATCTCTATTCGACCATGCGACGCGTCACTCCTGAGATCGAGCGTGAAAGGAAGGGAGACCCAGTCACGTCCTACGACCGGATATTTGGCGACAGGTGAGAGCTTGCTGTTCAGTTCCGGAGGCGCCGGTACGAATGATCGCCGCTGATGCTGAGCGAATAAAAGCCGAGATTCTGGAACTGACATGCTCAAGGTATGCTTGAGGCGCGTCTGAAACTGTTAGACGCGATCGGATTTGCTACCGAAACTAGGGATTTGTCTCAGATCGCTCGGTTGCGATCATATCAGGTGGCTCATCATCCTTTGGATCGACAGACACCGTGATGAAGCGTCGGCTGATTCATCCTCTTGATTGACTTGCCATCTTGTTGAGATGTCACGATCGACCTCCGTTGTTATCGAACCATTCTCACCGATCTCAAGCACGACAACATATACTACCTACCTTCACGTCACACATACTTTTCACGAGTATCATGCCAGCCAAGGCTGCTACCAAATCAGCGGAGAAGGCCGTCAAGGGAGACGAAGGTAGGATTTCGAGAAAGATATTTCTCAAGCCTATCTTTCTCACTGATACCTCGATCTTTTCGTCACTCGTTTCCAGCCGAAGAAGTGAGTACAAAGTAAATTCTTGCGGTCGAACCAACGTTCCGACTGATGCGTCCGATGCTTTGACTGTATCAGGTAGTACTCAAGTACCTCAAGCAGGTAAGCTCGCAGAGCTGATCACCGTCTTACATGAGAACGAGACTGATCCTCGAATCTCCATCGCAGGTCAACCGACCCTATGCTGCCAGTAAGCCCAAATCAGTCAAACTCATAACGAATGCTGAGCTTGATTGCCTGTTCTTAGCCGACATCTCGGCGAATCTCAAGAACAAGGTAACCAAGACAAACGCTCAGAAGGTTCTTGGATCTCTAGCCGGTAAGTACAACTCCTTTTCCAAAACGCTCAACCACGACGCTAACCGCCGAAATATGGTTCGATATCTCAGATAAAGGCCTTCTCACTTGCAAGACGTACGGAAAGCAGTCGATATACGTGTACAATCAAGTCAGCCGCCTAATTACCATCAGGGTTTTGTGATCAAGCAACTGATGCGTCTCCCGATTATCATGATCATAGGCCAATCTCGAAACTCTGCCTGCGGAAGGTCTTGCGGACATTGACAACGATATCAAGGTGGTCGCCGACGATCTCGAAGCGGTCAAGAAGAAGCTGAAGAATGTCGGGGCTGGTGAGCAGCTTTACTCCGGAGGTGTTTTTGCCGGCAGAGTTCATCGATATCGTGACGTTGTTCAATGTTGAAGCTGTTGCCAATCTCACCGCTCAACCTAAAACTGAGGATCTCCCTGCGACGCTGAAACGTATTCAAGCCGAGGTGAGACGAGCGGCCACCGATTACGTCGTCAAAGGACGGTGTGACCCAAAGATACCATTATAGAACGATGCTTTGGTAGCCGCTTTGACTCCTCTACGAAAAGCTGCTACAGGGGGTGAAGATAAGCAGGATAACAACGGACAAGCCGGTCCAATGAGTAAGGCGGATATCGAGGCGATCGAGAAGGAATGGCAGAAATGGCGCAAGGAATGGGTCTCTCGTAAGAGGAATTACCTAGGGTGAGTCGTTTACCCAACTTTGCAGTTGGTCTGCCACAGGCAGAGCTCACGCTGAACCATATTCGATAGACTGCTCGACGGTGTTCAGACCGACGCCTCGCCCGCAGAACGTCTGGCGTTCCAAGAGGAAAGCGGGATCGACCTGGAAACCCCCGAGATGGTCGAGTTGGAAGCTAGCGAACTCTGCAAACCGCCCGCTCCAAAAAAGATCATGCTTGCCGGAGGAGGGACCGGGGCCAAGACGAACGTCAAGGCCGTCGTACAGAGCCCTGGAGCGAAGAGGAAGAGGTCGTGAAAGGTCGTAAAGGCTGAAACTACAGCCCGGTCGGATTCCCGCAATCTCGCTCACGTGGGCGACGTCGATGACGTATCTGGACACTCGCCGGCCGGGAATTCTCGATGTCCCAGGTTCCTCTCTGCTCTCTGCTTTGCCCAAAGCTATCATCTCGTCCATCCCTGTCATCGCGAATAGAAGTTTTGTATGTCTGTGACCGCACTGTCTTCTGTACTACTATACAGCTATTTGATCGCCACAATGTCTGTGGAAACCCTCGATACCCTTCATACAACATAGCGTCCACCTTCCACAGGTCGACCCGACAATCATACCACCAAAGATGACCTTGTTCCCGCTTGGCAAGAAGGCTCGAAGAAGGAGTTCTATACATCCTTACCTAGCCGGTAACTTTGCACCGGTCTTGGAGGAGTACATCAGTCATCCGTGCGAGATTATTGAAGGAGTCGTACCGGAAGAGCTACATGGTAGTCAATACGTTCGGAATGGAGGCAATCCTGTCAATCCCCCAGATGAGGGGCGAAACTATCACTGGTTAGTATGAGGTGATATAACTAACCTGTAGTTGTTGCTCAAGATGGCATTGCTCCCAGGTTCGATGGGGATGGCATGCTTCATGGTGTCTTCTTTCCCAAAGCGACGGTCGCAGGAGAATCGCCCTCGCCCCCGCTTTATACCAATCGCCACGTCTCGACCCCCATCCTCTCGCTCTCCCTGATGCTGCTCAGAGCACCTCTTCCCTCGATATCTCTCCTCATCTCGCCCTTGACAAGCCTTCACAGGATACTGGGCGCTATCGTGACGACATTTCTGCTAGCGTTCGAGGCCGGAGTCGGTACGCTCAGCGTGGTCAACACCAATGTCATCTGGTGGGGATCGGGTCTGGGCAGCGAGGCGGAAGAGGAGAGGAGTAAGGAAGGCGCAGATGGTGTGATCAAGAAGACGGGAAGGCTGTTGGGGACTTGTGAATCTGGACCGCCGATGGAAATTCGAGTGCCCGAGCTGGAGACCGTGGAATGGGACCGCCTGGAGGATGAGCAAGGCGAAAGTCTCAGGGAGAAGTACGCCAAGTGGGATCCAAGAGGATGGAGATTGGCTAGGTTGCAAGAGGTGAGCAGCGCGTAGATTGGTCATGTTACGCATCGATAGGTCTGACCCCCATTCCAACAGGACTGGATGACCGCTCATCCTAGGGTTGACCCTGTCAATGGGGATCTGGTGTTCTACCAATGTACGATGTTCGAGAAACCGTACCTTAGGTATTCTGTCATAGATCGGCACGGGAAGCATCGCACATGGAAGATGGGTATCGATATCGGCAAGGCGAAGATGTGAGCCATGCTCGACCATCTTGATCTGGAGATCTCGACTGACGAAATTTTCCCTGCTATCCGTATCAGGATGCATGATTTCGCTTGTTCGCGCAAATTCACCATTTTCCTCAACTTGCCCCTCACATTATCGCCCTTCAATATGCTCTCATGGCCACCCCGCCCTATGATCCATTTCGACCGCAACCTTCCGTCGGAGTTTATCATCATGCCGAGAAGGACGGACGCCTCTACCAAGCCCATCCGCTTCATCGACCCGGAGCCCAGCATGATCTTTCATACGGCCAACGCTTGGGACGATCAGTGCGAAAAGTCAGGAGACGCCGTAATAGACATGGTCGCTTGTCGATTCAAGAGCGCCAAACTCGTCTATGCTGCAGGGGCGGTGGCTATTCCCGCCGAAGAAGTCCGAGCAGGTTTCGACGATGTCGTCCGGTTGCATTACTACCGGTTCCTCTTCGAGAGCGATGGAGCTCACCGAATATCTCATAATTTCCCCTTGAGCGAGATCCCTTTCGAATTTCCAGCTACGCACCCGTCGAAATCGATGAGCAAGGCTCGATTCGTCTACGGATGCAGTATGCGGGAAGGCGGATTCGATGAACGGCTCGGTGGAGCTGCCAAAGTTGATGTGCTGGTCAAGGTCGATGTGATCGCCCTGAGCGAACAGGGGAGACTTCGAGGGGAGGGCAAAGCGAAAGCGGTTGATCAGCGGACGGTGCTCCAAATCCTGGAAGACCACAAGAATGGGAGGCATGATGGCATACAAGTGTTCGTCATGCCGTCCGGTTGGTTCGCACAGGAAAGCCGGTTTGTTCCCAGGAATATCGAAGGAGCGGATGAGGATGACGGGTGGCTGTTGACGTACGGTATGTCACGGATTGATCGCCGGCGTTCAACGAATCCATCAACGAATCCATGCGTACATATCGCGCACCGCAGTCTACGATGAGCAATACATCGATGCGTTTGGTAGGGCTTCAAACGCTCCAGGGTCCGGATCGGAACTTTGGATCATCGACGCCAAAACGATGTGGAAAGGTCAATCGAGCGTTGTCTGCCGGCTCAAGTTGCCGCAGCGAGTTCCATATGGGTGAGTGCACGTATAGAGAGGTGGCCCGAACAATGAACAGATGAGCTCACCCTCGATCACATCAGATTGCATGGTACGTGGATCCCAGGCGCACATGTGGACATGCAGCGGGACCTCGAGCATCCGATCACGCCACAACCGACACTGGTGCACAAGATCATGGCCTCACGGTTTCGCCACTTCGTCGACATCTTCACCGCCCGACCCAGATCGCGTTCAAGGACTTTGGCAGAACGTATGGCGTTCTGGGTACTCTTCTTGGGCTCATGGATAGCACTTGGCCAAGCGGTTTTGGACATCAGCAATGACCAGGACATGCGGCAAGGAGCGGTCGCCTGGCTTTCTTCGCATAAGTCGAGCTTGACGCGTTACTTGGAACCAGTATCGGGCCTGCAGGTCAGTAACAGAATGTAACTTCGCTTACATGAAAGCATATACTCACTGCCAGCCTCGATGATTCATACTAGCTGCTGGGCGGCCTGGGTATTGGAGGTGTCTTGCTCGTTCTGCTAGGCGGGTCAATATCGTAACCAACCGCGGTGCAACATTCGGCCCGGAATCCCGGCCTCGGGCATCGGGCAACGGAAGAACGACGAGCAGCGACCAACGTTCCGTAGCATCAGCGAAACTATATAGATCTATAGATGTGTTACAAGACTGTATCGGACCCAACCCACTTTGTAGCCGAATTGTAGCACATACACCCTGCATTCATATTCTCAACCAACCATACAAAGACGTCCGACCATCATGTTCTCCGGCGCCCAAGTTTCCCTCTATCCGATGACTTCCAACTTTGTTCCGGTCATCCTCGATGCCGTCAAAGCGCTGGACCCGCACCGAGAGCAACTGCGTATCGAGACGGACGACCTCTCGACCTTGCTCGTCGGTCCTCCCGAGATCCTGTTCAAGGCGATGCACGATCTATTCGTCACCGCCGCTCGTTCGGGGGAACACGTCGTATTGCACGTTACCGTCTCACGAGGATGCCCCGGAGAACCCGACGCCGAGATCTGTCGACCGTCCGTCGTACTCGGGGAACGTAAACCCACCTCGGAACGCATCTCCTCTGCTCAGGCCGTCATCGATAGCACGGCAGAATCGAATCAGCATGTCTCGGCTCAATTCAGTTACTACCCCCTCGGCGAGAACAAGGAGTACATGACCGAGATCTACGCTGCTATCGATTTCATCAAGAACTCTGGCGTGTTCAGCAAGAGCAAGAACTTTTGCACCAAGCTCGAGGGAGACGCTGCCAAGGTCTTTGGAACGCTCGGACAGGTGTTCTTGAACTTTGCACCGGAGCAGGCGCACGTCACGCTAGACATCACCGTCTCGGCCAACAGCCCCTCCACCAAAAAGTGAGGAAGCGGAGGAAAGGATGCGGGCAAGCGATCATTTGGGGGTATGTTCGAGACAGAGAGAAGGAGTTGTGTGCCCTTGTATAGGTCGATATATCGTGAAGCCGGTACCGCAACCACAAATTAGAATCGCAAGGGCAGACGTTGATCATTGGCGAACATCACAGCCTCCTGGCCAAGGCCAGTAGGCGTAGTGTCATATGTTGAAAAGCCTCAGTCATAAACTCGTCAAAAGATCCCAGTCAAATCTATCAATCAATCAGCATTTACAAAAGTCGAGACTCCCAAAAAAAATAGCTCCTCCTACCCATTCCCTTCTTGCGCTTACAACCACTCGACGCTACAAGTGGGAACGCAGAATTGATTCATGTTCAGCTTTCCTACCTCGCATCTTCCTTTCTGAACAACCGCTCATAGACTCACGTTCCTGGAGGCTTGCTGGTAACGTCGTAAACGACCCGGTTGACTCCATTGACCTCGTTGGTGATCCTGGATGATATCCGTCGCATAACCTCGGGAGGGAAGACGAACCTGCAGCGAGTTCCGGTTTACGAGTCAGCGTCTAGCGATCTACGTTGCCCCCGACAACCTTGCAACTCACCAATCGGCCGTCATAAAGTCCTCGGTCTGGACAGCACGGAGCGCGACGACCTGGTCATACGTCCTCTTGTCACCCTGCACTCCGACAGCCTGGATAGGCAAGAGCGCGACAAACGCCTGAGAGATGTTGTCGTACAACCCGGCCTTCCTGATCTCTTCAATGTAGATGACGTCGGCGGCTTGGAGGATGGCGACCTGTTCCCTGGTGACTTCGCCGAGGATTCGGATGGCAAGACCAGGGCCGGGGAAGGGGTGACGGCCGACGAGGTGGGCGGGAATGTCGAGCAGTCGACCGAGAGCTCGGACCTCGTCTAAAGATGCAGCGTAGCAAGGACAGAAATGTCGCTTGCATCAATACACGACGACCTTGCTCCAACGAAAAATCCCGGCGACCCACCCTTGAACAACTCTCGCAAAGGCTCGATCAGCTTGAGCTTCATATTGGCCAACAACCCTCCGACGTTGTGATGCGTCTTGATGGTCGCACTAGGTCCCTTGAAACTGATGCTCTCGATGACGTCCGGGTAAAGGGTCCCCTGCAACAACCACTCGATCTTGCCCTTGGCCTCGCCTCCCTTTTCCTGCAACTCCTTCTCGGCCGCAGCCTCGATCTTGGCAGCCTCGGCCTCGAAGACCTCGATAAAGGTGTTTCCGATGATCTTTCGCTTTTGCTCCGGGTCGAGGACTCCCTTGAGTCGGCCGAGGAAGAGGTCGGAAGCGTCGATGACGGTGAGGTTGACTCCGAGGTCTTCGGAAAGCATCTTGTGAACCTGAGCTCCTTCGTTTTGACGCAAGACACCGTTGTCGACCATGATGGCGTGGAATCTAGCGCGTAGCACGAGCATACGGCGATCGATGTCTATCAGCAAGCGGACTCCTGCAGCATTGTACCAGCCTCGAGACTCACCGGTCACCAATAGCCTCGTGCATCAACTTGGCAGCGACGGTCGAATCCACCCCTCCACTAACAGCCCCGATGACCTGTCCCTTTTCTCCACAAATCTCCCTGATCCTAGCAATCTCCCTCGGGATAAAAGAATCCATGCTCCATCCTCCCTTGATCCCACAGACGTTCTTGACGAAACTGCCGATGACTTCCTTTCCCCTAGTGGAGTGGGAGACTTCGGGGTGGAATTGCACGCCAAAGATGGGTTTCGACTTGTGGGCGATGGCGGTCCAGGGCGAGGTGGGGGTATGGGCGATCTGGATAAAGTCTTCGGGGAGGGATTGGAGCTGGTCTCCGTGAGACATCCAGACCTGGCGAGATCATACGTTGATCAGCTCATCTGCTCCACGGTCGCGGTGTCTGCGTTCCCAACGGGACAAGCCGTCAGCAGTTCCAACCTGAACTCACCTGCATACCGCCCTCGTCCTCGCACTCCAAACCGTCAAACAACCTATCGGCCATCTCATGTCCAGTCTTCTTGACGGTCACTCGGGCGAACCCGTACTCTCGGTGAGTGTGAGCTCCGACCTTGCCTCCGTTGAGCTGGGCGATCTCCTGTTAGTGTCGTTAAACGCAACGTCATGCAAGACGACTTGTTTCGCATCAGCACAACAACCCCGAATCAATCGACTGACGAAATCTGAAAAGAAAGCTCTGGACGTACCTGGAGACCGTAACAGATTCCAAAGACGGGTACGCCGAAATCGAACACGGCAGGGTCGACCCGGGGAGCGTCTTCATCGTATACCGAGTAAGGGGATCCGGAGAGGATGATACCTATGGTTGTCGCAGTTACGTATTCGAGACAAGAGGGGTGCGGGATGCAGGTGTAGATGTGAAGATAAAGGTCAACGGCTCGTTCGTTGACAACTTGATCTCGTTTCAAACGATTTAGAAGAAGAAGGTGGACTTACCCTTGGGCTTCCAACCGAGATCCTTCATCTTGGTAGTACAAGGTTGCATCTCACAGTAAACCTAGAGATTTAACGATCACGTAGATGTTATTAGCTACATCTTCCTTTCGCAGCGAGCGGATAGAGCAGATAGAGCGAACTCACTCCGAGTTCACGGCATCGTCGGGTGATCAAGTGGGAGTACTACAGGAAATAAAACGACCATGTCAGACGCTGAAATCAGGGGGTCTGCAGCGAGAGGGTAAGAGAGGGGTGGAACGTACTTGCGAGCCGAAATCGAGGATGAGGACCGAGTCGTACAGGTCGTGGATCTGTTGAGTGGAAGCCATCTTGAAGCGGCGAAAGGTATGTGAGGAAGTCTATTGAGGAGGGGTAGGTTGATGTGACGAGCCCTCGACTTGAGTGACAACCTTTCTATATAAGTTGGTGGTTGTTATTCAACAACGATCAAGATGAAAAGTTGGAGATTGTGTCGCCCAACATCAAGTCAACCTCAACCTCGCCCGGGAGAGTTCGGATGCAAAAAATCAGGTTCATGACATCAAATCACGTGATGCTCATCGACTTTATGTATTTGCTTCCGGTCGACCGTCTCGATTAACCCAGCCTAGCTTTGAACATGATGATCCATACTCTCGGCTCTCTTGGTCACTCATGTTGTGTGGACCTAGATCAGCACAACCACTTGGTACATAGTACCTGTAGATCATCGTATATCGCCATGTCATGCTCGAACATTCCCGAAGAAGCGACGGCGAACCAGGCGGAAGAACAGACGTTGATGCCTCGTGAGCCCAGCGTCGTCTTACTTTGCCGCCACACCCTAGCTCAAGCTTACATATGTTCTTCTTTTGGCTCGCTCGAATGTGATTATGATGGTGACCGTAGGTAAACGGAGGGCCAAGGATATCTGTGTGAAATGTCGTACGGAGAAGGGACAGATCGTCAGGCTCAGTATCACTTATTGCAAGTAAGTAACGCACTACTTTTTCTTCTTACACATCCTCGCCGATTCCCTATTAAGTGTCTCTTTCGTTACTCGATGGATCCGCTCAATTTTATAACGTCCTCCTGTTGTTGTTGTGGTTGTGGTAGGAAATGTTTTTACAACGCCACCTACCTCCGACTAGCCAAGAATATCAACCTCGCTATCACCTCCACACCCATACCCATACCCACAACCTCCTCCTCCTCCTCCTCCTCCTCCTCCTTTTCTCCTCTTACCACCAACTCTACCACCACTACTACGAATCCTCCATCCCGCACTCCGAACGCTCATAACAGCCATATACCTAAAACACCCACTCCAGGCCGCCCGCCCCTCCAACCGGGGGACCTCTTAATCGGCCTGTCGGGCGGGGCGGGGAGCTTAGCTATGTTAGACCTGCTCTTGCAGAACGGGTTTGTCGGAGATCGAGATTCGGAGACCAAGAGCCAGGGACAGGGGGGACAGGGGGGGACGAGACATGTAAAGAGGTTCACGTGGAGGCATTGTTGGGTCGTCCATGTGGATTTCAGTGGGGTGCTCGATAAGGTCAGTACTGTAGAACGCTCTTTTGGAAAGAAAGATACAGGGGTTTTCTAGCTCGGCGTTCGGAGCTTCGTATAGTGAAAGAGTAGTGTAGTGCGGTATGCTGATCCGAGGCGTCTTTTCTTCAATTCGATCTCAACCTCGACCTTGACCTCGACCTTGACCTCACCCTCACCCTCAACCTCACCTCCCCACCGTACAGGTACACGACCGCACCGCCTCCCTAAAAGCCCAGATCGATTCCTACAAATCACCGTACCTCACCTTCGTCCCGCTCAAGATCCAGGATGTTTATGATGATCGGATACCGGGGTTGTTGGCTGGTCTAAGGAGGGGGAGTGTATGGGCACCTCAGGGAGAAGTGCGGGCGGATGCAGGGGATGTGAGGGGTGCGGGGGATGCGGGGTTGAAGGTGGATCTAGGCAGAGCAGGTAGGTAGAGGGCTGAAGTTTGACCTGGGACGGATATTGGGCGAGGATAGCTGATTTGCGGCTTGAACCTCGATTTTCGCCTTTTCCAGATATTCCTATTCTCAGCGACACGACACCAAAATCCACACTCAACTCGACCGTTTCAAAGCCCCTGGAAACGCTCCGATCCCTCCTATCCACTCTCCCTTCCTCGTCCCACCCACACCTGCTCCAAACGCTCCTCCAGACCCTTCTACAGACGACAGCGTACAACCTACCGAACATCTCGCACCTCTTGTTGGGGGGTACTTCTACCCGACAAGCGGTAGGTATCATCAGCGGGACTTCTGTCGGACGAGGATGGTCCTTGGGGTCCGAACTCGCGCTATCCGGCTTCCTCCCTGATCCGGCGGACTCGTCCGCACCGACCCAAGCGAAGAATGGGAATGAGAACGCTGGCGGTGGTGTTAAGGGACGGATCGCGAGGATAAAGCCGATGAGGGACGTCATGGTCAAAGAGGCCGCTTATCACTGTCACACGAGAGGGATCGAGACGTACAATTTCCGAGGATGGGATACGTTCGAAGGGTCTGCGCAGGTGAATGGTGGAGCGAGGAAGGTCGTCGTTGGGGAGGCTAGGGGGAAGGGAGGGGTGAGGAGTTTGGAGAAGCTTACGGAAGGTGAGAAAATTTCAAGCTGGGATCCGGCTTGGGAGAGTCGCTATACGAGCGCCGTACTGACTTGGATGAACCGTGTTTGGCTGGCGGGTTTAGATTTCGTCTTCAACCTGGACGTGGATCATCCTTCGACCGTATCGACGATAACGAGGACGGGGTCCAAGTTGGTCTTCAAGGGGTACGGCGGGTTGGAGGTCGACAAGCAGCAACATGCGAATGGAAGCGGAAAGGGTAAGACCAAAGAGTGGGGGATCTGTCCGTTTTGTGGATGGTGAGTCCCGTCGCCCGTCGTCGATTAGCTGTCCGAGAGGAATGAATCGCTGACATCGCCTTTGATGATCATCGGAACGTCTCAGTCCGGAAGAACCGAGTGCGCTGGAATGGAAAGCCCGGACAGCCTTGACTTCGCTCGGTCGCACGGGACCCGCCGCAGCTGACACCGAGGCTTCGTCCGGCAAAGCGGTCGACGTCGCTGAGGAAGCGGTGAAACGGACCATGCACCGGGGTCGGGATACCCCCGCAGATCAGATGGAAGCGCAGACCGAAGTGGCGAGCCTGGCTGAACGGATGTGTTATGCCTGTCTGACGGCGTTCTCGAACGGGACGTCTGGGTTGAGAAAAAAGGGGGACGATCCCGATGGAGAGCGGTTCGAGGTAGAGTTGCCTTACTGGGTTACGAGACGCATGCGAGTGCATGCAAGTGATGGCGACGGGGTGGATGGGGAACCGGACGAGGTGGTCGCTACGGGTGAGATGGGGAGGGACGAGATGAAGGCTGTCGTTGGCGAGTTCTTGATCGACGAGGACGAGGATGCGTGATGCTTGATACGAGGGTTGTACGATATATGCCCCTAGGATCGGTTCACGTCGAGTCTGACCCCTGGCGATCGATAATTATGACGATTGCATCGCTTGAACTAACTTTGTACATTACCTGACTACTTGAAGAACATGCCATTAAAAACTGTCTGCTGTATAGCAATCATCTGACGGGACATAAGGTTTAATCATGTCATCCAGTACATCATCCCAGAGGTCCCAATTTCGACCATGTATCGACCTTCATGGCGGTCTCGTGAAGCAGATCGTCGGGGGCACCTTGGGCACAGACGATTCGAAGCTCAAGACCAACTTTGTTGCAACGTGAGCGCGGATTCCTCCTCGAAAGCATTGACCCATTGGACACTGATTCTACACTGCTCCGGTTCTTGGTCTCAAGAAAACCGCCCAAGCATTTCGCGGAGCTCTACCGGGAACACGATTTGCGAGGAGGACATGTGATCAAGCTCGGATCTGGGAATGACGAAGCAGCCAGAGAAGCCCTGGCCGCCTGGCCAAGTCAGTCCTTCTTCTGGGCAATGACTACCCAACAAACTGGCTGAATATGATGGGTAGATGGTTTGCAGGTCGGAGGTGGAATCACGGAGAGCAACGCGGAAGAATGGTTGAAGGCAGGTGCCGAAAAGGTCAGTCTCGCGCAGACTATACGTTGCCAAAAAACTCTCTTAAGCTGAGGTGATTGTGTGAACTGCTGCGCAACCTTTCCCGCAGGTCATCGTAACATCTTACCTATTCCCGTCAGCAAAGTTCTCGCTGGACAGGTTGAAAGCGCTGGAAAAGGAGATCGGGAAGGAAAAGCTCGTCGTCGACGTCAGGTGAGTCCGTACTTTCAAGCTTCCATAAGTCTTTGTGTTCTGATACCCATCTTGGTTGATTTCATTCGTAGCTGTCGGCGGAGAGATGACAAGTGGATCGTGGCTATGAACAAATGGCAAGACCTGACTGATATGGAGGTCAACAAAGGTAAGACCTCTGCACCCTCGTTTATATCCCGATAAACCGCTGGAATGCTGAGTCTCCATCTTTGCCTTCATGGTGGAACAGAAAGCCTAGATCTACTATCACAGTACTGTAGCGAGCTCTTGATCCATGCTGCCGATGTCGAAGGTCTCTGTCAAGGGATAGACGAGGAATTGGTCACGAGCAAGTCGGGCTCCCTGATTCTGGGTCAATATGCAGATGGCTGATCGGTCACGAAACAGGGCTAGGAGAGTGGGTGACTATACCGTGTACCTATGCTGGAGGTGCCAAGTGTAAGTTGCACCCCGTTGATAGGCTCCCCTTCCTGCTTGCTAGCTGAGCTTACGGCTGACTGTCCGGTTTGTCGATTTGATATAGCCATCTCGGACCTTGAGCTCGTCGACCGATTATCACAAGGCAAAGTAGGGTTGACGTACGGAAGGTGAGCTAAGGCTCTAATCGACCGTTCATGGCTGAATTGGCTGACGTTTTGCGCTCCACCAGTGCATTGGACCTTTTCGGGGGGACCGCCGTCAAATTCGACGAGCTTGTGGCGCTAAACAACAAGCTACGATCCTGAACATTCTGTTTCATCATGTCATGCGGGCATATATCATAATAACGGATGTTCGATACATTGGCAAAGAGCCTTTACAACGGCACAAATTTTGCGTCACACAATCAGAGAATGGAAATCGTCTAAACCGCCAGCCATTTATCGCTGATGTTCTTTGCCAAGAGCGGCGAGCCCGTGAGGAGAAAGATTGACATCAAATTGTATGCTGCTTCTCGTGCGGGCGATTCCTCTCGAACAGTCTGGGGCGATTGTTCTCGTAAACCAACTTGTCCATGCTGGCGAACGATTTTTGAACGGCCTACCTCTGGATCTTCCGCTTCCCCCATGCTTGCTTCCACCTCGCCAAGGGCCTGACGATAGTGCTTCACAGCGAGGTTCAATACTCCTAATTCGAGAGTGTCGATCAGCATCTCATTCGAACGATGCGCGAAAGTGATTCTAAACTGACCTAGTCCGTGGAACGCTCGACCGAAGTTGTACTCGATCTCAATCGCTAGATCCCGATCACCTTCGTTCTTCCTCAGTGCGCGGTAACGGTTAAGAAAGCTCGCGCCGAGCGTCGTCATGTGCATCTTGTTGTCACATTGCCGTTGCAGACTTCTCGCCAAGTATGCGTGAGCCAATGACAAGCACAGAAGCGAGTCGTATGGATTGACACGATAGGCACGCAGGTAGTAAGCTGTATATAGCCCGTATCAGCGTCGCCATCTGGTCGGGGTCTTACAGCTGACATTCGCTTGCTTACCGATCGCCCCTTGCCAACTTCTTGCTGATGCCAAACATTGACCATAGATGAATTCGAGAGCGATACCTCTCTTTTTGGGGACTGGTGGCTTGTCCGGCCTGTACCCAGGGAACAAAATTGCTCGTAAAGCTTGTTTTGTCATCACCGTCTCTTCCAGGACCTCATCGTGATCGGACCCTTCCGAGACATCTGCGTCGGGTTCTGCCTCGTGGTCACGTTTCTTCCGAAAGTTCTGCCTAGCGTCAACGAGCCGTTCTCCGCGGATGTTGGCTACGGGCGTGATGCCTTGCTTTTGATTTTCAGTTTGCGGTAATACCCAGCGACCGATCGGATCGTGCCAGAAGACTTCTGCACCGTTAGCGGCACTATTCCAGAGGCGAAGCTGTCGCAACATGTATTTCTGCCAGATTGTATTCGAGAATCTGTCCGCCGCCAGAGACCCAGAGCCGAGCGCTGCTATGAGTTGCCAGGGTTCGATGCGGTATTGGTAGTAAGCAGTGAAGAATCGGATCTCATCTAGGACTGTACTCAGGTCGCCCATGCGCATGGCACCCGCTGATTGAACTCGATGTCAGCGCTATGCCGAAAGCGAGGAATACCGCTGCACTTACACATGGCCACGAGATGCAATCGGACTTTGAACTTTTCGGGCTGGAAGATCACTGTCTGAGACATGTGCTGGCACATCTGAACCACTTCGAATGCTCGGTTATCACGTAGCAGGAGGGTCGAGAGCTACAGCACAGGTGTACGACAGTCAGCGCGCATCAGGGTGAACGGGACGTCGTCTACACACCTTTAATGTGATTTCCAACCATTGTTCTGCTGAAACATCCAAGAAATGCGTTCTGATCTTCTGAACAAGCTGATCATCGGGAGCTGTAGCAGGCGCATCTTCCTCGGATTCCTCTGAACGCGCAACAAACAGGTTGAGCATGGCAAGCGTTTCTGGCGGGAAGGCGTTGCGCATACCATTGATCCGATCCTCCAGTCGTTGCTCGTCATCTCCCGTGGCGCCCTGATATTCGGATAGATCGATCCTCTTGACCTTTGACCGGACGTAGAATTTGACGCCCTGTGCGACTGGTAATTGAGCGAATGATCTCTCGAAAGACTGTTTCGCAGCGCCGATGACTTACCCGCTCTTTTGGGTACAGGACACGAGCTTGTCGAAATTCAGTCACCATTTGCCTAGCATCCGATATAAAGGACTGCATCGCCATAGGATCACCCGCAAAGGCCCGTGCCTCGACTTGACTCATGCGTTCCATCAGCGTTTTAGTGTGAAGTTCCAGTTGTGCATTCGCTTCAACTTTGTCCATTCGCGACTTTGCTCTCAGTTGATGGTATGAGACTTGTACGGGGTTGAAGAAAGCTCCCTCGTCGGCTGGACCAGTTTCCGGCACTTCAATTCGCTGGCGTTCTTCCGGCTGATTTTTGCGAACTACGCAAGGTTTATGATTAGACAGGGCTAACCTCCTGAATCGAGTCAGTCTACTCACCTTCTTTGACTAATTCTAGAGCCTTCTTCAGGTCGCCAGGACCGGCCCGATCTTCCAGTGCAGAGGCGAGTTTCGATTTGGTTGCATCGTCGTTTGGTTGGTCCGACAGCACTGTGTGGGTATCAGGCCTCAGTCATAGAACCCGACCAAGGAAAGCCAACTCGGACGTGCCTTCTCTGAAGATCTCAATAGCCTGATCGTACTGTAACAGGCGTTGGTTGCATATCCCGATATTGATCAAACAGTCTGCCAAGGCGGCCTTTTCGTCCGTGTAGGTCTGCATCACCGTCTGATCTTGTACGTCAACAGGTGGCTTATGAAAGGCCAAAACTCGATCAGATGAAAATCCCTATTCCATCGCTGCAATTCGCTTACTGCTGGATTGGGTAACGCCTCGTATGCCGCTTGCAGCATTTCCAAGGCTTCCAGGTAGCGTGCGCGTCCCATAAGAGCTTTTGCAATATCGGCCCAGAGCCCAGCGAGAACTTTGTCCAATTTATCCGTTTTTACTTTGTCCAATTTATCCGTTTTGTTTTCGCGAATCGTTCGGATATGAATCTGGCTCATTAGCGGCGTCGGTCAGAATCTCTAGCGATGTTTCCGGAGGGGTGGAAACTAACGTTGGCATCTTCGTCGTGTCCCAACTTTAATCGTATCACCGCGAGCCTCGCACGCATGCTGACCTCCAGTTCATATCCCTCGCGATCTTCCGTCACGTTGTTTTCCTCTGCCCTTTCCGCTCCGGCAGGATCGTACTCGCTGTCGTCTTCCAGTTTGTCCCAGAAGATCTGCCTCGAGCGTTTTTGCAGCCATCGTTCACCTCTTTTCAGCACTGTCGCGGCGAGATCGTAATCTCGCGCGAAAATCAACAGGTCGACTAGGAGCTGGAGATATTCCCTATCCATCTGGTTGTCTTCGCCCTCGTCTTCGGGGCCCGCAAAGGTCTTGATGTGCCACTCGAAAGCGTTGACAAGGTAGTGTACGCCTTCCCAAATGTCAACCTCGGCCGAGCCGGATCCGTAGATGTAAGTGCATTGCTTGAGACCGCGAATATCATAGGGCCTTAGCGTGAACAACCTTCGAAAACACTTCAAGGCCTATGAAAGCATGATAGTACCCATCCGATCAGTCAGCGGAGTGGAGAGGAGACGCGAGAGAGAGAAGGATGAGGCTTGAACGCACCATCTTATCGTCTCGCATCTCTGTCAAGTATTTTCCCGCTTCAAGCAAGACTTCGGGGTTCCATGGGTCCGTCGACAGTGCTCGCTTCTGGGCGTATTTGGCTACTTCATAGCTACCCCGATCGCTACGAACAGAACATCAAAGCTGTTTCTTCGACCCCCTTTGCATCAGTGAGCAAGACTTACTGTGCATGCTCTCTGACATTTGTCCAGGTCGTCGCATCTTTCATCAACTGTCCATGTATCAGCCGACAACCGATCTCCTTGTCATGGTCCCCTCGGTCCTCGTGTACTCCAGCTAGACATGTCCATGCCACCGGGATTTCGGCATCGATCCTGATCATCTCCATGGCATACTTGAACGTCGTATTGAAGTCACCCACGACGAAAGCCATCAGGAGATTGGTATTCAGTTCCTCTAATTCCGGTGGAATCTTCTTGGAGCGGGCACCCTGACGTTATCAGTTTCCCATAGTCAGCGGCACATTTCATATGGAAGGTTTGGGTCTGGTGATACAGACTCTCTTGCCTCCCTTGCGGCGTTTGAAACCTCTTGCTGCACGGAGATCGTCTCTGATCGATTGAAGCGGATCCAGCAACGCTTGCTCTCTTGCGGTAACAGCCCTTACAGACGATGCCCCACCCGTTGCATGTGCGATATCGTGAACCATATCACTAGGAGAAGACTAATGATCAGGTTCGAACCAGCTGCAAGCCAGTTTCAACTACATTACTTACTCGAACATGTCAGACCGACCCGCCTCATTGGCCTGTTCCTCATCTCGATCCCCCGCGAGCTCAAGATCGTCATTCAGGTCGACCTGCCCCGCTTGAGAGTCTACATCTCGACTGTCGTAACTACGTCCCCTTCCTCTTCCTCTTGCACTCCTCGCTCGATTCTCCGTCGCTTTTCCTTTCCCCTTGCGTGCTTGCGAAGCTCTTGCTCGATTCGCAGACTTCTTGGTGGGCGACTCGTAGACAGAAATGTCCGACTCCGACTCTTCCTCGTCCCTCAATCGCTGCTCAAATCCTACCGTGACACAACATCAACTACAATTCTGCTTTTGCCTCTTACGGATCAGACTCACTCTCGTTGGAAGCCTCGGAATCATAGCTTGAATCGCTCTCTTGCCTTTCGAAAGCGGCGTCGAGCTCCTCCTCCTCGTGCTCAGTATCTAGGTCCACCTGGGAGTCGTTCTCGCCCTCCTCTGGATCCACCTCACTGAATGGCGGTTCGTCATCAACTTCCATGGTCTCAGTCCGTATGTAAATATGGCAACAGATTTGACTGATATGCACAGTACATGCGCAGAGGACATCATCGTGTTAGAGCGATGGTCGAGTGCGATCGATATATATATATCGCCGAGCAGGACATGCAGAGAGGACAGTAACAAACAAAGTAAACAACCTAACGGCATCGCCGTTTCGGCACGACGCAAGTTTTGTTCTTCATCGCTCAAACCTGTCACCTTCGGGCTCCAGATGCGACATGATAGAACGAGGTAGCATGCTCAAGGTGCTGACATACTTATCTGGTCTTTCACCTATATCGAAGTCGCTGCTTGCCAAGAAGTCTGGAGATTCGCGCTGGTCCCGTGATTAGAGGATTTGCTAACGGTAAACGTGAGCGGAAAGCTGCTCGAGCTGTCGGTATTATGAATACAACATCGGCTGGTGACATGTATTGCCCGCTTGTCCTGCAGGCTCAAATTATCGGAACAGGAACTGACACGAAAACACCTGGATTGCGTGACAACCCAGCTCGGTATCAGCACGGACCCGAAGTCGATCAGACAGAAACGGCGACTCACCTTGGAATCGGGATCCCAGTTCTCCCAGATCGAATCTGGGTCTTCCTCCTCGGTAACCAACTCTTTCGATGGGATGGCAAACGCAATCGTCTCGTACGGCTCCGCTGCCACCTGATCTCATAAACATACATAATTCGATCAGTTCCGTTGCTAGAAGTGGGTCATAAGAAAGCGAGGACTTACCAAGAGATATTGAATGCTCCTGTTCACCACCTCCTTCCTCTGCTCAAAACTGCTCATGAACCGCTTCCTCGGTCGTTCACCCTCCTTGATTTCCGGTAACATAACCTGGAAGAGGAGTCCCAGACGGGCAGTCTGTGGGTCTCGCACTTTTGTGACCTTGTATCCAGGTCGGCCGATCTTGATGAATTGTCTAGTGATAGATTTAAATACAGGCCAAAATAGATGATCAGAGCAGTGGCCAAGGTTGAGATGGTGCAACCGCTCAGACTCACTTCTTCTTGATCCCTTCTGGTCCGCCTCCGAACGGAGTCTGAATCATCAACTGCTGCCTAACATATGACACAGCCAGGAGACCCGTCAATCGACTATGCCAGTAGAGGAAACGAGGTCGAACACGCACTCCTTGTTCTCCTTTGCCGCTCGTCGAGCCAAGTTCGTCTGATGCTTCTTTCCTTGAGTATGTGCGAGATACGATCCTGGACAGAAGAGAACACCATAGTACAGTCAGCTTTTCAGCCATATGATAAGCAATCCCAAGGTGGACACGACTCCGTACTCACCCTCGTTCGTATGCAACGTCAAACATAATCGACATTCGAGCGTTCCCAAATGCGTTCGGAGGATATACGGGTCCTTCGCTAGATCGATGGTTTCAAGGGCTAGTTTACGGAGTCGTTCTCTTCGATCCACATTGGTTTCAGATGCTCCGGCTAGTTGGAGTCGATATCGAATTCAGGAATCAGCACGAGCAGGGCAATTCCACGATCAGTCTCCTTCTGACGCTAGTGACAGCTTGATCCGCTATCAGAACTCACCGACTCCTCCGCCTCCATGCCTACTTCCGATACGGTTCTACAAGGATGGAGCTACGATCAGCGAATGATCGGTTGCACCATCCTGACCCTGTCGTGGGATCATCGAAGGAGTTGCTCACCTGGAAATCATAAGCTAGAACGAACGAATTGAGACGAAACGTTAGTCAGGACGCGACGTGCTTCACACGATAATCGACTCACACATAATGATGGAAACTTTGACTGTACCGTAGACTATCGAATGGTAACAGGAGGCAACAGGGGGACTGCAAAGAGCAGATACTCTGATGAAGTCCTTATGCATATTCTGCCGAGGCCGTAGGTCGAGCGTCATATCGATGGATACACGGACCGGAGCGGACATCAGACCATAATGTATGTCCATCTACAATACATCTGTCTACTACAAGTGGCAAAATCGAGACCATTCAACAAGCTACTGTCATTGATTCTGATTGTTGCTCTCGGCGCCAGTAGTACTGGGGTTGGAAGATCGCAAGCTTTCCCTCTCGGCTGAGGCTTTGGTGCTCTCGCCATCCTGAGTGCTTTCGCGATCGCTCGCGCCATCTTCAGAGCGCTGCTGGCCATCCGATTCGGGTGCCTGCTCCTTCCGCTCTTCCTGCGGAAGAAATGTCTGCGCGTTGAGCTCCTGAACTTTCAGAAACTTTTCAGTCAGATCTTCCAGTTCAGATCTGGATATCTTCTTCCCTCGTGGCTCTTCCAAGTACTTTTCACGTCCCGCTGCCCACTCCTCAGGGCCGTACGTGCAGGTTGGCTTGCCCAGGCTTGTGCAATCGGGCACCGTTCGAGCAAGCACTTTCAGAGCAACCCAGAGCCTAAGTTCCCTGGATTTTGAGCCATTGCTTTGGGGGGGAATGCATTGCATGATGAAGTGAGCCAACTCCTTCTGGTCCAACGCAGATAGTGTTTTGTGCAATTGCAACTTGGCTGCAGCCAGATCACCCATAGTACCAGACATTGTATGTTGTGTGACAGCTGAGGTCAGGTGAGTAAGTGAACTGTGAGTAGAGATCTGTATCTTCTCCTTTGGCATAGATTATCTGCAAATCGGCGGGAATCACCGTCCCCTCTTTATAGTAAACCATGAGGCGGAAATTGCGTCATGCGTTGTAGAACCAGAGAGGACCTCCTTTGACCGCACCTCCTGTTGTATCAACACACTGTCTGTTTGAGGGTAACGTGAGTGGGTACCCTGTGACATCGCCCCCACGGCCTCGTAATCGGTCGAAGAACGAGACGTAAGCTCTCGCTGAAACGCCATGGTCCGCTCTACAGCTACCGGTGAAGTATTATTGACGCAGGAAACTGATACGCCTTCCTCTTATCTTTTCACCTTGCTCTGTCGGTGGTCGTACAGTCATACGATTATTTATGTCCGGTCCAAACGAGAATCAATCACGTTTAGTCTGATCATACATACCAGCACCTCTTGTGCGGCGTCTCATCGCCATTTAATCCTTCGTGGGATTTATACTACCTTACGGTTGATAAGGATATCAAACCCGGCAGGCTTCCATCCAACCTGAGGGATAAAGATAGGTTTGTGTCTCCTCCATCTTCGAACGAGAGGATTGAGCGCTTCGTACATATCGACAAACTGCAAACTCGTATAGCCAGACCCGCGCTTGAGGTCGATGAGCTATCGCGCGGCTTCTAGCAAGATCGAACGACTCACGTGACTCGCGGCTCCAGCGAGAGATGACGAAGGAACGTCCAACTGCTCACCTTCTTCACATCAACGCTACATTCCACGTTCTGTAGCCTTTGATTATTATTGAAACTTTGCTGTGTATACCTTGTTAACGACAATACGACACAACACAACGAACAAAATGGCTGTCACTCACCCCGAAATCGTCTACGCGCAGCGATCGTCCGAGAGCGTTCCCGAGAAGAACATCATCTACCTCACCATCAGCGCCTCTGACATTCAGGGAGAACCCAAGCTTGACATCGAGGCCAACAAGATTACTTTCCACGCCAAGGCCGGAGAGTGAGTACGGCTGTGAGGCTTGTGATGGTGTGTCGATCGATTGACATTCCATTTTGACGAACAGCTCGAGCAAAGGAATCCCCGAGAAGGAGTACGCTTTCGACATCGAGCTCTTCGACGATATCCTCCCTGAGGTGCGTTACAGTGTTTCCATTCTCAAGCATATCTCCGAAGCTGATCAGAATTCGCCCTCATCGAGACCTACAGGAGACCAAGAAGTCGGTCACTTCCCGAGCCATCGTGCTGATCCTCCGAAAGAAGGCCGCCCGTGCCGAGTACTGGCCTCGACTCACCAAGGAGAAGGTCAGGAACCAGTGGATCAAGACCGACTTCAGCAAGTGGGTCGATGAGGACGAGCAGGACGAGGTTCCCGCTATCGACGAGTGAGTCGACGTATTTGACGCTTGTTGGACATCGGAAGGACGCGAAGCTGACTAGAGGCTTTCGTCACGATAGGTCCGAGTTCGGCGGTATGGGCGGCGCCGGCGGCATGCCCCCTGGAGGTATGGGAGGAATGCCTCCTGGTATGATGGGAGGAATGGGTGGTGGAAGTAGGTCGTACCCCTCTTATACGCCTGTTCAAAAGTTCCTTGGCTGATACGACTCTTCGTTCAGTGGGCGGTGGCATGCCAGGAATGGGCGGAATGGACATGGCCAGCCTTATGAGCCAGATGGGCGGAGGCGCTGGAGGTGCTGGTGGCGCTGGTGGCAGTAAGTTATCTGAAACAGAAGACCTGTATCTACCGCATCACCAACTGACATCTCCTCACTTCCCCCCTTTCTTCCTTCGCAGTGGACTTTGAGAAGCTCATGGCCCAGATGGGTCAGGGTGCCGGCGGTGCCGGTGGTGACTTTGGTGACGACGAGGACTCGGACGATGGCGAAGCCGATGACAAGGAGGACGAGGTAAGCACTTCGACTTCTCACCCTGCGAATCGACAGAGACATTGATTGACATCGGTCGCCTGTTCTTAGATGCCTTCGTTGGAGAAGAAGTAGATTCTGCCCGACGTTTGTTTCGAACGAGCTTGAGAAGGGGATATATGGAGGGCGTTCTACGGTTCTTGAAAAATCACTACAACGGTGTCTACGTAGCATTGAAATGAGATGAATAATCGGTACCGACTTACTGCGATATGAGCTTCATCTGCATGCCGCGGATTCGCGAACAGACCTATGACACCGGTTTCATCTTGTCTGACTTCGGCATTTTCACTGTCGAACCACACGACCGGTTATGGCGTACAGATCGAAGTCCGTTTCAAAACGAGCCCCGATCGCAAGGAGTTGGTCAAGCTCTTTTCGGGAGGCTGGGATCGCTGAACAATATCGCTTGCGAGAAGCATGATATACTTTCCGGAGGATTACAAGACGTTGTACACGCATGAAGGTATAGATTACATAGTCCATACCGGGGACCGGGACTAGTCGTACCAGATTTCGCAACACTCGGGTTCATCAGCTATATGTTGAAAAGGCCATGTGAATAACCATTCTGACGCGTATATGATCTTTCTGACCAACTCACAGTAACGGACTTGCTTCATCCGATCACTGCCACACGGATCGATGATGGCGACGTTTTCTTGTGATCCCGCTGCGGGGTAGAACGGGGTCATGACGTTCTGAGGGAGGGTGGTGTATTGTTTACATTCCTTCTTCTCTGGGTTGTAAGTTACGGATCGGCAGCCGTCTGTCAGGGGAAAGACAAAACAGTAATACCAAGTCAGAATATAGTATAATAGCTTGAGGGTCATTTGAGAGACCTTTACTGCTTGCGTTCTCCACATTGTCCGGGTCGGCTTCGTTTTGGGGTTTTCTATCCGCATCACAGAGATCGACACAGTCTAGAAACCTGGCAACATCTTTTGTCGTCCCATACTGATTGTGATTGAAGACATGGTTGAGCGAGATGTTACGACGTGAGGCGGATAATCGTACTCACTGGCTGGGTCGAGGGACTCGCTTGAACGCTGTACCAGGCGGTAAATGCGCTTTGCTTGACTTCTTGAGCGGCGCCATCGCAGAACTTTACATTGTTGTTGTTGGCTGCTTCAGCCTGCGCTAGATACCCAAGCAAGGCTGTGAGAGCGAACGTGGGAAGTTTGTATTACATTGTGTCAGAGCGGTGTCTCGTCTGCTGTACAGGAACGATGTATGGAGATTGCGATCGAATGATGTGCTGAAAATATTTCAAGGCGGATGATATAGATGTGCTGTTCTGAGACATCGTGGTAGTGGTCTCATGAGCTGATGAAAGGGGCGTTAGAAAGTGTCAGATGTTTCATCCCTTTTGCTCTCCAGCGCCACACTTCCCATCAAAGCGACTCGAAGACGATAGAGCGCAGAGAGAACCCTCGGTACTTGCAACTTCAGATTCAAAACCAGAAAATCTGGGCAGAGATGACTATGAAATCAGACATGCCTAACATCTGACATGAGCTCGATCCCCTTGGACATTTTACGTACCCCTTGCCCCTTGCTTGCCCCCTAACCCCTGATCCCCCTGATGCGCTTGACCTGCCGGCCGCCGGGGGAAAGCGACGTCGACGACCTCGTTTTCGCGGATCTCGCCGAAGCGTGACGTCAGCATCATTTCCATAGTCTTCCCTCGAGGACAGTCGCGACGTAGTCCTGCTAAAATGACTGGAGAACAGGTTGGATCCATCGACCTCGAAAAGCTGGCCACCAACAGCTAGTTGTTGGCTCCCACCAGGATCAAATACTTGTCTTGTCGTACCTCTCGAAAATGAGCTCGTACATTCTCGCCATCAATTGCGGATCTTCCTCGATCAAATCCAAGCTCTTCCTCGTTCCCGGCAACAAGGGCGATGCGTTGAAAGCGGTCGCGGACGTTACCGTCAAGAATATCGGTAGCAAGGGAGATAAGGTCAAGTTCAAGATATCTTGGGAGGACGCTGAGGGAATAGCCAAGCTCGGAAAGGACCTGGAGGAGGATGGAGAGGCTGGGGATGCTGTCGAATGTGAGCAACAAGGAGCGATGTGATAGCCCCCTCACGCTGATGATTTGGCGATTGTGCTCAGACAAGAAACTCCCGCCCCAGCTCCTCGAGCGACTGATCAAATCCTCAGAGAAACTAGAAAAGAGCCAGATCAAAGCCATAGGACATCGGGTGTAAGACGAGTACTATCCTCGAATTCGTCCGGGAACCTCCTGTCTGAACATCCTTCCCCTTTAGCGTTCATGGAGGGCCGACGGAGAAGCCGATCACGGTTACTAAGGAACACGAGGAAGGATTAGAGCGTATGGACAAGTTGAGCGAATTTGCGCCTCTCCATGTGAGCTGTCGAGGCGATCCGAACGGCAGAGCTGTTGGTGCTGATATGACCTGCGTGGGGATAGAATCACTCGGCGGTCTTGGCAATCCGAGGTAAGACCGTTCGACATATCGGTCGTGAAAATATGGGTCTGACCGCTCCCTATCGTGCTCTTCAGCGTGTTTGTCGGCTTTACCGGACCATACCTCGGTTCTACTCTTCGATACCCTCTTCCATCAGACTCTTCCCAAGGAAGTCTATTCGTACGCCATTCCTCCTCAAGAATCAGGAGCTCTCGACAGGTCTATTCCTCTGCGCAAGGTGATTAGTGCTCATCTTCCCGATACTTGAAAAGCGACATTTTCTGAAGATTATAGGTTTGACGCGATAGTACGGATTCCACGGGTTGAGCTATATGAGCATCCTCGGAGCCATGGCCAAGAAGCTGAACAAGAAGGAAGAAGATGTCAGCATCGTCGTCGCGCATCTAGGGAGCGGAGGTAGTAGCTGCTGTATCCGAAAGGGAAAGAGCATTGATACCAGCAAGTCCCGCTAAGCACAAAAAGGGCATAAGTTGCATTCGCTGATTCGGGTTGTGATACTTGCTTAGGTATGGGCTTGACCCCGCTCGAAGGCCTTGTTGGAGGAACCCGATCGGGTTCGATCGACCCGACCTTGATCTTCCACCTCGTACCCGGTGCCGCCGAGGATGCCGGTCTCGAGGGCATCAAGGTCAGTCGTGCAGAAGCGACTTTGAACAAGTGAGTTCCCAGATCAAATAGATGCTCCGCGACATCGGCATCTGACATTCCACTTTCGACTTGTTCGCCTCGCAGGAAATCTGGTCTGCAAGCCGTAGCTGGCACTGCCAACTTTGGTACGATCACCACGAGGATGACGGACAAGTCTTCCTGTTCCGAAGAAGAACACTCGGCCTGCACCCTCGCTTACGATCTCTATGTCGACCGACTCATGTTCTACCTCACCGGGTACCTCTCCAAGCTCTTGGGATCGCTTGACAGCTCTGAAGTGGACGGGATCGTCTTTAGCGGAGGGATCGGGGAGAAGAGCGATTACCTGAGGGCGGATGTCGCTCGCCGGCTCGGGTGGATGGGCGTATCGGTCGACAAGGCTCGGAATGAGCAGGCGAGCAAGGGCGAGGAGGTAGTCAGCGCAATCCATGCTGAGGGGTCTAAGGTCGGACTGTACGTCGTGCAGACGGACGAGGAAGACGTCTGTGCCAGGATGACGAGGGAGGAGCTGGGACTGTAACTGTACAGCTATTCTTGAGCGCAAGAAGAACTGTAATGAACCATAGAGCATCCCGCAATTGCAAGAGCGAGCGATTGGACGTTTCAAAAGACGTTATTCTGTATCTGGTCATCACATGCCAACATACAGCTGGCAAAGGGGGGAACACGAGAAACATTTAGAAAGGTCAATACAAATAAAAACACATAGCAATTCGATTACGAGGGTAAAAATGGTTGGCTCGGTGGATCCACACACACACAGGCTAGGAGTGGCACAGGCGGTCCGTTGGGTGATGGAGAGGGTGTCGGTAAGGCGAATCTGAGAGGGAAAAAGGGAACGCGGGGAGGAGTCTAACAGGAACAACCTCCGTATCCCTGCTGGTTCTCGGCATCGATCTTGATCGGATCCGGGTAGTCGGCATATCTAACAGTATGTCAAATTCGTCTCTTATCAGCCTTCATTTATCTCGCAAGCGACTCTACCTCTACCCAGCTCGCTCGACTCACAGCTCGACCTCTGCCTCTTGCTGCAAAGCGTTCTTGGCGATCGTCTGGAACGCCTGTTCGACGTTGATCGCCTCCTTGGCCGAAGTCTCAAAGTACGGGATGTTTCCCTTGGACTGACACCACGTCATGGCCCGTTTCTGGGAGACCATGCGTTTCGAATCTTCCATGTCGATCTTGTTACCCAGGACGACAAAGGGAAAGTTTTCCGGGTCGTGCGGGCTGGCCTGCAAGTCGCAAGTCGTATGATTCGCAAGGTTTCCCCCAGATCAGAATCGAAGAAACCGGCATATTCGATTGAGCGACCCTGGATGACTGACCTGGATCAAGAACTCGTCCCTCCACCCGTCGAGCGCCTCGAAACTCTTGCTCGAATTCACATCGTACACAAGGACGCAACAGTCCGCTCCTCGGTAAAAGGCCACGCCGAGGGATTGGAAACGTTCTTGACCGGCCGTGTCCCAGAGTTGCATGGTCACGACTCGGTCGTCGACGACGAGCTCTCGGGTGAGAAAGTCGGCGCCTGGTTTAGGTTTGATGTTAAAGGGATGTGCGCCGAGTGTAGCCGGGTATGATGATAAATGAGCCGAGATTCGATAATAGATATCGATATGCACGAATTAGGCGCAGCTAATGTGAGCGAGTGATCTCTGGCTCAAATCTCGATAGGCGCGAAGACTGACCGATAGTAGCCTTGTACTGGTTCGAGAATCGCTTGTTGACATATTGGTTCATCAACGACGTCTTTCCGACCCTAATAGGCAGCAGTTCGAGTAGACAGAACAGAGAAGCGGCGCAGACATCAAGATCAGCCACAGAATTCAGATGCATCTAAGAACCTGTGAATGGTACTGACCCTGAATCGCCGAGAATGATGACCTGTGTAGCATAACGAGATTACGGGTCAGATCTGTACGCTACGGAGGTGATGATGGCGATGACGGTCCGGACTCACCTTGAGCAGGACCTTCTTTCTAGTAGCCATGGTAGATGTGTATGATGTTGATTGTGGTGGATATGATATCGGTAACCTTTATCTCGCTCAAGTTGACCATCAAGGGCTCATGTAGGCTGCTCATCATCGATCATGATCGCATCATCGCGGGCTCAAGCTGGGGTGACGAAGCACTTTCTCACGCGTTCTAGCTGGATTTAAGGAAGGGGTCAACCTATCGTTACGTACAAAGCTTTGTGGGGTCTCCAACCGATACCCAGCCTCGGCCAGCAACATTCCCATGCCATGGATGGCCATCACACATCATCAACCTAAATACCTAAACAACTATGCTCGGTAGTTGGTCCACCAGAACGATCGCAAGCCACAAGTATCACTTTACCGTCCTTGAAGACCTTCAGTCATTTGACATCGGGTGACGCGGCAGCTCGAATATGGTGAGCCCGCCCCAGCAACCGAGCGTCCCAACGTGCTGCCTCCGGACAGGACACAGCTTACATACTCCCTTTTGATCCCTCTGCACCTCGAACTCGAATACCACACTGATAGCCATCACAAGCAGACATCCGACGGCGTAACGCTGCTTTCGTCCAGAAAGCTCAGTCGGGAAGGAATCCGGTGAAACCGCCTAGGAAGGACAAGCCTAGCGTCGGGTTGTGGGTCGTAGCGGGGATCGGGATCTTGTTGGTCGGGAGCAGTGAGTTGAGCGGACCGAGATCGTACTGAGACGGATGTACCGTTGTATTGTCGGAGGGGAGATGCTGATCTTGATGTGGAATGGGTTGTCATTGCGCTCGTAGCTCTATTTGAGGTTCTGAGGTTGCTCTTCTAGGACCCCGGAGCGACTCTTGCCTTTTCCGGATCTTTACGCCTGCCTTTCCACCTCCCGCCGCTCGTCCGACTGGACAAGGCCGACTACTTTCCATGGAACGACGAAACGACACCGCTGCCTTCAATCGTCTGTCCTCTGGCTCCCGGTAGGGTCGACTATGACCACCTCTCACTTTCTTGTTCGGCGGAAGCTTCTCTTATGGCTCGGACATTACCGACCCATGAACTGCCAGCCTCTATCCGCACCTCATATGCATGCTCCGACCCTTCCTCTATCTTGTCGCCCGGATCTTATCGAGAATAGATGCATGTAATTACGACGGAAATCATACATTCGGGATGTCTGGACTAGTGAATACGATAAGGTTGAAATACCTGAAGGCCCTCTTGATGATAGAGAGATACAAGTGCCTTTCGGACTCGAGCTGGATTGTCTTGGACTCCAGCTGACCAGGTATGCGGGTCATTGGTCTCGTATATGGCTAATGCTCGTGACGATGAGCATAATGACTGCGGTAGGTAGATCCGGTGGTTCGTAGAGTAGGGTATTGGCGTGGTCGCTCCCAATCGGTAAGCCTGCGTCCCTGGACAATATGATCAAAGCTACGGGGCCCGTGGACCTGTAATCAGTCCAGCCTTCCATTCGCCCTCTGCGAGTTGCCGTTCATATCGTTGTGCGATCTCGATGCAGTCGATCGATTGAGTCAACCAGAGCCGTTCAATCCAGCTCGACGCTGCGCAGCCCAACCTCAACGGGTGATATTGTTGGAAGACAGGTTGGCCAACGTCTGGTCCAATAACGCCTTGACCTCCTTCTCCAGGGCCACTGTGATGTGACGTATCGTTCGAGCCAGAATCGGGAATTTTTTGATTAGCTACTCGATCTGTGTTGAGCGGTATGGGCCTGGACTGACTAGCTTCGCTGAGAGCCGACTTGTATTCTTCGTTGGCGGCCTTCATCTCCACATCCAGCGCTTTCAGACGATCGTTCTAACAGAAAGTAAGCCGAGAGCGAATGGGATAGAGCAGATCGCAGCGCAAGGTGTCAGGCGTTTGTCATAGCTCACAGCGAGTCGTTCAGTTACTGACGATAGGTCCGACATCTTGTTTCTCCGGGAGGTTATCGATTAGGGCTTCGACCTGTTTAGCTTGTTGAACATATTGGACAGCTAGGTCCGTTTTGAGTTCTGTATAGGCCAAAATGAATCACACCGAACATCAGCCTCAACTGATCCAAATCTTTGCCTAGATGCTCAGTAGGGCATCTACTGACGTTCGTATTCCGCTTCGCTAAGGTGCGCTTGCATCTCCTTCTTAGGAACGGGAGCTATAGGCAGCGCACTTCCATCGACCGTTCGGTAAGGGATCTTCGTGCTAAGTTCCCCCAGGTTGCTGCTTGTCTGCGTGAGTAGCTATGTGCGAGGGAAGGAACTCTGATTCAGTTTCGAGGTCCCGGCGATATCGTGGAGCTGATATTTACGCTGATGATACCTGTCTGTAGCTAGACACAGATCTGGATGTTCAGGTACGGGGGCTTGGATATGCGAGACATGAATTCGTTTCTCACCTGCGATATCCGATCCTGGAGAGGCGCGATAGGTTGTCAGTCTTCTGGATGATTGAACACGACCGCCTGAAACAATGCCCACCATAATTCTTTTCTATGAGTGTAATGTGATGCAGTTGCCTTCTCAGGAGTCGAGCATACACAGGAAAGAGCAGCTTCCAGATGAATGAGTGTGACGATGTGCGATATGAATACCGATATACCGATCAGCCGCGATCAGCCGGGTTCGGTTCCGAGAGGTGGAGGTCAGTCGATCCCGGGGCATTCGAGCGCTCGTCATATCGATCATGTCTATGCCTGTGATCTTCCTGCTCCTCGATGATGTTCTGACCATGAACGGAATTACGTTTGAGCAATCCTATACTCTCAGATCTCGATAACAATCAATGAAGCCGCTCGTCAGGCCAGAAGACCTGTCGGTCGTCCTCACCATCGCGGCCGATGATCCCGCTACCGAGTTCTGGAAGGCTCAACATACATGTCTACAGTTGGCTGAGCGGACACCAGTCTCGCAATCACGCCGTAGTACAGATAGGAAGGATCTGATTGCAGCTGTTGGTTGCTATGATGGATCTATCTGGCTCGTCGACACAGGTGTGAAGAAGCTGGAGGCCCCCACAGCGGTTATCAATGTGGAAGATGCGGATTCGGTGGGATCTAGTAAACCGGGAACTCCGGCCCTTTCTATACGAACCGGATCGCCGATGCTATCCAGAAACTCTTCATATACGCTGTTGAATACTGCAGCCCTATCTCCTCCTTCGATATCCAGAGGAGATTTGTCGACGTTCATGGAAGAAGGACAGCCGAGTAAATCGGGGAGACATGCGTCGATATCGATAACATCCCCTACGAACAAGTCGGAAAGCTTTGCAGGGCTCGGGTTCCTGCCCGTCAGGGGTACTTCAGGCAAGACTCGGAGCACCTCGGTCTCCCAGAATACTGCCACAGCTAGGCTCGCTAGTATCAGTGCTGCGGACGACAAGGCGTTACGGATACGCTTGAAAGATGCCAACCGAGATTCTGGGGACGAAGCGGCTGGTAGCCTGATGAAGCTAGTTGGGGACGCGAGAGGAGGTCTAGACGATCTACACGGGAAGAGCGAGGTGGAGAGAGCCAAACAGGGGAAGACTACGACGAAACCTAGCCCCAGGGATATTAGAGTGGCTATCCCTCCGCCTAGAACAGCTTCAGAGATTCGAGAAGAAGAAAAGGTCGACCTAGACTATGCGGAAGCGATGCATGAGGAGGCAGAGATGGAAAAGGTCAGAGAAGCGGTAGAGAATGCTGAAGAGAGAGCTTGTCGAGATTGCGGGCCGGAAACCCATGGTATCGAGCAAGGGGATTCACCGAGCAAGCCGTTCCTCGCCAAAATCTTGCCGACTTCTTACAAGGGGAATCCAATTGTTGAAATTCGGTCGTTATCCGGCACCTCCAGCTTTGTCGCTCTCAGTAAACGAGGGTGGGTGCATGTTTCGGACGGGAGACAATCGTCATGTCGGCCATAGCTGTATATTCTAACGGGAGTGGTTTACTGTGAACAGTGTGTGTACCACCATCGACTTGAGTACAATGACTTTCGGGGAGACATTCGATATCGAGGAAGCCTGGCGGTCTTTCAGGGGCGATAACAAGACGAGACCAAATCTCAATCCTCCTCAACGATGGCAGGGACTACTTCCATGCAGTCTTGGCTCGGTCAGTCCTCAGAATTATTGCTTATGTAGGTCCTACAAGACTCATCCGTGTGTGCATTGCAGGATCGCTATTTCGTAGCTTATGCGCACGCTCCGACCGATAGCGCGATGGATCAGGCTAAAGATCTGACTACGGTAGCCTTGCTAGCCGTAGATCCGAAATCGCACGCTCTGTCAGCGGTAGGATTTAATACGCTCCCAGGGCAAGGACAGATCGCGGTTGTGCAAGGAATCAAAGGTTAGTCGATCCAGCTAGAAATTGTTTGACGCCGACTCGGTTCTGAATAGCTTGTAACACAGCTCTATCACTGCTCCATCTGAGCAGCGGAAGACTCGATCGATATGCCATTCACCTTTCCAACCCGGTCTCGGAAGACCCGAAGCTGCGTGCTTCACGGTCTCAGGTGGACCTGAAGTCATTCTTCACTCCGTTACCGACTCGGCCCCACTCACGTGCTGGACAGGATGGAGCTGAAATCGGCAGAAGCCGTGCGGGGAAAGAGGATACGGGCAATGCGTCAGACTTCGGAAAGATGCTCGGCAAGAAGCTGCTCGGGCGTTCAGGAGACAAATCTCAAGCTGAAAAGCTAGAGACGGTTTTCGTTCTCAGACCTGCCGTTCAAGTACAGTCGGAGGGCCTTCTACCTTGGATCGCAATGAAGGTAGACGGGGAATCAGGTGTAGGATGGACAGATAAGGTCTGCCAGGTGGGTCTGTCGACTGCAGTCTCTGGGAGCTGACTACGCTGGAATATGCTGACTTGTCTGAGGTTGATCTTTGTTTCTAGCCTTTCTTGGTCAAAGCAGACGGCCTGGAGCTGAAGAGCAATGTCACATTGACGGGCGAGATTTCATCCGTTGCAATATCGGCCGCCGCCTCATTGATCACGGTGGCCACGAAGGAGGAAATTGCAAACTTCGAGTTCGAATCCGGCAGGAGGCTGCGAACATCTAGCAAGATGTCAGGGATTCGGCCCTCCATCATGTCTGTCCTCGCTACTGGTAGAATGGCTGTTCTGAACGATGAGCTCTCCCTGAGTAACGCTAGTGCCCAGATTATTGGCGCGGCTCCACGTATCGTGCTTCCCAAGCAAGATGTTATGGATACTGCAAGGTCACCGACCATTGATGTCATTCAGCCCTTCCGGAATTCCGTGCTGGTTGGTGATTGTGAGTATTGGAATACAGACACTGCGACTCCAGTGATATTGAACTGAGCCGATACTCGCTTGACAGCCAGCGGCAAACTCTGCGTGCAGTCCTTCTTGGACGTTCTGAACGGAACGACGGCTGGAACTCCACTTCAAGAAGATTTGGACGCCTTCGATGCAGAGATCGCGTGCCTGCGCTTGATATCGGATGGAGCTCTCGAACACGACCTGGTATTCGCGGGCTTTGACGACGGGTCTCTACGAGTCTGGGACGCGGAGACGTTGCGCCTTATTGCCTCATTTACAGTCTCTGCGGAACGTATACAACAAGTACTCATCGTGGAGGATGCTAAAGCGTCACGACTTGCGAACAAGGCCCTTTTAATCTCTGAAGATGGATCGATCGCAGTTTTCAGCACTCAAGAGCTGCGAGTGTGAGCTTGATTCCGTCAATATCTCATGACTTTACCGCTGCTTATGCGTCGGGTTATAGGCTTTACATCATTCCGGGATCTGAATACCCGATTCACCGCGCAGTCTTGCAAAAGGACGATCTGATTTTGATCTCCTTTCATGGACGAGCAAGAGTGTGGAATCTAGTTTCTGGGGAATTCAGAAGATCTACCTCGGTTGATGCGGCCGCGGAGATGCTGGTTAGCGGGGAGTGGCTAGAATTGTCAGTCAAAGTGGATCACCTAGAATCACACGATCTGACAATGCGTTTCTGCGACAGGCCTCTGGGATCAAATCTCGATCGACGTAGTTCCGAACCGTCTCAAGCTCGTAAACCCAGCCCAGCCCAGCTCCAACTTTGATTGATTATTGTGCTCATTCCCGGCTTTCGTATAGTGCCTGCGATGGAGATGCCGCTTCATGAATGGAGTGACTCGGCCATATCTCCCCAAGGCTGGATATCATTGCTGCATGAGATGGACATTTCGCAAGCGTCGGATGAAATCTTCTCGGAACAGCTCCACTTGAAACCTGCTTCGCGTGCAGCACATTTCGGACTGAGAAGGTTCGTGTGCGCTAGGGTCTCGCTCGTACTATATACTGAGAAGAAGGTCTCATCCTGTTCACAGTGTTGAGGGCTCATTCGAATATCGTCAAAACGGGCGAGAATCTTGGGAGATCGGACCACTCCAGACGTTGATACGTCAGCTTTGCCTCATCACTGCATTGCATCGGCTAGACAGAGTGGACTCAAGTTGGTGCAGTTCTCAACCATTCGCTGCTTGTCAAATCGCTGATCTTGTCCACCAGAACTTGCTGGTGCTGCCCACGAGCTGATAGCATTCTATGGAGCATCGCTGCCCTCAGCGGTCGGTCACGATTACGCGGATATCGACGTCGACTTGTTGGTTTCCTGGTATAATCATGGAGATCGTGAGTCTCGCTCTGCCGGCAAATGCGATATAAGAAATTGAGCTGGTTTGGTCTTGCAGCCGCCTTGCAACATTCCGCCCACCTTCTTTTGGAAACCCGCCTTGCCCGGATGTCGGATTCTGACGTCATGGAATTGGCAGATGCACAGATAGGCCACTGTGAGTAATAACTCACCTTATATTCCTATGTCTGGTGTATATCGCGGTACCTGAGCTCACAACGAGATCAATCATCTAGTGCCAGTCAATGTGGCTTCCAGCATGAAGCGCGATCCGATATCGAGTCGGGCGTTGACATTACTAGGCGCCACCGCCTTGTCAAGATACACGTTGATGAAGCCAGGGCAAGTCGGCGCGCTCTCACGATCAAGATTATCATATGCGCTGACGCGGATGTTACAGTGCTCTCAAAGACATCGCTCTGTCGATCATGTTCACCTTGAAAGAAGGTACATTGGCAAGCCGGTTGGCATCGATCGACTTTGCGCACAAGGGTTTCGATATATGGCAAGCATACGTGGATCCCGCAGACCTGCTACGATCGTTGTTCGACTTGGCGGTCATGAAGGAGGATGACATAAAAGGTGGTCATCTCATGACACATGCGCGAACGGCGGTCCTGCAATTGGCCTCATCAGCGGGACCACTGTTCATCTCGACAGTCACGTTGGACATCGTTACGGCCGAGACCATCCCACGCCGGAACGCGATCATGAAGCTATGCGTCTTTATCGCGAGGAAGAAGCCGACGATCCTCCTGCCGAGTCTGCCTCGTCTAGCTGAAGCGGTCGTCAAGTCACTTGATCCGACTCGAGTACGAATGCGGGAATCGATCCAACAGACCGCGACCGTCATCTTGAACGAGCTCGTCAGCACGTAAGTCTCGTCTGTTTGCTGCTGGCCGTCAGCTATGCTAATGGCTCGTCTACCGGTAGCTTTCCGTCTATTGATTTCGCGGGCGAGGTGCAGAAGCTGGCCGTAGGAACGCAGGAAGGCGCGGTCATCATGTGGGTCGCAAAGTTCCGTCGAACGGCAGACAACGACTAACGCTCGACATACAGGTACGATCTGAAGACCGCGACCAGGCTCTACGTGCTCGAGACGCATCATCACCCTGTCTCGGCATTGTCGTTCTCACCAGACGGCAGGCGGTTGGTGACGGCGTCGCTGGCAGAGCGCAAGGTTACGATTTGGAAAGTCGGATCGAGCTTTTCCGGGTTTCTAAATGTTGGTGGTCCTCCACGACAAGGCTCTGGATCGGGACAGCCGTTCAAGTCGCTCGACTTTTTCGTAGCAGATCCAGGTGAGCAAGCTAGGTGGTCGTTGTGGTGCTCACGAGAGCTGAACGGTCGCACGGCGGTTCTAGGGAAGGAGATTGATCCTGCTACGGGACAACAAAAGATCGGCTTTTCGTGGCCAGGAGATCGACAGGCTTGCTTGCATATAGGGCAGATGAAGCTGACGTTTGCTACGTAACAAACGGGATCGATCTGTATAAACCGTTGAGAGACTAATCATGTCGATCAGGATACAAAGGCGATAGAGAAACATACGCTAACTAAGAACTCGGGCATGACGTTATCATTATCATTAAGAGGACGAGACGAGGAGATGTAGGGCGTGGATAAGGAGATTGTCCGTGTGGGAGCCGGCGTGCCAGCTCTGGCCGCGAGCGTTCGCTTGAAGACCCGCTCAAACGAGAGATGCGCCGATGAGGACAAGAGCCACTCCGGCGCCGAACACGGTGGCTACCGGTTTGATCTTTCCCCCCCAGTTTGTCGTATAATTGTCGTCCGGTCCCGAATCTGGGGCGAGCCGTAATATCAAAGGCGATGAGTTTGGACCCAGACAACTGACACGTCGCCCGAGCTAAAGCACGTACTTCGGAAAGAGGTGTTCCCTGGATCGGGTGCAGTAATGGTAGCTGCGCCCCCCGCATCCCCGTCGGCAATCGTACTTGCAGCGGTGGGTAGGGTCACAGGCGTCTTCGAGGTAGAACCTGGCTGGATGACGGTCGTGACCTGCAAGATACGGTGAGGCTTTCGTTAGCTTGATCAAGGGGTCCCGGGCGGTGGAATGCCAATCAAGATGCCTACATTGCCGCTAGAAGTGTAGGAGATGGTCTGGCTATTGGAAACCTGGAGTGGGATGGCAACGATAATATCAGTAACATGATCGGGTGCCGGTCAGAGCCTGGTCGATGCTCACAGAATAGGTCTCGAACGCCGTACTGTATACCGAAGTCACAGGTGGAGCCGACGAGGTCGAGGCGCTCGATTGCGAGTTGGACCCGCTACTGGCCTGGCTTTGGGAGTTGCTGTTCGCTGCACTCGACGAGGCCGCTTGCGTCTGAGATTGAGAGGACTGGGGCTGTCTCGTCACTGCATTGGTGTTGCTGCTGCTCTGATTGTCTTGGGCCAGGACGGAGGCGATCAGGCAGACGGCTGTGGCGACGCCACAGATGGAGAGACGCATAGTGTATCGGAAGGAAGGGTCACACTACAGAGGCCAGCAGAGAGTTGGTGGAATGTGCGAGACCGAGTATGGTCGACTGATCGCTTGTCTGCAGCAGAGACGAGGTGATCGAGGCGTCAGTAAGTTCTCGCTCTGCGTTTGTTGCCTTTGTGCGGAAAGGTCGAGGCTGTGCCTTGAGTGGCGACGCATATGCTGGCTCGAGACAATTTGCTTCGAAAAGGAAATTACAATATATAATATATTAACATTTTACCTTCATCAACGGCCGATTAGCTCAGCTGGTTAGAGCATTCGTCTAATACTGTTAGATGAAACGAAAGGTCTTGAGTTCGATCCTCAAATTGGTCATTTCTTTTTGCCCTGAGAAAGCAAGAGTTTTGGCGGTTTTGGCAAAATGGATTTGTGTGACTTGTTCGCATTTCATGGGCACTTCTGTTCAGGTTGATCGCGTGTCTCTCCAACTATGGAAGGATAGGCCTGAAAGTACGCCCATATTGGCTGAAACCAAAGCTGACACATGCGAGAATGTCACGTATGCGACGATCAAGGCAATGCACGCGCAAGCCATGCAACGCTGAAACGCATCCCCAGCGTCGCACAAAACAGCCCAGCGAGTCCATGTCCCGACGTGCAACTGGTATATCTACCTGCTTGAGCTGATTCCGTTTAACCGCGGACCTGTGAGATGCATCATATGGACAAACAAGTGGAGTGTTAGCTACTGGCATTAGAGCTTCGAGTGATAATCCCGCAAGGACTCTGAACGGCATGCGCGCATCGTATGGGTGGCAATTGTAACTTCTAATTCTGTCACCCAACCCAACTCTACAGATAATTCATCTCAGCGAATCAGTTCTCGGACTGCGTCATTGTGCTGCAAAGGTGTCACGAAGCCAGTCATATCATGACAGGCGAAACCGTTTCAGATCTATAGACCGCGGAAGCCACTTGCGCGATCAGCTGTATCTCACCGCAAGGCTATTGAATCTATCCTACTATGATACGTGCTGAGAGGAGGGCTTTCGTGGATTCGTTAGCAGCCAATAGGCAGGGCGATCTTCACCGACGAGGGACTTATTGAGAAGACTTAGGAGACACTCTTGGGGTGCGAAAATGCGGGAACAGCAAGGAGACGTCCTTGTTCTCTATCTTCAAGAGAGGTTGACATACATACCCAATCCGGTCGGAGCAGGACTTATGATCAACACGACGTGAGGCGCCGCATTGGCAAAGGGATCGTAAAGCTTATTCTGCTTGACTCGAAGCGTAGGTTGCCGACTTTGATATTCCCTTGATAGTACCAACTCATATCTGGCTGCACTGTACGGCCTGTACCATACAATAATATGTATTCTCGTTTCACAATATCACCACCTATCGTACAATATCCGCCTTATTCTTTGACTGATCCTACATATTTACTGCTCGTTGACGAACACCGCAGCCATACCCATACCCGATCTATTCGAAACAAGGCGGAGTACGAAAACGACAATTCAATTAGCTACCTGCGCTTGAAACAAAGAAATGAGAGGGCAAGACGACCAGCGAAAACTCACCCGATACACATGCTCGTCACGATGATCTTGCTGCCTTCCCGCTTGGCCTGTGCCATGGCGGTAGCGATCTGTCGAGCACCGGTCGCTCCCAGAGGGTGACTATCGGTTGTAACCGCCGATATCAGCTACGCAACCCCATCAATCGTCCAGACACTTCCGTCAACTCACCCGAAAGCGATGGCTCCACCGACCGGGTTGACCTTTTCATAAGGCAGCCCGATATGTTGGATGCTCATCACGGCCTGACTGGCGAACGCCTCGTTGATCTCGTAAAGGTCGACATCCTCCTTGCTGATCCCGGCCTTGGCTAGGACCTTGGGGATGGCATAAGCCGGACCGACACCCATGATCTTGGGCGGTACTCCGACGACGGTGGAGATGACGAATTTTCCTAGAATGGGTAGGCCTAGCTGTTTGGCGACGGAACGTCTGGCGAGGAGGACGGCGGCGGCTCCGTCAGAGACTTGAGAGGCGTTCCCGGCGTGGGTCGCTCCGTCCTTTTTGAAAGCGGGCTTGATCTTGCTCAGGGACTGGGCGGTGACGCCGTCACGGATGCCATCGTCGGTATCGACGATCATCTCCTTTTCCTCGCCCGACTTGGGGTCGACGATCTTGACCTGGTGAGCCGGTCGACTTTCATCAGCATCTCAATCCCTTCTCTCGCATGTGCGTAGAACTCCGACGGAAGACCCACCTTGACGGGCACGATCTCGCTCCTAAACTTGCCATCCTTCTGCGCCCTCAAAGCCTTGGCGTAACTGTTGGCAGCAAAAGTATCCTGGACGTCCCTGGAGATGTTGTACTGCTCGGCCACGTTCTCCGAGGTCATCCCCATAGGGATCAAGCAGTCGGCGGCTTCTTGGCATGAGAGGACCTTTTCGGACATTTTCTCTGGCATGACGCCGGATCCCCAGCCCATGCTCATGGATTCGACACCGGCACCTGGTAAGTTTTTGGGGAATTGGTTGGTCGTTGAGGTCGAGGGGTTTCAAAGGTGGAGAAGAGTGTAGTATGGCTTACCGATACCGATATCGATCTCTCCGGCCTTGATCTCGTTGGCAATCTATTCAAGCCGAAAGACATCACGTCAGTCCCACTTGTCCCGACAACTAGCACAAAACCCCGATCTCCCGGCTTACCTGGACGACGGCGGTCAACCCGGACGAACACTGTCTGTTCAAAGTGTTGATCGAGGTGCTGTGCAAGACGAGAATAAAGTCTGATAGATCAGCCTGGGCAGTGCTGAGGAAGTGAGATATAGGCATAGATGAGATCGAGACTCACGTGTTGGGGATTCCGGCGTAGAGGGAGGCCATCCTAGCTACGCTAGCACCGCCACCGGGAGGGAGGACGTTTCCGACGGCGATATCCCTACAGACACGTCACATGTCAGAGCGAGGTCATGAGTGATCGTCAGACGACAAGGAGTCGAATGAAATAAGATCGAATTGGTCTGGCCACTCACTCGATCTTGGAAGGGTCGAGCTTGGCCCGGGTGTAAGCTTCCCGGAGGACGGCGGCGAGGAGTTCTTCAGGACACGTATCCTTGAACCCGCCCTTCTTGGCCTGCAATGGTAACATCGACCCAACATGACAAGTCGTCAGTCTCGAGTACAAGTATAGATGAAAGAAAGAGGAACGCGAGCTGACCTTGGTCAAGGCGGTTCGGACGGTACTGCAGATGACGACATCGTCGTTCGAGTTGATCAAGAGCTTTGCCTTGCCGATCGAGGGGATGGCCGAGGCGATGGATTGGAGCGTGGACGACATGGTTGCTGTTGATGTTGTATAAGTTTACGATGTGATGATAAAGTGAGTTGTGAGTTGCTTGTGTTTCTGTAGAATACGGAGGTCGTAGGCGTATTCGATTATGGAGGGAAGGGGTATATGAAGGAGGATGTTGATGATAAAGGGGCACCCAAGAGGGGCCAGCCGGCTAACATAGCTTTCCCGGTTAGCGGCGACGCAAGATGTCACGTGACATATAACATCGCGACCCCGTAGTAACCGGATCAGGTCGCAACGATAACCGGTTTGATGAGCAAATAGGTCGATGGTCCTCCGTGGAGCCGGTCATGGGTACCGGGTACATCATACTGGTGTACATGCCCCCGGGAGTGGTCGAATCTGAGGAAGAGCCAGATCCCGATACGATCCAAAGGGTATAGATTTCATAATATGCAGTACAGGCCACGCAGACTATACACGATGTCCACTTCTCCGTTTCTCGGTTCCTGTTTCAGACTATACAACATGTTATCCTTCACTCCACACTTCGACAGAGAGGAAACTTGAACAGTCTCTCATGCTATCACAGCGTTTCCTCTTTCCGTGCACCTTCTTCTTCTTCGACCTTGGCGGTTAGGTAAAGTACGGTGTTGTACCGTACCGGGAGTTTACAAGGCATACGGGCTGCATGAGAGCCTCTTTCTCAATTCTTCTCGTTGGCCTTCTCGTCCTATAAACCACAAATAACACATTCACAAGAGTCAGTCATCGCAGCTCGTCCACCAAAGCTGATCGTTTGTTTCTCCCTGGCTTAAGAGGAACTGCGAGCCGGGAGATTAGAAAGGGGGAGGAGGTGGGAGGACGTACGAGGCAGATACAGATGGCTAATAGTAGAGCGGCATCGACGCCCGGTGCGACGGTGACGATGTACGTCTGGTTGTCGACTGTAGGTCAAACACGACATGATAGATCAGATTCGGAGGTTCGAGTCAGTATTTCCCTAGGCTATCCAGACAAAAGGAAGGATACGAGAAAATGTAAAGAAGCGATAAAGGGATAAACGGGCGATGAGGACGTACAGAAGATCTCCCCGGCATTAGCAAACGACCGACTGATCCTAGCGACCGGCACCCCACCTTCCGTCGTAATCTCCGCACTCCGATCCAGTAGATCTCCACGTAAGACCAGTTCGTGGTCCCGCCCGTCCCCGGCTAGGTTCTTAAAGGTCGCTGTGAGCTTGGTCCCGAAGGAAAGAGAGGATTTGACAGTGAAAAGGACGGAGCCCGAGGTAGGGTCTATTCCTTGGTAAGTGGAGTGGATGGAGAGGAGTTTGTGTTGGATGGTAAATAGTTTTTGTCCGCGAGCGTCTTTGACGGCTGTAAGGCGAGTCACGAACACAGGTCAACACATCGTCTTCATCATCGAAAAGATACGTTTATCGGATCATATAACATAGCAACTGATTAGTCGCTCGCCGACTCACACTTGTTCTGCCTGAACGAGAAAGCACTCCCATCCACCTGAAACATCGTCTGCCCGTTATACGCGTCTTTTACGGCGAAATCGTCCCCGCTGAACGACATCTTCCTCTCCCGGACTTTGAGGGCGATCTGTCCGCGATGTTGCGTGTAGTAAGGGATGACACCGATAGGTTGCGGTACGGGTTGTAAGGGAGGTGGGGGCGCTGGACCGGGACCGACGAGGTTGGAGAGGAAGCCCATGGTGGATTGCTGTTGTGGTTGTTGTTGATACGGGTTGTGAATTCAGAGCTCGGTAGAATGAGACGTGCGAGTGTGTATACGAGATTGAAGAGGTTAAGATGGGGATGTATCGCCTCGACATTCGAGTTGAATCCCTTTATATACGAGTATGTCTTCGGGCTGTGTGTAGGCCGTGTAGGTGGCCAGGCCTCGGGCATATGAGCCAAGACCGATGGATGCCGACCCGCGCTAAGCATTCTCGGCTCCGCACGCTGACGTCATCAAGATCGGTACAGCAAGGGAGTAGCTTTATAGTTTCAGCTTGGACAGAGCTTCGACGCATGCCACACATCAGGCCGATGCGGGCAAAGCTCTCCCTATCTTCCGATCAAGCGAGTCGTATCTTCACTGTGCATTGTCAACGATTGTGTACGCGAGGTCAAAGATGTCTGGCTTTGCGCTCAAGGTGGAAGACATCTAGCATCTCGTCGTGCCATACAACACTCGTCTCGCTTGGTCATACCTCTCCACCGAGATAAGCGAATACCAGAAAGCCCAAGCCCCTGAATGAGAGACAACATGATCGTCAATCCCGCATGCGCCGAAGCGAAAAAAAAGCGAGCCATAATCCACTTACCAAGGTCCGACCCCAACCAACCTCCACCCAAACCTCGTCAACCGCATCTTGACCCTCTCGATCCCTCTCACATCCTTAACCCCAGAACCCATCTTGGTCGCCTTGGAGGTGATCCCCCCAGGCTTGTCCGATAACGGCGTATGCAGCTCGGCCGGGTTCCGGAAGAACCCCCGTAATCCTTCTTTCTTGAACGTCGATCGCATCAGGGGCAAGACTCCCGATTGGAACGGCCTGACGAGTCCTCTTATTCGGCTCGGGTTGGCATGAGCGTGCGCTTTGAACTCTAAACCCGGCGCGCGGGTGCGACTGAGTTTCGCTAGGTCTTCGATCTTGCGGATCGGGCGGGTTGCGTATTCGGCCAAGAAGGAGGCGGAGATCCCGCCCGTCACTAAGCATGCGGCTTGAGCTAGCCTGGCCCGGGTGGGGGCTTTAGGGTGGAGTCCGTACTCGTCGACAATCTCCCCGGAGGCTGACCCGACGTCACCGATAGAGTTGTTGTTGTAGTTGTAATTGTTGCCGACGAGCACGAGCTGTTCGTTCGGGGTCAACCAGGCCTTGACGGCCAACCCCACTCGTCTTGAAACGTCAAACGTCGAGAAGAAGAACGCGTACCCGATAGCGTCCCTGACCATGGCGTACTTGACCCCAGCCCAGGCTTTCCGTACGCCCTCGCCGAACCCGAAGAACTGTTTGACCTCTTGCCCTGATTTAGGGAGACCGAGAGAGCGGATCGGGCGGAAGGGGGAAGTGGAGGATTTGAAGCCGAATACGCGGGAAAAGGCTTCTGACCAGGAGGTGATGCCTCGTTGTAGTAGTCTGTCGAAGAATTGGCGTCATTCGCGCTCAGTACCTGGCAGGGCTGTCATTCTGAACGTGAGCTCCGCTGCTGGACTCACTTGACGGCATTCTCGATCGGCGCAAAAGCTACCCCCTGAATAGCCCCAGCTCCCGCCCCAGCCAAAGCGCTCAAAAGCGTCGGATGAGGCAGTCTATGGATGCTCTCCATGAAGCTAATCTGGTCCTCAGCTCCGAATGATAACCAGACCGGTCCGTTCTCGTGCTCGTCGAGGTGTTCGTCCGGATGTGAAGAAGAGGAAGGCGAGGGAGAAGGAGGGGAGGGGATGGAAGTCAAGGCTTCACCGCGTTTAGTCAGAGAAACCCAGCGGTCGAAGATCGTTCCCTCTCCATCTTCCGTATTCTCTATATTCAAGTCCGAGTCGAGGTTCAGGTCGGCATGGGGGAGAGGCTTAGGAGCGAAAAAGTCGAGCCGGGAGACGAGGAAGCAGAAGTAGGAATGTGATGTGAAGAGCAGGGTTCCGAGGGCGGTGTTGATGAGGAGTGGGGGGAGGATGTTTTGCAGGATGGCTCGCGGCTGGAATACAGTGCGATATGTGGTTGTCATTAGTTATACGTCAGAAGTCGAAAAGGAAGCTGGATAGATGATGGGGACTCACGCCTTTATCCTTGACCAGCGCACGAATGAATGATGGTGAGAGCGTTTGGTTGGCGGATAATGCCATCTGCCTCAACGTCGTCAAGGTGTCCACTGATAATAAGGGACAAGGATGTCAGTAACGATGACATGCTTCAACGTTACAACCAGCATGCGCGCACGCACCTCGAGTCGGTCGCCATAGTCGAGAAGGACGTTTGAAGTAGACCCCTAACCTGCACGGAAAGCATAGCGACCACGAAAGCTTCTCCTCAGTCATCGAACATCGCTTTTTATGGAGCAATGGCCGGGCCTACCGAGTAACAGCACAAAAGACCTGGCGAAAGCGGCCGTCACCGAGGTCCCCGTCGAAGCGTTCTGCGTGGTCGTTCCCTCCTCGGCGGCCTTGCGACGAGCGAGCTTCTGAGCTCGACGGAAGGCGAGCAGGATCTTCTCGTCTTCTGTGAGGGTCTGATCCATGACATTGGTACGAGACGAGGGCGTATCTTGGATTATGGAATGAGGGTCGAAGGATGAACAATTAATAATGAATTTGATCAGATCCCCTCCTGATGATGAATGACCCAAGGGATACCCTCGTACCCTCGACAACGATGTCACGTGACTCTTAATCTCGGTTCCATCGGGTTTGAGCGAAGCCTCACACCTCAAGCATCGTGGACATCCAAGATCGGTGGACTTTATCTAATTACACAACTTACCAAGTACCTACAGCTGAAAGCCAGTACACAGTAAACAGCCTTCAAATAATCCAAACTTACCGAAAGATGACCAACCAAGACTTCCACGTCGTCCGAGCCACCGAGGCCGATATCGTACGTCTCCCAGCCGCGAAATCTCGCTTTTCTGCGTTCACCCGGGTTTAACTCTTCTGCTTTGCTGATAACTGCAAATGATATCGCTTGCAGCCCGATATCCTCGGCTTAATTACCGAGCTGGCGGTCTACGAGAAGGAACCCGATGCGGTCAAGGCTACCCCGGAGTTGGTCAGTCGTTACCGGATCTCATGTTTAGACACTTCGCTCCGGAGCTGAACCGACCGGCCTTACCCGAAATCGGTGAAACTCGATAATACAGTTGAAGAAGAACATCTTCGAACAAGGATATGCCAACTGTATCCTCGCTAAAGATGGGACGGAAGGTAATCCGGGGGAGACTATTGGCATGGCCTTGGTGAGCGCCACTTCTATCGCTTTGTAGCATTTGTAGATGTGTATGGAGTGCGTTTCGCTAACCGGGCCTCGTTTGAAACACCGGGTACGATCCATTATAAATAGTACTTTTTCAACTTCTCGACGTGGCTAGGAAAACCCGGTCTTTACGTACGTACCTAAAACACCTGTTCCATCAGATTTCCTCATCGAGGTATTCGCTGACCTCGCCCTGCATCCGGTGAATATCGATTCGACAGCTGGAAGACCTGTACGTAACCCCTAAACGACGAGCGGCCGGGATCGGGAAAGTCCTTTTCGGACATCTCGGACGGATCGCCAAAGAGAAGGATTGCGGGAGGATCGAGTGGTGTGTTCTCAAGGTGAGTATCGGCGTCGACATGGGTTTTTCAATCCCTTGTCTCTCTCAATTCAAGGCTTTGATAACACTGCACTTATACTTACACTGGCTGACCGACGATTAACTTTCGAACTCGCAGTGGAACGCCCCGTCGATCGGGTTCTACGAAAAGACCCTCGGGGCTAAGGCGCTGGTCGAGTGGGATACCATGCGGTTGGAGGGCGACGAGGAGATCGGCAGGCTGGAAAAGTTCTTGAAGTAGAACCGATGCAAATAAAGGTCACCTGGCTGGTGTCCCGCAGAAACTTAAACAGGCGAAGGAAGAAGCTAGCAAAAGGAGATCACATCTTGCATCGATACATCATTGTGCTGGTGAAATTACGCATCTACATGTACCTCATACGATCACCTGCATCGTCTTGCAGCAAGATGTATACAAAGTTACAAGATCCTTGCCAAATCTATGGCTTCCATACGACCGCCTCCTTCCCTCTTGTCCCTAGCAACCTCTCTTCGTATTCCTTTCCACTCGCCTTGGCAAGTCTCCTGAGGGCAAGGATCCGCCCGTCGGGGGTCTTCCACTTGGTAACGGCCATCTTTTCCTCCTTGTCCTTTTCCACAGTCGAATCCGTCGATGGCTTAGTCTCGTTCTCGTTCACCAGCACCCCTTCCTCGGGCTCGAGTGCGGCGAGGTTCATATCCTCCGCCGTCTTCCCGGTAGGGAGGTTCAAGGAGGTCATGTTCGTATACTTCTTGCGAGCTGTTTGCAAGCCTCGTCGAGCGAGCGAATAGCCTTCCTCATCCATTGTCGTCTTTTCGATCTCGTATTCGATCGTCCCTAAAGTACCAACATCCAAAAGTCAGCGCTTCTACCCTAAGCCGTATGTCCATCCGAGTCGTGCTTACATTTCACGCTCGAGGGGTTCCTTGGGTTTACGCTCTCGAAATCAACCGGGCCCATCACCTTTTGACCGTCGAGCTTGTTGATAACAGAGGTCTTCAGACGCACGACCGGAGCAGTTTCGACCGGCTCGTCCGTCTTTGGCGTAACGAAAGCAAGAAGTTCTGATCCCTGGCTGGCGTCGACTACGAGGTTAATGGTCTGCCAATAGGAGCATCGATTTTTGGTTAGCCCGAGCCGCAAGGCGCTGCGTCGTAGAGCGAAATGCTTGCCTGGTATGGATAGAGGGCAGTCGCCTCCTCGAGTAGCTTTTCAAGCAAAGATACGGACAGCTTGAACGCCTGGTCTCCCATGGCCGCGCAGCCGTGCAGGATCTCGTCCATCTCCGCCCTAATTCGATTTCGGGCTGGTTCAGCAGGTCGCCTTGATCAAGTGAACTCTTTGAAATCCCGACTTACAGGGAGACATATTGGTACCCGAAGATCCGAGCTGTGTTGTGATACACTACAAAGATCCCGTCCATCCCGCCGATCCGGACTTGCATGCTGTACTTCAAGAATGCCGATCGACACATGTCGTAGAATCTGCATGAAGACGGCAAGGCGTGTGAGCCGGGTCAAGTCGGATTCGGAAAGGAATGATAACTCACTCCTTCTCGAAGGAGTTTTCTAGACCGGTCAATTTGTACACGTCGTATGCGCTGTTTTCCTGCGCCGGGCGAAAAATAAAATCGATCAGTTTGACATGGAAAGTCATTTCCCTCTTAATCGCACAACCCGACTCACCTCGTAATTCGCTCGATCGTGGCGGATGACCATAGCCGCACGGGTCTTGATGTCAAACGTTCCCGAACCGGGTAATCGCTCGTCATAACAATCCAACTGGGATCGCATCAAGATTTTCGAACCCTGCGCGCCCAGGCCTTTAGGTCAGTAAAGCTTCGAACATCGTTCCAGAGAGGAGATAAAGGGCTCGGATTGACCTTGCAATATCGGTAAGCCTCCCTGGCGTTCCTCTCGTCCTCGGATACCCCAGATTCGGGGCTAGACAACATGAACCGCTTCAATTCCTTTTCGTCGCTGGTCACCATCTTTTCCATCACTCGACCCTATATAAACGACACCGGTGATGAGACAAGCTTCTCTTTCCGCATCCACAAATCGCGATTGAGACTCACCAAGTCCGACAAGATATTCTCGTCGATATCCCACCGCTTATCGTTGTCCACCGCGTACTTGCCATCCGGCATCGTCTTGACCCATAACATCGCTGGCAACTTGGCACCAGCGGGAAAATCCGTTCGCTACGATGCACGAGGGGAAGAAGACGGTTAACAACAGGTATAGGATTATTACGGTATGTCCGGTAGACTGCAGCTTACCTCGTTGGCGAACGCTTGACTGAGCTTGTCCAAGCTGATCGGTCTGGCACCTACGACCAACCCGCCATATCAGCATCATCAGAACACATTTCAAATCGAACGAATTTCATCCCAGATGTCCCCCCCCCCCACTTACCGCTGATATGAAAGTAAATCTGACTAAGAGCCTTGGTCAACGTCGAAGTGGATCCGTAATACTTCATCCCTGTCCGCTTGACGAGCTCATACAAGTCTTCGTCCTCCGAAGCGGTGATGTATTGAGGTAGACGATGATAAGCGAACTGGTCGGCCTGGGGGACGTGTTCGAGGGAGGTATCAAAGTTGTAGACGTGTGAACGAGGATCGCGGGTAAAGTGGACCGAGGGGCTGGATAGAGTCAGAATTAGAGGGAAGGGAGGTGGTTAGTAGGGCCTCGAGAAGGATCCGGGTTGGGAGATGGGATGGCGGAGACTCACTTGAAGAGCACACGGGATAACCCGCGTTTCAGGGTGGCAACCGGTACACCCCGAACAGGCTTGACCTCTACCTCAAGAATCCAAAAGTACGATCAGTCATGCCAGACGCAGTAGGATAGACAGGTCGATATTTTGTGATGCGAAACGGAACTGACCAGAGATTTCAATCTCCTTGGCACTCAACCTCCCGTGTTGTAACCCTATCCGACCCTTCTTGATGGTCTCTTTCAGTTGATACGATTCGATGCCGGCTTCTCTCTCGTGCTCTTCTGCGACCTCTGTGTTGGGGGTTTCGAGCGAGTTCGGATAACAAAACACCGGTAGGATAAGATGACGATGGGGGGGATGTGATTGAAGATTGAAGGTGAGGATCAGCTCGAAGCTCGATACGCAGCAAGAACAAACAACCCGAACAACTCCCAGCCATATCATGCCTCGGAATTGGAACTGACCTTGTAACAACCCCATCTGCCTACCCCTCTCGGTCTCATCCACCTCTACCTCTCCTTCCCCTAACTCTCTTAATTCCCTATCGACCACTACCTCGGATTCAACCTCAACCTCGGGTTCAGGTACAGCCTTATCAGACTTTGTACTCCTTGTATTCCGAGCTTGGGCCACAAGCGGGTTGAGGTTGGAATTTGAGTTTAAGTTTGAGTTTGAGTTTGAGGAGAGGAGGGCACCTTGCATGAGTTCTTGGAAGACCTTGTTTGAACCCCTCTGGTCCTGATCGTGTATTGCGGATGAAGATATTGATGCTGATGGGGATCCTGGATGTTGTCCCGATGAAGGGTCCGTTAGGGAAGAGGAGGTTGATAGGGAAGAGGAAGAAGAGTTGGAGATGGGCCATTTGAGCCATTTGAATAGTTTCGATTTTAAAGGGGTTTGCGATGAGTCTGATACTGGATCGCTCAACGCAGATGAAGATGAAGGGTCCGATGTCGGCGTCGATCTTGTTCTCGATGTCCTTGCGGTATTATTCGTCTGATCCTCCGGATTCGAAGAATTTGAAGTTGAAGAAGAACTCCTGTTATTCCCCGCTAGCCTACCTCGACTCTTACTCAACCCATCGATGGCGCGATAGGATAAGGGGACGTCCTCAGTCTCCCGGACGGAGACGAACGTGCGGTTCCGATTCGGTACCCCTGAGCTCGAGCCGTTCTTTTGTACATGGACCCCATTCGAAGTTAAATTTGAGGAGGAAGATGTGTTCCCTTCGTTGTCAGGTTTTGTGACTGCTCTTCGGTGGCGCCGAGCTTCAGAGGCTTTGAACCGGGTTTGAGTGGTCAGGTCGTGTTGATACAGTGTTCGAGGGATTCGATGGCGGAGGACGGGTGAGAGCCGGGATGGTCCGGATGACACGCATGCCGGACAACATCGGAGGGGCAGTATCATCCTCAGGGCTACCTTGACAGACGAGTAGGTCCAGTGTATGTGACGAGCACGCAAGAAGCAAGCGAGGATGTAGGTTAGGTTCCCAAAGTTGATTTTGTGAGTAGAATCGAAGATCGAAGTTCTGCCCGTTGCCGCTCAGAGGTTATCGATTACGTAATTCGATTACATAATCAGTCTGTCACTTGCCAAAGGGGTGCGTCGAGAAGCAAGAATGTCACTTTCGTCACTTTCATCTTGCTACCTTGCTGCATGTTGCCTGTCGACATCTATTCTGAACAAAGACAACTCAGTACATAGCCACAGGGCTCAAAGATAGCCGGGTGTTTCATCACAAATCGAGCTCAAATTTCAAGCCAAAATGACCGACAACGGAGCTCCTACGAATATGGACATGATCACCGAAGGTGAGCTCAAACCCCAAGAAGCCTGAGAAGGCGTACCGACCTCGTCAAGCTGAATTGAATATACCTTTTGTCATGGAAAGATGAGGCTTCGCTGTATGATAGGCAGATCCGTCTTTGGGGTCTCGAAGCTCAGAATCGGTTAGCCAGGACAATATTATCTACTTTGAAGTGATCGAGAATCAAGCTAACTCGGCCTCTCATCGCCATCCCCTTTCACCTCGACCGCAACCTCAAATCTCGATCCCATCCATTTCGACCTCGACCCTCACCTCGATCTCGAATCGCCACAGCATGCGCTCCTCGACGATCCTCGTCCTCACCCTCCGTTCACTCGCCCAAGAGACCATCAAGAACCTCGTCCTCTCCGGTGTCGGCAGGTTGATCGTGATGGACGACAAGGAGGTCACGGAGATGGACTTGGGGGCGGGGTTGTTGTTCAGGGAAGATGAGGGGGCGGTCGGTCAGAAGGTCAGTCAGTCCTCTAATTATCTCATCTTATTTTGGTGGAAGGTAGAACGTCGGCTTATCTGACCACCTGAATATCTCGTCCCGACACCCCCGTACTCTTCGGTGAAACCTCTACATACTTATGCCTTCGTAGCGGGTCGAAGCGGCCCTCCCGCAGATCCAATCCCTAAACCCACTCGTCAAGATCGACCCAAGACCTACCCTTTCGCCATTTCAAGAGGGAGGATCGGAGGAGGAGATGGATGCGTTCTTGAGGGATGAAAAGGTGGATCTTGTTTGCGCTACGGATCTTACCAAGAAGGAGATGGTCAGTCGGATGTCCTCTTTTTTTCGATCCGTTTTGAGTGTTCCTTGGAGGGCAAGACGGTCGTCGAAGGTTGTCATTAGACTCAGCAGTAGCTCATCTCGTTTCTTTCTTGTTGATTTATAACTATGGTAGATCAAGCTCAACGAGGCGTGCAGGAGGACAGGCAAGTTGTTCTACGGAGCCGGATCGTACGGGTTCATAGGATACATCTTTGCGGACCTCGGACAGTCTTACGAATGGGTCATGGCGTGAGTCCCTCCCATCCTCCCACGCTTACGTAGTCCCTACCCAGATTCTATGTCTAATTCTCGAATAATCATCCTTGGGCGACGACAGCTCGGGATCGGCCTCGGGCTCGGGGCAAGCGGGGAGCGCGAACGCGAACACGAAGATGACCAAGAAAAAGGTCGACTGTCGGACCTTGTCCGAAGCGCTGAAGAGCAGTCCGTTTGAAGGGTTGACGAAGAATCAGACGAAGGAGACTGTCCCGAGCGTTATTCTTGGCGTGCAAGGTGGGTCCGGGTCAGGTCGAGTGAGATGGTCCCCGGACCAGGCAGATTTGGATACTAAACACTCGTTAATCTTGGTAGCGGTCTGGGAGTATCAAGAGAGGCATGCAGGGAAGTTGCCGCAGAGTGAAGAGGAGGACTTGGGAGAGCTCGTCGAGATTGCGGAATCGATGAGGAAGGGGTTGAAGATTAATGAAAAGTTTATGAAGGAAGCACCACGAGAGGTCCTCGCGTGAGTCTTTCTTCCAGATCTAGCACGCTTCTACCCTAGTCACTCGGACCTCGACTGATCGAGCTCTCATCGAAATGGTACGGATCTTTTTTTCCTACAGTCACCTAGCCAACGGCGCCTCTCACGAGTTCGCACCCACCGCGGCCATCCTCGGCGGATTGTTGGCTCAGGACATCTTGAGAGCGTTGAGCAGAAAGGAGAAACCGGTGATGAACTTTTTGGCGGTAGATACGATGGCGGGGACGGGGACGACGACGAGGTGGGGGATGGGGGTCGAGCAGGAGGTGTAGATATAATAGAAATTGAAAGGGTCTGATGTGTGCGGGAACGTAAAGAACGATGGTATAGGGCGCAAGATTGCGCAGGGCCGAATAACCCGATAGAGCATGATATGGCTTGTGTATAGCAAATAAGCATGGTGGCAATGCCGTCTGAGTGACTTGCATATGCCCTTTTGATGACGTGCTGTTCATACTGTATGCAGATGCAAGGGCTCTCGAGGAGGGCGACGCGCACGTGAGTTGTCCTCACCGAGATGGACGAGCATCATAGCTCCCTATATCTCTATATCTGCTGCAGATTCGAGTTCAAGGACTTGTATCAAGTCAGCACACTGGTACACTGATAGTTCACCAGTAGATCGAACCATGTCTGCGAGAGAGTCTGGCGATATCCCTTCCGCCCCACGTGGCCCATCCGATGGTGAGTTCTGTCGCTTCGCGAGCCTGTCGAGGTTTATCGTCGGCGGATAGTTTACAACCCGCTCAAGTCATGAACGTATAGCTGAGCCGTACTCGTGGGTGTTATATTTCTTTGTGTCTTCCTACATACAGGTTATCGTAGAGACAGAGATCGAGAAGGCGATTCGGGCAGGCGGTACGAAGATAGGGACGCTGGGCGGAATTGTGGATCGGGGTCGGGGTCTAGACGATACGAAGACGATTATCGTCGTGGAGGCGGACGAGGGGGTGGTTACGATCGAGGTCGGTCGGATAGGGATCGAGATCGAGGTCATGGAGATCGTCATGACAGACGACCTTATGATGACGATCGGAGGCGAGAGGGACATCGGGTAGGAGATAGGGATGGGGGTGGTGGGTATCGCGATCGGGATGGCGATAGGGATAGGAGGAATGGCAGACCCTACGACCGACCGTTCCCCGAACAACCTCCATCTCGACCGAGGTCTCGGTCTCCTATCCGACCTTTGGACAAGAAGAGCATCGAAGAAGGACGTCGACAGCGAGAACTAGAGAGAGCCCAACGGGCTCAAAGGGGAGAGAGCGTCCATTCCGCGAGCGGATCTGCTACTGGTCCTCCGGGTACAACGAACTCTTCTGGTCGACAACAAGACCACCGAAGGGATCGGGAGCGTTCTCCAGCCCCGTATAGGAGGCCGAGGGATCAGAGGGGGGAACACGTTGATAAAGGGCCCATGCGGGAAGATCGATTTAGATCCGAGGAAGGCGAGGGAAGGGAAGAAGAAGAGGAAGACGATGGTGATATGGCAGCCGAAGAGGATGAGATGGCCGCCATGCTCGGCTTTGGAGGGTTCGGATCGACCAAGGTCAGTCCAAATCGTCGCTTACTTGTTGAAACTCGCGACTTGGCAGAATGTCTGATATCGATGTGGTCGGTTTGAACTTGAGTAGAACCAAAAAGTAAAGGGCAACGTCGAAGGCGCCGCTCAGATCAAGCAACAACGAACTTGGAGGCAGTACATGAACCGCCGAGGAGGTTTCAACCGGTACGTCAAGCTGGGGCACCCAGACGTTGTGGATATGGGATTCCGGGGCTGACATTAATAACGATTGTGATATTGTAGACCTTTGGACCCGGTCAAGGAGCCCAAGGTGTGGCATTGAGCTGGAACGATATCGAGTGGGTGGTCTTTTCGGGACGCCTGGCTACACCTCGCTCTCGCGCACAAGACTGTTTTATACCCTAGAAATTGATGTGGGCATCCGGTCGATGAATACAGTGTGTATCTCATATCGGTTCTCGAGGTCGTGATGATCTAACCTACGTTACAATTGGGGCGTTCTGTGAATGTCGACATGGCCAAGGAAATGATCGGTACCTTGACATGAATCTGAGTGCGGCCTAACTGGTCTCGTATCCAGCCGATATTGCGAAGCGATCGAGACCTGTGTCACATAACGAGAATCATTCGAGGTCATTGCTGCTTTTCGCTACCGAAGACCCTTACTGACGCTGGATCCGGGAAGGCGACCCGGATCAACGTCGACAGGCGGAAATCAAACTTTGTATTTGTATGTCGGAGCATGCATGGGCTTTCCTCCTCGTAAACAACACAGACAAGAACAAGGTTTCGTTATTCAGAACAAGACAATCACGTCAAATTAACTACTTGGACCTATACGTTGAACGAGATTCTGGGCCGTTGAAGCGGCCTTCGAATTACACAATCCGGTCGGACGAGCTCAATCTCGAAAAGAAGAGGGTAGAGGATATCTTGGTGGGTTGACGCATCAGATGTGTCGGCCGGCTACACCGGGCTCAGCGCCGGTCTGGTGCTTGAGCTGTTGAGCCTCGATGACCTTGGCTTCACCCTTGGCGGCCTGTCCGAAGCGAAACGAGCGTAAGAGACGAAAGATCCAGTTAGTCATTGATTCGATCCGACTTTCACCCCGAACAAGACGAGTCCATGCTCGACGAAAAGCGAAAAAAGACTCACCATGCTCTTCATACCCAACATGCTCCCGATCTTCTCTTGCGTATGTCCGCTCTTTTCCAGCTTTTCGGCCTCCTTGAGCGTCGCGGCGTCGGTGTGTCCGACACCGTGCGAGTGAGAGTGACCAGCCCCGACGGTCGAGGTGTTGGTGTTGTGACCATGGGTCCCGTGGTTGGTACCCGTCGTTCCGCCGATCCCACCGTGGGTCCCAGTCAATCCGGTTCCACGAGCCCCTCCGTGACTTCCGACCAGGCCAGTCCCGTCCGCCCCGGTCAGACCGGTGGTCCCGTGGTTCCCAGTCAGACCCGTACCAGAGTGAGTGCTAGTACCGTGGGCGTCGTTAAAGCCAGTCCCTGTGTGAGCGCCGTGGGTCCCAGTCAATCCAGGCCCGGTTTGGGTCGTAGCGCCGTGAGATCCGGTCAGACCAGATCCGGTGATATCGGTCGAATGAAGACCAGTAGTACCGTGGGTACCGTGGGTACCAGTCAATCCCGTACCAGTGTGGGTACCGTGCGAGCCCGTAAGACCAGTGCCAGTGTGGGTTCCGTGCGAACCAGTAAGCCCAGACCCGTGCGTCTCGTGCAAGTGGTGCGGCTGTCCAGTGACAGAGTCGAGAACAACCCCAGACGAGTTGGTATGAGTCCCATGTACACCATGGGTACCGTGAGCGCCGGCAGTACCGTGCGTACCCGTGGTAGAGTGGGTGTTGTTACCGGGGAGGAGGTTGGCAGCGGTAGCCCCGAGTTTGGAAGAATGCGCTTCACCATGTTTGTCGTAGACGGGCGCGCCTGAACCGGGGGTGACTCCCGTTCCGGTATGGGTGGTCGAGGTGTGGTGGGTGTTCGAGCCCATCAAGCCAGTCCCGGACGAGTGGGTGTTGGTGTTGGTGTGCGAACCGGTGAGACCAGTACCGGTAGTATGGTGGGTGTTCGACCCAGTAAGGCCCGTACCGGTGGTATGGTGGGTGTTACCTCCCGTCAAGCCCGTACCCGTCGAATGCCCAAGCCCAGTTCCCGTATGGGTAGTTCCGTGGCCGGGGTTGGTATGCTCTCCAGTTCCTATTCAGCCACACACAACGAGTTAAGGGTGATTATAGCTAAAATCAGTATTTCATTCCTTTTGTATGTCAAGGGGGCAACGACGGCGATGAAGAAAACGACTGCGACTTACCAGGCAAATGAGTCCCAGCGACATGCGCTCCCGATCCAGGGACATGATGTCCACTAACCCCCTCCCCAGTCTTGCCGTGCGCGTGGACTTCAGGGTAGTTGTTGTACCCCGTCCCGGAGATGGGTCCGTTGCCTACTGCGTGGGTGCCGCCAGTAGTACCGGAGTGGGTAGCACCGATATCAGTGCCGGTGTGAGTGGAAGTGGGGTGAGTGGCTGAGGTGGAAGTGGGGTGAGTGGGAGAGGTAGGGTTCTGAGCGGCGTTCTTGTTACCAAATCCGAGGACCATGATGAACGTATTGATGTGTTTGGTGTTTGGGTTTGGGTAGTTGTAGGTTGAGAGGTGCGAGTTGAGAATGTGAGTTCGAGACGAAGACCGATCGAGTGGGGGTAGAATAAGTCGTTGTGTCCTCCTGAGTTCTTGTTTATATACCCTTTCGCACACCCGCCTGCGCATCAGATAACAACCATGACGAGCGAGAGAGATGCCAATGTCGTCATCGACCCCTCGACCCGCTGATCTGTCCTGCTGTCCTCCTCCCCATCCCGCTGTCCAAACACAAAACGACCATCCCCCCGACAAGGTTTAACCTTTGTGACGTCACCGCCCTCTCTTCTGCTCATGCCTGCCTTTGGATCAACCGTCTTGGCGCTACGCGGTGGCGTAGAAGACGGGGGGATCAGCTGAAACGGCCGACGTACCGCGACAGAACAACGCAGTGAGACGCATGAGACGAGGGGCTCGAACACGTTCGATCGTTCGGGTCTTTCGTGCTTTCCGCCCGTTCCGTACTGCGAACGACTCCGAGCCTGTGATCGTGTGATCCTTCCTCACCCTCACCCGGAGAGGCGGGCGAGCTCAAGCGGCAAAGGTGAAGGGAATAAAAGAGCAAATCGGCCCACACGCCATGCGGTGACGCGCGACTGCGAGTGATGAAACGATCAACTTTCTGGTCCCGCGCGTGTCCTTTCCCGCTTGCTCGGCCCGGGGCATCTCAGGTTTCTGATCAAACTGAATCACAGATCACAGAACTTCCCAAATTGAACCGTCTCAGGCGAGATGTCTGGTCGCATCGTTATGCGACTAGGGATACCCGGACAACGACCGCTCGTAGCTGAAACGCCTTGACCGCTCCGCCCGCACTTGCTGCCTGCCTTTGGATGATCCGCGCCTGATGTTCCTCTCGACTTCTATTGCGTCATTCGATAGAACAATTTTCGCAACAACGTGGTCAAAGGAAGGGTGTCGACCATCACATCAAGCATCACGATGGACCCGATTGATCTCTTGATCGCCCGTACGCCGTCGCATCGTCGGATGATACTGTAAATACAAAGCGCAGCAGATGGTCTCGCCTGCTTCTAACTCCTGACCTTTGACGACAATGTAATGGAGCCCATCTAGATATTCGCTACTCGACGGTATCTCTTCACCGGCACTAGCCCCTTCCTAGCTTCTTAGATATCCCCCTTCGACAGAAGACCTCGACCATGTCCGTCCCGGTAAGCCTCATTCCCGAAGCCATGGCATATGCAGTCCTTTTTCCATCCCGAACCCCACCCGGACTTACAACCCCGGCATCTCCCTCTCGCAGCTCGACCGTCAAAAATCCCCCACGGTCCAGCATTTGCAGAGTTATGATCGGGCCATGTGCGAAGCCACTCTCGGGACCACGCCATCTTCGTCATCTTCTCCCTCCTCGTCGTCCAACTCCAAGTCCAACTCTGATTCTTCGGCTCCTCCTCCTCCTTTTCATACCAACCCTACCAAGCCGGGAGGTGTCAAGTCCAAATTGAGTCTCGGGCTCGGACTGGGATTTGGGAAGACGAAGTCGAAGTCGAACGAATCAGAGGGCGCTGCGCAGACTGGTCAGGAAGCCGAAGGATACCCGGAATCGAAGCTGGTGAAAGCAGCAGGATCGAACACCCAATCACCTTCAGACTCACACCCAACCTCACCCGGGGCGCTCATCTCCCAACCCCCCAAAGACCGACCCTCCCACAACCAAAACAATCCAGTTTCGATCTCCCAGGCTCATCCGGATGACATAAAGAAATCCTTGACCACCTTCGAAGACCCCCTCGGTCTCGGGTTGGAGACGTTGCCGACGACCGAACATGCGGACAAGATGGTCAAGAAGGGGGAGAGGAAGATCAGGTTGGGGAGTTTGTTACATAGTGGGAAGCTGGTGAGTCGGATCACAAGTCTTTATAAAAGTTTTAAGGCATACTACGTCAGAGGTCTGGGAAGGGCGTTGAAGGCTGACCGATGGGACTTTCGTCGTTGACCTCGATCTTCTTCTCTTATTGCCCTATATCTACTGTTCGCCGTTATCCGTACTCGTCCCGAATAGCAACAACAAGGTCAGACCCTACTTGTCAAAGCCGATCTGGTCCGATCACACGCGATCGACCTGCCCGCTCAGGAAAAAGGGATGATGGAGCAGAAGAAAGATAGTCTGGTCTAGCTTCGATCACTTTTCACGAGCGTAACGAGGATGAAGGAGAAGTAGAGGATCGGAAGATGGGAAGGGGGATACAATAGTAAGGCCAGGTCGGCTCGATTGGGATCATCGGGTCCATCGGGGTAGAGTCCGGGTCATTGAGATCCGGACGAACACGAGCACTCTCAAACACATGGCATACACGATTTTTTTCCACTATCGAACGTGTTCTAGTCCGCGAGACTATACGACAACCTTTGACGACATGTAACGATACGATACTTTGTATTTGGAATGATCGACGGCCTTTACCTGTACACTCTGAGATCGTCCTGGTATTCCAATCCAGATCACACTACAGTATCTGTCATTATTGATTCAGACCCCAGTGCGTTTCCTCGCCAGGTCCCCTTTGACCATTTCGAGTTTTGACGAGTCAGGGGTATGGGTAATATATTACGACGATGTGGCAGAAAGCGAAGGATGCTATCAGGAAGGACGACCAAGTCCATGGGTTTCGTCGGCCATACAGGCGGAGCAAATCTGGCTTATACTACTAGGTATCGCGGTAGCGCATGTATCGTATTGACCTGACGATGAAGTACCGACATTACGATCGGAAGGTGGTAGGAGAGATGACACCCATCATCAGCTGGGATTCGGCTGGCTATCGATCAAGTCCCACGTATGGTCCCACACTTTCCCTCTGAGGTCGTCCCCGATGTGCTTCTTGACGACCTCTCTTCCCTTCTCGTCGATGTTGTATCTACCCTTTCCCTTATTCCGAACCGTAGCCGCGCCCTGTAACATGTACTCTGCGCATTTCTCCGGACTGACCGCTGCCACCCAAAGCAGTGCGGAGAGTGCAACCCTGGCGTAGACGGGCAGATCGCTGTTCGGGTTGCCAGTTGTAGTATCGACCACGCCGGGATAAGAATGGATGAACACCCTCTCCTGACCTTCCTGTTCATGTGCAGCGAACGCTTCCATCATGGCGTCCGTCATCGACGAACAGTGGTTCCGCGCCGCAGAGAGTCCGTAGTTCCCTTCATGAGCGAGATCCAGGTCGGTCCAGTTGATCGAGGAAGCGTGGATATCGGACCGCTTCCCATCGAGGATAGATAACACCGTCGCCGTAGGCGAAAGAACGGGGAGGAGTTCCTTGATGAGCAACATGCGAGAGTAGTAGTACAACGCCATCTTCAGGTCGATGTTCTCGGGGCTTGTCGGCGTTCGGCCTCGTGTCGAGAGGATTCCTTGGGACATGACCAAGAGGTCGACCTGGGGAAGTGTCGAGCTCTCGATCGAACGGATATAGTCTGCTGATAATTCCTTGACACGGGCCATCAAGGCTGCATCGATCGGCTGGAAATCGACGTCGGGAGTCAGAAGCGACTCGACGGACGACCTGTTCCTCCCCGCGATCGTGATCTTTGACGAGGGAGGGAGGTTCGAAATGAGATTGATGGCGACCGCTTTACCTGGATAGACGATGATCGAACATTCTCATTTAGTTAGCTGCATGGGGAAGAACGAGTACGTGACGTACCGATACCAGCGGTGCCGCCAACGATCAGTGCCCGAGCGGGCTTGACGAATAGGGTGGAAGCCGACATGGCTCCAGAGCTTGTCGTGATCAAAGTAGACGGTTGTAGGTAGCTGTAATAGTAGCTGTTCGGTGACAGTTCTCTTCTATACGAAGAATACCATTTCACTATAAGATGGGCTTAGAAGTCACGATTGACCTAAACAACAACGATACTTGATGATGATGATGATGATGATGATGATGATGATGATGATGATGATGATGATGATGATGATGATGATGATGATGATGATGATGATGATGCTGCTGTCTGTGCCCCGGTGGCCACCTCTGCCGGGTGTGTTCTAGCGATTGCGAACCGTCCCGGCTCGATCGTTCGACTTTGATTGAATGCCACCGAAGTTCGAAGTAGGAAGGGGCTCTGCACGACCTTGACCATGTAATAAGTTCAGGCGACCATTGTCGAATGAATGGTCACGACGATGCTCACGATGATGACGAGTGGGACTGCACCCGACGGCGGCCTATTTGCATCCGGGAGATCGGCGGTATCAGATCAGATATGAGTCAAGTTCCACCTCGTGATCTTCTAGACCGTGCTACACTTTCAACACATTCGTTAACCAGGTATAAGACTACGGGAGATTTCAGCCATGTACCGTGTGTAGTACAGGTGTGTTCTTGGATGCCTGAATACTGAGCTTACGAACCTGCTCAATTTACTTACAAAATCATGTCCGCGCCAGACCTAGTGGGGAAACCCGCTCCTATCATCGAACTGCGGCGTGCGACAGACGGAGAACTCTACAAGGTTCCTATCGGTTCAAAGGCAAGTCGCAAGTCTACCATCGAGATCAGAGAACCACCAGCTGAAAGCGTTCCGTCCGTCTGATAGAGGATCGCCTTGTTCTTCGTAAATCGCCTCTCGCGTCACATGTGTAGAATTTTTGGTATCTCGTATCAGGGCTGACCACCTCTCAGTTTCCCTCTCTGAGCGGTCCCACCTGTGCTGGAGAAGTGTGTTCTTTTCAGGACGCTGTGACCGATATCCCCAGCTTTAGGGATGCTCTCGACTTGGAAGTCGTCGGGATCAGCTCCGGTACGTCGATCACCACGAACAACAACAACATCATCATCATCATCATCATCATCATTCCTTCCTCCGCGATGTCTCTACAGTATCACTATCATCATTGTACTTATACGACATCCGCTTTCTCGACACTGTAGATCCCCAAGAACGTCTATCAGCTTTCGCAAAGAAACACGGCATCACATATCCTCTCCTATCCGACACCTGACAAGAAGGTTCAACTAGCTTATGGCGTGAAACCCATCATGTTCGGTCTAGTCAGAGGTACGCCCCAATACCAGTCCCGGTCTCAAACTCTGCGCAGTGCTACTGTAGTACAGTACAGCACCTTCTGATAGTCTTAGTTTACTGATATCGAACTTGAAACATTCTCGTACATATTGTAGGCCGGGAGACGTTCTTCATCGATGAATCAGGCCGGATCGTCGACAGGCACGTCGAGAATTACGCATTTAGCGCCATGTAAGTTCTTCGTTCTTGTTCTCTTTCATTCATTCCCATTTACTGCAAAGACCCGGTACATTACAACAACCCATAGTGTAGTATAGCTGATCTGGTCTGGTCTGGGCGTCATATAACTGTACTTTACAGATCACACAGGGAATTCATCGAGAAGCAATTACAGAAGACTTCCGGATCGGAGAAATAGAGAGCCGCCCGCCTGTGATTTCATCCGTTCAGGTATATGAATTGTACTTTGAGATGATGGATTTTCGAAGAAGATGGTCATGCGGGAAGAGTAGAGTATTCTTGGATCAGTTCGAAAACGAGGATTACGGGCGGGAATGATGTTGTACAGTAGTGGTTTTCGAGGGAATCTAATCGATCGACGCGAATCGTCACGACGAGAAGTCGAACACAGAGATGCTGTAGATTTTCGGGGCCTCAATCATTCGGTCGGGGGTGGATTCGAGAGGCTATCCACAAGGAGGAATAAGAAGCAATGGGTCCTATGCGGCCTTTACGCTTTGTGCGTCGTGTACCGTGCCAGATCTTCGAGCCGGGAATATGCTATGGATTTTCTTCGTCTCGGACAGTGATAGGGCTCTCGCCAGACGTTGTTCTGTCCGCCTGTCGAAAATACTGTATACACGGGAAACGATGGCGTTATCAGCGATTGTTCTTATCAATGGTCCGCTCAAGGCAAATATCGTGGATCTACTGTACTAGTACGTATCGAAACTCTTCGCAAACCCTCTCGACTGGGATTTGGACTTCGTCTCAAAGAATATCAAGATAGAGTCCGGATGTTCGCCTCGATTCAGGTAAGGAATGGATCTGCCACTTCGAGGTCAGCCTAGTCAACCAGACTCGCAAACGGATGGACGAACCCGATTGACGAGTCTGGGGCAGCGCAACCACGTGCGCTACAGCAGGCTGAAACGCGTGCGCCCTGCGCTTCGTCAGGGGAATTTGGGGGTAAAAGGACAGACAAAGGAGATTCTCGAACGAGTTTAGGGAGATCGCTGGCTAGGAATCGCTTGATAGCTGAGACTTAAAAAGCCGGCTCTTCGTTCGAACCTTGTATCGAGCGGTCTCGAATCAGCCTAGACCGCAAGCTGAACATTACAGACTATCTCTAAACGCTATCATGATCCCACCTGGAGTTGAACCTGATTCGGAACTTGGCAATGCCTTGATGGAGCTAGAACAAGCCAGAGTGAGCGCATGGTCTTGAGTGGTATATGGTGTTGCTGCTCACGCTGACCCTATCTGTCATGGCATTTATGCGCAGCTGGCAGCCATTCGCCAGTTCGAGGCAATGCAAGCACGGAAGGATCAAGACCACCAAGAAGAGTGGATGATGAGACAAAGGGAAAAGAGCAAAAAGGTTGCGGATCTCCCGAACGGCGAGGTGATTGACAGACTGGTTCAGTCTGTACAAGACATCGTCAAGGTCCTTGGCGAGGAGATCGATGAGCTGGAGGTGAGATGCAGCTAAATCGCCATCGTCTGGCAAGACTGACCGACCCCCTTTCTCCTATTGTGCAGGACGAAAAGGGACACGGACCGCACCTCTTGACGCTGATGACCGAATTTGCCAAAAACTACCGCAACGGTCTGGCTCGTTTCCGACTGTTGCCATTCCTCGAGGACGAGGATCAAGTCATATCCTGCGCCGATGAGCTCAATAGTCTGAAATTGGACTACCGCGACGACCTGGAAGAGTTCGAAGCCCTCATCGGGCTGGTCACTATCGACCAACCTTTGTTCTGCTGGTTGCAGGATATCAAGCGGGCGTTCAATAACCTGTACTCCCTTCGATGCGGGAGGGATGTCTTGCTCCGCGAATGGCTCAATTCGTATCTCGAGCGCGACGACCTGCTCGAGTCGGCCAAGTCCAGAACCAAAGGCAAGGAAGGGGAAGGAAAGAACCCGTTACAGGCGCGAGTCGAAGAGGCGTTTGCGGAGCAGGACTTGCCTGTCCCCGAGACGTACAAGCCGGGGTACAAAGAAGCGCGAGCGAAGCAGGCAAAGGAGAGGTTGGAGAAGATGGAAGCCGAATGGAAGTTGGCGGACGCTGATGACGGCAAGGTGAAACCACCCTCCCAGCCCAAGATGGACCAGACTATCCAGACTCAGGTCGAGGGTCAAAAGGCGTGACTATCGCGCCGATGTGATTGTTTTGCCGAGTAATGGTCTCCTGTAGAGTACATCTTCTGACAACATGATGCCCTTGCAAACGGCGCCTAACCGCTCAAGCTCTACGCAGCCTCAAGGTGGCTTGTGCGCAGCGCGCAAAGATTCACTACAACGGTTCAGACCATCTCAGCTTATCGCGCGCTGTCTACTTTACTAGCAACTAGACCCATAGAACGGTCGAATACTGTGAGACTGAGAATTTGTAAGACTCTGACCGATTCATTGTAGTTTTTGCGATGCACCCTAAACCCGAACTCGAAATCTCACAATTTTGCAATTTGTCCAGCCAAAGAATTCCGTTAAAGGGCGAGGCCACATTCAATTGCAAGAACCACTCCAGAGGAAGGGACAAGCGCCAATTGGCAGTACATATCCTTGAGTATTGTTGCTCCATTTATGGTCGTTTACAAGTCCCACGAGTCATCATATATGCTAGATCTTGGGTGTTTGATCCAAACATTCACCTCTAGGCTTTTGGTCTTCAACCTGCGCAACGGGCTTGAGGAATCCACACATTGGTCCATACGACAAGCATCCGATATAAGCAAGCCGTACTCAGGCAGGAAGGCTGAATGGAACAGGGCCATCAGCGCTGAACCCAAGTTGCCTGTGTCATCCGTGTCTACCGTACAAGTACATCTCTTTCATCAGGATGGGAGCCTTTTCGACAGGAAAGGGTTGTAGACCTTCACCAAGGCACGCTGGCGGGTCATCGCTTTTGGGAAGTAACGATCTCACAGCATCCCTACAAGACATATTGCTGATACAAGTTCAGATTTAGGGAGACAGGTCAAGAAGATGCTTCATCAGTCTGAAGGAGATTTGATCATCGCAGCCATGCTAAAAGAGAAACGGCAAGACACGCTAGGAACAGGTCGTACTGAAAGTCGGCGAGAGTTAGAAGCGCCACTCCCGGTGCGCCTGGTCATATGCTTTATTCCGCTGTCTCGCGCCTTACCACATATTTCTTCAGCGCCTTTCGCCCAGCTTTCTATCTCCACCACCTTGGTCATTATCAAGTGCGGATCATCGAACAGTTGATCTCTCTCTGTCACGATCGTTCGAGCGGGTTGTGTCCCGCGAGGTAAACAGTAAACATGAAGTCATAATATGCCACAACAACCCGGCTAGCGGAGACTAGCTGGCCATCCAAACCAAGCCCAGTCATGTCTCTGCAATCCCACAGCAGTGGACGAGCAAGGTCACGTGCTTCCCTTCAAATCTGTCGTCGTGATCATTATGCATACATTTCTCCCTCGTCCTACAAGTACAACGAATTCTACCTCATACCATGTCTGAATGCAAAATCTGTCGACAATCGCCTGTATGCGAGCCAAGCAGTCTGTGTCCCTCGTCTACTGTAGTGCTCTAGAACGTTAGAACCCGATACGTCGTCGGATCTCTGCCCAGACCCGTCGTCGTTCCGAGCTCGCGCCGCCCTCTCCGCTCAACAACGACTTGTTCTCGATCGCTCTTCGACCGAGGTAAGGCAGGACCTGCGAGGTTGCAGAGGCAAGGGACAGTCAGCCGGGAGATGTACATCTAACGCGTGTCTGTCGAGACTCACCTCGCGCAGTGCTCCATAAGGCAAGTACTTGCTGGCCATCGGCGTCCCCGACTTTTCGTACGTCGCCGCGACGCTCTCGGTCAACTCGTCCGACATGCCTGTACGGAGCGCACCATCCTTATCAGCTTCGTGGCTTTCCGGGAGTACCAAATCCCGACTTGAAAGTCAACCCGACAAACTCACCGTAAAGCTGCCCAGTACACACCCTCCCGGCGACGCCGTCCATCAACCTGATCCTTCCCGTCTCCTTGACCTCTTCGCCCAATCCCTCTGCGACCAGTCGGTCCTTGACCAATTCGCAGCTCTCCTTGTTGTGCGTCCCAAAGTAGGCGCCGACGAGCGGGACACCCGTGGGGTTCTTCTTCAGGTCGGTGGAGATGCGTCGGAGCAAGAGGACGAGGGCGTCGTCGTAGGCCTTGTCGGTGGCGGCTTTGCTGCAAGAGGTTCCGAGCAAACCCAACAATTTCTAACGTCTCAGCATCGTTACTCAACAACGACAAGACACGCCCACGCCCTGGACTCACTCGTCCCAGATCGGATCCTTTCCAAACTTGCCCCTCCCCTCGTCCTTCCACTTTTTCGTCTCTTGCAAGTGATAAGCTCCTCGGACGAGCTTGACACCGAGCACGTAATCGTTCTCCTCGGCGTGCTTGATGGCGTGGTCGAGGTGGGCGGGAAGTCGACGCAGGTAGGCTTGGTACGTTCCGCTGCGGAGGAGAGATCGGTGTTTTTTTTCCCCTTTTTAGTTGAAGATCTACAGATACAGGACGAAGACGACGACGACACTCACTAAAAGACGGGCAAGGACCGTTCGATCTCCTTTTGCGAAGCTCCCGATCGGGGCATCTTGTTGTATTCCTGGGAGAGCAGCATCGTGTACCCATCGATAGCGGGCTGTATCCACAACCAAGAGTGACACAGACGATCAGCACATCATCATCCCGTTGATCACCATCATCATCTCCATCATCATAAACCCCCTGCCGAGACCGAGATAAAGAATGAGGTGGGAAGCGGGACTGACCTGGTACCAAGAATGTTCAGCATCCACAGCGACCTTGATCCCTTCCTCCCTCGCAGCCTCTCCGACCCTCTTCAAAGTCCCCCAAAGCCCATCCAATTTCCTCAGATCGCCCTCCTTGAGCCCTTCTTCCCCCTCTAAGACCCCTCCATCCCCAGTCGCCCCCAGAGGCAGGTTTTCCAGCGTCTTGATGGAGCTAGAGTTGGAGTCGTAGCAGGCGGGACGGGCGAGGATCTTGTTATCGATCGAGGTCGGGGTGGAGGGGTAGTGCACCGGTTCAGGGAGGGTGGAAGGGCGGAGTCGGAGCAGGGTGGTTGACGCTCGATGGAGGACGGTCGGATCGGGCGTTAAGCCGGTCTGATCGTCATCACATTGAAGAGAATCATATCAGCTCCGATCTGAAGCTCAAAATTGGACCTCCAGACTCATCCCACCCATCTCCCGAAACTCAAAGACTCGAAAGGAAGAACTCACCAACTTGATAGCCACATAAGTACCCCCAAACCCAACCCCGCCTGTCCTCGCTTTCATCCTCCTCTCGAAATCCCCGGCGACCCGGATACACCTCAAGGTCTCTTCTACCCTTTCTTCCGTGGCTTGCCTGACCTTTTCTTCAATCTCGAGTTCCAACCTCTTCGCCTCATTCTCCTCCTTCGAAGAAGCCGAGGAAGAAGAAGAGGTGGAAGGAGAAGAAGAGGCCTCGTCGCCGTGCTCCTCGACCTCGACGGAATAAACCAACATCGTCCCAATCCCCTCCCCCCGTAACGTCTCCATGACGGGCAGACAACTCCTAACATCGTCCCCCCCTACGAACTGGTCGAAAAACGTCTTCCTCACGACCCACTCGCTAACAGCCTTTACACCGGGGATGGAGGAGTTGGTCAAGAAATCGAGGATTTGAGGGGAATAGTCCACGATCAAGGGGAGGGAGGTGAATGTGTAAACCAAGTAGGTCCGGAGGAGGGCGGAGAGAGGGGTTCGGGAGAGGGTCGTCTCGGTATGTTTGTTATCCTGTGCCGAGGCCGAAGTGAGGGGTAAGATCGAGTTGGTGTTATTCTCCAAAGACTGCGAGTCGGCGTAGGTCGTGGAAGGGGTCAGGGCGTACCCGCCTGCGAGGATCAGACCGCTAGCGAGTAAGAACGACAGGGGTTTCTTCGCTTTTGCCGACGAGGACGAGGTGGGTTTCGTAGCGTATCCCCTCACGGCTCCCAGGTTTGCTTTAAGAGTATGTCTAGCGGGCTTGACCCCGAGTGAGACGGGGACGGAGATGGGCAGTCGGGTGGATAAGAGTCGGGCGGCCATAGTTGCGATGCGGTTCGATTCGAAGGGTGATGTGATGTGGTGCCAGAGTATGAGGTATGAGATTGCCCTCGCGAGGATCGAAAGACTGCAGTATATCTTGTCCCGGCTAGGATCCGGATCGGGTCGATTTGCTAGGTACTAGGTTGCTAGACAGATGTATCCTTGTCGAAGAAGACACTTCCTGTGGTCGTGCTGAGAAGCTAGAGGAGAGGAGTGAGGAGTAGGTATGACGATATGACGACGGTCACGAGGATGTGCTACGTGCTATATGTTTAACAAAGGAAACGATCGACCGGACATGGGTATACAAAGGGACCCGACCCCCCTTTCACCCGAACAGACCATCCCAGCCTCTATATACCTCCTCGCTAACAGACAGAGTAGGAGGACGACATCCCAAGAGCAAATGCAAAAGCAAAGCACCGGACATAGAGGGAGTCCAAGCAAGCAGGAGTGTAGAAGGTGCCCAAACGACCCCCTATCTGCGGATCCAAATGGAACGAAATTCCCAGCCGGCGCTGACCGAAGAGTGGAGTTAGAGCGCACCACACCCTGATTGACGGGTGAGATCAGCGGCTAGATCACGTGACTGGTCCCTCGGCAGATAACGAGTATGCGATATATGGGATGACGCTGATCGATCGCCGCTTTCTTGCCATCCACACCCCCTTCCGTTGTTGTGAAATGCCGGCACGTCCGTATACATCTTACGGCACATGGTCCGGCGACCGGGCAGGGTGTGACGATGGGGAGTGAGTGAGATCGGATGCGGCCGCTTTCGTTGTTTTGCCTCTTCGACGTTCGATGCCCGGTCAAAATAAACTCTCCAACCCGCAACCCGATGTAGCATCGTCACCTTCACAGACATCTTCCACATCATCATCATCATCGTCTCATCATCGACTCTACTTCCAAGCTTCTCCTTCTACATACACAGAGACTCTATCATCAGTACACCGGTTCTACATTCGTTCGACTCCTTTCTCTCGATCCCACTACACCACCCTTAATCAACCACCAGCCACCGACCTTCGACCTCTTTCCACGATGCCCGCTCGTGACAAGGTCTACAGTATGGTCGATGTGGCCAAACGTGAGTACACCATCCCCTCTGGTCGCTCTTCCTCCCGATCGTGTATCACCCTTACCCTTGCTGACCTGACGCTGAACTTCCAACTTGTCCGTGTTTGTGTTTGTAGACAACACCCCCAAATCCCTCTGGATCGCCTATCGAGGCAAGATCTACGATTTCACCGAATTCGCCTCGGACCATCCGGGCGGGGACGGTCTCATCCTCAAGTTCGCAGGGGGGGATATGGGGGAAGCCATGGCTGACCCTACCGAGCACGTACATTCACGGGCGGCTTATGAGATGATGGACGAGTTCCTCATCGGACAATTAGGAGGGTCGGAGAAGATCGTCAGCGAGGATTGGGTCCCTGATCCGAATTTTCATCCGGAGGATACGGATACTCTAGCGGACTTTCAACGGTCGAAGTTTATCGATCTGCAGAAACCCCTCCTCGCGCAGGTCTGGAAGGGAGGGTTCAGTAAGGAGTTTTACTTGGAACAGGTACATCAACCTAGACACGTCAAGGTCTCGGCGAGGTTGTTTGGGAGCGACCTGTTAGAGCCGTTGACGAGGACCAAGTGGTGGGTCGTTCCTATGATTTGGTTACCGATCACGGCTTTTCTGGGGGTGTTGTCTTTGGCGCAATTCAACGATAGGTACGTCTAAGTCCCGGTCGTTCGATTCTTTTGGCGGTTATCGCGAGTGTTGTTCACTTCAAAGCTGACACCCGTGTCTCACCTTGGACTTGATATTACAGCTCGATCGGCTACCGGGACCTCCTCACCCACCTCGCCTCCCCCTTGTCCAACCTCAACCTCATCTCCCCCAGCACCTCCACTACAACTCCCTTGCCCGCCTTGTCAACACCGACAGCCCTGGCCGGCTTCACCTCCTCCTTCGCCCTAGGTTGTATCGTATGGACGATCCTCGAATACACACTCCATCGGTTCTTGTTCCACCTGGATTATTACTTGCCGGATAATGGGGTGGCGATCACTTTGCATTTCTTGTTACATGGGATTCATCATTATTTGCCTATGGACAAGTGAGTTTCCGCCCGGATCGTCACTCTCTGATTTCCTATCTTTCTCTCTTGCTGTCGATTTCGAGTGGCAGAAAGCTGATTATCGGCGCTCATTGCAGGCTGCGGCTGGTCATGCCCCCGACCCTGTTCTTCATCCTGGAAACCCCGTTCACTCAGCTCGCACACGTCATCTTCCCGAAAGCCATGGCGAACGGGGTGATCACCGGAGCCTTTGCATTTTGTAAGTCTCGACAGGTCCTGCCACTGGGGACGTCGTTTTACCGGGGTCTGAGGCTCATCGTGTAACCTTTGTTTTTGCTTGATTCAACTGGGATGGTTGACGATGAACGATGGACGATGGACGACCGACGACCGACGACCCGAACAGACGTGCTGTACGACATGGTACACTACTTTTCGCACCACATGAGGGTGTCCGAAGGGTACTTGGCGGATATGAAAAAGTACCACTTGGCGCATCATTATCAGAGTGAGTCTCGCCATCTTTCTGCTACGGCCGTGCGACGCCAGCGGGAAGAAAAATGTGCTGACGAAATCTCCCTTCTCCTCTTTCTCTCGCCCGCCCCGTTTGCAGACTTTGACCTCGGATACGGTGTGACTTCCAAGTTTTGGGATTACGTCTTCGGCACCGTACTGCCTATGGAGGTCAAGTAGACCAGGTCTCAGAGGTGTCCGAATCTCCCCCACCCCCTCTTTTCTCCTCTTCCCTTCCCTTTCCTTGCGCTCGAGCCTGGCGCTTCTACGCTCGTTACTAGAATAATAATATATTATATTGCTCGTTCTTTCGTTTGATGTGGTGTGTTGTATCAGATCTACTATATGCCGTCCCCCCCTAAGATTAGATAGAATTGGGACGTGCGTAGAAACCTCGCCGTACTTGATTCCGTTTATCATCTGCGTTCCGGAAGTGGGTGTGCGGTTATACAAATCTATAATTCTCATGAAATGTTGAGCTCGTCATCTGGACTTGTGTTGATTGTGGCTCTACCTCGTTATAGCTGTATCTGCCCCGAACCCGCTTTGCATCATCTCCCTGCGATCCCGGCTTAAAGGAGGGACTTGGCACAGAAGTCATACAAAACCGAGCCTCTCTCGTCACTCAGGCATGTCGGGTCCGTTCGATCAGTGCTTACCGACCATAATACAGACGCAGAACATACTGCCAACGACAATCCACAGCGGCACGATATATGTAAAAGATGTTGTTCTGTGCCCAACAGAGTCCCATACAGGTAAGACTGATGAAGACCTCTGCTGTGCGAAGGATGTTCATTACCGAGCTGATCATTTTATTGTGAATGGACTTGTTTTGTCGGAGGTTAGCTTCTTTTTGTCCCGGCAAGGACTTCGTTTGAATTTTTTGGGATAGGCTGTCTTTTCCTCCCGGGAAGGGTAACGCGCGGAGATCATCAGACTAGATGTCAAGGATACTGTACGGTGGATCCCGCCCCCTCCCCAGGATCCAATATGAGGGTGGTAAAGTGCTGGAGACTTTTTTCAGGTGCAGTCGAGGTCAAAACATAATTCGGAGCCAATCCCTTGACCCGGGCCACAGAGAGGGGGAGTCAGATATGTCGACGTGGATTCTAAAGGTCCTCAGATGCGTCTTGCAGTACGGGACGTCATGGACTCTGGTAGTGGCCCGGCGCAGCGACGGCGGTACAGCACAATGGAGGGGAATCAAGCATCTGAAGCTAGAGGGGGGACATGAGCAAGAGATCCAGCAAGTAGCACGGAGGGAAAGAAGGACGTATGACGTCCGGACCGACAACGATTCAGGTACCCTTGTAGCGAAGAGGGGGCTAAACTTTGTTCGTCGACGCTTCGTCGCTAGAAAAGTAACGATGGTCATACAAGCTTACTGCCACTTTTCGTTGTCAGATGTCTTGGTTCGTAAGGGCTATAGCGACGGGTCGTCCAGCTAGCTGAGTGAGGATGACTGATCTGATATAGAAGACTCCGGTTCTGCCCGACAAGTCAGCTCATCAGATTGCCAGATAGGTCGATCCGGATTTCGGGATACCGAAGCGTTCTTTTGCGTTTCATCGTCGACCTCATCGGGGCTTTTGCTTTTGCGCCTCTTTCATTTCGCACGCGTGTGGGAATCCGAGAGGGCGAACAAGCCCCAATGGGAAGCGCGGTGAAGCGCAGGAACGCGAGTTCTCATGGTGCTTACGGTATGATGACGACATGGGATTCCTGACGCCACTTGCTCTGCGTCTAGCAATTTCCAGATGTGTTCACGAATATGGAGAGACGATGCTCCTGGTTCGAGAGAAGATCATGTCGCATGCCGTGGAGGTCACTGGAGGTTACCAGGTGTCAGGAGCAATGTGGCTACGATATCACAGCTCGAATACTGCGAGGAAGCTGTGACGTCGAGTCGAAAGACCACGTCAGCTAGGAGCTAGGAGCAAGAAGCTAGGAAAGCTCGCTCGCTAGGCAAGTCGGGTTTTTGTATCCGCCCGCGTAACGTCACCCAAGGGGCCAAGCTCGGGTTCCCATCAACCCTTCGCAAAGAAAGAGAGAGAGAGAGATAGCAGCGATTGAGCCTTTACTCACACAGTCGACTCTGCGTTTGGAATACCTTTTCATACACATATACCTCGTCATACGCTTGCTACTCGGATACACGACAGTCAGCAGCACATCTAGTTCCATCTCGACGATAGTCTAGCCAGAACAACCCCCCCTTGCATCACCCACCACATCCACATCGTCCCATCAAACCATGCCTCCTCAACCTCCCGCTCCTCCCGTCTTCTACTCGTTCGACGACAACAGCAAACTCGTCGACTCGCTCGCCAACTTTGTCGTCAAGGCTCAGAACGACGCTATCGACAAGCGGGGCAAGTTTACGCTCGCTCTCAGCGGTGGAAGTCTGCCTAACAACTTGAAGGGGTTGGTCGGACAGCAAGGCGTGCATTGGGAAAAGTGGTACGTCGACTCTCGCCCGGTTTCGTACTCCCTGCTTTCCTTATTCCTTGTTGAGTGAATGCTTATTGCAACGTCGTCGCTTCGCAGGGAAGTCTTCTTCTGTGACGAACGGGTCGTCCCCCTCGACCACGAAGACTCGAACTTTCGAGCTTGCAACGAGGCCTTTTTGAAGCACGTCCCCATCCCGCGCGAACAGATCCACACGATCGACGAATCCCTCCTCGACGACCTGGACGAGCTCTCGGATCAGTACGAGAAACAGCTCATCGCCCTCTTTGCCGAGAAGAACGCGGCGCGGTTCCCAGTGTTCGACCTCATCCTCCTAGGGATGGGACCGGACGGACATACTTGTTCCCTCTTCCCCGGACACGAACTTTTGAGCGAGACGGACCGATGGGTCGCTTGGTTGGACGATTCGCCGAAACCGCCAAACAAGAGGATCACGTTCACCTACCCGGTCATCAACCACGCTTATCGGTGTGCGTTTGTGATCAGCGGGGAGAGCAAGCAGGACATGTTGCACGCCATCTTGGACGAGCCCGAGCATGGGTTGCCTTGTTCCAGGGTCAGGCCTGCTGCGCCGGGGTTGGTCTTTTGGTTTGCCGATGCGTCTGCCGCCAAAAAGGTCAGTCCAAGGGAGAGGGTTGTCTCGAGCGGTTCGCTGGCGATTGTTTTTTGGGTCACTGATGACGAAACCCGTATTCTTCACCTTAACTCGTATAGACCATCTACCCTACCACCGAGTTCAAGTGGATCGGATCGTCAGCCGAGGCCCACGAGGCCGCCAAGATGGCCCACGAAGCGAAAAAGTCTGCGATCTAGAAACCCTTTCGCCCGCTTCGTCTTCCTTTCCTCCACCCGGTTCCCCAAATTCCCTCTTCTTCGACATTTTCTTCTTTCTCGACCGACTGGACCGTATATATATCGATTAGACGCGTAGGAACATGAGATACCTCTTTAGGATCTCTTGGTCTTGCAACAACAAGGATTCCTCTCCCTCACTCTCCCCCTACCTTTTTACTCAACCTCCGGCTAGCTTCGGCTCGCCAAACGCCCTCAATTCCCCCCTCCCTTCTACCTATCCTCCATGAGAATGCCCATATATGTAGAGAGCGAACATCCGCAAGAAACGATTTGAGACCGTGACATAAATACATATATACGAGATGAATGTATCGAAATCAGATCGAGATTCTAGAGCAAGACAGCGGGTCGCGGCCAGTACATTTCGGGGATGATTCAACCTCGGGCAGGGAGGGAGGGAGGAGATTACGCGTACAAGCAGCTATTCAGCTATTCAAGCATCCCATATTGATACTTGTTCCCTCTTTACCTTCTTCTATCCCGATTGAGACCTGCCATACACCCAGGCAGTATTCGTGACGATAAAGACTACAAGAACGAGCTAGGAACATGCCGAGCGTTCTGACGTATACGTATTACCAGCAGATGCTGGACAAGGTATTTATCGAAAGCTGGACGACATTCCGCTTGATCTTTGGGTAAATTAATGCAGAAGGCTCATTCCCGGATGTCGATCTCGTCCCGAAACAACAGCTCAAGTCGAGTGATCCGGATTTCAGGTGAGTCTCCCCACCGTAGAACTTGCTCACAATGGATGGAGATGGTAGCGATGCTAAAATCGTATCGCGTTGTGTTTGTGGGTTTGTGTCGGTACAGATGTATGGCGATCATCGATTTTCAAAAGGAAGCGAAGCAGATCGGATATAGGATCGAGGATTCCGTGGAAAAGGATCTGTTTAAAGAGATCTTGAAGCTCGTGCTCGAAGATGGGAATACCGAGGTCAAGAACATGGCGGCGCAATGGTGAGTCGGGACACGTCAGAGATGATGCGATGCGGCTTTGCGAATGGCAATTGATCCGGGTTGACCGTTTCTTGCTTGGTCTTGCTTTGCGTTGTAGTTTGGCTACTCTGACGTACTTGTCACAGAAACCGGGTAATATCGTCTCGGCCGTGGATTCGTTGTTGAAGAGCTCGAACACTGGGGAAGAGGAACAGAGGGATATCGCCACGCTAGGTGGGTCAGGTTGCGCAATATGAACAGCTAGTCAGAGATGGTAGCTAAAGTCGATACGTTCTGCGGGGTAGCGCTGAAGAATATGCTCGTGGAACTGCATGAGCAGAATGCGGTGGTGCTCGAGGTGATCGACAAGGTGATACAGGGGGTTTGCAAACAGTTGCAGAACGTGAGTTTGTCTTGGGAATGTCCGCAAACATGAGCTGAAACGCTCGTGGTCTGCCTTTTGACAGAACACCATTCCAACACAACACGCCGTCGAGCTCCTTGACATCCTTTCCCTCATCTTTACTCGATTCTCGGCACAGCTCTCGACCAAGCCGGCGCTGCAGACCATCTGTCTTTCCGTCCTCCTGCACTTGTTGTCGAGTTCCCGACCACACATTCGAAAAAGAAGTATCGTCGCTCTCGGCTACCTCGTCCCTACCTCCACTAGGGAAGTCTTCAAGGTGCTCTCGGAGCGCCTGATCGGGGTTCTGGGAGATGGGACCGAGGAGATGGAGACAGAGGAAGATGAAGGGATCGACGAGACGGTGAAGAAGACGGCTTATGCTGCTTTGGTCGGTACGTTGGGGAAGACGAGTCCGGCAAAGGTTGGCAAGATCTTGCAGGACGTCGTCCCGGGTATCCTGTCCTTGTCCGAGGCTACCGAAGAGGAGGACGCGCTCGAGGCTAGCATGACGGTCAGTCGACGAAGGTTCACTTTTGTAACGGTGTAATGGCTTACACGTCTTGCTCCCTGCAATCGGCAGACGCTTGAAATACTCGTAGTGAGGTGTCCGACCGAGATCACCCCCTTCCTCACCCAGATCACCGCTAGAGCTTCGGGATTGCTGAAATACGATCCTGTACGTGGAACTGACTTGAAGCATCGTTGACTTGTCTGTCTGCTGACCGCGGTGCCGATATCAGAACTATGCGGGCGGAGATGATGATGAAGATGACGAGATGGAAGCGGATGACGAGGACGAGCTCGACGAAGACTTTGATGAAGAGTGAGCCAGAGTCGGGTCTTGCATATCTCGCTGGCACTCTCTAACACGCTGAACCGACCACAGCTACTCGGACGACGAAGACGCTTCCTGGAAGGCCCGGAGATCGGCGGCCAAACTCTTGCAAGCGCTCATCTCGACTCGAATCGAACTTTTGAACGACTGGTACGCTTCGGTGGCACCGCTTCTGACGTCTCGCCTAAGCGAAAGGGAAGAGTCCGTGAGGCTCGAGGTGTTTGCCGCTTGGGAAGCGCTTCTCAAGCAGACCGGGTTGTATGGCGGTTCGAACTATGTGAGTGCCGGCGAGGCACCAACGGGATTGAAGAGGAAGCGGTTGGACAGCCAGTCGAACGAGAACGTCTTCACGTGAGTTTTGCTTTCTATAGGCGCCCTCGTGTCGGACCCTGTCCCTGATCTTCTTGTTCGATGCAGCACCAGTCCGTTGGCCAGCCAGACAGTACCTCTCACCAGAGCTGCCTTGAAACAAACCACCACCAAATCGGTCCCCACCAAGGAAAAGAGCTTCAATCTGCTTACATCGGTCGTCAAGCTAATCCCGGGCTGTCTAGACGGCCAGGCTTCAACCGTCGTTGGAAACGTCAGAAAGGCACTCAGCGGGGTCTCGACTGGGTCGGGCGGACACAACAACACTTCGCTCGTCATCTCGATCCTCGCCTTTTTGGGCGCCTTTGTGGAATCGCATCCGTCTCGCATCTACGCTAGCTCGTTGCCCGAGTTGGTGGATTCTACGGTCGCATTCATGGCGGATAAGTACCAGCGGGTCAGTCTCGAAGCGCTCGGGACCGCGGCGAGTCTGGCCAAAGCTTTGCGTCCCGAGCCGGCGTCTCAAGGAGACTCGCCTCTCCCTTCATCTTACGTCGCTCCGGTGCAAAAGCTTTACGAGGCCGTCTGTGACATCGTTAGCAGCACGGCTGCGGATTCTGATGTCCGGGACAAGGCCATTCATGCGATCGGCGACTTGCTCACTCACGAGGGCGAAGTACTCGCGTCCATGTACGACAAGTCGCTTCCCCTGATCACCGCTCGTCTCAACACCGATTCGAACCAGCTCGCTGCGCTCGAGGTCATTGGCGATATTGCCGAATCCAGGTCCTGCTCTGGAGCTCAGATTGAGCAATGGCTGGCTAGCGTTCTCGAACAATTCCCCGCCCTCCTCCGTCGTTGTCCCAAACAGAACCGGGGCAAGGCCTTGAGTGTGCTAGAAACGCTGTTGACGAGGTGAGCCGAGCTGGCTCGTTCCGGAAGACTCGTATCATGCTAATACGTTTTTCTTCGTCACGCTAGATTTGGCGATCAGCTTCCTGCCGACGTAGCGTCATCGATCGTGACAGAGCTCAAATCATATGTGACCGTACAGGATTTGCACAATCTCGGCGCCACGATGCACGTCGTCGCTCAGCTGCAAAAGCAGCAGCCCGCCCTGAGGGAACACTTGGAGACCGAAGTCCTGCCCGCCATCCAGGAGGCTATCCAGTCGCCCTTGCTTCACAGCGCCGCCCTCGAGGGAATCCAAGACTTTTTCGCAGTCTTTGTCCGTGCCACCCCGGAAGGCGCCCAAACAGTGGTGCCCAAGCTGTTCAAGCTGATCGCTCGACCCGATCGATCGATTCCCACTGCCGAGGATGGCGGAACCCAGGCGTTTGCGAATGTCGCCAAATGTATCGGTACTGCGGTGGAAAACAGTCAGTCGTCTGCGAAGGATATCGTCGCAGATTTCATCAAGTTCGTCAAGGTAAGCACCGTATTGGCGTCGTGCCGTAGGCTAGCCACTAACCAGATATGCTATCTTGTCATCTGAACAGAAAGGAGAGACTGGTACCGACGCCGAGTTGTATCTGTCCTTGCTGATTTTGGGAGAGATCGGACGTACTACGTGAGTGGTCATCGTCCTATCCGTTGCATACCGGCTGACTCGCCAAGCTACACACAGCGACGTCTCGCAAGCTGCTGACGTGTACCAAGCCATCCTGAAGCTGTTTGCCGCGTCGTCAGAGCAGATCAAGAGTGCCGCAGCCTTTGCCGCTGGTGAGTGAATGTAAAAATTGCTCAATGATACCGGCGACTGACGAACAAGTTCACTTGATGATCAGGTAACATCGCTGTCGGTAATACTGCTGCATTCTTGCCGGTCATTGTCAAAGGTGTCGCCGAGGCAGAGACGCCAGCAGCGCGTCTTCTGTACCTGCACGCTCTGAAAGAGGCGAGTCGCGCTGCGCCCGATCGACTCATCTCCAATATGCTCACCTAATCCGATCGCGTCTTCTGCAGGCCATCGTCCACTGTTCAGACGAACAAATTGTCGGGATTGCCGATTCGCTCTGGGAGCCGCTTCTGGCTGACGATGACGATAGCCAGGACGACGGGGCTAGGAACGTCAAGGCGGCCTGTATCGGCAAACTTACGAGCGCGAACCCCTCCAAGTATATTCCGGAATTGCGGGTAAGTTTACGCGCGAGGAAAATTACGGTGGAGCCCAGTTGATTTGCGTGTGTCCACACAGGCTCGATTGCCTACAGCCAGTCCGGTGGTCAAGGCAACCATCGTGGCATCGACTCGGTACACGTTGACGGATTCAAGCACGGCTGGCGATGAAGTATTGGCCCCGGCTATCTACGACTTTTTGGCTCTGATGCAAGATTCGGATCACGTAGGTTGCTTTCCCGATGCATATCGCCTTCATTCACTGAATCGTTCTTGATTGGCTATGTGCAGGTCGTCCGACGACTGGCGGTGTCTTCCACCAATGCTGCGGCGCAGTACAAACCGCAGCTCATCATCAACCAGCTTGCCAGTCTGATGCCCATGCTGTACGCTGAGACCGAGGTGAAGAAAGAGTTGATCAGGGAGTACCAGATGGGACCGTTCGTCGGTAAGTACATGGAGCCTGGACTAGACGCGTGGGCAACAGCTTACCGCGGCACGTTCGACAGTGAAAATGGATGATGGCTTGAACAACCGAAAGGGGGCTTTCGAGGCGATGCAGACTCTGGTAAGTGCTGTCGGGAACCGCCGGACTAGCTGTGAGCTAAACCGTACGAGCTGACTCTGTTCGCCCTGAAACAGCTGAACACCTGCTTTACTAAGATGAACGCAAACGAGCTGTTTGACATCATCCTCGTCGGGCTCGCCGACTTTGACGAAGTCAAGCTTTTGGCGCTGATGATGCTGCAACGACTGGCCGCATTGGCTGAAGGTATCGTCGCCGCTCGCCTGGACGACCTGGTCGAAAGCATCGAGAACATTGCAAAACCTATTGTCGCGGCCAAGGACGATACCGAACAAGATGTTCAGCGCAAGGTGAGCCGCGTTGGAGCGACTTTATGGGGCTGGTTTCACTGACTACGTTGTATTCGCTACTGATCAGGAGGACTCTCAAAAGACCGCCATCGGCTGCATCGCGCCTTTGGCCGAGATCAGCACTCCCCAAACCTGCCCCAAGTTTGACAAGCTGATCAACGAGCTGGCGCGTGACGCCAAGTGGCACGCTGTGTTCGAAGCCGCTCATCGATGATGGTGATGATATATACTACACGACATAACGACATGCATCTCTTTACGTATACATAGCGACTCGAACTTGTACCCAAAGAACAATCGCACGAGCTTATATCGCCGATCTTTTATGCCTCTACGTCCTGCATCGTCGCGAGCACCCTGTTGAGCACGTCCTTGCTCAGCGGGATCCATAACCATCGACCCGGACGGTTTTCCGGGTCCAAGATGTGTTCCACGATGACCCCGTGATCTTTGTACTCGGTGAGCTGGGAGGTGAACCGTTCTTCTTCCCTCGCGATGAACCGGTCTTTGGCGAGTTTTTGCAAAATGTCGCTGTCGATAGCGAATACGGGAGCCGTAGCGGCATTGGCGACGGGGTAAGCCTTGGCCGATCTGATATCCCCGGGTAACGCTGCGAGTTGTCTGGTAGCCAAGAGCTTGAACAGACGTCGAGCCATAGGAGGTACGGATTGGAGGATCCGCAAGACACCTTCTTCGGTGACTTCCCCTGCATGGGTACCATCGTTGTCGTCCATGTCCATCCCGGCGAACCCTTTACCGGTGATCGCAGCTGTCTGACGGACGTACTGTAGTTCGACGTCGTACGCCGCGTAAGTGGGGGTTTCTAACCACGCCCAGTTGAAACCGCGAGAAGGTTGGATGTGGCCGTCCCAGCTGTTCGGTGGGTAGGTGTGAGGTGGGGCGGTCGTTTGCGATGAGGGGAAGAGGATGGGCGTGTGTACGTGGTCGAAGGAGGTGATCAAGTGTATGCGTGGGGATGAGGCTAGAAGGCCGAGGAGCGCGAGGGAACGTTCGGTACGGAGTCCTGGGCCGTCGATGTTGTGCAAGACCAGATATAATGGTCGCTCGGCCACTTTGAACGGAGATGGTGTAGGAAGAGCCGAGGGAGGGAGGAAATACGTATAGATACGGTAAGCCAGCTTGTCGATCGCTCTGGTAAGACCGGGTTCGTCGGGGACAGGTGTCTGGCGGATCAGAGGAAAAGTCTCTTCGATCTCGACGAGGACGTCCTTGATCGTCAGACCTGGGTAGAGACCGTGGGCGAGGATGACGTTGCCGCGTTGGGACAGGTGGGTATCGGCAAACTCGTTCAGGAGGAGACGTTTCGAGCCGTACCCGTGGCAGATGAGATTGAAGCCGGATTGGAGGAGCGAGTGCCAGTCGTCCATCTGAGATCGGTGGTAGGTGCAAAGGCAAGACTCGATCTCGGTCCTGGTAGGTCGAACGATCTCCTCTTTGCCTTTTCCCTTCTTTCCCCGGGGCGTCCCCAGCATCCCCTTTCCTTCCCCTCTTGTCTTGCCAGCGCCATCCGAACCCTCCTTCTGATCATCGTCTGCTTCGGTCTCGGCGACTCGTTTCCGTTTAGGTCGTGCCGCAGCGACGAAATAGGCATCCGCTGCGGTCGGCTTGATATACCCTGCAGCTTCCGGGTCCATCATCTTTTCCAGCCATTCCGCCTGCAGCTCGGCGACGGGGCGTTTCTTATTGGGAGTCTTTCGACCTCGTCGACCCGAAGCTGGGGTTCCGAGCTTTCTCCGACCGGGTGTAGAGGCAGGAGAACCTTGAGTATGAGGTGCGGTCGACTCGCTCCGCCCTCGAGGTGTTCCTCGGCCTTTCCGGCTTGGTGTCTGGATAACCCCGTCCATCTCGTCACCGTCCTCGTCTAGCTCGTCATCCATATCATCCTCCTGATCCTCCTCGGCCATACCAAATTCTTCGTCCTCTTGATCATAATCACCTCCTCCTCCATAAGCGTCGTCGTGGTCGTCATTGTCGTCTTCGTATTGTCTTATTCGTGAAGGAGATGCGTACAGGCCGAAATCGTCGTCGCCTTGGTCGAACGACATGGCTATCGGTACGAGCAGGGCAGCAGCTAGCAACCGGCTTCGATTGATAGCTAGAAAGGGCAAGTAGTGGGTGTTTGGAGGAGTAAAAGAGTGAAGACAAGGAGGAAGATGTTGTCGCTATTTGCTATTTGCCATCCTCGCTCATCTCTATCGGGTTTGTTTACAAAGTCGCCGGCTCACAAAGCTTAATTGCGGACTTGCGGCGGCTCATCGATACAAGTTCTTGCGGAAACACACTTGCTCTTTACTTCTCTATCCAGCTGCTCAGCTACTCGAAGAGCGACTACGAGGTGCAATCTAGACCTGATCTAGTGAATTGACCAGACGTCGGGAAAGATTGGTAGATCCATCTGACTGTTTCGGATTCTCGGGTTCCAGCACGCCTAAACATGCCCGATACAGGTCGACATGGACGACCAATGTCTCTCGTCTCTCGACAACATCCGAAGAGCGATAGAAACAGGGATCTGGCCGCTATCGCTGATACCGATTGGAAGAGAGATTGTCCTTGGCTGTTGAAAAGGTGGTTTCGAAACAGCGGGAAGCTCCCCAGGCGTGTCAAGAACACCGCGGTAGCACCTTTGAAGAGAGATCTCGATGAGTCGGATTCGGATACATCGAGGAAACACGCAGTTTACAATCAAGAAGACGGCGAATCCTCAGAAGTACGGGCCGCTAGAGAACATCAAGATAGGGTCCTCCTCCAAGCTAGCGAGGATCGGTTTGATCCCTTGTTTGTCGATATTGAATGCGATCTCGAACCCCTGAAGACGAGCATGGCCCTGATCGCTGGACACGAAACTACAGGGGTGCCGATCTTTGCGGACTATTGCGACGCTGTGAAAGATACTAGCAAGAGCGAGGACGAATGTTCCGAGGTGTTCTGTAAGGCCGCGAATGCGCTCGGCCGACTTGTCGTCGGAGAAGGTTATATCGACCTGATCAAGGCGAACGGGAAGACCCATTTGAAGCGGAACCCGCGTATCGAGCTGAACGAGAAGCATGGGAAGGACGATTGGGACGACAAGAGTCGAGATGTGAGACCTGGGATCGTGGTGCTCCGTCAAGGTTTCGATGACGTTGGGCAGGATCTACCAGCCGTTGTTGAGGATTGGTCGAACGTGATCGCGACGGGGGAAATGCGAAGAGACACCGGTTGCGATATGAAGGCGATGGGCGGAAAAGAGGAGACGCTGGGACTATGCATGCTCAAGAACCTCGTGAGTGCAAGACTTCCTTCGTCAGGCGAACTTTCTCGCCCTGAAATTGACTTATCCACGCCTTCGCCTGTACACGTAGACCTCCACAGCTAGGAATCATCCCATTAGTGGCAGGACTTGTGGGATCACACTCACTGGCAAGTTTCTGCGCTTCTGGGTATCAGACAGCTTGTCCTTTGCAACAAGCCAGTTGTGTGATCTGTCAAACCCAGATCATGCAGCTGATATTGCAAAGATACTGGCTTTTCTCATGGGCAAGGTGGAGTCTATCATTGATACCTTTGAGCCACCCAGTGAGGTCTTCAACCTGGAGGTGCCGGGAAAGAGTAGACCGGAGATTTGGCGCTGGTGTTCGGCTTCCGGCGAATCGATCCAGGATTTGGACCGAGCTTACACGCTACTCGAAGTACGAAACGAGCTCTGGGGACGTCGGACCGCGGTCTTCGCCGGCTACGCCCAGGTACAGGACGACGATTCTACGCAAATCTACCCCATCGCCATCAAATGCGCGTGGCTCCCTCCTTACCTCGAACATTACGAAAGGAAAATTCTCCAGCACGTGCATGACGCTCTCGACTGTACCGATCCCGAGAAGTATCCGTATCTGGCGAAGGCGAGAGGCCAAGTCGACCCGAGAGTTATCGAGCTCATACCGAAGCCGCTGGGAAAGCTGCGCGATTGCATGCGCATGACCCGGGAAGTTGCGCACGCATTCGGCGATGAAGACGAAGCGGTGGATCCGGAAGGCTCTCCGATTCACTTCGTTCTGTCCGTCCTCGTGACCACCAGCCCTCATGGCGAGAGGGTTCCGACCGAGGCCACCGAACTTTCTCTACGTCATCACTACAAGATATTGCGGAACGCAGTCGAGACCCTCTGGATCCTCTCGTGCTGTGATGTTCACTATCGGGATATCAATCTGGGCAACATCTTGTTCGAAGTGACCTGGATCGGAGGGGAGATGGTGGTGACCGGCTTTCTCATCGATTACGGCAACGCTAGGATTTTGGATCAGAGTCGTAGAAAAAGCGGACGGTCCGAAGATCAAGACGTCGACTTGTGCCTTGACGACGCTCGTTCCATCAACGCTTACTTCATCTGCACCCACATGGCCCAGACCCTGCGTCAGAAAGAAGAATACGACAAATGCGTAAACAGTATCAAGGTCACTGAGGAGATTATCGCTCCTGCCGAGATAAAAAACGCTTCCCTGGCGAACTTAAGGAAGAACCGCGAGGATTTGCATGCGCAAATGAAGAACCGCAAGCATCGGTACATCGACGACCTCGAATCTCTGATCTACACCTTTTGCTACTGGGTTAGTCGATTCCGTAGACGCATGCTTCTTGCCATCGATGCTGACGCAACATGTACCTGACAGATTGCCGCGATTGTCGGGACGGAAAACGACGATCAATCACGCGTACGAAAGCTTACCGATTACGATACCAAGATGGCAGCTTGGAAAGGCAGCCTTTTGCAGGCATGTGCTTTTCCCAGTGGCTCTAATTCACCCTTTACTGGAAAGTTGACGTTTCTTACCCTTCACTAGCTTCAAAAGGAGTTTCTCATCTCGGACAAGACCTGGGCTAATCCTTTGATGTCCATTGCCCAAACGACTCGAGTTCACAGGGAGAAGCTTGACAACATCACGTTGAAGCCCGAATTGACAAACACGGAAAATCGCTGCTTCGATACGTTGGTGACGAGGCTGTCTACTGGTGAAGAGGAAGCATCCACAGAGCCTCTGCGATGCGACGTGGTGATCGACATTAGCGATACTGAAGATGACACCAAATCACACAAACGACCCGCCTCCGCGAGCCCTACACCGGAAGCCAGAAACGTGCGACGGAGAACTGACCGCTAATGAATGGTCGATTCTCTGTATCGTGCGTATCGGTCAACCTTGCTTTCCAGCGTAGTCAGACTGACCTCCTCTGTTTTGGCAGACGAACTGGTACAACTTTACGAGCCCATATCTTCACCATTGATTCTGATAATATGTCAGTGACCACCTTCGTAAGAGCGATTCGTTTGAGGAGCATTCTGCGCCAGCAAGCTCGTTTTCTGGCGGCCCTACGGTCACGACCCTCTTCTGTCGGCACTTGCTGAACCTTTGGTGGCAGCTGGTCGTCAAGATCAAGGTCAACCGACCGATGTCCCGGCATGAATCAACCCTATCCTACTTCTGCGAAATGCTGGGTGGAAACGATAGTCATGAGATGTTCAAGACAACTAGTGCTAAATGTACGAGATTATGCGATCGATGTTATGTCGTGATCTATCCCCGAGAAAGCATGGAGTCGGAGCGCTAACATGCATACAGATACACAGCAAGCGTAGCCAGGTAGCCTTGCACGTCATCATCCACATCCCAAACTGTGCCGAATCGATACGTCGATTCGACTCACATCCAGCCAGCCAGGAGGTCTGAGACGCTACATGGCGATTCTTTTCTGTACGGGCGAGAGAGAACGTCAACAAGCTTACCGTTTGTCTAGGCTGAATGGTCAGCAAAGGTTCAGGTCCTATCTACTGGAACCTGAATGAAGGATTCGTAGTTTGGAGGATATATTCCACCGAATTCTGCGAGGAAGCGATGCAGGGGGAAGAGGCGTCCGAGTGATTCGAGTGGGATTGAGATTGGGAAGAAGAGCAAGACCGGAAAGAATTCGTAAAAGGCGTAAGATGTCGTAGGCTGTTTATGTTCTGCTTGCGTTGGCAGTCATTTTGGGTTCCCACCGAGTGGTTCTATCAAGCCAAAACCGTTATCGCGCTGAGCATCCCAGCTTGTGCTTGTGAAAGGTATGCTAAGACACTCACAATGCATCACTCCGTGACTGGCTCTGGGCTCAGCTTACGTTTGACAGATCGCTCGTTATCGGCGGCTTGTTCGGTGTCGAGAGCGCGCTTGAGCCCATTATCGCTCGTCGGCGCAGAAGTCGACGATTGAGCGAGGTCCTTCTTATTCGAGGCTACATCGAGACGCAACGTTACGTCAGCAGTGTCATCCCGATACAACGTGTATGTGTGTGTATGAGCCAGACATACGTTGATCGTCGGGAGTCACATCAGCGATCTCCGCCAAGTCTGCATCGCGTTCGGTCTGCCTGACGGCGGCATCGATACCAAATTCGTCAGCACCGTTGGTTTCCGATGCACCATCCTCGTCGTCCTGCTCTTCAAGCTCGTCTTCTTCCAAGTTTGCGGTCGATGTCTGATTTGAGTCTGCATTCAGGGTCTCGGCGGTCTTGGCGGGAAGAGGAACAGCTGGGAGTATCACGAGTCGGTACATTGAAGTTGTGATCTAAATGCATCGCTGAGACTTACAAGTCAGCGTGCCCCGTATCTCTGGCTCGACTGTTTTCAGTTCTTTCGATTCCGCACCGAGTGGACTAGTCATCTCGGCCTCGACAGCCCCAACGGCCTCCGAAGCGCTGTCATCATTGACCAAACCTGAGGCGCTAGCCACAACAGGTCTGTCTGCAGTAGATTCCTCGGGAGCATCCTCTTCGTCTGCCTCTGCTCCGTCAACGACGTATACGTCCTCCTGCTCGGAAGATGTTTCGCCAGATACGGCGCCATAGGCAAAAACGTGATCGTGACCACCGGACAAGTCGTCGCCTTCATGCTCATCGTGCTCGTTTTCGTCGTCCTCATACTCGATCTCGCCAGTCTCTTCTTCGTCTTCGTCTTCATCGCTGGAGCTGTCCACACCGGGAGGAGCGGCAGAGGAATCGAGAACCTTTTTGATCGCGTTGTATTTGGCGATGAACCTGACCGAGTCGTATTCGATGCTCAATGTCAAAGGATCGGTGCAATTGCAACGACTGTGAAGATCGGCAAGGTCGTGCAAGCTCAACGTGTCAGTGTACTTGTTGTCCTGCGATCAAGCAGAGGGGATCGTGGTCAGCTTGCTATCCACAACCAATAAAAGCCTGTTGGATCGTGTCAGTACTCACCTCGCCAATCTTGAGACCCAGGTTCCTCTCATGCAAGATCATCTCGGTCCCCCGACTCTCATCCCATTCCTCACCCAACCTAGCTCGAAGGGCTACAAAAACATCCCGAAGGGGCGCCTTGTAAAGCTCATCCGCCAGCCCGGGCAATAACGGGTCATACGGCTCGCACTCCCAGTCATCGCTATCCGGCCGAGTGAACCTGGTACACAGTTCGGCGTTGTGTTCAGAAAGAGGGAAGAAGAGCGGGCGCAGGGCGTTGGTGATGATCTCGATGACGATGGGGGAGAATTTGGGTTCGCCAGTCTCTTCGTCCTGTTCCTGTTCCTGTTCTTCTTCGTCTTCTTGTTCTTCCGACAACTCGTCGTGCTCGTGCTCGTGCTCCTCGGGATCGTCTTCAACGTGGTCGACCTCCGTCAGTGGCACCCCACCATCCGCATGCACCTCACCCTGTTCACAATCTTCCGCAACGGTACCATCACCGGTATGAACGTCGAGGTTGACAGTCTCCGTCTCGATCCTAACAGCTCCAGCTGGCTTTGCATCGTTCTCGGGCTGTTCGCTGGCTTCCGTTGGGCTCCCTCGTTTGGCCCCTTCAGTTTCAGCCGTGGTCTCCGTTGATCCGGCCCCTTCTCCCAGAACTGCACCGTCCGTCGTAGAAGCAGCAACATCAACCGTCTCGCGTCCCACCGCATCCTCCCCGTTAGACTCTCCCTGAACCGCACCCTCTCCCTCCACCTCCTCCTCATTGTCTTTCGGACCGGGAACGAGCATCACCCCGCCCGGACCTACACCACCCACAGGCGGAGAAGGCGGACGAGTCGACGTCCCTGTTTCGGGCAAGACGAACGAGGTCGAAGCTACCGTCCGACTTGGCGAAGCAGGAGGTTCGGCAGCGATCGAGTTGACTTCAATTTCTAATTCGGAACGAGCGTTCAAATTCAAGGGGTCGAGTTTGCCTTCTTCGTGCCGCACCTCAGGGGGGATGAGGGTCGCTTCCGGTAGACGGGAGGGGACGGGAGGGATCGAGGTGGGAGCGGGAGGCCAGTCGGTGATATTGGCTGCGGGTGCGGATGTGAGGTTGAGATTGGAATTGGGTTCCGGGGCGGGAATGAAGGGTTCGGCTTGCATTTCGTCAGTAGTGGGAATTGTAGTAATGGGAGTGACGAATTGCATGGGGGTCATAGCCACTGATTCTGCATTGATTAGGAAAAAGGACGAAGAGATCAGCTTGATAAGCTCGGAGTCGATAGCGGACTTCCCGAGGACGAGGTCGGGATCGAAATAGCAAGACTTACCTGTCGTACCTTCCGGAGCATTGTTATCTGCCTGCATCATCTCTTCATCGTCATCCAGCTTCCCATGATCATCCTCGACATCGACAGGGTCCATGTCGATCTCGCCGCCAGCGTCTTCGACGGCATCGGTCATCATGGCGTCCTCCTCATAATCGACCAGCTCGTCTAGTTCATCCACGTCCATCCTGGCTATTTCTCTCTCTCTGTATCGTGGGGGCGTATTCGTAAGCTATATGCAAACCGATGGCTGGAATAGGTTGGAGGTCGGTGAATTACAACTGTAGGTCTTTGTCAAAGCTATAGTCCTGGATCATAGGTTGTGAGGTCTGATGAACATTCTCCTGAGTATAATCTACACTTCGAGGTTCCGAGGCCGGCAACCGCTTTCTCACGCGTCGCAAGTCGGACCAACGTCCGTTCCAAGCGACGTTACTTCGTGTTTCGTCTTGCGATCATCGTTCGCTATGACGTCCATCACATGTCGTCATGACTAAATAGGTATCCCAGGACATGATCTCAGAAAAGCAGAAGTCTAAATGTTTCAAACAGACGAGAACAGGCTACCGAGAAAATTAAAGCAGAGATCGGACACGGAGAGACAGGAAGACTACTGTATGCAACCAAGAGTGACCATCGGAAATCGTTTCTGCGCAAAAGGGAATTCGGTATGTGCGGGCGTTGATTTGGTATGCGTTCGAGGCCGGGATGGCGCTGATCAGACTGCTTAGAGCTCGTCAGGCTCAGGGTATTCCCTACATGTCGACCGTTCATGTTAGCAATGTGGTATGGTCGTATTAGTGTGTCACACTTGGACTCACGAAACCGCGGCAGAGTAAGCCGAGTAGGCCGACGCAGAGTACAAGGAGCCATCGACTTCGGAAGGAGTCTGGACTTGTTCGTCAAAGTAGTGCTTGGCGAGCGATCGAGGAGCTGCAGGAAACAAGGACGATGAGAATCAATAGGCCGTTTCTATACGGTTTGAAAGAGCAGCTGCCTACTTCGGGGAGTCTTGGGTAGACGACAGGTCTCTCCGCTACAGTAACAGTCGAAGGTGAAGTCAAGTCAGCGTTAGATTCCGATGGCGGATAGAATACAATCGGAGCGACTTACGTTTGCATGATGCACCAAGCGACCAATCCGGTCCCTATAAAGTTGAGGAGTCGAATATCAGCCACGAAACCATCGTCATCTTTCCTTCCATCTGCAACTCACAACCAGTCTGATGACTCGCTCCGAGACCACGTCCGTCGTTACCGCTGTCAAGGAAGAGATCGTCAATAAGGCTTTCACCCAGCGTATTAAACGCGTCACCTGGACTTACTGGAAGAACTCGTGGAACTGCAAATAGTCCCTAAAGTGAGGGTCTCGGTTGCTGTACGCCACGACATGAAGGTGAGCATGACCGTTTGCGGCTCCATCAACACGTTAAGACGTACAGCTTGGGGTTGCCACCGTTGAAAGCCCTTCGACCTTCTTCGTCCTTGCCAAAGATGTGAATGATCTGCAAAGCGCTACGCATAAGTTTTGATGTCCAAGATCGCTCACACCGGACGGCGACTAACCCTGTGCTGGATCTCCTCGGCGACATTGGCGAGGTTCATGTAATCGCCGCTCCCGGTAGGGCACTCGACCTGCAAATCGTCTCCGTAGTACTGGTAGAATCGCTGCAGCGACTCGATGAGCAAAAAGTTGACGGCGAGCCAGATGGGTCCACGCCAGTTCGAGTTTCCACCGAACATGCCCGACTTGCTGTCTCCCGGCCAGTATCCGACGCTGTAGTCTTGCCCGTTGACGTTCATGTTGAATGGGTTCTCCAAGTGGTACAGCGACAGGGATCGGACACCATAGTCGGACAGGAATTCGGACTCGTCGAGCATCTTTTCCAAGATCTTGACGAGTCGGTCCTTGCTGGCGAGCGCGAGCAACTTTCGATCGGCACGACCCGATGCCTGGATGCTGGCAATGTTTCGGGTCGAGATGTCGGGTCGGTTCTGAATGAACCAGTCCATTCGCTTCTTGAAACCGGGGAACCTCTTGATCACCTGAGGCTCGAGCGTGAGCGTGGCGTAGAGGGGAATCAGTCCGACCATCGATCGGACCGGGATCTGCTGCGAGTTGCCGGCACCCCACGAGATGGCATCGTAGTAGAAGCCGTCTTCCTCGTTCCAGAGCGACTGTTGCTCGTCGCCCGCACCGGGGAAAGTCATGGCGTCGGAGATGTAAAGGAAGTGCTCGAAGAACTTGGAAGCGATATCCTCGTACGTCGGGTTGTGCTTGGCGAGCTCGAGAGCAATGTTCAACATGTTGAGACAGAAGAAAGCCATCCAGGCGGTACCATCGGATTGACGCAGAGTACCACCGGTGGGCAGGGGTTCGGATCGGTTGAAAGGACCGATATTGTCGAGACCCAAGAATCCACCCTCGAACACGTTGTTGCCGCCGGAATCCTTTCGGTTCACCCACCAGGTAAAGTTGAGCAATAGCTTCTGGAAGACCCGCTCGAGGAAGTCGAGATCCTCGCGTCCGAACAGCTTGCGCTCGATCTTGAATACTCGGAAGGTCGACCAGGCGTGGACGGGCGGGTTGACGTCGCTAAAGTTCCACTCGTACGCGGGCAAGGCGCCGTCGGGCTTCATGTACCACTCTCGGGTCATCAGGTCGAGCTGCTTCTTGGCAAACGCCGGGTCGACCATGGCGAGCGGGATGCAGTGGAAAGCAGTGTCCCAGGTGGCGAACCAGGGGTACTCCCACTTGTCGGGCATCGACAGGATGTCATTGATGTACATGTGCTTCCACTCTTTGTTTCGACCGTGTTTACGCTCGGGAGGCGGGGCGGGCTGACCTGGATCACCCTCGATCCATTCCTTTTGGATAAACTGGTAGTACTGCTTGCACCACAACATTCCACTCAAGGCCTGTCGCATGACGTTGCGCAGATCGTCACTGATGGGGCCTCGAGCGACTCGTCCGTAAAACTCGTCGGCGTCGACCCGCCTGTCCTCGACAATCTCGTCAAACAGCTCCTCGTCGTTGATGGCCGCGTCCTGTTCGAGGTCCTTGGGCGTGAGCTTGAGCCTGACGACGACACATCCACCTTTGCCCGGGACCTGGGTAAAGTGGTAGTGAGCAGCGGCCTTGGTACCGGTGTGTTCCGGGTTGACGAATTTCCTCCCGCCCGATTCGTGCGTCGGTCGAGGAGGAGCAGGTGCGGTCGGGTGGGTAGGGGTACCCTCGCCGTCCCCGTCCTGCTCATCCTGCTGTTCTTGCGCCTCGGCGTCGACGACTGCGCCTCCGGGCAAGCTAGCCTTGGATCGCTTGGGGGTCATGGGCAAGCCGGCTTTTTGAGAGCTTGGGGTGGTAGGCTCGGCAGGTCGATGAGCCGGGATCAGGTAGTCGTGGAATGCGTCCTTGACGTAGGGCGTCCTGTTCTTGCCGCCATACAGACGCTCATAGTTGGTCTCGTTCTCGGTAAACAAGAGGTCCGGGACGATGCTCGGTCCGTCTACCATGACGACACCTCCCTTGGCGGGCGCGGCGGGTGCAGGAGAGGGCGTACAGTACAAGTGCTGCTTTCCCATCGTCGGTTCGTTGATCTCGATCACGCCGTCGGCCGACTGGTGCATCTCGGGCATGTCCTTGGGCATCTCTTTGGGCCAGGACCAGGTGTTTCGGAAGAAGACTTGCGGGAGGATGTGCAAGTCGGCCGGGTCCGGACCACGGTTGTACGCGGTGATCCTGACCGAGATCCCATCGACGTGTTGCTCGTCCTTGGCATACTCGACAAAAACGTCCCAGTATCGGTCCTCGTCAAACACATCCGTATCCAAGAGCTCGTACTCGCTGACATCACGACCTCGGTGGGCCGACTCTTGCTTGAGCTTTTCGTAAGGGAATTCATTCTGGGGGTACTTGTAGAGGAACTTCATGTACGAGTGGGTCGGGGTCGAGTCGAGGTAGTAGTAGAGCTCCTTGACGTCTTCTCCGTGGTTGGCTGCGGGTTGTCAAGCCGTTTGTAGGTCAGCCCAGAGGATCGCCTTGCGCGATTCCGGCCGCGAGTCACTCACACTGTCCACCGGTCAGACCAAACAACCTTTCCTTCAGGATCTTGTCCTTGCCGTTCCACAATCCGAGCGTCAAGCAGAGTCGCTGATGGTTGTCCCTACATGCCCACGCTCGGTTCAGCCGTCTGTTGGCTGAAATCAAGAAAAGGTGACCGATGACTTACGAGATCCCTCCGATTCCATCTTCTCCCCATCGGTACGCCCTGCTCCTAGACTGATCAAAGTTGAACGAGTTCCACGCATCTCCATCGGCAGAATAGTCCTCCCTGACCGTTCCCTGTGCGGCGATCGAGCAACATCGTTAGCCATCCGACTCGCCACACAAATTCGTTCTCCGTGACCTGGTGTCTCCCCAGCGAGGGATACTGTGACACGGGGACACGGAGCGCCGACGACACTCACCCATTGTCGTTCGCTAACATAAGGACCCCATCGTTTCCAATGCTTCTCGTACCTGTCCGACTGGTTCAACCTGTACTCTTCCACCGAGGTGTATCGTGGACCCATGGACGCCATCAGGCGGTCACGGAGGGTCTACTCGAGGTGTGAGAGCGCGTCGTTGTTTCGTGTTGTCGTTTTGTCGAGGTGAAGAGTCGTTTCAGGCGTCACCAAGAATAATGGAAGAATAACGATAGGAACGGATCAGTCTCACATCCGAAGACCACTCAAACAACACAGCGTCAAGCGACGGGCACTTCGATTGGCTGAGACTGACCTGCGTCTCCGGTCCAAGAGTTCCAGGGGTATCCGAATCGCTCGCCGGGGCGGCTACCGGGTCCGAAACCGAGCCATCGACATCGAAACATCACGATCGTCATCGTCATCCCAAATGACACACCCAGCGTCGTCGACGATGAAATGAAACCAAAACCGAATTCAAGGAGATGGAGAATCAGCTTTCCATCTTCCCAACACAACTCGCTTTCGTTTTCCCGATCGCTCCAAATCCGAGGGATGATGCGGCACTCACGAGAATCATTGTTGTTGTTCTGGTCGTGCGGCTGATGTTGCTCGTTCCCGCTTTGGAGGGAGGGCCGTTTAGGGAGGCTATGTTCGAGTGAGACGGGACGAGCGGATTCGGATGGGTGGGTAGGTAGGTAGGGAGGTAGGTAGGTAGTAGATGGTAGGTGGTCCGTGGGTAAATGGTCGATTTGGTGAATTTCGTAGATTGTCGAGTGTGAGGTTAGAGCCGTTGTTGACGTCGACGTTGATGTTGTCGGGTGAAAATCGTCGTGGGGATGATTACCACATCGTCGTTAATCAAGAACAAGACCGGTAAAAGATGTTTTCGAAGGTGGATTTGACCAATTTAGCAGCCGAAAGGCGTTTCCGTCGTTGTAGTGTAGTGTAGGACAAGGGAATCGTAGTCGTGATCGTGAGATCGTGAGATCGTGAGATCACAGTATATCGTGTGTCGAAATCCAGATAGGAAGCCGGAAGGGAGATAGATGTCACGTAAAGTAAAGTAGGGAGACGAAAGGAATGAAGGATCAGCGTATGGCACTCTCGACTTGACTCAAGAGCACTTGGGATAGCGGTCCTAGCGGTCCTATAGCGAAGACTAGCGAAGACTAACTAACCTCTCCTTCTCCCGTCCTTGCAAACTCTCCCTCTGTTCAGCCTGGAGTTGCGAGGTGATCGGAGGAGGGATGTTGATCTTCAACCTATCCGAATTGGAGTTCGACCCGGAGCTGGAGTTAAAGGTGGATTCGGGGTTGGGGTTGGTGGCCGTCGGGGTAGGTGCGTCGTCCGAAGGGGAAGCGTCCCCACTCCGATTGCTATTACTACCCGCGGTATCCAACCTGTCCTCCTTTTTACCTCCAAACAACCTGTTTTGGAGTTTCTTTGCGCTCATCCTCGTTCTCGTGGTCTAGTCCTTATGCACTTCGACTTCTAGCTTCTCGATCGATGTTTGGTATTTGCGTATTTGTTTTTTCGGGTCGAGCCTCGAGGTGGAGGGGTCGGAAAGGACGACGAGGTGAGGTATGCGGAATGGGCTACGGAGGCAGGAGAAGATGAAGAAGAGGAGTTAGGGGATGAGAAGGAAGGTGTGGGATGGAATGAAGGTGGTTTTGTGTATGTGTGTTGTCCTCCCGAGGTCGAGAAGGGGGGTTAAGAGAGGTGAAGAAGGAGAATGTGTAGGATTGAGATGGACATGGGTCTGGACGAGCTGGACTGGAATGTGTCGACCGAAAGAAAGGGAGGGAGCCCAGCGAAAGGGGGCGACGCACGCGGTTCCGACAAACGACCACGAAGACAGCAGCAGCGTGTCAGCGGCAGGGCGACGCCATTAACGTCATCGTCGAGAGTAATGCCGTCAGTCCCATCCATGCCGTACGCGAGTGCCGCACGGGGCCGCAAATGGGGCAGGGCGCTCTGCACCCAGAAGCCCCGCGGAGAGGAGGGGAGCGTGTTTCAGACTAATTTCTTGTTTTGAATATCGATGTCAAAACGGTTTCATTACGCGTAGCATACCACGTCAACACACTCTTGCGGAACGGTCTATGGCGGCAAGTCCGATGTCGTCGCTTTCTTATGAGTAGGGATGACCTCTTCCTCCTCTTTGGCAGGATCGCCTGGTCAACTATACACACAGCGGATTTTGCGGGTTACTTTACTGGGCGATGCTAATCAAGGATGAAAACTGTGAACCGGGTCCTGCTGGGAAGAGGCTAACCCGTAAGCATCCAGAGCGGCGACTCCTAGAGACCGTGAACATTGAGCTTGGGAGGAGAAGCAACTTTTGGCGATATGAATGGAGTAGCACGTCTGGAAAGACGCCTATGCGGCCTGAGTGGCGAGCGTATTGTATCGCGGATGGATGAGCAGGGAATTCGACAGTGGGTTGAGGCTGGGCAAGGGACGGGTCATTGAAAAGCAGCAGCAAGTGTCCAATGGAAAGCCGCGATATGAGTCGACCCCACATCGTGTCGAATTTCTTACTGTAGCGGGTCGCGGGAGCGTCTGTGGGTATGACAGCTATGATGGAGGTTAGCGTTTAACGGTTACTCTTTGATCTCCCTTTCTGCTATCTGGAGAGGAACACAACATGTCCATACCGACACGCCACTGTACAATCCCGGAGAGGTCCTCGAAATCAAAGGGTTGAGGGGGTTTATAAGGAATGCCAGGCAGGATCGATAGGATTGGGAGGACCGGGGTGAAAAGAAGACGAGGATGTTGACTTGCTGCGGTCTTTATGATAATGTACAGATCGTACAGACTCGATTGTTTCACCCGAATTGAGAGAAGCACCCTATCCGGCAAGGAAAAAAGGCCGTCCGAAACTCCAAGCATGTTTCCCCGTCTCTACGTCTTGTCTTTATCTATATTATCAATCGGGGTTGACAAGACACCTAACGACGTCACCAGCTCGTAAACCGCCGATCGCATGTCAGGCCAGGGCGTGTTCTCTTTCCGCTCTCCATGCGATCGATAATCTGACCGATAAAGATCACGGTCGTGATGGTTCGATTTACAACACCCAACACCCGACTTCACAATCGCTGATTCGTTACCCAGAAACCCCGCAGCCCCTCTCTGCCACCCGGGCATCCTTTCAAGCCTTGCCGCTCTCGACCCCGGCCCTCTTGACGTCGACGGGCTCATCAGGATCCCTGAGATCGTCCGCCTCCCGTCGAACCTCGTCGACCTCTTCCGGAGAGGACGCCTTCCGCCCACCCTCGCCACGTCGCAAGGACCTTTGGTACTCGTCCACCAGGGCTTCGAGGTGGGGCCAGATCTTTTCGACGTTGGTCGATGATGCGTTGGCCGACGTTTCCGGTACGACCGGGCATGCGTCCGCCGAGTCGACAGGGTCGTCCGGCGATCGGGGTCGAGATGGCGATGATGATGATTCGTTATTGTTGTCGAGATTGTCATTGTCATGTCGTTGTGATGGTCGATCGGTAGCATGCGAGGAGGAAGAGGCAGCACGATCGTCACTATCCCCGTCCGGCGCGTTATAATTGAACGATCGGGCAAATCGGACCTCGTCACTCGTCGAACCGGCAATCTCGTGATACTCGGGTCCGTGGTAGTCTTGGAAATAGGTCAGTAGCGGCGAGGTCGACTTGTAAAAGGCCGAGAGACGCTTGTTGAAGACTTCCTGCGGAAGGTCCAGGTGGAGAGAAGAGGCTATGATCAGTTGATCGTGTACATCGTAGTGAGGCGACATATGCGGACTGACGGGCGTATCATCCGGCCTCTGAGTCAACGGCTCTCCGGTCACATCGTCCATCCCGGGGACCTTGGGTGCGTTGAATACGGTCGAATAGGTCCTCCCAGAGGGCAAGTGGACCCAGCGGGCTGGGAAGGTGGTCAGAAGCCAAATATTGTGCAAGAAGGGGACCAGAGATGAACGTAAGAGGAAAAGGAAAGATCCCGGTTAGTATTAAATCCGACGTATAGGACAATGCCGAAGATGCCCAGCGCATCGAGGCCGTCGAGTCTAACTTTTCGTCAGCTCTCAAGCCTAGCGGTCTTTCCGTCTTCATCTCTCTCTGTCTCGCACATCTCGCCTCGTGTGCAAGACCCGCTTTCGAGAACGCCTTTCTTCTTCAAACTAAACTCGCCCCACACGCAACACTCGGAGACTCGCCTGATATCCGCTGCAAGATCACGCTATCCGGTACCCTCAGGTGGATGATCATGTTCAACGGCCTGCCCTGTGCGTTGAGCGCCGAGTCGAGCAGGTCCGCTTGGCGCAGGGTTCGGGGGAAGCCATCTAGGATCCAGCTCTATTTGATTGGTGGAGAAGAGTGAGACGTCATAGGGTGAGCGATGTAAGATATAGAGTCGGAAGTCGTTTGAAAGGATTTGGGACAGAGTTGGGTGACTTCAAGTGAAAGGGATGAAAGGGAACAGGGAGGGAGGACTCGCCTTGCCGTGCAGCTTGTCCAATTCGCTCTGAATGATCTTGAGCATGAGTTCGTCAGAGACGAGGCCTACGAAGAGAAACATCCCGGGCGCGATGAGGACGAAAAGATGACCAAGAATTGCGTCGATACAAAGATCAATCAAGGTATCAGCCAGAATCAAACAATCCCCAACCTAGAGCCGCTATCGCGAACTCACCTCCCGATTTGACAACCTCCTCGGCCTCCCTCCCGATCTCACTCCCCTGCATGATCTCTTTACGCAAAACGTCCCCGGTCGAGATGAAATGGAGGTCGTACTTTTGGACCAGACGGGCGGAGAGGGTGCCTTTGCCCGAGCCCTGTGGTGTACGTACGCAGCCATATGTCGATCGGAATTGCCAGGATTGAGGGTCGAAATTGAGGTTCCACAGTTCGAGACCAGGCCAAGTTGGAGTTTTTGGAGGAGTTATGAAGTTAGGGGCATGTGAATGTAATTGATGAAATACGGAATGTGAGAGCAGCGCGATATGTTCAGCTACTACTACACACGACGCAACACAGGCTGATACGTGGATCTTTGTACTGACAGGTTTCCCAAAGATCAACATCCTTAACCCGGGATCGGTCGTCCCTTCAAATCTCCCCGGATGCTCTAAAGTGTCCCACAAGGCCTTTTTGAGGTTGTCCGTGGTGGACGAGTAAGTTCGCAGCGTTGATGTTGATGGTGATGAGCTGGAGTTGTTTATGACGTTACGCGCTCGTGATGCCAGGCTACGTGTTGAGAGCGCCGGATATCGGAGCGGTGAGAGGAGGAGCATTTCGGAGCGAACCTGTACGTGTTTGTATGTGTGTGTGTGTGTGATGGCAGGAGAATTGAAGCTGAGCGTGTGCGGGTCGGGTCCATCATCATGTATGCACAACGACATACGGATATACGGATGATGACAATAATATATAATATGCTGCTTGGAGGAGGGTCATGATATGCTGCGGGCGCACAGGTAAAAGTGAATATTCACTTTGAGCGATTCTCTCAATCGTCAACACACGGGGGGAGGGGGGGGGTGTCGAATCGATCCAATCATCCTTTCATCATCATCCATCAATTCCATCAACCACATAGTCGACGTCGAACCCTATCATAACCATAACAATCATAACAGCGACACACCTTCCACGTTAGCCACGTTCTTCCGACGAATCTGAAAGTCAAATCCGAACATGGCCGGCAACCCCCCCTTCGCGATCCCCCTCCCCGACCCCAACCATTTGGGAGCAATCGATCATTTTGCTGCGAACTACATCAACCTGTTCGCCCCTACGAAAGCGGCCCTTACCACCCTCTCGGATAAGGTGGATCTTCTCCCGACTCGAGCCCAGTTCGACGACCTCCCGAGCCGAGCCCAGTTCGACGCATTGTCTCGCAAGGTGGATGACCTTCCTACCCGAGTTCAGTACGACAACCTCCCGAGCCGAGCCCAGTTCGACGCATTGTCTCGCAAGGTGGATGACCTTCCTACCCGAGTTCAGTACGACAACCTCCCGAGCCGAGCCCAGTTCGACGCATTGTCTCGCAAGGTCGATGAGGAGCTCCCCACTCGTCTCCAGTTCGAACAGCTTATGGCCTCGATGGAGAGACTGAACACAAAGGTCGACGGCCTCGCAACCTCTGAAGAGGTTGGAGCTCTAGTCTATAACACTAGAGCTCGAATCATGAATTTGGAAAGGACCGACAAGGACACTGCTCTGTTATCTCTGAGAGATAAAGACGGTGTTCTTGTAAACATTCAGAGGAGTACTCTCCGTCGGGCTGGTGGAGTGACTCTCGATACGTGGTGCCACCGTTTCGGCTTCGACAACCTCGACGTGGGTCTGCTTGTCGACGACAGCGCGTACACAGGACTTCCAGTCAAAACGATTCGAGAGATGCAGCGAAAGGCCATCGGCCGATTCATTGGCACCCGGTGCTGAGGTCTCTCCTCGCCTCTTCTCTGGCTCGCTACTCGGTCCTCAACAATCAAATCATCGACCCCCACCAGCCTTCCCTCGCATATCGCATCGTCGCGACACATACACACTCTAGTAACATGTCCTAAATTCTCGGATCATCGACCCCCGCCAGCCGCCCCTTACATTTCGCATCGTAGCGATTAATATAACGACACAAACCTACACGAATCGAATCACATATATACCCCCAGTCGCCGGCCAGTCGCCAGTCGAGTCGGTTCAGACACTATTCCCATCTCGTCTCGTTCTCGTGCCACCTCGAACTATCGCTATCGCTATCCGATCCGTCTCACGATCGACAACATCAGCATCATCATCTCGCGAGTCATTGGCCATCGGAGTCGAACACGGTCCTGCGATATGGAGATCCGTCCATATGGACCAGAGCGAGGTGCGACATCTAGCCTGAAGCGCACGTCACGGACGTACGGGATCTTGGACGTGGTCGACCGCCGACCGGATGGACGTTTACGCTAGACTTCTCGCTCGCTTCTGTTCTTTTCTCTCTCTCGCCGTGACCATGTTGTTGTTTGTCTCTCTGTCTGATTCACTTGATGATTTAATAATATATACATATACATGAGCATCTCTAGCTGTCTAGATCGTCACTGAATCAGCACACCCTATGACGGCGATAGCAGCGATTCCGACATCCGATTTGTGGACACTTGGATGAGGCCTTTCTCCCGGTCATGGGTCACAGTAGCTCTCGAGACCTCGAGGTGACAACAGCGGATCTCGCAGATTAGCCCCTCCCCCCCTCCCCCCCCCGATTAGATTTACCGCCTGTCTTCGTGCCAGGCGAGTAGCGAGTAGGTCTACTCTCAGCGTCGGAGTTGATGAAACGTCGATCGACAACAACAACATGTTCATGCCGATATTGTTAGGTGACCTCCACCCACCCACTCGGGGTGGAAGCTAGATTTGCTTCCGCCCGCTCCTTCCCCGTTGCGTCTTGCTGGTTTCGATCGACCTCCTGCCTCCTGCCTCAGCTGATCAGGAGCCATGATGATGATGTACAACGCACTCTATCCTATCATCCTCTTCAGGTCTACACTACTCTGTAAACTCTCTTATTCGCTTCTCGGAGTGTGTTTATCATGGACCCATCCTCCTCGTCCTCATCCACCACACCACCACCACCACCACCTTCATCGAACCCGCTCTTCCAGATGCATCACCCTACAGCCACCACCACCACCATCTCCTCCTCCTCGCCGTCTATGACGACCTCCCGTCCGTACCCCATCCGTGCAATGTCATCCTCAGCAACCCACTCGCCGTTTTATCAGACCAGACGGGCGTCCACATCCCAGTCCAATGCACAATCACAATCACAGGCGCAGGCACAGGTCTATGGGAGCTCACCGGGCTCGACGACGATGGCGCAGGCGATCTTGATCAGAGAATCCGGGGCTGGGGAGGGTAACGGACATGGGTACGGAGGAAATTCACCAGACTCGGTAGGCTCGTCTACTTCGAAGAATAGCGCGGCGAGGTTTGGGGTCATCGGCACTCAATCTCAGGGTTCGCCCACCTTGGCGCATAACTCGACTAGTCTCCAGGCGGGCGGAGGTGGATCTTCGATACCACCTAATAGTAATAACAATAGCAATAATGGTGGTGGTCGTTACGGCTACGGAAACGCGCCAGGGAACCCTCCGAGCGGACTGAGGAACACGTTAGCTAGCAGGGGGAGCATGAACCTAGGCCCATCTTACTCTCTCGAGTCCGGGTCTGGGTCCGGGTCCGGGTCTGGGGCTGGGGCTGGGTCTCAGGCTTTGGCTTTGGGGGATCGGGGATCGTTCACAGGTCCAACCTCCGGTCCTACACCTTCAACAACAACTTCGATCTCAACAACAACAACGACAAGTCTGCGCGGGTCTGATCCTGCTATTACCGGCTCTCGAGCCACGGGGACCGGAGAATATAGGTACAGCCACGGAGCAGGGAGTTATCAGACTCGGCCCTTTCCCTCTCACGCACATGCACATGTACATGCATATGGAGCTGGAGCTGGAGCTGGAGCTGGAGGAGCTCTTATAAAGGATGGGACGAGTACGGGTTTAATGCCCTTGCCAGGGACGAGGAGTAGCAGTTTTTCAGGGATCGGGATCGGGTTCGGTAATCAGGATGTCGTTAGGGGGAGGGATTTGAGGGTGAGTCCTTTGCTTGGCTTTCGGGTTTTGGGTTCTTGGGTCCCTGGGTTCTTGGGTCCTGGTGTTTTCGGGTTTCGGTTATCGGGATGTGACGAAGTTACACGGGGAGGTTCCGGTTTTGGATAGAATAGGGGGAGAGATGCCCGGTCTTGGGTTTCGGATCTGGGGAAAGAAGACCGTATGGATGGCTTCTTTGGAGGGTTTGGGCGAAAGGGTCGTCGGTCTGCTTACGACCAGACGAGATGATCTTTGAGCGGGAGTCGGCGTTTGGTCAAAGTCGAGGAGACGAGCTTTTCGTCTCCAACGGGGGTTGCGCAGGAGGTGACGAGATCGAGGTATTCAACCTAAGCGTAGCGAACTTGATTGCCGGGATGTCGAGGTGGAGGAGGGGCTGGCAGGTCGGGTCGTCGCGGCCATGGTCGTGGCTGAGAGAGATCTAGGTCGTGGTGAGGTCTGCGAAACCGAGGTTTGCGCTGGAAAGGGCGATCGACGATGACAGATTTGAGCGGTCGATGTGTCGGAATCGAGTGTTCAGGATAGATTGTGGAGCCCATGATCGTCGTGAGAGAGAATTGGTCGGGAGGCGGTCGCGATTGTGGTTAAACGAAAATATAGCGATGGCGCCGGCGGGTTTCGTTGCCGTTGTCGAGATATCGTGTTCGCTTCGTGAAGATATGGTTGGGGTCGAGGTTGTGTTTCAACATCGCACTGTTGGCTGATTCTGCTTGTCTCTGTTCGCCTTTTCCCGCCTGAACCTACGTCCGCCATTATCATCACTCGAACCATTCACACCATCGCCAACGCCAACATCTCCTTTGTCTGCCAACCTATTATCGACCGTTATCCCCACAGCTCGTCGACGAGATGCCGTCCCACATTGAAGAATCATGGTTGGACAAGTACAAATCGTCGTCCTCGCCTTTCCCTACGTTCTCGGACACGTCCTCTCCACCCACTTCCCCGCCCCTCTCACACGCCAGGCCTGACCTGATCGACCGACGAGAATCCACGGCACAAGATCAAGGTCTCTACGAGCGAGACCCCCGACCGCACTCGCCGCCCCGAGCGGAAGCCAACGTCTCGCGCAGCAGGAGCCAGTCGATGGCACCGGGGGTCCTGAGGCCACAGTTCGCTCAGCACGGGTTTGGGAACGGGCTGTTTGGCGGGTTCGGGTTGAACGGGTTTACGGGGATGGAATCAGCCGGTCCGGGGAGAGGTTTCGGCGAGGTTGGGTCGGGAGGGTCTCCCTGGGCGGATTCGGGGAGGAGAGGGTTGGTGAACGAGCCGTCGTCGGCGTCTCCATTTGGGCGACAGCCGGGAGGCCTGTTTAGTGGAGGAAACAACGCGAACGCTGGCGTGACCTTGGGAGTGGCGGACGAGGGACGGCGGTTCGTACACGGCCAGGACACCTACTCGGGTTCGGCGGAAAAGTACAACAACGCGACACACGACACGTTGACTTCGAGCGTACATGCCGCGTTGGGCGGTGGAGGGGCGTATGACCTGTACTCGAACAACTCGGCTGCACACGCACGCGGGGTCACGGACGATCGCTTCGTCTTGACCGGCGGTGGTATCCACAACGGTAACAACAACGGAGGACAATCGGGTAGCAGCTCGAGGAGACACAGTATATCGGTTGCAGGCGGGCCCAGCGCGAGAAGGGGGTTCCAGATACCAGGGTTCGGGTTCTCCGAGGCGCTTGTCAGTCCAGAGATCGAGAGCAAGTTTCCCATGCACGGCGTCGAGACGAGGACGTACAGTCAGCAACAGCAGCAGCACCCGTCAAGCATGGCGTCGCTCGGTGGATACGCTGGAGGCAGGGGAAGGCAGACTGGCTTCTCGGACGCCGACTTGCTGGCGGCGGATCTCGGGAACAAGCTCGCTCTGGACCCTGGGTCGACCACGACGCGCGATTCGTCCACAGCTTCGATGAGAGACGAAGCGAGGTTGAGGTTCGACAGCGCCTCTGTACCGATGAACGTACGCGAGTGGCAGGTCTCCTCGGCTCCGTTCGTGCCCGGTTACGGGGTCGCCAATTCCGTGCCCAGGTCTGGAACTGGCGGTGGTGGCGAGATGGGGCAGTCGTACGCAGCGGGGAGCAATAGCAACGGTGTCGCCTACGGATCGTTCGCGCCGCCGAATTTGAATTCGCAGCACGGTGGCATCAATACGGCGTACGGCGGCAACTTTCAGCCTGCAAGAACCGGCCAGCCTGGCGGTGACTATGGACGACCGGTACACCCGCAACAACTTCAACATCAGCTCTACTCGCAACAGCCCAAGATGTCGCCGTTTGCACCCGGTCAGGCGCCCTCTTTCGTCGGCTCGATCGGGTCGGGTCCGGCTCCCGGCACCAATCAGGCGATGAATGACATGGGCAAGGGCGTGCCAGTGCAGATGCTCAACCCTGCCACCCGCCTGTTCATCGTCGAGTTCAAGGCCGGTCGAACGGACCTGTTCTTCACCCCGGATCCAACCGTCGCTTTGCAGGTCGGCGACCTTGTCATCGTCGAAGCCGATCGCGGGCAAGACTTGGGCAAGGTCAAGGAGGACAAGATCACCGTCGATGACGTCAGGGCGTTCAACGTCGCTCGCAAGCAAGAGATGGACGTCAACGTCAACGGGGCCGTGTCGGCCAGGATCAAGGGCGCGCTCACCAACATTCTCGTTGGAGAAGCCAACGCCGAGGCCGGGGGCGGACTCAACCCGAACCCCGCCGTCAAGGCTGTTCAGCGCGAACTCATGCCCAAGCGAATCTTTGGCAAGGCGGGTCCCGCCGATCGACAGCTGCTCACGGCCAAGCTGCAGGACGAGGCCCAGGCGTTGGCCTTGTGTCAGCAGAGGGTCAAGCAGAAGCGTCTCCCGATGGAAGTGCTCGATGCCGAGTATCAATGGTGAGTCCGGGTTGTCTGTGGTCACCTTGTTTCGTCGAGACTGACGTCGTGGACGGACGCGATAGGGACCGACGTAAACTCACATTCTATTTCATCGCCGAGAAACGGATCGATTTCAGGGAGTTGGTTCGAGAGCTATTCAGGTGGGTTTCTCGACGAGGCGTCTCAGGCCGATACAAAGCTGACCAAGACCTTCTTTTCTTTTCTCGAACTCTTGTAGAATCCACAAGACCCGGATCTGGATGGCCAGTCTAGATCATAGCTATCTGCAGGACGACGACAACAAGTCATAGTCGACGATAGAGACCGTTCATGCCATTAATAGGCAGTTACTCCGAAACTAAATGTCCTCATCACTTAGACTCATAGATAGGGTTGTCAAACACGCACGTCTCTTGCAATGGGCGTTGTATAATAGATATACTAGTGCATCACGGTTCGGGCCGAAATAGGCTGAACACAGCAGGCCGTTGTATGAATATGAATACGCATCTCGAGATCATTGCCTTTGCGCATCGATGTGTGGGCGCGCGCGCATGCTTGTGATCTCGTATCGATCTATTCGGCGTGGAAGGGATCGAACCATTGAAGGAGCAGGCAACAGTCGAGGACAATCTCAGAGGCCATGGTTCCACCCATCCCAAGTTGTTCCAACGAAAGCCCGATACATCCGCCCTTTGAGGTCAGAATCTGATCTCGACAGCTCCAGTTTGACGGCGAAATCACCGGGCATGTACTTTCACGACAGGTACGCTGCGCCGCCTGTTTGTCATTCGGTGAGATTTGTTCACATCCCGTAGAATAAAGTGGAAGTACGTAGAATTGAACCGGCACACGGGATGTCAACTCCAGATTGCCCAGCATACGCGCCACCCCTATCTCACATCGGACCGAATGAACCGAATGCCAGCGCGCTAGCGATGTAGAAACCTCGTTCGCCACCCACGATGCCTCCATGTGTACGGTCACTTGAACGATACTGTACGGTGGAGGCGCCACTTGGTACTAAAAATAAGCATATGCTTGCACGAGATCGGCGTTCTGAAACAAGGCCGATATATGAAAGCACGGACGGCTGTGATCCTGGATACCATCTACAACCGATGCTGCCCCGGGCCGGATCGGTTCCGAACATCGACTTCAACAGATGAGATCTCGCCGGTCATTGATAAGTAGTGGGTGTTCGCCCCATCACTCTTTCGGTGCCCCAGAGTGATAAGGGGTCATCAGTGCACGCAACTACCAGATAGCGTATAGAAAATCTCGCAAATCATGGCCTCGAAACAGGACGATCGTATCGACGTCAAGAACGATGTCGAACACGTCGACGATACGGCGGACGAACAGGGGCTCAAGAACGTCCCGGTAAAGAAACACGAGCAGGAACATGGGGACCTGTATGACGAGGCGCTCGAACGGTACGGAGAGGCGGGTGAGCTCGATCCGGCGGTGGAGAAGAAGCTGTTGAGGTGAGCCGGGCTGTGGGTTTGTCGAGCATATCAGAGTCGGCGACTGACTCGGGCGAGATGTTTGATAGGAAGATCGACCGGTGTATCATTCCGATCTTGGGGATCTGTTACTTTTTCTACGTGAGTCGAATCGAAAGTACATTTGGCTTGAGTATTGTCTCATTGATCGAGATCCATCATTACAGTACGTCGATAAGACCACCTTGTCGTGAGTGTTCTTGACGTTCTGTCAAGAGAGTCACTTCGAGCCCGAACTAATCTTGGTTGACGATCACACTCAGATATGCGGCCATCTATGGTATCAAAGGCGATCTCAACCTGGCGCCGACCGAATACTCGTGGCTCTCTTCGTAAGCGGACCATCCGCCCCCCTCTCCCATCTTTCAAGCCGCTTATTGTTATTCACGTCCGGATCTTTCTCGTAGGATCTTCTACTTCGGCTGGGTTTTCTGGGCTATCCCGAGTAACCTGATCATGCAACGTAGTCCGCCGGCTTATTACCTCGCCTTTAACATCTTTATGTGGGGTCAGTGCGCTCATCAGCGAGGCTTATTAGTTCGTTCGGAAGGGTTTCCGCTGATGAGAGATTGTGTTGGGAATAGGCGTCTTGCTTTGTTGTCAAGCGGCGGCCAAGAATTTCGGGACGTTGGCTGCGCTGAGGGTGTTGAGTGGGGCGTGAGTCTCGACTCTGCTCCTTGAGCGGATCGCACTGGCAAACGCTGACTGCCTTGACCTCCCGCAGATTCGAAGCCATTGCCGATCCAGCGTGAGACCTGCTCGCAAGGCATTCAAGAGCGACTGGAAATACTGATCCAATCGCACACCTCACTTCGAGACCCCAGTTTCATGCTCTTTACCAGCATGTACTATACCCGAGCCGAACAACCTTCCAGGATCTCGGCTTGGTACCTCTTCAACGGGATCGGCGTAGCAGGCGGCGGTCTCATCGGGTACGGTATCGGGCACATCAAAGGAGCGCTGGCTTCCTGGCGTCTAGAATTCTTGATCGTCGGAGCGGTCTGTGCGCTATGGGGGGTGGTCATCGCACTCACGCTGGCGAATTCGCCGTTGACGAGCAGGTGGTTTAGTAGGGAGGAAAAGGTGATGATGTTGGCGAGGATGAGGAGGAATCAGACGGGGATTGAGAGCAAGAGGATCAGGTGGGGGCAGGTCAGGGAGGCCGTTTTGGATTACAAGACCGTGAGTCCGAGCTCCGGCAGGTATGTCGCGATTTTCAGAGGTGTTCACGCTTCGACTTCGGGGAACGATCTAGTGGATGTTCTTTTCGCTCGGACTCGTCGGTAACATCCCTAACGGAGGGATCAGTAACGTGAGCTCCCGCCCAGCAATTCCACTACTGCTGATCAGGAAAAAACTGACCGGGTTTCATGGGCAAATGGCGAATGGCGACAGTTCTCGACGCTCGTCATCAAGGGACTCGGATTCGACACGTTCCACACGGCGCTCTTGGGTATCCCTCAGGGCGCGCTGGTATGTATCTGGATCTTGCTAGGAGCTTTCTTGAATAGCAAGATCGGGAACAATAGCAGGTGAGTTTATAACTGAAGACCAGTTTACATACGTCCATCCTCGACGTCTTGTTTACACCCCCTGCGATATGATTTGGGTAGGACGCTCGTCTGCATGCTCTTCATGTTACCCACCATCGCTGGAGCCCTAGGGTTCCTCCTGGCTCCCAACGACGCCTACGTCGGCAGACTGATCTGTTTCTACCTGACGGGGTCTTATCAGTCTTCCTTCGTCTTAGCGCTGTCGTTGATCACCTCGAACACGGCCGGGCAATCGAAGAAGATGATAGTATCCGGAGCTATTTGGGCGGGGGCGAGTATAGGAAATATCGTCAGCCCGTTCTTCTACTTGACGAGCCAGGCGCCCAAGTATCAGCTAGGGATTGGGAGTCTGTTGGTAGCGAATTGTTTGGAGCTGGGGTTGTTCGTCGCTTTCCGGTATGTGTTCATTTGGGAGAATAAGAAGAAGGAGAGGGTGGTACAGGAGATGATCGCGAATGGGCAGACGGTGCCGAGGGAGGTGGATACGGCGTTTAGCGATTTGACGGACAAGGAGAATATCAAGTGGGTCGATCGGATCGTGGCGCGCCGTTCAAAACGGCAAGCTGGGTATCATCCATACTAACGATGCGCTTTATGTCGGATCATCTCCAGCTTCCGTTACGTTTATTAAAGGAAGGGGATCTCATATCCGGGAAACGGATGATCGCATGCGAAGGTTCTGAACTTGTAAAGCGCCATCGTCTTTTGCCGGAAGAGCGACATGTACGGTCGTCTGTATAGTACTATCATTGGCGAACAAAGCATTCCTGCTGTATACTAGGGCAGAATTACAAGTCTGCTCTCCTGTATCTGAGCGATTTCAAAGTCCAAGGATAACCAGACGTGTTGATACAATCACTTGTCGTAGTGGACGGGATCTCTGCCCCACCGGCGGACGAATTGCATTCGATAGGATTGGATGACGACCTCTCTGCCGAAAGGATAAGCAGCGGCGCGCGCTAAAAAGCGGGGATCCCATTACTCGACCCATATAACAACCCCGGGGACAGGTTGGTTACCCCTATCTCATTGACGAGCCCCCATGGGGGGAATCAGCTTGACGATCGTATCTCTTATTCCATCTTGATCATTCAGCAATCATGGTCGAATCGGTCATCATCTCGACCCTCCAACCGTACTGCACGACGACCACCCTCCTCGGCGCCCTCATCCTCGCGTTACCTCTATGGATCACCTATAACCTGTTCTTCTCTCCGTTGGCTTCGATCCCGGGCCCATGGACCGCCCGAGCGGGGGTTTCACTCTTCAAAGCCAGGTCGGCGGGGAATACGACTTGGGTCTGGGATCTCGAACGGTTGCATAAGCGGTACGGACCTATCGTCAGGGTATCCACCAATCACTTGTCGATCTCGGACCCAAACGCCCTAGCATCGATTTACCGGATCGCCAACCCGCTGCACAAGACGGACTTTTATCACGTCTTTCAGGCTGTCCCGGGGAAACCTTCGTTGTTCAGCGATACCGATTTCGAATCCCACAAGATTAGGAAAAAGGCTGTGGCCCCGGCGTATGCGATGACGTTCTTGACGAACTTGGAAGAGTGCGTGGAGGGGGTCGTTCTTTCGCTCAAGGAGCGGATGAGGGAGATCTTGGAGAACGGCAACGGTAATCATGGGATTGGGATGCAAAAGGGACGAGGAGTGGATGTCGAGTTTGACAAGATGGCGCATTATTTCGCGATGGACGCCGTAGGCGAGCTGGCCGTCAGTATTTCCTGATCCCCGGACGATCCTCTCCTCTGCTTCGTCCAGCTTACCTTCATATCCCTAACCCCTCTTCGCGCAGTTCGGCAAAGGCTTCGACCTCCTCTCCCCCTACACCTTCCACTCCCCCCAACAGACTATACAATCCGACCGGTTCTTACGAGGAGTAGCCAACCTTTCTCATTGGGGAGGCGTTGCGGGGACCTTGCCGCCTTGGATAGGAAGACGAGCGTTGAATGTCTGGAAGAGGTGGACGACCCAGCCGGGGAGCGATGTGATTGTGGATGCGACTAGGAGTCGGGTGGCGGCGAGGTATGGAGCTGTTATGAACGGGGAGGAGGTTAGGAAGGATGTGAGTCCTCTCTCTCACATTGCTCTTTGCCTTTCGAACGCGATGTCGTACGAACATCCGGATCGTCGTGTTGTGTACTGACAACATGGGTGACGACGACGAGCAGATGTTGAACAAGTTTATGAACGCCAAACACCCCAACGGGTCGACTTATTCGCAGACCGACGTGTTGTTTACAGCTACGTCTGTCGTAGCCGCTGGATCTGATACGACGGCGGTAGCGACGGCTTCGTTGTTTGCGTTCTTGACGGGGAATCCCGAGGTGTATGCCAAGCTGCAGAAGGAGGTGAGTCGGTGGAGTTATAAGCGATGTGTCGGGTTCGTGGGTTTGATTGCTTGGTGCTAAAACGAGATGAGCTCGTGCACGCCAGGTCGACGATGCTTTTCAGGATGGGACCCTGACGACCCCGGTTCCTTATTCGAAAGCCGCTCAATTGCCATACCTCCAAGCGTGCATCAAAGAGTCGCTCCGTCTCCACCCTCCGATCTCGATGGAACTCCCTCGGATCGTCCCAGAGGAAGGCATGTTGCTCTGCGGCAAGTTTGTACCGGGGGGCACGAGCGTGGGATGCTCGCCTTATATCGTCCATCGGCAAAAGGAAGCCTATGGGGAGGACGCCGAAGAGTTTAGACCGGAGCGATGGATCGAAGCGGATAGGGCGGAAAAGGAGGGTGGGGATGGAGGTGAGACGAGGCGCAGGTTGGAGAGGTTTTATTTCACGTTTGGCGGGTCGACCACGTCTTGCATCGTGAGTCCCGCTACCGCCGGCTGTTCCGAACGTCCTTCATTGGCATGGTCTGATGTGTGTTTGTTGGGGCGTCTACGACGTTAGGGCAAGAACATCTCGCTCATGGAGGTCAGCAAGTTGGTACCCGAGCTGTTGCACGAATTCAGCTTTGCGCGAGTTCCGAGAGGGCCCGGGTCGCCACACGCCCATCCTCCTCGACATCGTGATGGGAAGAGCCAGGAACCTGGAGGTGGGCCGGCTCCGTGGTATTGTTCGAGCTCGTGGTTCCTGGAGACCAAGGTGAGCGGGGGCGCCGGGTTCGAAGGGGGATTGGAAGCTGATATGTAGTCTGTCACAGGATCTCTGGCTCCACGTCGCGGAGAGAAACGTCAAGGAGGAATGAGGGGAAGGGGAGACATGTCGACATTAGTGACAATTAGGGGTTGTAGGTCTCGTGCGTGTAACAGTAGAAGGACGAACACAGGTGCGAGTTTCGTTTTTCGATCACGGCTGGCGTTTGTCATGAACGTCGTTGTAGCAAGAACTACACTGTACAACAAGGTCGCTTGCGTATAGTCAGGCAATGATACGAGGGCACACACGACGGTAGATAGACAAGGAGCGTTTCTTGTGTAGAATCGCTAGTACCAAATGTTGCAGCATTCCATTTCCGGCACCTCCGTTTGGACTTCCCCTGTTTCGCAAGATCGTAAGCGAGACGATCGGCCGCACCGCTAAGCCCACTTGTACCTGTTGTACTCACGGATCTTGGTTTGGAAGTCCTCCGCCTCGGTGTCTCCGCACTGACCCTTCCAAGCAAAAGATTGAGTTTCACCTGGATGACGCGAAGCGTTGAACCAATAGGGGAACGCTATCTGGTTGTCGAAAGTCGCTACTTGTTCTTTCCCCAGTAACCAACATTCTCCGGTCAACCCGGCGAGCTTGTTGAAGTTGACGCCCATGCAGGCTACATCGCGGTCGTGGTCAGTCCTTGCACCCCGGCTCTGACGAGGCTATGATATCATCTCACCGGAATCGCCATTGCAGAGGTCGGTGCATTTGGGCAACGATTCGGCCTCGTACGAATGGGTAAGTTCACCCTATCAATGCCAGAGAAGCTGCGGATCAGTGGTGCGCGAGCGCATAAGCGAGTCTCCAGACCTGCGACATTATTCCTCTCTACGGCACCGGCCGGCGTGTACGCCCAATACCCAGTACCAGTATTCTTCTGGCTGGCTTTGTCGCAAGCGCCACCAGATGCGGCCAGGGCGCTCCCAGCGGAGATTGCCAGGAGGGCGAGCTTGAGCCCGTAAGAGTGCATGGTAAGCAAGTCGATGTGTGTAGTTGTATTATTTGCTATTGATGGCGAAGAGGTGATACGTTGAGCAGATCACTTCGAAAGCTTTATACCTGCAAGCTAGCAGTCGCACAGCTGCTCCGAGGTGTTTCCAATATGCGCCCTTTGTTTCGACTATTATGGTCGCGATCCCTTTGTGTCAGTTTCCTCGTATGTATCGAGCATCAGATGATCGTAAGTCCTGAGTCGCCTCGAGGTAAATGGGGCCTCCATGTTGCCCTGAGTCTCAGGAGTGACATGAAAGCAAGGACGAGGACCCTGATACAGTCGGAGGCAACCCTGTATTTAAAGGAAGAGGAAGAGGGGTATCTGAAAGAGGATGGGCAGGTCGTGTTTCACGAACAGGCGCGCGAGGCGTCAGCTTTGAAACGTCCTGTTTCGGCCGCAATCAAGGCGCGCATTGGCCGACAGCGTTTCAGTGCCTTTACTGTCTCTTTCAGAGAGGATTCGGTGGTAGTGGACATGGAGCACTTGATGTTGGATGCTAGTTCATCTTGGAAAGGCTCAATTCGGCTGCAGGGGGGGGGGCGTGTGATGTATGGAGGCCCCACCCAAGCAACAAGGCCCATCAGGACCCAATCCAGCATGGTATTGTTGTTTCCTTACAAGTAAGCGAACAGATTGGAGAGGCATGAGGAAGCTGCGAAAGTTGTCTGCAATTCAATTCACAATTTGTCGGTATCAGCAGGAACAAGGTAGTGTTTCTATGTCCATTGTGGTGGTCAGATGTCATCGCAATCCGGATGCCGCTTAGCGTTGATCCCGAGAGCTTCTGCTGCCCTCGAATGCGTCGGCTCGTGGGTACATTAAAACTACATAACACACATGCGACTTGGGTATATCCTTGTTCACAGCGATGCCACGTCTAGACGAGGCGCAACGGGCGGTCCGAGTCGACTTTGCGACGGTGGACAAGCGTGCCTTGCTCTTTGTTGCTCTTAATCGAGGCGAGTGGCATCGACAGAGTGTACAAGACGGCGTTGTGAACTCGATACAGATATTTGCTGTTTCGTCGACTCGGTTACAGCGGACGAGACCGTTGCCGGAGCACCTTCGTATAGGGCACCTTATATCCCGTCCTTATCTGGTAGGGATCTGAAACCACCGCATCATGCCCCTCGGTCAACACGATCCAGTCAGATGACGAACTATTCGACCGATGCGGGATCTGCTTGAACCAATCTGTGAACAAAACAGGCGAGTAATCGATCAGCCAGGGGCGCTCGCAAAGTATCGCAAAGATCTCTCTTCCCAAAGAGAGACTCGCCTTTCTTCTTTTCCTCCTGGTAATGCAAGTACAACCATTCCTCGATCAGGTCCGGCTGATCTTCTGTTCGAGAGACGGGCTCGAGCCTTTCTTCGACGTATCCATCCAGCCGGTGCAGGTAGGTGATGTATCGATCGTTCCTGAAACTGGGATCGCCATCGCCGAAACGGGGGACGTAGTGCGTCGAATGACGATCGTGAAACCAGAGCGTGGACGAAAAGTTGCCCTGGACGAGCTCGACGGGGCGGACGAGGGCGTCGGTGGAGAATGTCGCTGGTCTCCCGGATAATGCAGATGATGGCCGTTTGTCGGCACGGATCCGATCGGCAATGTCCCTTGCCTTTTTCGGATCTTCCAGGCCGCCCGATATCGTATACGTGCCATGGCTCGAGAACAAGAGGTAGTGTTTCTGAGCGAGCCCGTCCAGGGTCAAAAAGTTGATCGAGGGGTTGTTGATGATGTAGCTCGAGTAGCTGGCTTCTTTGGGAGAACAGCCTAGGGTCTTGTGCTTCCGGCAGCCTGCAAGGGCGAGAGTGGGATTTCGATTCAGTGTCGAGTGTCAAGGACCGGAATCTGGAGGGAGGGACGTCTCACCTTGCTTGTCGTGGAAATCGTGACTATTCAACCAGGCCTCTTTCGATCGAAAGTCGGGATGACCGGTGATCTTGGCGGACGCCAAAGGGGTATTGCGGAAAAAGGCCAAATGGCCGCTGAGAGAAAAAGTACCGATTCAGGCCTCGAAGTCAAGAGCTTTGACTTTTAGGAGATTGTAGCGTGTCCTCACTTACCGCATGAACACCAAACGTTCCTTGTCCGTGTTCCGATGGGTCGGAAGGATGACATCGTAGCGATCGGCGATGTCCCAGGGGACTGTAGCGACATCATGACCAGGAAGGGAGGTGAGCGGTGAGGCTCGAACAGCACAAAGCTCGAGCCATGGGACTCACATTTGCGTTCAAGGCTGCGATTGTGATGAAGATGAAGCTGGATCAATGTCCATTTCCCCACCCTAAAGAATCCAGCTTGAAGCGTTGGGACTGAGCTGCTCACCTCCCGATGACCGTGTCGACGTCTGACCAGCCCCACCACTCGGCAGAAGGGTGGATGTAGGGAGCAAAGACCTCACCCCGCAGAATGGACAGGGAGTAGCTTTGCTATGGAATCTATCTTCAGCTGTCACGTCACGAACAGGCGTCCCCCCCCCTCACCCAACCGAGCGATAGAACGGGGAACCCTGAGAGGGGAAGATGGGCTTACCGGGTCGAGCCGTCCCATAGCTCGCAAGTGATGAGCTATCCGCCGACGATCTCCCTCGGAACAGCCGTTCCAGAGGCCGCATAGGTAGTCGCTATGGAGCTGCCAGACTTCAAGAAGAGGTAGATATAAGCTGGGTTTTCGAAAAATCGTCAAAGGAGAGGCTCGCCAGGGTAGTTATCACGTACATCGTTCGTCCGACATTTGCACCAGCTTGATGTTCCGTGATCCTGGAATGAACGATCCGACGAGATTTGACAGGTGGTGGTTCCCCCGCTGGATCAGTACCAGCTCGACCTGGTCGGGTTGACGAGCGATGCTATCGAGGAACCATGTGAGGTAGTTGGGTCGCTCTTCGCCTGTCCACACGACCACGATCGAGATGCGAGGGTGGTAAGTAGGGTCGTCGGTCGGACCGAATCCGTGCAGCCTTTCCGAGGAGTGGTCCAGGAATCGTCGGATGACAGACGACTTTTGACATTGGAGTAGCACGTATACGAGGCCCAGGAAACCGAGGGCGAGTTTGGTCAAGGTCCTCGTGGTCAGGTCTACCGGTCGGAGCTGACGACGGCTCGGTGCATGTCGAGCGGACTCTCGTCGAAAGTCCATTCAAGTCGAGAGAGACGGATGGGGGTCCAGCCAGAGACGACGACGTTGAATAGTGTATAAGACTTGCCTGTATATAATAACATGATTCGAGGCTTAGGGGTCTCTCTACGACCATCGTCAGAGATCAGAGACCACGTGACCCAGACTCGCATCCCGTCTACCATATGAACCCTTGTCCTTGTCGATAACAATGATCTTACAAGATGCGTTGGCTGCAACACAAGGAGGACCACTACGGGCCTAATAGTTTGATATTGTGCCGAATTTTTGTTTTTGGTAGGGTTTCGACGTTCGCCGAATGTATTGGCTGGAGTGTCGCTCCGCATCACGCCCAACGTTGGGCCATTGTAATTCATGAGATGCTCATTGTTGTCATCAATCAGCTTCGATGGCAAGGTCAGAATGGGGAGATGAGACCGGCAAGACCAGGGTCCGGGGAAACCAGACCGGGAGACTAGAGCGGGGAGACCAGACCGGGTTGCCACTGCTGACCATACCGGCATCACGTGATCGTGTAAATTGCTTCCTCGCTTCGTGTATCACCTGTTGTTCTCAAAGGGATTGTTGACGAGGTGTATGACATTACCAACTATGAATACTTCACAAAGCAAGCCGTCAACACAAATAGCAAAGATGGCAGCACCACCTCCTTTCTATGACACGGCCATTGGTCGACAAAAGTACAATGAAGCCACAGGGCCCAAGATACGACCTGGCGGTTGGCCCATGGCCTTTGAGGTGAGTTGCTGTCTGCCTTTACGCTGTTCTATCGAGACTGACCCGCATGACAGTTCATCCATGTCGTCCTCCTTGATAATCCACCACCTCTTTGTCGAACCTGTTGGATTCATCACCCGGTAACTGAGGACGATTACCGACATCGGGTCGACCCCATACCACCGGAAGAGATCGAGATGCGTCGGGCCTGGTGGGAAGAGGTGAGTGTCGTCTGACTTGAACGGGCTTCCTTGCTGAGACTGCGCTCCATCGGGCTCAGAACCTGGAAAAGCTTGGTGTCAAGACATTAAGCATGGTCAAGTCAATCCATGGGCAACACAGAAAAAGGGTCTTTTACGATCTTGTCTGTACCCCCACCGACGACAAGGACCCAGAGGTCAAAACAAATGGCCGATATCATTTCTCCACTCAAACACCCTACCGTCTCGGCCTATTTCCCAATCCTTTCCTCAGTCTTGAGGCCCTCGCTGCTCAGACTCAAACCCAGGATCTAAGCTGGCTCAGAGAAAGGGCAAAGGATTGGAGCCGCCGACATGTACAGGCCCAGAAAGTACAGCCGGTACCCACAAGGTGAGCTTGGCGGTCTGAAGAAAATGAAGAGTAGGGAGGCTGACAGTTCATCGCCTCACAGCCTCAACAACAATGACGAAGAGATCCAGCAATTGAGAACTCGGATTGATCAGCTGTCGCTTGTGGAGAAGGGGTACGTGTTTGTTCTTTGGAATCGCTCTGTTTGCTGACATCCACAGCGCTCCCTTCCCAGTGCCACAGCTAGTTTGAAGGAGAACAACGAGCTCAAGCTCAAGAACGGTGACCTTCAGAAAGAGTAAGCCGCCGTCTATGAGTTCCGTCATACCAGTAGCCTAACGTCGACGGCTTCCTTTCAGACTCGAAGAGAAGGATCGAAAAGTCGTCGCCCTGGAACAAAAGCAAGTAAACTTTCGTTCAGAGTCTGCTTCTGAACCAGCTGACCGCCATGGACCTACTACAAACAGAGTCGAGGATCAGAAGACTTCGATCGACAATAGCGATATCACGCTGCAGAACCTGGAGCGAGAGCAAGTGTCCGCACCGCTTTACAAGGCACACAGCTTGACTGATGCTTGTGTCTTCAGGAAAACTTCTCTTGACGATCAGCTCAAGCAAGCACGGGAGGCCGCCAACAAACAAACCGAGGATCTTGTCAAAAAGGAACGACGTATCAAGGCATTGCAAGAAGAGTGAGCTCCTGTTGCCCGCTGCGTCACCTTGTCCCCAGCTGAGATCAACAACGTTTGACGGACGGCTCGAGCAAAAGTCCTTGCTCGATAAAGCAAAAGAGGACAAGACGGTTCTGGAAGGACTCCAAAAGCAGTGCGTTGTGGTGTTGCGCATGTGGATGTCTGTATCGTGTCTCACCCCGTTCATTCCGACAGGCTCTCGACGCAGGACGATCACCTAGCCACGATTGGCCGTCTCCGGGTACAGATCAAGACCCTCCAAAGTGACGCCGAACGCAACCAAGACCGCATTCGAACCCTCGAAACGGACCTCGCCAATGCCTCGGCTGATTCGTCGGAAAAGGACTTGAGCCAAGATGACTTGGAGCGTATCAGCCAGCTTGAGACTGAGTAAGCCTGCAGGTCATGTCGGGAGGGTTTTCGATTCGAAAAATTGACAGCACGCTCTACCTGGATCATCGTTGTAGGCTGCAGGACTGCAAGGATGAATTGCAAAAGCTGCAAAAGGAGTGAGTCGTTGGTGTTGGTCATCGACCCTATGCAATAGCAATAGCACTGATCAGGTCGTCGTAACACAGGCACAAAGTCCTGCAAAAAGGATTTACACAACTCGATGACAAGCTCGACGACAGAGACAAAGAGTGAGCAAGCATGTGGCAGACATACCCCGGTTGTACATGTTCAAAGCAGCCTGTATCTCTCAGAATTATAGACCTCCAGGGCGAGATTGCAGAGCTAAAACAACTGTGAGGTCAAAACACTGCCGCCGTGGACCACTTTGCTCACCAGATACGCGTCTTCCACTACCACAGCCCGGAAACCTACGATGACAGCGAGCAACTCAGGAACATGAGGGCAAGTCGTGATCACTACAAGCGAAAAGTGGAGGCACTGCAGAAGGCCGCCAAATCTTACCAAGCTGAAGCCAATCAAGTGCCTCTCCCTCAAGCCGATCAGGTGCCTCTCTGGGATCAGGAGCCTCCCTATGAGGAACTCCCTGCTCGCCTGATGGAGATCATGGAGGACATTTCACGAAAGCAAATCACTGTCCTGCTTCTCAACAGGCTCGCTTGGTTTGCGGCACAGGATGAGGATATCCTCGATTCACACAACAACGTGATGCCCGTCAACAATATCGGGAACGCTGCGTTGAGTTATATACCTGCCACCTCTTACGACCTTCATGCTTCTGCTTGGAGGTTGGCGTCAGCGATTAGCAATCGCAAAGACCGCCTTCTCCGCTAGCATTGTAGAGCCGTGTAATGACGTAACGATATAATACCTCCTGCTGTACGATTGATTGCCTTCCGACCATCAGCACCATTGTCCAAGCAACGAGGGGTGAGACCTCTCGCGCGCCATGGCGCTCCTTGGGGTGAGACTCGACGCGCGCGCTACGTCAGCCCACTCGACCCTTGACCCCTGACCTCGACACAACAACGACAACCTACACGTTTCAAGGGCATATCGATATCGACCACTTGCCACCAAACGACACCTCAAGAGCACCACACTATACGTCAAAAGGTTCGCCGATCACTCCAAAGGGTTATGGGTGGGGTGATTCCCTCTATCCCCTTGGTATAGGAGCAGCTCGCCGGTCTCGGTCACGCATACAAGGCGGTTGACTTTCTCCGTACGAACACCAGAGACGGGTACACTTGTCTCTACCGTTCAGGAGGGGGTTTTTGACTTTCTCCGTACGAACACCAGAGACGGGTATACTTGTCTCTACCGTTCAGGAGGGGGTCTCTGACTTTCTCCGTACGAACACCAGAGATGGGTATACTTGTTTCTACCGTTCAGGAGGGGGTCTACCAATCCACCTTGTAGACCAGAGACCCGGTGAGCAGCAGACGTTGATCTTTGGCAGCATTCGACGTCATAACAATAGCACGCAAGATCGACCTGGACCACGGCGCCTGTCCTGTCTTGGGGTGAGAGGGGGTCGTCATGGTTCCCTGACCTGCAGACGGGACGGACGTCGTCATCAACAGGACTCGCCACTCGATAATCGGCATCTCGTCTCTCTCTTTCCTCCTTCTCTTCAACAGTAGCCTTCCTTCCCGTTCACCGAATCCACCAAACCCCATCGCCTCAGCCCATGTTTTTTTGATTCGCAGGTCGGGTAGACGGGTCAGGCAGTCTGGCAATATCGGCCGTCTATCGAGGTGAGCATGTTGTCAGCGTCATGATGAGCCCTGCTGACCCCATTCTCTTGTAGACGGCTTGATTCTCAATCCCAACACTGTCGTGCTGAGTATCGCCAGGCCCCGTTGTGCCAGTATCGCTGACATGACTAGCCCTTGATCCACATGCGTCCGCGTCTTCCTGCTCGGTGGGAATTCATATCGCCGTCCTGTGAGTACCGTCTGGCCTCGTGTCATTTTGCAGTCGCTGATGGTCACTGTTCTGGTTGATCTGTGCTTAGGCTCCCCTAACCCTTGCATCCGGCAACTCTGGCAGTTATGACCGACGTTCTAGGAGCAAGATCCAGAGCTACGCAGACTGTATCAACAGAGTTGCAGAGCGACCCCTATACCTCCCAGAGATTTTGTGTCTCTGCGTACCAATCATCTACCCGAGACTCCTTGTCTTTGCGTACAAACCGTCTACCAGAGACTTTGTGTCTCTGCGTGAAAATCCCCACCAGAGACTTCGTGTCTTTGCGTACAAATCATCTACCAGAGCTTCGTCTCTGCGTGAAAATCCCCACCAGAGACCCCGTGTCTTTGCGTACAAATCATCTACCAGAGATTCGTCTCTGCGTATCATTCATCCACCAGAGATTCGTCTCTGCGTATCATTCATCCACCAGAGATTCGTCTCTGCGTAAAATTCATCGACTTCGTGTCTTTGCAAACAACAACCCAGAGACCTCGTGTCTTTGCGTGAAACTATAACTTTGTCTTGCGCTGCAGCGGTCTTTTCGTAGTTTTCAACTCGTGGGTACACAACATCCCTCCCGCAAACTCCCATGCTGACCACAGACATCTTTAGGCCGTCTCAAAATACCCCTCAAGCGCCAATCCCGACCACACTTTCCACACTTCTAATCAACCCACGTTAATCTTACGCAAAGTAATTATCGTGTCGTGGCCCTGCATCGACCTCGACGCTGACCTATCCTCTGATCACTGTGAAAGCCACTCGTCTCGCTCACATCACTTGTACCCCGCCACGCAGGACTACGGGGAGTGAGTTGTCGGCCTGTACTCGCCGCTCACTGACTGTCATGTTCGAAACTTTGAGTTTGCCCGAATGCACCCGCGGAGCTCGAGAGAAAAGGTTCAATCCGGGGGGAAACTTAGGGGTTAGGGGTTAGGGGTTAGGGGTTAGGGGTTAGGGGTTAGGGGTTAGGGGTTAGGGGTTAGGGGTTAGGGGTTAGGGGTTAGGGTTAG